CCCCCGAGAGACCCATACGGAGCCTCAGCAAACTTACACCCAGCCTCACGACACTCGAACTGAGCCTCAACAGACGTTCACACAACCTCAAAGCAGCAACCCTCGAGACACACGGACCAATCCTCGACAAACTTTCACACCACCACAGCAGACTTATACTACTGAACCACGACAGACATTCACGGAACCCCAAAGCAGCAACCCTCGAGATACGCGGACGAATCCTCGACAAACATTTACACCACCTACCCAGTCTTATACCCAGCCTCAGCAGACTTACACCCCTCCTTTCAGTAAGTCATCGAGCGAACTCCCCAGACTTGGCAGTCACGATGGTAGCACGGTGGTAGAGCCACATACCGTTGAGAACAGCTAGAAATTGTCTAGCTATATTCGTTCAGATACTAACTTCTTAGGGACCACTAACTACAATCCTCCTCCACCTTTCTCTACGACATGTAAGCAAGCCCCAGTCACTTATGATATCAATATCAATATCGAAAGCCTTCGAGAGCTAACTTTTTCAAGATACATCAGTATATTTCCCAAACCCACCCCAACACACGACTCATCATCGATCAGAGAATAGCTACACCACTATCTATATCAGTGTTGGAAACCCTACAACATATGTTCAGCCAATCTGTAAGGATGCGAGACCCAATTCTCCTGAATGTACATTCTGAATGATTTCAAGTTGTCCAGCCAACATACTACTGGCCACCTCCTACCATCACACTTGCGCCGGAGCCAGTGACTTATACGACGGTCTATGTCTACCCAGACACGGACTCCGATCTTCAGACATATTATTCAACAGTAACTACATATGTCGTACCAAGCCAAGAGACGTCGACAACGTATGTGTATCAGACATACGTGCCACCACCGGCAACAACAGCTCAACGTAAGTAACGAGTCCCAAACCAAGAATGAAAGCGAACTAACACCACATGCAACAGGACCAGGTGCCGAGCCTACCGCAGGCGTCAACCCATGGGCCGGTTCATGTCCAGTAGCGTCAGACTTTATTGTCCACAACTTCGTCTCGAACAGCGGTGGAGTTTCCTTGAGCATTTCCTACAATGGAGGAACGTTCAATTGCCCGAACACACCCACTAACGAAGTCACCTACAATGGCATGAATGACATGTATTGCGACGACGACGGACTCGTGAGAGTTATCACCGATGGTGCAACCTGGCTCTGGATCTCAGAGTGGTCTTGGTGTAGTGCTGTCCCTGCGTAAGTTCATCCCGAACGACCAGCACATCGCTGCAAAGCTAATGAAAGAAACCAGAACTGCTGGAAATATGCCGACTCTCGAGGCTGCAACCAATTATACCAATTTTGGCTATTATGCACTTGACTGTACAACTGGCTCTACGTAAGTCCCCTCCCAGGAAATCCTATTCACAGCGTCTGACTATTCCTACAGAGGCATACAAAGCTGCACGCAAGCAGTTCAAAACTTCGCCATTCCAGTCGTATCTTTCGGTCTAGGTGGAGCCATCGGTTTCGAGCCTCTCGATATCAACGGCAATTACCTTCCAGGTTGTCCTTCTGTGACTAATACTCAACCAATCGTTACCAACACCGCGACATGTTCGGCTGTTCAAACGCAGACTACGGGGCTCACTACTGTTACTATTATATCTTAGCATGCGCAGATAGAAGGCTCCGGGTGTGATTTCGAAGAGAGAATTGGACGGACTTGACATTGGCAGGCTCAATTGACATCTTGGCATGACCCCGCTCTAAGGCTACGCATTACGGCTTTTGATTTGATTCTTCTGCTTCTTCTGGATATATTCAGGGTTTGATTTCAAATGGAGGATCAAAGATTTTTGATGGACATGTATCCTCATCTACCAATTTCTCTTTGGTATTATCAATGCTTCTTGTTGAGTTCCGGTCAGACTCACCTACAGCTTAAAGCAGCTTCATTACTTATTAAGTTTGGACTATAGAAATCAACGAGCTATTCGGAAAGACTTGTTCAAGTTACAGGAATAGAGCGATAGAACCCAAGATTTGTTCAAGTTGAACTCTTTGACATCTGCACTGCTTGTGGAGGAAGACGTGAGATTTGTGTATGACAAAAGTACCTTAATCCATGGGACATCGTCAAGAGAACAAGAGAGCGGCAACGAAGCAGACTTGATTGTAGCATTCATGAAGAATTGAGCGTTGGCCAGAAACAGTGAAGCTACTTTGTTGCAACCTCGAGGGCAATAGTAAAGTGAGGACACCACCAACTTCTCTCTACGGCATCATATTGACAGACAATAACCCTCTGCAAGTGTTCAGGCGGCGCTTGGATCTTGCCAATCATTCGAGCGGAGGAATTCTGTTGCATCTGACATATTTGCAAAGCACCACAAAATAAGCAAATGATCAAGACAGTTGTTGAAAGTAATTCACTTCCAACTTGATGTACAGCTTCTATTGTCGAAGATCCTCTAAATGACATTTAATCTACATCTTTCCTTGAAACGAGGGGGAAAAGGAGTGTGGAACCACGAATTGAAAAGTGCTCCTTGCTCCATACCTTCCCCAGCCATCACCGAAAAAACCCGAAGTTTCTCAATTTGGTGAAACAAATATAGACCCATATGTTATAGAGTATGCCATGGAGCTTGCATCCTTCATATCGTCTTGGCGGGTTGGAGGAATGGATGTGGAGGCGATTGACCAAGAGCGCGGCACCGAGGTATGAAGAGACAGTCATCTGGACCGACGTGCAGGAGGCATGCCATGATCTATTAAACCTATCAGTAGAGAGACTAAATACCCTTCGAGATGAAGGTGGCCAACACTTACACATGCAGGATTTGACTGTGGTGCGTAGGTGAGAACAAAGATGTGAGGCAGCATAGATATTGGGGAAAAGAACATGTATATGTGTAGCATGAAAACAGCAAGATAATGACTATAAGGCTATCAATTGAAGGCGGCTTTTTAATGTATCGTTCTGAAAGGGGATGGAGGGTGAGCAATTGAAAATCCGAGGAGATGCTGGAAAGTGAGAACGAGAGTGAAGATTCGAATTGGAGCAAGAAAAGGTGCGTGTACAGAGGACATCGAGTACCTCCAGCTCAGGAAATGAGAACATCTGCTTGTTGAGGAGACAGAGGCTTGACTATCTTCGAGCCTCCGTCCTCTGCTGATCGGCTGATCTTTGGGTGAGACGCGAACGAGAAATCGCGATGCAAGTCTCACTGTGATTGCGAGGGAACATGTAGCAGAGAGTTTTCGTATACACCTTTTGGTCGTATCATCGATGAGGAGATGTAAAGGTGTTTTGAAATTCCAACTCGGGTCCTCGTCTGCAATGTGAAGGGAAAGTCGTTCGGTCCTGCTGAATCGAGACAGCTGCCAATTTGGTATTCGACGGGTTGAGGACACACTTCCATCTCACAACACCATCTCCAACTCCATCAGCAATCGCAGCAAAACAAATGCATGACTTGCAGATCTATCTCGAACCACTATCAGCGAATACGAAAACTTGGTTCTCGCCGCTCCTTCCTCACCCAGCATAGTCGATACTTCATCAACATCATCAACAACAAAGAAGCAATTCAACAAAACCCAAATCGGTATGCCGAGAAATCCTATCAACGCTGACTTTAGCGCGATTATCGTCACCGTGGCATGCTCGTCTCCATATCCCTCGAGTTGCAAGAGCAAGGGCGTGCATCATCTCGCTGCACCTTCAAAAAGAAAGTCACCAAACCTTCCGCTCATATCGCACCAGCTTCGCACTTCCTCTTCCGCCGTCAACGCGATAGACGCAGCGTGTAAAGACGCCGATGCAGGACTCGAATAGGGATTTGCTTGCGAACTGCACCTGGGAAAAGAACAAAGCTGCTTGCTGCAAGCCGTGAAGCGTGCAGAATCTTGCATTCTCGTGCATGCATCATCTTTTGTTTCCAGCTCAAAATATCCCGATACGATACGGTCACAGCACATGGAACGAATAAGGTCCTCAGAACAGCTTGAGAAACTGCAGGCAGCGAAAAAGAAAGCTTCAACGGCCGCACGAGCAATGGTCTAGACGCTGACACGACGTTGGAACCCCCACACGAGAGTGTGTAGTCGCAGTGCAGTGGATGCGCCGGTGGAGTGAAAAACGGCCGAGATACCCCATGCTCTTCCTTGAGAATATGCCACAGGCGATTCATTGCCGTTGGGAGAGGCCAAAATGGAGAAAAGAAAGGAAGAACGTGAATTCGACATGTCACAATACCAGGGTCAGATATCCCAAGCAATATTTCAGCCTCCATATGAACCAGGTCTCTGGGGAGCAACGCCGGGTCCACGCTTCCGTAGCCCCTGATCATGATGAGTGTTCACCGAGCCTGCCGACGACGAGACAACTCGTTCTCCACAAACGTTAGAATGGGAAAGGATGCGTGGCAAGGAAATTATTATTGGGGTCGTTCCCGTGTGCCGCAACGGTTACGGGGTACAAGACAGCTCGGGAAGTGCACCGACTGCGGCGTCGTTCTTTGCGAGATGAAACTCTTAAGAGGCGTCACGATAATGGCTCTTTCTGGTCTCCAAGGCCCGCACTGAGGGTGGACACTCATTTGACTGGGAGTTCCAAGTTGAAAGAGGGACATGGGCAGAAAATGACAAAAAGCAACATTGAGATCAACAGACATGTCCTCCTGTGAGGGGCAAGTTCATGCAACCACCGAACCAGATCCTGCAGAGCCTTGCAATGCACACTCTCGATCTGGGTCAGTCAAGAGCTTGGGTATCGGCATAAGACCAGCCAGTGTTCTATTATTGCTGCCAGGACAGGGTACGGGCATGCGTAGCCGCGGTATATTCGTTTTTGTTCGTGGAGATGCAACGCAGCGCCGTTTTCTTCAAAAGAAACATTCGATGATGGTCATCTATTTTTCTGTCAGCTATCACATTCAGTTACTTCATGAGGATATTCGCTTCGAATATTGGAGGGATGACTGCAGCTGTCAAACCTGAATGTCCCCCGATGAGTGGTGATTGGTGAAAAGGTTTCGAGGAGCAGAATTTTGTTTTGATGCTCTACTGCCACTGCTAGTTTCTTGATGCCATCTGAACCGCATGTTACATTTTCGCCACAGTGCCATTCGGACGAAGGCATCACTGTGGTATGCCGCAGTGGAGTGACCACAAGGACACCGGCCATGTAAGATGGGATGCCTAGGTCATCCTGAAGGACGACGCTTTGATGTCCAGGTATGAGTGACCGTGCAACATTGCCAAATGGCCATGAAGCACGAAATATAGCTACTCTCATATTTGTTCCTTTTCGGCGAAATGCTTCTTTAGGCAGTATTCCTCATTACATTGAAGGATTTTATTGCGTATTTCCTGCCGATATCCAAATACAGGCATTCCGAACGAGCCTAGAGAAATGGCCTATTCGAGATGTATTTTGGTATCCAAATCTGCGACGCCGAGATGCAGCTTGCCGTCTGGAACATCTTTGAGGATGGAACCTCAAGTGTCGGAGATCGAAGAATATCATTCCTATGAGTGCAGATGGATTGTTCCTCAGAGGTGTACTATAATGAGGGGTTCACTGGGCTGCATACTATAATCGCGCGAAGACCCCCGAAGACGCTACCAGCGACATCTGTTATCATAGCACGAACACCTCAGTAGAGTGAGAGAAACCTAGTGGCCGGTAACTTCGGTGTGTGGGACTAGGTGAAGATCACCTTCCAGCCCTTCGGTCGTGTTTGAAATCCGTCCAGAAAGCTAGGGATTTCGAAGCATTCGTCGACTGTTACAGTGATGATCAAGCACAGAACGTACGGAATTGCGGCCTCAGCTGACGAGCAGACCTGTCTCCAATTCTCCCATTCTAGTCCGTGAGCGCCAAACACAGCACATGCAGTCTCAAGAATTGTATGGAGACACGACGAGAGAAAGGGAAAAGAGGCTGAACACTCAATGAATGAGATCTAGTGACGGTATCATCGGATGGCGGAGTCTCTTGCGTTCTCGCTCAGCTGATCATCTTGCCGCTAGAAAGGCAAGAACTTTCCAATCGCATCTGATTATTCAAATTGTGAAACATGAAGACAACATCTGCAACTGAAGCTGACCGGATCACCCTCTACGGAGAATTTATATCTTCACTGTGCTGCGGCTCGGCAAAAAGTCCGCTGATCTGCGGTGAAGGCAAGCTAATCTTCTGATCGAAGGAGCTTTGTGAAGCTGGAGCAGGAAGATGTGGACGGAGAGTACACTAACAGGTCGTTCGCTCAGCCGCTGTCTTCGTCTCGCCTACCATTGGGCCGCTGTCATCAGTGAACTCAACGTACGTGAACGTACGGCTGGTAAAGTCAACATTGTAACGGCTGATAAATGGAAAATAAAGTTCGGTCGAACAGTCTCCAAAATAATGAGGCAGACAAGCCAATGCAGGCCTAAGACAAAGGATGACTTAGAGAATGAGAGCGATCCAATTACGAATTCCATACTCTGAACTACCGTTTGGGAGTTACGCAGAGCCACGAGAATCTAATACCGGTCATTTCTTCAAGTGATGCTAGCATCGTCTCGACCGACAGATTCATGGAGACCTTGTGGTATCCCCAGATCGGCACTATCAGAAAGAAGTAAAACTCAAAACGAACTTGCTTGAGGAAATCCTCCAGATGTCACTATCACCTGCATACACATATACCTAGATGGACGGCAGTTACACCAATAAATCGACTCACACAATACTCAAAGTAGAAATTCGTTCCGTAGTTGGCGGTGTCGTAGCTAGTGCAACAGATGTTGGTTCCGAAAATATGCTAATATTCGATAGGTGCATGGCGACATTGATACTTGATGCTAAGGTCCGGCAGTGAGAATAATCCGTTTCTCGATGAGGCGACTTGCCCGCTCGATTCCGGACTCCCGTATGCTGCTCCACCACAATCGGATAAGATATCTTGAGGAAACATTCGCGGAGGAAAGGCAAGAGACACAATTGACAAACAACGGACTCAGGCCGAGTCGAATTCGGGGACTGGATCTTCATGACCTTGTCTGATAGAGGGGTTTTCCCGGACCTAGACCAGTGGACTACAGAGCTTAGGTGCAAGCGCGCGGGGAGGGCTCCATGAACGGTTAGAGCCGAACGGCGTGCTTCAAAGATGTCGAAAAGATGCAGCTGAAGATCATGAAACTTCTCAACCCCAGGCCTTTCGGTACATGGCGAGCTCGCCGAAATTAACGATTGTAAGTATAGCTTCGATATCATGACGCTAGTTATTGCCCGTGGCTGGATAGACATGGATAAACATCGGAGAGCTAACTGCGACTTACCTGGAGCGTCAGATGAATCGTCCTTATGCTCAGCACTAACAACATGCAGAGAGTGAAACATTTGTTGTAATTATCAAGATCATGTTCTGCGAGATGATCGGAGTATTGTTCGTCTGACATGAATCATTTGGTACAGAATGACCTTCCGAGATCGCTCCTAGGATCCCCTGCAGATCCGCATCAAGGATTCTCAATGTTGCCGAAAATGGAGGCGGGAGGATATTATGTTCATTTGTCTGGAGACCTAGGAAACCCCTTCTACACGGCTCCAAAATGCTGCAGCTATTGAGATCTGGGCATACCTTGCGAAACTGTAAACAAGATATCCTGGACTTACTCAGCAACCAGTTACGGAGAATAACTGGGATGGTTGTGCGGCTTCTCGCTCGCCCCTTCAAACTCCAGCCCAGTGTCGCGTATTCGGCCTCATGAACCTTAAAATTCTAGCTTATCAATTGGTCGGCAGAAAGAACAGCTTAATTGCTTCGGAGGATCCTAATCTTCATTCGATGATGCGTCCTGGCACATCCCAACTCTTTCAACCTCGTCGATCGTTTGTAGATATACGATTACGTACAGAGAGATCTATGATGAGAACTGGAGAATGAGCTTGGATATCTGTGAGTGATCTGAAACTCATATCCACTTTGTTCTAGATGAGCAAAAGTCAGCGAGCAACGGCTGAGACATTCAGAAATTCAGGTGAGTCGACATCATGCATACCTATGATGGCGTTTGTCTCGCCTAGCGGATCGCATCCGAAAGCCCCGCAAGGCGCCGGCCAAGCTATTCGAAATGATACTTACGTGCAAAACATCGAAACCGGGTGAGTGTTTCTCCCCACGATATCCGTGGAACGAGAAGCTGCGATTGTCTTACTTACCCTAAGTCGACTTTGACCTGTTGAGTTTGGTGGAGATACCGCACATGCTTTGCTTACCCCGCCGTACCTGTGCTGCCAAGCACACTGTTTCTGCAGTGCACGGAGAATAGAATTTGTCCTACGGAGAGAAAACTCTGATTGTCCACATCCCCTCGACTCGAGTAATGCCCTTCATGCCCGCACGACCCAAATCACAAGCCATCACATCATATTGACTTTCAACTCTCCCAGGAGCACCGTTGCAGCAGATAAAGCACCGGAAGCCAGAATCAGGATTTTGGTTCGTATTTGCAGGATTTCTCATTAACGGGCCCCAAATACATTCGAACGGTATCGTCTCTATCATGCTAGATAGCTGATTGGAGGGCAAGAAGGTTATTGATCGACGGGTAAGGATGAGGACGACGCCATGCCGGTCGGGGAGATCACCTCTCCTTCCACAACTCTGTCTTGGCCACTCGAACTCGCTTAGCACGTGTCGGCAGGGACCTGAACCCGGAAAGCTCAACATGGGTTTCCAGCCCGCCACACCGACTGGTAGCGTACTGGTAGACGATCATTGATTGAGATAGATAAACAGCAAGTATCTATCAAGTACCCTCAGCAGTCGATGACGAATCGAGACCCCGGGCCGGGATGGGGATTTGGATTTGCGATATTCACAATTCAATAGTTTTGCAGGTTTGTGATATCGATTGCAGGTTGTTGACAGGGACTGAAGTGTGTGTGATTGGGGGGGCTCCTTCCGATCAAGGGTTACATTATGATTCGCGAGTCAATAATGGCGACACTTTGCTTGACTGAGCTTGTGCTGGGGTGCCAAGCATTCTAGGTTGGCAAAGAAGGTTACACGGGAACGGGGAGACGTCTAAGGTCATTGCTCAAAACTCTAATTCTCTTTCTTTGTTCACTTTCTGGTCAAGTCTGTCTTACCTACGTACTTTAGGGCTAGGGCAGGGGGCGTTGGAGATAATCGAGGGTACGGAAGTACAGTACTTTGTACTTACTTAGTTGTTCAAGCAAGTGTGGTTTTTTGAGTTCGTTAGTGGGCGCCAGTCAGTGCGTGCAGAGCACGCCAAAATAAGTCGACATTAGCCACCTTACCCTCTCTACCTTACCTGAAATTGACGAGTAGGCAGTAGTGCGCAAATGCTAGGTTTCAGCCACAGCGGAGTGGTATGGGATCGGAGGTTTGAGAAGAGAGCATGTATGTAGCTAAGTACTAGTTTGCAGGCTGAAAAAATACTGGTTTGTTGTTTGCGTCGGGGAATTTTTCTTTTTCACGTTGAGGGACGGAAGTACCTGCGCAGGGACAGAGGTGCTCTGATGCGATCGTCTCGTGTTCTCCGATTTTTTTCTGTTTCTGAATTGCGGCCAATGGGCGACGAGACTAAGGAGCGCATTTTGTTCCATCCGATGATGCTTTGTTTCAGCGTTGCAGCTGAAACTCGGACGTTGGGAACTGGTGTATGTATCGTGTCGTCGGTGGTTTTGAGTCTGGTGGTGGTGGAGGAAGGTTTTTGGAATTTTTGAGGCTAGATCGATGGATGGACGGTTTTTGGTGGGGTGGACGAACGATCGATGGAAGGAAGTTGCGGGGAAGGATGGACTCGGGTTGGGGTTGGGTTGGGTAGTGGTGGTAGTGGTAGATCTTTTTTAATTATGAGGCTTTTCGCGATTCGCAATTGGGAACGAGATAAGATGCAGTGTGGCGAGGGATGTGGAGGAGGCTTAGGTACTGTGAAGAGAGAATCAGGATTCTATTGAATTCTACGCTGCTTCATGTTCTGCAGATCTCATGATGCAGCGATGCCGTCCACCACCCGTCAGTCAGCCTTTCGTTGCCTTTTTCCTTCCATTCCTTGAAGAGGAACGGAACGTTGAAAGGATTGAAGTATCAAGTGATCATGAGAGGCGGGAAGCTCAAACGTCGAACTTCTAGAGCGTGAAGCTATCTTCACCCGAATCGACCTGCGGAGGGTGTGATAGCGTCTACTTGCATTTCACATTTCATGTGTGTGTATATGACGAATGAAGCTAGAAAATCAAACAAGAGAAAAGGACCCACGATGCAGAAGAGCAGATGCTCAAACAGACCCCACCACAGGGTCCATCTCATAAAGGAAAAAAAAACGAAGCTATTGATAGGTCCCCAACTGTCCCAATCTGTAGAAACGGAAGATGTGCCTGCGTCTACTTGCGTCTAGTGATCGTTTTGTGTGACAGCTGCTAGGTGATACGATGCCAACACTTCTGATGACCGAGACCGTTTTGCTTCTGACAAAGCGATGACGAAGGGTTCGAGTCTCGAGTCTCGCAAGTACCGGTGTCCTGGAGCTCTCGCCGGTTCCAATTATCAGCCTTCTGTTAATTACATACAGACAGCAGCGGGTCTTTGCATCTGTGTTGACGGGGAGCGGGATTGCGGGGAATCCATGTATAGCGCAGTTTGGTTTTCTGGAGACAAGTCTGGAGAAGAGATTGACAACAGACGCGTGTGGAAAAAACGTGGGAAGGGAATGGGGATAATTGCGATCATGCAGAGGTTGGAAAGAGGTGAAAGGGCCACGACTTGAACCGTGCTGTCCCGCACCTACTTATCCAGCTGCTGCCGGGCGGTATGCGATGTAGTTCTGCGGACGCAGATGTGCTGGATAATTCTTTTCGACCGGTTGTGGAGAGGTGTGGTTGGTGGCTGGCTGTCCCTGCAGAAGCTGGTCGATGGGGAGCTGCAGATTTCGAGGTCGCCTTGTGATCACATATACATGGCTTCAGATCTGGTATGACCATCAACGAGGATGTCCTGTAAGTACTGAACGATAAACGAGGCGCGATTGAAATTCGCGAGACCATAGGTGTCACATAACCGAGAAATGAAGTAATTTGGTGCGTGTGGGGAGCATGTACAGGACGCACATACTTGGACAGAGAAGAGGCCGTGGAGGAAGACATTGAAAAAAATGGTCTCATGAATGCTGCAAGAGGAACCAAAAGAAGCGAAACGCGGGGAAATAACCGTATTGTTCTTGTCAGTGGGAAGGGGACTGACAGGAAAATTGGGACAGATGGGCGGTGAAGGTATCAAGTATGAACCATTACCAAACTTTGACACACCCAAAAAGTTCAGAAACCTTGAGAATCCCTTCCCGTGATCAGGGTTCTGCTATAGCCCCTAGGACTTTCTGATATAGGTACCACACTCAATGTACCTTTCATGCATGTCCTCGCTGCTCCTTTTCTCTCACCGCTTGATTCAAGCACAGATCTACCTGTACAAGAAATTGAAAAGTTGAAATTGAAAGGGTTGGTTCTGCGAAAAGGTGTGTGGACTGACCAATGGAAAATCCTCGATTTTGGATTTTGGAAATGCATCGATTAGGGGTGCTTGATATTGCGGGCCATATTCTGATATAGGCCCGAACAAGAGAATGCAGTGCTGCCTGAACTTGCGGCAGGAGATGAATCATGAATCTTCCAAAGTTACTTCTCTATCGCAAACGCGAAAAGGAGGTGATTCTCGACCCCTTTCTGTCGAGCGGTATGTATCTGGATGTCGATGAGGGTTGTCTCATTATGAATGGTTATTCCGTCATTGGTGGCTCTTGAGCGTTTCCTAAGCGCGATATATATGGGTGATATCAGGGCTGATATCGTGGCCCGTCAGTCTGTGTATCGTTGCACAAACTTCAGCACGTGCAAATGTGCAGATTAGACGCCTAGGCCCAGGGGGGAATGAAAATCATGTACCTGCTGCGGGAGAATTGGCTGAGCGCATTGTTCGCAACGAGGCCTCGGAGATCGAGACGAACAACACGCTGTGCGCCCAGGAGAGGCTAGAAACGGAGTCCTCGGAGGTGAGAGTTCGTTCAAAGGTGCAGATGGTTCGTGGATATGCAGCAGCATCAGCAAGCAGCAGTAGCAGTATTGTCCGGTGTGTGGAAGATGTGCAGGTGGTATGAGCGTGCATGCTTTTGCGTTGCTTGGTGGTGGCTCAGAGGGGTTCGCAGGTATCGAGTCGCGACCAAATGGTCGTGCGTGCAGCAGCCATTGTCGATGAGACTTGCAAGTTGTGATTACCGGCGGGAAACTTGGGATGGAGGAACGCATGCTGCCATGCACGCTCCGGATTCATCTCGGAAGAGGTTGTGATCCTTCGGGTGGGATGCAGAACTCGATTGATCAAGGTCGAGCGTGCGTGCATATGTACGAAAGGTCCAGTACATGAGATAGGGGACTTGTTGAATCTTCAGATTTATCTTATTATTCTCCTGCTATCGGTGTCCCCACCTGTTTGATTCCTGCTTCCAAGTTCGAACTTCTTCAAGAGGCCAAAGAACTGTAACTACTGCGAGTCGGAGATTAAAAAATTTCCTATCTCTCCGCATGACAGATCCCGTAGCCAAGAGTTCAAGTATATCGGGGTGCATAGTATTGCATGACAGAGTTGATGATCGATGATGAAGGTGTGACGAAGTGTCTCGAGCTTTCTGCAGTTAGCGCATCTCAAGCTCAATGTTCTCTGTACGATCTGATCGGAGTCGGCCATCAGCACCTTGAACTTCGGCATATTGAAACTCTCATTAAGCTTTCCAGATCAAGTGGGGTGGTGAGTGGCAAGTACGAACGACCAAAAAAGAAAGCACTGAACGTGCGAGAAATTCTCCGATTACTTATGGATCTCCAGCAACTACTGTTGCTTGGCAGAGGTCCAGGGAACAGGCTCCGAGTATCACAGCATCGTAGAACGTTGACACCGCAGTCGTCGAGAGCCTTCCGAACGTTGCAACAAGTTCTGTCTCAACACTGCAGTTCCTGCCATAATCATGCCATCCCGCATTTCTGTGCTGGGTACGAGGATGTATCTTGTGTGCCAAGCTTGATATTTGTCGTTTTTGATCCAAACGTCCCGGAGATAAATGCGTACCACGAGCACGTACTGCGTTCGAGGCGAGTCATGTCAAGAGGAATCGGAAGATGCACCTTGGAGTGGAGACATTTTTCAACGCATGTACCGGAAACACGTTCATCGTACGTTTCTCTACGGGACAAACGTTTCTCTTCCTTAGATCATAATTGCAACGGCGCACGGTAGAGATTCGGTATAGTTCATGATCACAGTTATTGTTAGTCTGCCGAGCAGCCATTCCAGAATTCGGTTGCGAGCTTATTAGTCTGGACTAGAAAAGAACAAAGTCATTAACGAGACTCCTATTTCTCCTTATCGTCTATCACATTGAATGCCGTCCTGGTCAACGAGTCATGGGGATCCGAGGTCGATGTCCAAAGTCCCATTCATGTACCTCGCGCACCAAAGTACGCCGGGCAAGTACTTGCAGAGCTCTCGGCCAGCGAAACGACGTTCTGGACAAGACTCCCCCGCATATTAATGGTTCGGGGTCTTTTGGTGCTCTGGTGGGGTCAGGTTGAAAGGTGCCGTCCTGGCACTTTATTAGACTTAAGGTCCCCTGTGTAAATCATAACAGCAGGCAAACGTAACCGATGGCCGGCCGAGATGACCGTTAGGGAATCCCGATTAGATACTTCTGATAGCAGTTGGGCGAAGGGCCTCGCCGCGTCGCTTTGGAGACCCTGTCTCTGGCCTTGCGACCTTGGGTTGGAAGCCTTGCGTAGGGCTCCATCGTAATGCTTGTCACGCAATGTGAATGTCTCGCCCTGGCAGACAATCCACATCGCTAATAGTCTTTTCCCCCCTCTACAGTACGTTCTGCCATTCTTATCGGGATACTAATGATGTGATTGCGATTACAATTGGGTCGAAAGTACAAAGTATCTTGTGAACTTTAAAGAAGGACAGCCGTGAAATGACTGAAACATGAGCCTGGTTTTTCACCTCCTGAGATGTAATTTGATTAGATTTACCAGTAAGATATGCCGGAAGACACCGACTGTCACCCGTGGGGTTTCTTCAGCCAGGATTGTGCAGCGACTGTGCACATGCATAATATCCCTGCCCTAGTTCCTGCAGTCCTTGCAGGCACTGCATGAACTGTTGCAGAAGAGCCTGTCTGGACTGCTTCCGAAGCCATATTCCTCAGGCCTGCTGAATCTTTCGTGGGGTAGAGGAGGGACAGGTACTTCGTAACCTGCATACAAGCCGTGTCAGATGCTGCACCGAGAAGCCAAACTCTAAGTATGATACTGAATAGTAGACTCGTCTGAATCGTATCATAGTCTCCGTACACCATGCCGGAGATCTATTATGTATCGATGCCCAAGCACAAAATCTCTCTTCAAAGTTGGAATGAGAAAGGGTTTCTTGAAAGTTTGTAGACAAAGAGTTTGATAGAGGGGTCTTGGTCTGTCAGCGCTGATGCATCATCGTGAAAGTCGCTCCGGCACTGCCGTCGCGCAAGAGGCCCGTGCGCAATGCGCTCGGACATTTCTTCTGTACCCATTACTGCAGTCTTCGATACACCCAAGGAATTTCTCGGTGAAGTCTAAGTCAGATGATCAGAGATGAATAGAGAGCTGCCTGCCTAAGTTGTTTGACTAAATGACACTTAGAATCCTCAATACAAGGTGTATTCTGCACATGCCGAGATGGCAGCTCTGTACAGCATCCCGTAGGTTTACGCTAGTTGGGCTTGGACGACCTCACCAAGTCTAGTTCGAGTTGCTTGCGTCTCTCACCCGCATTATTGACAACCTCGCCACCATGGTACTTCTTGACATGTTGAGTAGATGCTTGGAAGTGCAGAAATACTGAACATCTCGAGTTCCAGACTTGCAGAACCTCTAGACTTTGTACCTTGAAGAGAGAAACCTGGTACCAAGAACAAGTGTGCAAGAGGAGGCTCAATCAAAAGTCTGGGGAAGAACATCTGATCTGATCAAAGCTCACAGCCACCAAGCACGGTTCGCATGGCCACGAGGTTCGTAAATACCCGTATTCAAGCTATGCATCTGATTGTGACAGTGGGAACATGTTGCAGGAGCAGAACAAAGATAGCCATTGAGGGTCCAACAGTTTCCATCTCGTACCACCCACACGCTGTGGACAAGTTTGACCTTCGTTTGAGATTATATTTGTGCCAACTCGACACATCCGTGAACTCTTGGTCCGTGGCTGTGGGCCATGCGTGGGGACATTCTGGTGTAGGAAGCAAGAACTTCAGCTGTGGCATCACTCATGCAGGAAATAAAGTGACTTGAGGTGCATAACTTGTATGGCTGTGCCACCTCGAGACATGCGATGATCTTTGTAAGCTGTATCGTAGGCCATGAGAGACTCTCGATTTGCTCCAGCTGAAAAGTCGGTGTATGCTAACCGACATGTACAATTGCCGTGAAGGAAATGGGAACGAGGAAGGGGAAGAGAGCGATTCCAACACTCACAAAGAAAGAGAAATTCGATGCGGAGACTGAGGAGTGACCTGAGTAAGTGTAGCTGATCTGCTCCACCACATCTGACGTGGTCTTCCTCGGTGGTAAGCCCCAAAAGGCTGCGACTGCGACTCCTTTCAGGTACGATCTGAAGGTGAAGATACACGAGATCAGCACCGTCTCCCAACCTCTCTGATGCGAGAGCGCAGGTGTTGTCGGGCTCCGGTGACGGCGTGCATATATCGCGGGACCTGATGCTCGGGCTAGTGTTTCCCAATTAAGGCAGTCATCCGAGGTGGATAAATGACCGAGAAGTCCAAGAAGATCAGGAGAGCAGCATGGGATCCCGAGGTTTCGATTTTGTTTCACATATTAGCCCTCAAGGGTTCTTGGTTCGAGCCGAAAAGCGGGAAGTGTGTCTTCAAAGGGACATCAACGATGTTGGTGTTGGCTTGAAGAGGAGCTTTGAAGATTGCCACGGTCCAAGAATAGAGCCCACGTTCTTTAGCTGAACGCCATCCCTGAGCCATGCTAGCCGTTCTCTCCACGCCATGAGGTCCACCGGCGGTGGATGTTTCATGTTTCATATCCTTCGCGATGGATGTTCTCGATCAATCTTGACGTCGCTTCGCGCCTCTGCATTTTGCGACTTCAGATCTCGACCGGCTCTTTGAGAGACTTCAATGCCTTAGTGATAGCGATGACGATGGCGTGGGTGACAGGGTGGGTCTGATGTAATGAACACTATACGCTGGAAAGGGCAGGTCTTGAGCTGCTGCAGAAAATCGTCCGACAGCGGATGTCCTGTCCATGTGGATGTGGATGTGCAATGTGCAGCGGAGCAATTGTTGCATCGTAGATAAAACTTAGAGATGGTGCCTGTCACCGTGCATCATGGCGCTGTGAGGTCGGACTTGATTCACGTCCTTGTTCTTCGCTCCTCTCCGAACGGCTGTGCTTCCGATCATAAGACCTGCGATATCTGTGATGGCGTTGCATGCACAAGAGCAGATTGAGCACAACTGCCATGGCATGCCAGGTGCCAGCCACTTGCAGGTCGAGTGGGATATACGGACGTAGTCGTGGTGCTGGTGCAACACTACAGTACAGCTTTCTCCAAAGCTGGTCGCATCCCTCCGCTGAGGGGCAGAGGAGTCTGATCCAGCCCCACAGCGGTACAAAAGTACAAAGCCCATGGGAACTGTGGCGGCGAACCTGTCTCTGGTCCGAGTCCTGGGCGTCGGCGCTGGTTCCTGAATAATTGCAAGACAAATCATGGCTGTCTCGTTCTTGTCTCTCTTGAGTCTTCGAATCCACTGTGGCGTTTCTCGAGGCTCACTGTGGCTGTTGCTCCGCGTGTCTCTGTTCTGTTCTGGAGTGTGGCAGAGAACTCTGACACAACAACACTAAGATTCCACCTGGGGAAGCCTCAGCTGTGGCCGGCTGGCCAGCCCACCATTGGGACGGCTATCGGAGACGATAACCCCCAGAGCAGGCATCTCTGTTCTCGTCCCCCCCAACCTACGTTTGTGATATCATGATATCGTGAATCCATCACGGCTATCAAGACAAGTCGACCTTTGGTATCTCCACGCTCCCAGCCTTGGAACTCGAGTCCCGACTAGGAACCAGGCTGTTCCCAGTACTCTCCTCTTCAATCCTCGTCCGCCCAGAATCCAGTCCTGCTTAGCTTCCCTGTCGTCTCGAGGTAACGGGGATTGCGAGCCTCGTGGGCAGGGTTGCGGAGTTGTGCCGTCTTGGTGTTGCCGTCTTGGTGTTCTGGTGGTGGTGGATCATGGTCTCTGAAGTAGCCCTGGAACGAGCTCGCTTGGGGGGAGCATCCGAAAGTTTATCATGCCGACTCGTCACTCCTCTCTCAATCCTCCGGAAACCTCAGGTACTCACTCTCTTCTGTACTGTATCATCATCATCATCACGCATCTCTTCACACACACTTCACACCAGACTTTCCTTGTCCAGCCGTCACCCCATCATGCTGACTGCTTGAAGGATGGGATTTGTGGGTTGTGGGAATCGATAGGGATAGGGATCTGGGAAGGGAAGCTGGCAATGGAGGCTTCATTTACGATAATAACTATCTCCAATGGGATCATTGCAATAGGATGAGACTGCACTGGGCTTCCGAAGAAGACAACTAAGAATCGGAAGTCTTCTTGAAACTCCCTCTACGATAATGCGTGGCCACTTACTCGTACTGGTTCTCTCTCGATATTGAATCTTATTTTAACAACTCTCTGCCGATATTTGTCTGCTTAAGGGTTCAATGTTCAATAGAGCACCGGGAGATATATTTATTGCCAATCTCGATAACTGAATCGGAAGGCTCTGAATTGGAGGCCCACAATAGTGAGAGGTGATGAGCGTGAGAGTGACATTGGATCGTACCGTATCGTGATGGCTCTGTCGATGCATTGAGTGACGAGATTCCGATGTCTCCAGAACAGGCATCTGCATTGAAACATCATCAATCACCACATACCAATCCATCCAGTCGGGCATTGCCCAATAGCCATTGGCTGCCTGGTGCTTTTTGGCAGCGGGTTGCATGATCACATCTCAGAGGTGGCCTGCAGCTCTCATCATGTCAATAACCTTTAGCATTGTCCAGACCGGTACTTCGTAACCTATTCCAGTACGGCTTCCAACATTCGTTACTTGCTGTAGCTGTTACTCATTTAGGGCTCTTTTGGGGTGCCATGCCGCCGAAGTAAAATGAGCTGTCTCTCATCGCTCCCCTTTTGATCGCCTATCCCCATTTACTGCTGACTGGAAATGATCGATCCGACCTCTTTGGGACGGCTTCAGCGGATGATCCTCTCAGCCGTGCCAGAGAGAGTTTGCTTTGCGTAGGGATGCGATTCCCTGTACCCGTGATTATTTGTATCGTGATTCGAGATTATCTCGATCTCGGAATCGAGCCGTGCCTGTCCCCAGACTACTTCGTACCAGCTACTGTATCAATAGCATTGGGGGAATGCTATTATTCGCAGCGTGCCGAGCGAGCGCCACGGGAGTGATAAACTACAATCCCCCCCATGAATAAAGGGCCGGTGGAGAACAATAGGGCTGATTAGCAACAAGGGGGTGTCTGCCAATAAAATTAAAAGTGTGATCTCCACCTTAGAAATTTTTAGATTCCTACTGGCACACCCCCTTGTCACTACACAGCCTCAAAATGTCTCCACCGGCCCTTTATTCATGGGGGGGATAGTATGACCAGGAGCACCTTCAGGTTCTCAAGTCGCCGTCTGCCCAATGCCATTCCCACATAGTTTAATCTGGGGGACAGCATTGCGCTTCCAGAGTCCAATTCTGTCCAGTCCTGTCAAAAGCATGAGAGCGTGCCGTTGCGAGATCCGGAGGAAACCAGGGCTGCTCCTTGAACGTCCTCGTCGGCTGGTACGAGCTCGCCGCTGCTGGAGCAGTAACCTTACCAATCGAAACGTGACCAACCACTCTAACAATCATAATGCCATGCCAGGCAAGCCGTGTTGCAAGGAAGCACCAAGCAGCAGGAGCAGAAGAGCAAAGCAGTCTACACCAACGGCAGGGTTGAAGAATCCGCGAGTTAGTCCACAGCACTGACCCTGGGCGACTCAACATGGGCTTCATCCACAGTTTCCGGGTATCCTGGAAATTACCACTGATGCTGGTCCATAATATCGACCGGGTCACGGCTGCCCCCGGGACTGTGAAGTCGTTGACCCTCGAGCGTTCTGAAAGAGTGTTGGTTTCCAGGAATTGGAATGGAAGACGACCCTCCAGACCTGGTGAGTGGATATAGTATCTGGCAGAGGTGATGCTGACGCATTTGCTCGACAAAGAGCACAATTACTGACTGACCAGGAGAGAGAAGAGCAGCAGGCCAGACTCCCTTCTCTCTCTTTGCTACTGCTACTCTACTGCAACTGCACGACGCTCCCTGTTCGCACACCTGCCGTGTCAAGTCTTCTTCGTCGATAGCGGATGGCGGATGTCGATGGACGATGATGAAGTGACATTTGCACCAAAAGACCAAAGAACGTCCAAACACGGCACATTAGGTTGGCGCAAGACGTTTACACGGAACGGTATTTCGAAGGATGGATTACTTTTATCTGCGGTGTACTACTTATTTGAGATATATTTCTTTTTTGGTCACTTTCTTACTTTCCTTCGAGTCCGGCTGACGGCTGCTGGGCCTGAGTGCTGGATTGTCCATTGTTCACGACTGCCGTATTGCAGTCCTCGGCTACGGTAGTCCATCTTGTCCCAACGTCGGTGCCTCTATCCCAAAGCGACTAGTTCTCGCTAATACTAGTACGGTCTGGTACTTCGTGCTGGGTCGCTCTCTCGCGGTGGTCGGTCCTGTTGACTCGTCGAGTTCTCCCCCGCCCTCCTCGTCCTCTTCCGTGCCCCCCTGCTCTCAAGTTCTCTCAAGTGTTCAAGCCCTCTCGCACTCCACTTTTGTTCCACAGCTCCCTCCCTTCCCTACCTCGGTCTCCCCCTGATCCTGGCCCTGGTCTTCGCAGCGGCCCTCATCCTAGCTTTGCCCTCTTCCCCTACCCTGTCTCGAATCCATGTGCAGCCCACTCGCACCCATCCCTACCAACCGTCGATTAATCCCTCCCCATGCGTCGCCTCCCTGGCTCTCTTTTCCTTCCTCCCCTGACGGCTTCCCATCCTTGATCAGCCCAATGGCATTGTGAGCTGCGCCTACCTTACGTCGTGAACGGGTAATATGAAATATCTGGGGATTAACCTCTTTCAGGAAAGACGCAGCAAGCAAGCTGCTACGGTACTAGCTGATGCAGCTAAGCTCCCCTGCACTCGCTTGGGGGACGATAGCAAGACGTCTTTTGCATCCGTACCTGATTGACCAGTGATCACTTCCGAACCTCTCGAGCACTGGTGTGGGGCTTCTGCTCTCCACTCATTATTTACTCTTGTACTGAACGAACAAAAAAGAGAGAGAACCCTCAGACACTCTGGACTCCACTACGCCTCCGGAATCCTAGATTCGCAGTCCTCAAAGTCACATATAGGGCCCCTCCAAACTCAATCGGAGCTGCCTCTCTCTTTCGACCAGCTTCCAATCCAATCCAGTCCAATCCATTTCGATATCTATCTATACCTGCGAGTCAGGAAGTCTTTCCCAACCTCATTATCTTCTCTCAGCTAGTCGTGTCTCACGTACTCCCCGGTGTCAACACTTGTGAGCACCGTATATAAAGAAAGGCAGCATCATTTGCATCAGACTAGTCCTGCTCGTCTTCTGTCAAGGCGTAGTCGATGCCAACCCAGGAGCGCGCGCCGTTACAGCTACGCATTTCCCCACTTGGAGAAGACTAGACTGTCTATTATTCTCAGATCCATATCATCAGCCATCATCCCGCCCAGAATCCGAGCCCTTGCCCTTCAACGTCCTTGCGCTCAGAGGTTCGACGATCCCTCCAGCCACTGATTGACCCGCGAAAACCTCTTTCAAGAATGGTCCCTGTTTCGGAAACCTAATACACAACAGGAGCACCACAACTGAGACGTCGAAACAAGCAGACCACCTAGTAGTCCCCACCCCTCCGTTGCGATAGACGGCTAGCTGCCACGCTCCCTCTGCCGAAAACTCTTCTTTCTTTTCTTCAACCACGCTCTCCTACAGCCACTCGCAACAGCCGGAACCCAGAAGGCTAGACCAAGGGATTGCCTTAGTCAGAGGCAATTTCGACAACCTCCTCCTAGAGGATCTTGATTGCTCGTGCGCTCCGCCAAACCCTATTCGAATAGTATCCCGGGACCCTCCAGTTACAAGCAAGAACCTCAAGAGTATGTAAACGTCTGCTTCCCCCTCACATCTGACGGCCCCCATCAGACAAGACCCTGACTTCCTCAGATCCTCTGTTCAACAACATCTGGCTTGGAAGATCCATACAGCAAGTCAACATAAGCTTCATATATCTGTCTCTCCAACCACCCATTCACAACCAGCTTCCACCAACAGCACTGCGCTGGACGCTTCTATTCCTCAAGACAGAATCGATTTTGTGGGGTAATCAGACTTTTGAGTACTGAGGAAACTCTACAACTTGGAACGGACCACCACTCGCTTCGAACTGCTGAACCGCCCTCTCACTTCCACTTGGACACAGACGGCCTGGACAACAGCCCACGATCCTTCAACTCAGCTCTGATATCTAGTTCAGGAAACAGAAATTAATTTTTCAAAGGAACACCATTACCTCCAGCCCAGTGCTCCAGCAAGCAGTAGCAGAATGGACGTCATGGAGTTAGTAGAGAACGAGCCCAACGCCCGCCCCTTCCAGTGTGACTGGCAAACTTGCAACAAAGTTAGTATATACCTACCTGTATCTTTCACGCCAGTTCAGTCAGCTTATATCCAATCTCAGAGTTTCAATCGAAAGTCCGACCTTCAAAGACATTATCGAATCCATACCAATGAGCGTCCATACTCATGTATGACTCCTGGTTGTGGAAAAAGCTTCATCCAGAGGAGTGCCTTGACCGTCCATATCCGTACCCATACAGGCGAGAAGCCTCATCAATGCCAGCATATTGGGTGTGGAAAGAGATTCTCTGATGTAGGATTTTCCTCGTCGATCCGAGATATGGACAGCTAACATATTCCGTAGTCCTCCAGTCTGGCGCGACATCGCCGCATTCATACAGGGAAGCGACCCTACAAGTGTGCTCATGAGGGCTGCCTCAAAAGGTACGTAGGACAGAAGTATTTTGCATGCCAATCACTCACCTCCTGCAGCTTTTGCAGAAAGACAACCATGGTCAAGCATCAACGTCGTTCCCACCAGCGAGGAGTTCACTCTTCGGAACTTGACGATGGTGACACCTCTGATTCCGACAGTGGAGAGTCCCCATCCACTCCTCAACACCCTGGACACGTGCAATGGCCTCAAACTGTTCAAATTCCTCAACACATGCCTCATGGGCATCACATGCACCGAGCACACTCATTTGCTGACTTTGGCCACCACCAAATTGACAATTATCCCATGCAGCAGAACTTCGGTCATCGCCACAGTCTCTCATCTGGAGGAGCTCAACACTTCAACGGTCCCATCCAAGAACACGGCCATCACAATCCCATAATGCATCGTGCTCCAAGTCTTCCTGCTCACTCTTCATACTATGTGCCAGAGCAGAACAATCCCGGTGTCGCTACATTGAACACGAACCCGACTCCCATTCAAACTTACCAGATTCCTCGTCAGCTGGAGCGACAAGAAGTTCTTCAAAGCAGTCCCAGCAGCTACTCATCCGCTTCGAGAGCAAGTCCAGTGTCGCAGGAGCCCTTCTACACACACCACCCTGCACAAGCTGCGACATATGCACTCCAAAACTCGTCTCCGATTGAGCAACAACCAATGGTTCAGTACCAGCAGCAGATGCCCCAGCATCTTGCTCAGCATCATGGTCTCCCACAGCCAATTTCGCAACCTCATCAACAGGAACAGTTTCACTCTCCAGCGCCACAAGAAGGGCAGTGGTACGACAACGTTGCGTACCAAGCTCCTGTGGAGGTCATCAGCCATATTCCATCGTACCCTCAAACACATGTCTTTACCGATCCATGGGCACAAAAAATCGAGGCTTTTGACGATCCATCCTTGCAGATGCCCAGTGCTCGCATTGAGAATCTGTAATGGCTCTGATCCGATATCTCGGTAATTGTTTACGTCTTGTCTTTTCGACCACAAAGCAACATTTCCTTACCTCGCGACTCGCGCGATTGTATCATTAAGACGGCAGCTTATTTTCAAGAGAGACTTTGGGATCTACGGCACCATCCTCTACATGCTGCACCAACAACCAAAAAATCCAGCAAAAAGGCGTTCGCACTTCCAAGTTCGTTGTAATTACCTCATGACGATTCACGATCGCACATCACTTTACAAAAATACCCGACACGCAGTCCGACACGATTCGACGACGACACATACCCTTCACAATCATCTAAGCTAGTGTTTTCAGAGCCGAAATCCCTCACGGGTCTTGGGCGGCTTGCTTGACTTCATTTCTCGCGAGATGCTTTGCTTGTGTCCATTCTCTCATTTGTTCAAAGTTCATTCTACTCCGTTATGGTCCCTTTCGGTTTTCTTTTCGTATCTATTGGTCTTCAATACATATCGGTGTAATTCGATGCTTGAGTAGCATGCACGCAGTAATGATGGTGCCTTACGGGGTTATGAGAAGACGAGAATTTTTCGTTTCTGTATTGTGTACGCCTGCATTGGGAGGGGTTTTATTTATTTGGTGGATGACGGGTGATGCGGTGATGGAGAGATGAGCACCATGTAAAATTATCGCGATGGGGGGATATTGTTAATTGGGTTTATATAGGTAGGATCTGATGTATCTGTAGCAGGAATAAAAAAGCTATATAAATTTTTATGAAATGTCTCTGTTCCAGTGCTTGAGGTGTGAGCACGTGAGGTCAAATTCTCTCCATTCGCCGTGATTCTGCTCCAATTGAGATCCAACAAGTCCGAAATCATATCCTCATTGTCTGTCTCATTCCGAGATACTTTCGTCAAAATAACCTTTGACCATGGTGCCCGACAGAAGAGCTTTGCTGGGGCCGGACATAGGAAGACATGTACGCTATCCCGCTTAAGCTCTAGTCTATCCGATTCCCGGTATCAAAGATTCATGAATGATCCGAGTCAGTCTTCCATTATCAACCACGACAAATTCCACGGCGGTCCGCCACGATCATTTATCAACACTCCTTATTGTATTTTCTACTGCGCGGCCTCCACAGAGTATCATTCTGGGGATCCGTCCACTGCGCTGTGAATGGATGGTTGTTGAATTTGCGCCGGGCTCCATCGTCTACCATGGCTTTCCAAACATCAGTTCTGCCCGTAAGAGTCCTCATTGCATCTGCAGATGTGCGGATACACCTTTACTGACTATATAATGTAGGGAATGGCAGCGGCGACAACTGAGTTATGGCCTTCGGTGTCAAATGCGATGTCCTCACCATGGAGGGTCTTCGGGAAGCAAAGTGCGCCACCAACAAAGTCAAGAAGTGTTCAACAGCGACCATTCACGCAGAGTGCTCCAGCTGCGACTATTCTGACTCCTGTACGCTGAGAGTCCTGTCTCTGGTCCCTTTGCAGAATGCTAACGTGGGACAGGCGTCGAAAGTCGAGATGCCGGAATGCTTGCGTGACCTCCAACCTTCCTTTGCCTCCCAACTTACACCTCGAATCATACCGCAAACGCCATTCAATATTCGTCATACCCTCGCAGCGATGCCAAAGAGTACTCTCAATGCCGCAAATCCTATCATCCGGCGTGTCTGGCTGGCTCCCCAGAGTCGACTGATGTCTACATCAGTACGGTCACGGTTTGTCAAGCCAGATCTTACTCTTTCGACAACATCTACGATACAGCGGAGGACTCTGTTCGGCGCCTCTACATCTAGAAGTATTTTGGCACATTTGGAGGAGACTGCGAATAAGAATCCCAACAGCGCCACATCTCAATATGCTTTTTACCAAGCCCTGATCCGAGCCAATATGCCCGCCATCGTCGTGGAAAGATTCCAATCGAATCAATTCGCATCGAATCAGGCCTGCGAGAATCTATATCACCGTGCTTTGGGGACGCTTGGTCAGTCTGAGGCTATCAACCCTATGAATCAGTCTCAATTTGGTACCCAAACACAACAGCAAGGAAACCTCAATAATGCACAACTTCAAGCTATTGGACAAGCTGTTGCGGCTTCTTCTCGTGGTGGCAATGTTGCTGTGTCTCGTGGACCCACCGGCTCTGGCGCAAAGGATTCTCCACTCCATGTTGTGGTTGAAGAGACAATTGGCGGCTCAATCTTTAAATGGGTTAAATTCCTGCTCTACTTTGGTCTCTTCACTTACCTCAGCTTGGTCGTGGTGGCAATGGTCATCGAAACCTTCCAGCAATTCCGAAAAGTTGGTGGAAAGGCTGAAAACGAAGCCAAAGCGGAACACCAAAATGTTCGATTCTCTGATGTTCATGGATGTGATGAAGCCAAGGAAGAACTTCAAGAGCTTGTTGACTTCCTGAAGAGTCCTGATAAGTTCAACACACTTGGCGGCAAATTGCCAAAAGGCGTTCTTCTTGTTGGTCCTCCAGGAACCGGAAAGACCTTGTTGGCAAGAGCTGTTGCTGGTGAAGCTGGTGTTCCATTCTTCTTCATGTCAGGATCTGAATTCGATGAGGTCTATGTTGGTGTCGGTGCAAAGCGTGTGCGCGAGCTTTTCGGTGCTGCCAAAGCCAAGTCTCCCGCTATTGTTTTTATCGATGAACTCGACGCTATAGGCGGCAAGCGAAATGCTCGAGATGCTGCTTATGTCAAGCAAACACTCAATCAACTCCTCACCGAACTTGATGGATTCGAACAAAACAGTGGAGTGATCATCTTGGCTGCGACTAACTTCCCGGAAATGCTCGACAAGGCACTTACCCGTCCTGGTCGATTCGACCGTAATGTCGTAGTAGGCTTACCTGACGTACGCGGACGAATTGCCATTCTTCAACATCACATGAAGAAAATCATTGCTGCACCAGATGTCAGTCTCGAGGCTCTTGCAGCTGGAACTCCTGGCTTTTCCGGGGCAGAATTGGAGAACATCATCAATCAAGCTGCCGTACATGCTAGCAAAGCTAAGGCACAAGCTGTTTCAATGTTGGACTTCGAGTGGGCTAAGGATAAGGTCATGATGGGCGCTGAGAAGAAGAGCATGGTGATCACACAGCAAGAGAAGGTCATGACGGCTTATCATGAAGCTGGACATGCTCTCGTCATCATGTTCACTCCTGGGACAGACAACTTACATAAAGTTACGATCATGCCTCGTGGTGGAGCATTGGGAATAACCTTCCACTTACCTGAGATGGACAAGTACTCGAAGGGCATGAATGAGTATCATGCTGAGATTGACGTCTGCTTGGGAGGCAAGGTTGCAGAGGAGCTCATCTATGGATCAGACAAGGTTACAAGTGGTTGTGCATCAGTATGTCTACCTTCGTCTCTGTTGTTTGATGATATGCTAACATCTTTAGGATCTTCAACATGCGACACAAGTTGCATATAACATGGTCACAAGAATGGGCATGTCTGACAAGCTAGGCAATGTTGATCTCGCCTCGAACTATGAGAACCTGTCAATGGGCACGAAAGAGCTCATTGAACAAGAAGTTCGGCGGTTTATTGAGGAGAGTAGGACGCGGGTTACTGCCTTGCTCACTGACAAGAAGAAAGAACTTGAGCTGCTGTCGAAGGCTCTCGTTGACTACGAGACTCTCAACAAGGAAGAGGCGTATAAAGTCATCAAGGGTGAGAAGCTGGAAGGCAGAATGATCATGCCCTCTGGTAGCATCAAGGTGCCACAGATAGGGTTAGGAGGTCAATTACCTGAACTACCACAGATCCCAGGAAGTGCTGCACCGGAGCCAGTAGGCAAGGAGCCACCGAAAGGAGGAGCGGTAGCGTGATGAATGTCAGGACTCAGAAGGGAAACTCACAGCTCATGGGTGGCGTTCAGGCATAATTTGGTCACCATAGTGGTGGAAATCGTGTGTTATTAGTGAGCCAAGTATTCAGTACTTCAGCATACTTTCCTTTGTCAGAAGGTGCGGATGATGGGGACAGGCTTGCTCCGTGGAGGATGAATAGCCACAGCGTGATGAATGATAAGAATATTGATATATCTTGAGTCTTGTGATGACATACATGAGTGGAGTTGTATTTCAACTTAAACTATCTTTTGAGGACCATCGGATGCAGACAAATTACCAGAGGGCGATCGTAGATTCCGAACATGTGAAGTAGAGTAACAATAAACAATTCACCACATATGAATTGGATTTCCTTTTCGTCCCTATTTCCCCTAAAATTTGATGTCTTAAACCTGTCCAAGAAACAAAACGAGCTAAATCACGTGTACCGATGTATGACGCTAAAGTCAAAGCTCGCTGCCTCGATGCTGCCGGAGCTGCATCAACACCTCGAATCCACCACCACGAGCTTCACAGCATCGCCATTCATTACGAGAAGGGTGCGGGACTGCTTCCCGATTTCCTTTTCCAATCATGGTGCACCACCAGGATACCATGTTCCGCTCCGCGGACATGAGCATGGTGCAGCTGTACATCGCCAACGAAATCGGTCGTGAGATCGTCAATGCTTTGGGCGAGCTGGGGCAGATTCAATTCAGAGATGTGAGGTTCTTTTCAATGAAGGAGAGGGGTGGTGCTGATTGATGGTAGCTTAATTCTGAGGTTACGGCTTTTCAGAGGACGTTTACGCAGGAGATTAGACGGCTTGATAATGTTGAGAGGCAGCTGCGTAGGTTTTTCTTGTCTGTGTAGTGGAATGGGAGGGAGGAGCTGATGCGGTGATAGGATACTTTTATTCGCAGATGGAGAAGGCTGGGATTCCGTTGAGGAAGATTGATCTCGATGTTGACACCTTGGCCGCGCCCTCTGCATCCGAGATCGACGAGCTTGCCGATCGAAGTCAGAGTCTTGAGCAGAGAGTTGCTTCTCTGAACGATAGCTACGAGACGTTGAAGAAGAGGGAGGTAGAATTGACGGAGTGGAGATGGGTTCTTAGGGAAGCTGGTGGCTTCTTTGATAGAGCTCATGGCAATGTGGAGGAGATTAGAGCGTCGAGTGATAACGATGATGCGCCATTGCTACAGGATGTGGAGCAGCATGTCCAAGGGCAGAATGGAGATGCCGAACGCTCGTTCTCGGTCATGAACATTGGGTTCGTGGCCGGTGTTATTCCTAGGGACAGAGTTGCGGCTTTCGAGAGGATTTTGTGGCGAACACTTAGAGGCAATCTCTACATGAACCAGTCTGAGATCCCCGAACCTCTCACCGACCCTACGAATAATGAGGCTGTCAACAAGAATGTCTTTGTCATCTTCGCTCACGGCAAGGAGCTCATCGCTAAGATTCGAAAGATCTCGGAGTCCCTGGGGGCTGATTTGTATAGCGTGGATGAGAATAGCGATCTTCGCCGGGATCAGATCCACGAAGTAAATACCCGCCTCGGTGATCTTGGAAATGTTCTGCGAAACACCAAGACAACTCTCGATGCCGAGCTTGCTCAAATTGCTCAAAGCTTGGCTGCTTGGATGGTCATCATCAAGAAGGAGAAGGCTGTCTACCAGACTCTGAATCTCTTCTCGTACGACCATGCCAGAAAGACCTTGATTGCTGAAGCTTGGTGCCCAACCAATTCTCTACCCCTCATCAAGTCTACTCTCCACGATGTCAACAACCGCGCCGGACTTTCTGTACCTTCCATCATCAACGAGATCAAAACGAACAAGACTCCACCAACATACCAGAAGACAAATAAGTTCACAGAAGGGTTCCAGACTATCATTAACGCTTATGGAACTGCCAAGTACCAGGAAGTTAACCCAGGTCTTCCCACTATTGTTACCTTCCCTTTCCTGTTCGCTGTCATGTTCGGAGATTTTGGCCACGGCTTCCTTATGTTCTGCGCTGCTTCAGCAATGATCTACTGGGAGAAGCCATTGAAGAAGGTTCGCGACGAGCTATTCTCCATGGCCTACTATGGTCGATACATCATGTTGATGATGGGTATCTTCTCAATGTATACCGGTCTCATCTACAACGATGTATTCTCCAAATCTCTTTCGCCATTCGAGAGCGCCTGGAGATGGGTTGTTCCGGACGGCTGGACAGATGGACAAACTATCACAGCTGAACTGAAGGGCAGCTACCGCTATCCCTTTGGTCTCGATTACATGTGGCACGGTACGGAGAATGATCTCCTTTTTACCAATTCGTACAAGATGAAGCTCAGTATTTTGATGGGTTGGTGCCACATGACATACTCGTTGTGTCTATCATACATCAACGCTCGTCACTTCAAGACTCCTATCGACATCTGGGGCGTTTTCGTCCCAGGTATGATCTTCTTCCAGGCCATTTTCGGATACCTCGTCTTCACCATTGTTTACAAATGGTCGATTGATTGGTATGCTATTGGCAAATCGCCTCCTGGACTTCTAAACATGTTGATTTATATGTTTTTGTCACCTGGCACGATTGAAGAGCCGCTGTATCCTGGCCAGGCCGCTGTTCAGATCTTCCTCGTTCTGATTGCTGTTGTCCAGGTACCCATTCTGCTTTTCCTGAAGCCCTTTTACCTCCGATGGGAGCATAATAAAGCTCGAGCGAAAGGTTACAGAGGCATTGGTGAGACTTCCCGTGTTAGTGCTCTGGATGGAGACGACGATGACAGCAATACCCTGGATGGCAGGGCCAGCCTAGCCAGCGATGGCGAAGGCGTTGCCATGATCACGCAAGACATCGGAGATGAAGAACACGAGGAATTCGAATTCAGCGAAGTTATGATCCATCAAGTCATTCACACGATTGGTAAGCCGGCGTCGTCGGCTCTTGAATCAATAGGATTTGCACTAATACTGTTTAGAATTCTGCTTGAACTGCGTTTCACACACAGCTTCCTATTTGCGATTGTGGGCCCTCTCCCTTGCGCATCAGCAGCTTTCTGTCGTGCTTTGGACTATGACTCTGGCCATTGGTCTCGGGACCACGGGAGTGCTCGGAGCCATCATGATTGTCATCGCGTTCTTTGCATGGTTCTTCCTTACCATTGCTGTGTTGGTCGTGATGGAAGGTACCAGTGCTATGCTTCACTCCTTGCGTCTGCACTGGGTGGAGGCGATGAGCAAACATTTCATGGGCGATGGTATACCTTTCGAACCCTTTTCCTTTAAGCAGATGTTGGAGGACGACGAGCAAGCGGCGGAGATCTCTTAGATTAAGATCAGATGAGATCGGATCGGCCAAGCTTTTTTGATCGACCCCTGATTTCTTCGTTCCGTCCCGTAGGTAGATTATTGTAGAATTAAACACACACTTTATTGTACTTTCGCATAAGTAGCTAGTTCCAAACCTGCATTCCCCTGCAGAGCAAGCTGTCACCTGTCTTCCGCGCTGCAATAACGTGTCTGGGAACACGAGAGAGATATGATCCCCACGAGGTTTATCTTCACGATTGATTCGTCCTGCGCGCCGTATACGTAATGCTGAAACTAGATACAGTGGCTCCCAATCAATGCTCTGTCCCGAGTTTCGCGGGAGGATTCGAAACTTGCTTTTGGTGTTGGTGGGTTGGGTTGGTACGACAGGGCCTAATCGATAAGAGAGCGGTATTTTTTTTTGCTTCTTCACCGCTAGAGGGCGGGGCAGCGACCTCCACATCCTTTCTGTCCTCTTAAGCTTCACTCTGCCCTTCGTGAAGCTGCAACTTGCAGCTGTCTGTCTCACTGCTTCCGCGGGATATCGTACGATCGAGCAACGAGGGGTGAACTCAAGTCAGAAAGTCAAATTGGTTATTAAGGGAAGAGAAAGTAAGCAAAGATGTCGTTCAAGAATCGCCAGTTCTCGATGAATCGATCTACGGGATCCCCGAGGTTGTCGACGAAGATTCAGAGGAGGTTTAGTACGCATAATCCGGATGCTAATGGTGAGTTGTGGCTTTCTTTATCTCTTTCTCTTCATACGTGTTTTGTTTGTTGGTTTGTTGGTTTCTTGGTTTGTGGTGGTGGTACAAGCTGTGAATCAAGGGGCAGAAGGGGTTGCTGTGAGTGCAAACGGTTCTGCAGATGCAGTACTCCTCAGAAGCTTCTTCTACCCACCATACTTTATTCTGCAGCAGCTTCGCAGATGATCAAGATAGTCTAGCTGTCAACAGGAAGTAGCAATGGCTAACACTGCTCCTCAAGAAACCAACTCGAAGATTCACCGTCAATTCCGCAATGCTCACGAAGGTCACAAGTCCCATGCTGGACTAGATCCTACTCGAGCCTCCACCGGTGTCATCTGGTGTACCGAACGAGCATACGAACATGGCTTCCTCGAGAATCCCGAAGAGTGGGCCAACTTGGGCCAAGGTGCTCCCGAAGTCGACGACGAAATCGAGGGCTCTTTCCATCGTCCAACCGAAATTGACATCACAATGGCAGGCAGAGAATATGGTCCTACTGCAGGTATCAAGGGTCTCCGAGCTGCTGTAGCCAACCTCTACAACGTCCACCACAGAGCCGGCAAAGCTAGCCAGTACTCGTGGGAGAATGTCTGTATCGTTCCTGGTGGACGCGCAGGTCTGATCCGAATTGCGGCTGTGTTGAACAATGCATATCTGGGATTCTTCATTCCGGATTACACGGCGTACAATGAGATGTTGTCGTTGTTCAAGAACGTAAGTTATTGAAGTGGGGTGCCAAGCTGTCATCGCATCTCTTGGCAGGGGTCCAGCTAATGATTACCGTGCAGTTCGCTGCTATCCCTTCTCCCTTGTCCGAAGAGGATGGTTACCACATCCACCCTGACAAGATTGCTGAGGAGATCGCAAGAGGTACTAGTGTCATCTTGACTTCCAACCCTCGCAATCCGACCGGAAAAGTCGTGAAGAACCCGGAGTTGGCTGAGATTCAGAACCTATGCCGTGACAGAGCTACGTTGATCATGGATGAGTTCTATGGTGGGTACAATTATACTAGCAACTGTGATGGCACCACCATCTCTTCTGCCGAGAACATTGAGGATGTTGATGAGGACGATGTCTTGATCATTGATGGTCTCACCAAGCGCTTCAGACTTCCTGGCTGGAGAATTGCGTGGATTATCGGTCCCAAGGAATTTATCAAGGCTATCGGTTCTTGTGGTTCTTACCTCGATGGAGGTGCCAACGTGCCCTTCCAAGAAGCTGCTATCCCTATGCTCGAGCCTAACAAAGTTCTCAAGGAGATGCAAGCCATTCAACGTCACTTCAAGGTCCTCCTCCCTTTACCCCATCTATCGATCTTTCTAACAAAAACAATAGGACAAGCGCGACTACGTCGTAAAGCGTCTCCGCGACATGGGTTTCCACATCAAGACCGTCCCCGACTCTACCTTCTACCTGTGGCTCGACCTCGAAGGCCTCCCAGAAGCGATTGCCGACGGTCTCAACTTCTTCCAAGCCTGCCTCGAGGAAAAGGTCATCGTGGTACCCGGAATCTTCTTCGATCTCAACCCCAGCAAGAGAAGAGACCTCTTCGATTCCCCCTGCCACCACTTCGTCCGTTTCTCCTACGGCCCCAAGATGGAGACGCTGAAGATGGGACTCGATGGTATCGAGCGGGTGGTGAACAAGTTCAAGAAGGATGGTAAGTTGATGAAGAGCGACGATGACACGGTCGCGGAAGAGGCGGTGGAGTAGGCTGGATAGGCTCGTCCTTGATGCTGGTTCCCATTTTGCCGTGCCCCCTTCTTCTTTATCCCATGTTGCCCTCCCCTTATTTTTACTTGCTTTGCTATGCGTTGCTTTTCTTCTTCCTGTGAAGTAGTGTGTGTGCTAAGCGGATGAACAGCAGAATGAATAAACAAACCACCCCTCTCTACCTCATTTCTTAACTTTCCTTGGTTCGAGAACCTTTGAGAGACAGATTTACCGATTCTTACCTTCTTTTTTGGGGAGCAAATGGGATATTTTAGAAGGGGATATGGGGACTGGATCGGCAAGGGGCGGGGCTTTTCTGGTCGGGGATTCCAAGGTCTCGTTTAGAGCTCTGGGTAGAAAAGTTGAAATATACACAAGATTAGCGTTGCTTACAACTCGAGACTTCCTTCATCTGATGTTTATTTCATACACCTGTGAGAAGTGCCTCGTTTTCGTTTTTGGTAGCTTTAATTATAGCATAACTTCTGATATAAGATGCTGTATACTGGTTCAACTGCCATCTCATGTGATATTCAGATCCCTTAGCCCTGTCTCTATTTCAAGATTCACGATCTTCTATTGCTATTCCAAGACAAAAAGCGAGAGCAATGTATTCGTGCTGAATATCTACAAAAGCTAGAGCCTGATCCTGAACCAACCCTATCTTAGAAATCCAATATACAGCTGACGCCCCAGCTACCGTATCAGCCCTACTACAAATACAAATATCCCCTCATGTTCTTCCCCTCGCGACATATTGAATAGAAACTATACCCCCCGAGTCCGGTGTTAAGGACCCATCTATATAATCATGATAGGCAACACACTCACAATAACTCTAATCCTCCACCGCTTCAAAGCGTACATACAACCGCCAACTGAGAAGCTGTGCACCAAGACTCACACATATTCTTTCATTATGCCCGGGTCCGTAGGGTCGTAATTGTCACATAAGTTCCGACACAATGATTTTAATTGAGGATATTAGCGGCCTCGATGACCTTCGAGAAGACAGTCCAAGTCAAAGCTGCAGGAATTCGCATTTTGATGAAGTGATCTTATTTAATGTTCTAGGAGGCAAGGTCTACTGACATATTGTGGTTGTACCTTGTGCGTCTTGAAAAGTATTTGATTCAAGAACGGAGGATGTACCAGTTCCCTGCTCTTCTATATCACGCAACAGAAACATACTCTCATAATCTATCAAGATATCCGTGATCATGAAGACCAAAATGTCCACCTGAACCGGCATCGTGGCAACTGCCTCGACTTATCACTCCTCCGCCGTGCCCGCGATCATAGTATTCGACGATGCCTGCTCTCGAAGTGCGTTTTGGTCAATCCACTTACGAATATACAGCTCTGCTTTACTAGCATTTTTAAAGATAGGCTTGCGATCCGCTTGCTTGAATACTCTGTCCTTCTCATCGTCTGTTAGAGCGTCACATTCCGCACCATATGGATTCGTCAGACGCCAAAAGGAGTCAGCTTTCGTACGCAACGTGTCCAGTGCTTCTGCCCAGGTCCCAGTTAACAAGTAAGTGTCGCTCATTTCGAACAGCGGAGACATCTCCTTGAAGTTGCTCCACGAAACACTTAATATCCGCCAGATGGAGAGGAATTCCGTCGGTGTGAAGGCTATACAGCTTGGGCCAAGGCCGGGATGACATTAAAGCCCCCATTTCAAACAGGGGAACTTCACCTTTCGTCCAATACGAGTCGAACCAGAGCGAGAGATCCTCAATGGTGTCGGTGTCGATGACTGCAGTCACATAGTCCCGAAGATGCTTCATCTCCGCTTCCTCACGCACGGCCGAGGGGGCCCAGGACGCGAAAGGGTCAGGCCGGAACTCGAAAGCTGTCAGTTTTCGCATTGCTACTCGCAGGTTGGTACAATCGCCGTTACTCATCGAGAGACAAGAGAAGATTTGTGGGTTCGACAGCCGAAGAGAGAAGCTGGTGAGACAGCTGCCAGCTTTATGTATTGCTTTTGGTAGCGTAATAGGCATCCTAAGCATACGACCTGGCGCTTGCAAACCGAGCAGTGTTGCTTGCTCTGAACTATGAGAAAAGCCAGTCAGTAGCTTTTTCAGAAGCTTTTAGGAGTAGGATATTCTAGGTAATCCGAGCTACAGCTCCAAATACAAAAGTCGATAGGAAACTGCTTGGGAGTTTGACTTACCTCATTGGATACACCATGTAATGGACAAGCACCGAGTGGTTTGTTGCTCCTTCAATCCAATGTGGCGCATTCCTGACCTTCCATCGATCTTCACGATCGTGTAACTCGAGCCTACGTGCTTTTGGCATCCTAGAAAACGCCGCGGCAACAGCCTCAACAAAGTTGTTCTTCTTCAGAAGCCTTTGCTGCTCGCCGAAACGGTGTTTGTATAATCCATGAGCCTTTCTTAAAATGAGAAGATGACCTGAGCTCTCGTTGGCAATACCATCATGCAAGCGAGCAGTGAAATCCGTCCTGCTGTCAACTAAGTCCTCGGGTGAGCCATCCAGAAACATTTCCCAAGATTTCAGGATGTTCCTCACATGCATGACTGCCTTTGAAATTAGCGCTTTTCTTTCAAGATCTCCTTCGTAATCCGACGAGAAGAACCTCTCCCAGTCGTCGGTCAACTCTCTCAGATGTTTCAAGTGATAGCGAGCAAACATGTAGATATCACGTGCCATATCTGCAGCATAGAAGCGCAGTGTTAAATGGACGTACTCGATTCTCTTACAGATAAGCGTATGCGAAGAGACATCCTTCAGATGAGATAGCGATCCTGGTTCAATATGAAGCCTAAGGAAGTGAACAAGTAGATGTGAACTCGCGTTGCAAAATCTCTTGCATGTGAGCCGGACATTCTTGACAGTATCGTCGCTACCGAACTCCATATAGACATGCTTCACAGTAATACGTCCTTTGACAAAATCGAATATATGGGCGAGAAGCTCATCTGGAAGGTCCAAGATGGTGAGTGCTCTGATGGTCGGCCTGGAGACAATGTTGACATTCTCTCGTAGGGTATCTCGAAGTTCATTCAGCATGGGGTTGAGGAGAGATATCGTCTCCTGTTGCTTTTTCAGGATCCCTATAACACGAGAAAGGTGCTTCGTGGTATCTTCCTCATTGAACTCGCTATCATCGTCATATCCCCAGGCAGGTCGTTGCCCTCTTGCCAAGCTGCGTTCGTCTTCGACAAGGCGCTCTTCCATGGAATCGATGTCTCTTAATTGCTTATAGAGGTCGTTGAGATTGAGAGCGCTGGTAGTGTGAATCGGACTCCCGTTTGAAGCCATCTTGGCGTGAGCTCTCTCAAACACTGCGTACTTCAAGGATTTGCGCTGCGCTGAGGAGGTCCAGCAGCACGGGAAAAGAGTTGGAAGTCGACGACTGACGGTCAAAGGATGGCAGCGCGATAGACCTAAATCCTTTGGGAGTCAATGTTAATGTACTGATGCAAACGCCTGCTCTCAAGGAAACTACTCTTTTGGGAAGAGGCCACTAGTGAAACGCGCTAGCACGGCAAGGCCGCTTCCACGAGTCCCACCTTCCCTCCAGCTTGTTCCATCCCTCCTCAGTCAATCAGCAACAAAGCTGCCTCCTCCTTTCTTCCCACTTCACCTCATCAAATCATCAACAGGAGTACCCAAGATTTCGTGTTCAGAACAGACATTCCATTCATCACCGCTCCATCTGACAATATCAAAACACTTCAACTCATCAACACATACATCAAACCAACGCCAGTCAATGCACGCCAATATGCAGATGCAGCGCCCCTCCTCGCTTCCCCGACATTCAAACAAACCAACCGACCAATAGTGTAATATGTGAAAGTAAACTGTTTCCCTGTAACATCCTTGAACGCAAACACACTTTTCCACTCCGTATTGTTACAAAGCTTCCTAATCAGAGGAAGGCCAATCTAAGCACCGACACTCTGACTCAGGCTCGATTTGCCCGGTCCTTGAGCTCTCTTCAGTGCTCTTAGCTCATCCTCCAATCTTCTCCTCTCAGCTTGTTCAGCCTGTAAAATAATTAGTCATCTTTCATCTCAAAATAAGAATAGGATGAAAACATACCCTCAAAGCCTTCGCACTCTCGGCCCTTGTGTCCCTCATCATCTTCTTGAACTCATTCTTCAACACTGTCGTACTTGTTGAGCCAGGAGCACTTCCGTCAAGACCAGGACTCTTCATTCCTAACCACCGAACTTTCTCGTCACTCAACTCAGCTTCCATCTTCTCCCTCTCATCTCTCAACTTATCGATGGTGCCCTCAAGCTGTTCTCTCTCCTTCTCCCATTCAATACTAGCTTTGGTCATTTGCTCGTATTCCTCGATGGTTTCCTCAAGTTCCTTTTTCAGGGTCTTCATCTTCTCGTCCGTTTCTGGATTTGCAGTTCCCCTTGACTGGAGCGTGGCGAGTTCATTGGCCAGGGAAGCGTTCTTCTCCTTGAGATCATCAATTTCTTTCTGAATGACGGGATTGGCAGCCACTTCAGCAGCACGTTGAGCTCGAGAGCCATAAGCTCCATCTAACTCCGCCCTGGCGATGGTGACTTCAGTTTGTAGACGAGCAATCTCCATGTTCATGTTCTCCATCTCTTGCTCCGTGTCCTCAACTTCCTTCTCCTTGGCCTTGACGTTAGCTTCGAAAGTTGCTTGCGCCGCCGCTGCAGCTGCCAGTTCTTGTGTCAAGGTAGCAATCTTGGTCTCAGAGTCAGCAATCCTGCCTTGCAATTCTGCGTTGCCGATAGATTGGTCGTCCTTCAGATCCTGCAATTCTTCCTCCAGAGTAGCAATCATCTCGTTCTTTTGATCCAACTCGGCGTGAGCCGCGCGGACTTGGGAGGACTCATCAGTAGCTCTAGATTGCTCTCGTAATTGTTCTTGCTGTTTTGACTCATCGAGCTTCTCCATCACAAGAGTGAGTTGTTCTCTGACTCTGTCGGCGTCCATTTCGGTTCTGGTCAAGAGATTTTGGGTCCGTTCGAGCTCTTCTACTTTCTGCATCATCTCAGCATCTTTCGTGGCATCGGACTTGCTGTTCAGCTCTCGTTGCTGCTTAATCTGGCGTTGCAACACCTTCTTTTGATCCTTCAACCGAGTAGCTTGAGTGTAAAGCCATTGGACCTTTGCAGAAAAGCCCTGGAGCGAGAAAGGTTCATTTGGATCTCCGCCATCATCTGCAGAATCGTCCTCATCGTCAAGATTCTGGTTATACGTGACCTTCTTCCTCTCCAGCTTCCTCTGCCGCTCAATCTCATCGCCGGATTGGATGATATCCCACAGTCCCATCATAACAGTCTGCATTTGCTCAACGTCATCTTGGTTGCCTGAATTCTTGTTCTCACTGCTGGAAGCACGAGAAAGCTCCATCTCCATAGCGGCTAAACTGTCTTGAAAATATGCCAACTGGTCATCCACCATTCCATTAATCTGAGGAGGTTCCGGACGATCGGCATCGTACGGAAGTAGGAGATTTCGTAGGTCATGGTTTAGCCCTTCCAGAGTCTCTTCCATAGCCGTTTCAGACTCTTGCAGTCTCCGCTCTGCAGCTGCTTCTGATTCCTGAAGTCTTTGTTCCATTGCTGCTTGTGATTCTTGAAACTTCCTACCAACATTCTTCTCTGAATCTTGCGTGCTCTTTGCCAAAGCTCGAGTATGCTCATCGTCGATAGTAGAAATGCTCCTCTCAAGATATTCCAGATGTCTTTGCAGCATTTCACCTGTTCCGTCTCGATCGGTTCCGGAGACTGGCGGAGTTCCATAAGTCCCATCTCGTTCAGGATTAACCTTGACGATGACTGCCCGTAGACGAGTATTCAAATCGTCCAGTCTCTGCTCGGTCCGAGCAATCATCTGCATTTGCTCTCTCCCAGCAGATTTGGGAGGTGGTGCAAAGCTGTCATTAAGTCGTAAATCGCCGAATCCATCTGCGGGCTTGTAGAGACTTCGGTCATCGAAGAATAGTTCGTCAGTTATAGGTTCGATACTATTCCGTGCGTTGGAATATGTGAACATGCTCTCCGGACTTCCTGGAACCTGTGGTACACCATTTTGACCTTTGGGTAGATTCTTCGGACCTTTATGCGTCATTTGTAGAATGCCTGCCGTGTGCTTTAGTAGTCTGCTTTGCGGATCTATAATCTTTTTCTCCAAGGACCACAGCTCGGCAGCCAACTCCTCGCATTTCCTCTCGCTGGCCATGCGCTCTTGTTCTGCCTCCCGGACCTGGTCACTGCCCACACGATTATGGCCAAAAATACTCCTCCTATCCTTCTTGCCATCTTGACTATCTATGCTCTTCTTCTTGTCATTCGTGGTATATAGCTTTCCCATCGATATCGCAGCATCTCGGTACTTTGACTGAATCGCGAGATTTTGCCTTGTCTGTTCTATCCGTTGAGTAAGGACTTGGCATTGTTTCTTCAGGTCATCGACCTCTTCTTGCGACAAAATTTCGAACTCTTTGCTGTCGCCCAGCGCAGTCTCAACAAGTAGGTGTATTTGTATCGGATCATCGACATTAACAAGATTTGAGCTTTGAGGTCTGGACGGATTACTCTGTTCTGCCATCAGCTTCAGACTCTTCCTTTCGGACTGCGGTCACTCACAGGATTATATCGAGGCGTACGCTCAAAGCTATTCGAGATCTCGTTCCCGTAACCTTGCAGGATCACTCTTCCACTGGGTTCCTGTGTGCTTGGTTTCCTCCCATTCTGAGGGCCAATACTCCTAGGGTCCACATTCTCTTTCCCGTAGCCATTCTGCATACCTCCATATCCCAAATCCTGACTCGGCCTCGGAGGCAGCGCTTTCCTCTGGCCGTTCATCATCGTGCCGAGTGTTCAGGTAGACGCCAGTGTTCGTCGCAATGGCGTTATCGCGTCATTCTCGATATTCGAATGTCTGTTAATGCCCTGAGGATTTTAAGAAAATTCTACTCGAGTCTTTGATCGCGATCTTCGGAGGTGGTAATTTCGATGATGTCCTGGATCGCCGTCTCCTTTCGCGAGTGGAGTGTGATCGTCGTCGGCTCCTTCTCTTCCCTTAAACCTTCAAAGGCTTTCTTTTTCCTTGCCCGCCCCTGCGTTTCCCCTTGCGACAACTCCTGATCCAAACTTTTGAACTCAACAATCCAGCAAAGTGAACCAAACTCTCGAGGGCAGACTGGCAGGGAGAAACATCAGAACTGTGGAGTACAAGAAATTAAAGTTGGCGGGTTTTGGACAGTAATATACAAAGGGCTTAGCGGCAGTGCCGGAGAAAAAATAGCATCAGCCACACCCCTTTCTGGGCATTAAAGGGGCTGTGCATCTTCAGAGCGAAACGTTTACGAGAGAACACAGCTGACCTCAGCTCACTTCATCGCAAAAGTTTCCAATATCGAAGATCCTAATTCCTCAAGGTCTGAAAAAGGTCTACCAAGCAACAGTCTCTCAACTGAGGACATTAGCAAGCTCAAACATGCGGGACGGGCCGGTCTAGTCAGTGCTCAGGACTGCCACGATTCCCAGAATGACAAATTCAACGCGAGATGGTATGTCTATGCTAATGGATTTGGTGCTTCGATCAAAGGTGCTTACACTTGACAACACATTGCTCTCTTGTTGCGTTTGAATGGCCTATGAAGTTATGTCTCTCTTCCGTTAAAACTATTTATCTTGTTCGAGCTTCCTAAAGCAAAATAGCTTTGTCAGACCAGTGAAGTAGCATGGCAGTACCTGCCCAACAATATGCTTGGTAGAGTAACATCAGATATACTAGACTTGGCAGTCTACCGTTTCATCATTTTAGTGCGAGTCGAACTGAGCTAGCTGCTTATACTACTTCAGTGTACGTGTGAATGTGGTCGGAGATGGTCACGTTCAGCGAGGGCTGTGCCTGGATCTTATCTTCGAGTGAATATGCTCTTTATAGTCTATAGTGTTAACATTACCGATCGAGTTTTCGAACGCTTGGAGAAGCTCCTATAAGCATGGAACCTACAACTTTCACTTGTGGTTGTCCCCAATACATTGAACCTTCTCCATGATTTTCTAGACTTCCGGCAAAAAGATATGGTTTTAGTGACTTTTGAGGATGGTTCAAAGTCACAAAGAATTCCTATTTGGAGCAGAGAGAATATCATCCAGCATCTATGGGTGACAAAATTTGACGATGCTTGGATTCAAGAGATCAAGCTACCCCGCTGATAAGATGGGAGCTAGTACTCGTCCAACAATCGAGGAATAAAATAAGAGCACTTGTGTGTGCAATTATGGAGACGCCACTCAGAAGGCAGTCCACGAGAAGTGGACTGGACGATGGGAGACCACAAATTAAGAGAAAGGCATGGCCAGAAACAAGCCAGGTGAGATAACGATGCCTTTGCCCTTGCAGAAAGTACGGCTTTTCTCAATGTCGAACAGTTGAATATGCATTGAAAAGGGGGTGTGAAGGTTTGCGATTCGCGAGGCCACTCCCCGCACCTGCAGAACGCATAGCTGTTCTCAAGATTTGAGGCCTGAGGGTAGATAGGGGATCAGAGGCTTGAATACTACAATATTATTTGAGAGATCATCGATTGATTCATGCAGGTGCTTCTCAATCGATCACCAAGACTCAAACGACACCAACCCATTCAATAGCTTATCGCCTTCTGAAGACATATGGATCTGCAGCACAAAATCGATGTCGTTACCCCACCAAACACTCCTGATTTTGCTTATCGTTCGGACTTCGGAGAGGTCCAGCCCGTGTGAAGCAGGCTACGACATGCAAGAACCCACGCCACGGGCCCAGCATATGCAAGTTCGGTCAACGATGGTTACACAGCATCCCGCGTTGTTCCTTGCTTTAACGTCAGGTACAATAGTTGGTAGCTCGGTTGCTAGTTCGCAGTAGCATTCAGCCGAAACATCGATACGTACCCGTTGAAGATACCCATTGGCCCCGAACTTTTAAGACATTCAAACGATACACTGTTATCTCAGCCGCTGCCAATAATGGGATGAGTAACAGAATCCTGTGCCGAGCCGCCCCCACAGGTTTTTATCTCCACCTCGTATCGGACGTACTCTGCTGTCATGTTTTGAAAACAACGCAAGAGACAACTATGGAACATTGGTAGCTACAATTGGCATAATAGTAATGTTACAAGAAATCAGACACTCCTCCAGCACCAATTCTCAGATACTCCATCCAACCTTAGTCCTTGAACCTGATATGTAGACCTCAAAACCACCTCCCAATGTACACACGTCACCCATCCTTGGCATCCTAACCTTTCTCGTGGTATCTCTAACTTTCCTCACTTCTTCTCATTCTGCTGATATCCCCACTCAAACCCTCCCTTCTCAGCATCTCTTCCTGGAGTTCCCACTAGCCCAGGTCTTGGACCTGCACTCTGACCTGGAGTTGATAGTCCCGCTTCTCTAATATAATCCTCAACCACTTGCACCGTAGTCTGAATCTGAATTCCGTCTTTCAGATCCAACGCTCCATCCCAAACACCGGACCTCATTCCCCTCTCCGCCATACCCAGATCCCCATTATCACTCCTCTCCCAGCTCTCTTGTTTAGTAATAACGCCCATCTCCGTCTCATCTCCACTACTCAATTCCTCCATACTTTCTCCCTTGCCTCTAATCGTCGTCACAATCCCCGTATCACTCAATCTCTTCCCCCGGAACGAACTAATATTCCGCGCAGCGTTGGTAGTCCGTGGTCGCGAGGAATCCTTCCCATACTTATTATTCGAGCTCGACAACTTCTGACCAGGCGTCATGCTTCTCAGCATCGGGAACCACTCTCTCAACAACGGCCATATCATCGGCAGATTCGAAACATAAACCGCCACGGACGCTTCGCGCGTGTACCACAACATGTATGAAGGATCCCAGATGTTCGACAGGTTGAAGACTTTCGTGAGGATGGCGGCGAGGATGACGAATATTCCCATGGAGAAGATGAGCATCAGGACGGCTTTTTGCTTCAGGGGCATGTTGAGTCTGGTGATGAGGGGGAGAGGAATGAAGAGCATGAGTGTGTCGGAGGAGATGTTGAAACAGGCTTGGACGATGGCGTAGTGTTGGAGGGTTGTGCATTGGGGATTTGGAGGTGGCATGGCCCAGTAGCCAACGAAAGGTCGACAGGCTGTGAAGAAGGCGATTTCGGTGGAGGCCCAGCCTATAGCTACGTATATGGCGAGGTAAAAGACCATCTTTTGAACTTGAAGGCCGAGGGTGAGGCGAGAATACATGATTAACATGCAGGCTTTGATCGTGTAGATGACGTTCAGCATTGCCTGGTGTCCAGTTAGTGCTGCATATGTGTGGTATCCAAGCTAAACCAACCTGTTCCGAAACAATGACAATCTTGGATCCCTTGATTCGTTCTTGGATGTCCAGTGGTGTGAAGGTTGAGAACTCTTCTGGGAGGTATAGATTGCTGCCACCTCCTCCTGAAATAACGTTCAAGCATACGATCAGAGCTGTATATAAACCCTGGTTCTCGTCAGCGGCAGCAACACAGTCGAAGTTAGTGACTTACTCCAGCAAGCATCATGAGATAATCATCGACCTGAAGCCCTCTGATTCCCAATCTGTGGATTCGGGCATACCTGCAACACATCAGTATCGACAAGATACCAGATGTGAGGTCTTCTTACATTCTCAAAAGAATGAGAAACATGCCAATACCGTACAAACTCCATGATTGAACAGCCAAAGCCTGAACAAAGGCAGGATCGAAATCACCCATAATGGTATAAGGTCCTCAACCAAAGCTGTTGCGGATGACCTGCAGCAACAACAAGAAAGTTGAACGAAAGTTTAGAAATTCGAAGAAACCTGCCAAGACATGCCAGATCTCAGAGGATTATCCCGACATTATGTACAGACACATCTTTCCTTTTCCCAGGAGTCGAGAAACCCAGTAAGATTTCTCCGCATTATCAGGTCTCATCTCGTGCTTCGAAGCCCAGTTGATCAGTGCTCTCATGCTTGCAGATGGTAGTCTTGCTCGTGCAGCATCTCCGAAAACAGGCAAGGAAGTGTGATGATTTGCAGGCACTTGCTTCTCGCCCCTAGATAAGGAACGTGCAAATCAAAGGCTCGATTCGCGCCTTTACCGCTTGGAAAGGTGTTTCATTTGACAGGCCGCTATCGAAGCCTAGCCCATTCCCGCCCTGACTACCGCAGAACGTGGTTAAGAAAGCGAAAAAAAGAAAATATTGGACGCGGCGGACTCGATGGGTTCCAAGCAATCGATTGCGAATTGGCACAGACTGTACTCACATTTGAGGACTTATTTTCCACCACGGAAAGAATGAATTGTGGCGGGGTGGGATGAAACAATTTTTTAAAATAGTCAGATAACGCCCGCCTTCAGCTCTTGAATAATGATGAGGATAATCGTAACGACGTCTGGCCATGTGGTATGCAGCTCATGATCAGATGGGCCAGAGCTTCCTGCGCATGAACATGGTGCCAATGCGCGCAAGCCAAAAAGAATATGAATACGATTGGTCCAGAGAAACAACGACATAAAACGAAGAATCAGAAAAGAAATATACGCTGATGGTTTCTTTCGCCACAGATCAGGGTGAGAAGTGTTGCGATATGTGGTCTAGTCAGGGCCACACGTGGGGGTGACCTCGGCCTGAGGAACATCTTCGCCTCCTTGATATTCTTCAAAAAAGATATCATGTCGTCCCACACATACTTCTAGAACTCAAGAATGGGTATCATTCTGCTGATATTCCTTAGAGAACGGCGGGGTACATTCCAAGTGGACGATGAGGTTGCAAGTAGAAGAATATACTATCTTGGTTCATCGCGTCTTCATGTACGTCTGCTTCAATGTCTCGAATTGTTTACTTCTGTTTCGTGGAATGTTCGTGAACTCGTTTGTCTTATTTGTTGGCGGTCTCGACTTCAGTATCAGACCTGGTTGATGTTCCTTCCCATTAGAGATCGTAGCAGAACTTCAATTCGATGGAATTCCCGATGGAGTTACTGTACTATTGCGTAACATTGAAGCAGTGAACAGTTACCCACATTAAACCCCCTGCTCTGGCACCGGATCCTTGGTTTTGGTATCATCGGTTTCTGCCTCATCATGGGTGTACTGTAGTGTATCCTCTCAACCGACCTACTTATCAATGTCAATGCGTATCTTTGTCGATTCTAAACCCGGAGAGATATCCATTCTCTCAAGAATGGCGTACATTTTCGACAAGGAGTTCCATTGACTTGGCTCGAATGAGCGGGTAGTAGCAGACTATGTACTTGGAAATAAAGTCCTGCATTTCTGGACCAAAACTTTGCCGATCACTTGTGTTATGTTACACCTTGCATACTTGCGCAAACCGTTAGCACTTTGATTCTCGCCATACCTTCATTATGGATCACCATCTGTCATATCGGGATTCGGAGAAAGGGCTGCCTTGGCGTTGCTGTTGCTGATAACCTCCCGCTTCGATTGAAACTTAACCTTACTTACCCCACATACTCACCCCACTTTCGTCGGAGCCGACTTCATTTCACCATGACTTCAACACCCTCAGCGCATCTCACCTGCCTTTGCGGCGCTATATCAGAGCCTGGTACTCTCCTCAAGGATGATCGATTTCCAACAAGTGCGAGCATCTGTCACTGCAATTCGTGCCGCCGGACATCGGGATCGTTGGGAGCGTCGTTCCCACCACTCAAGTCTCCTCCTCCAGAAGCTACACTGTCAAGACTCACGGCATATCATAGCTCTGACATAATCACACGGTACTTCTGTTCGAAATGTGGCTGTCATTGCTTCATCTTCCATCATCCAAGAAAAAAGTGGTATTGTCTGGGAGGGGTAGTTGAACCAAGTCCTTCGCCCGAAGCGCACAACGTGTCCGGGCCGAAGAATACCATCCAAGTCTCCCTTCACGAATACGTCTCAGATACCCTAGATGGAGGACTAGCTCCTCTATTTCATAACCTAGGTGGTCGTTTCATTCCAATATACACAGCCGCTCCAGGCTCAGCGGAAATCGCGTATGATACTACTCTGTCCTCTCTAAAGGAATCTGTCAATTCCACCCCACCACCGGCAGTGAATTCATGTCTGCCAGCAAAGTGTCATTGTGGCGGAGTCTCTCTTCTGATCAAACGTGCCAACTATGAGTCCAGTACGGCTGCTGAATCAGCCCGCTACATCCCCTCAGATCCTACAAAGTGGCTCTCATACTTCTGCACTTGTCGCTCCTGTCGCCTCTCTTTTGGAGTATCTTTGACACCCTGGACACTTGTGTTACCCGCCCATGTCTTCAATGCCAGTGGAGTCGTCGAGGGGTCTAGCAAAGCCGAGTTAGTCCCGGTAGTTTTTGACCGGCAAGCTGCGAGTCCTGACGCAAATCCGGGCTTGACTTTGAAACACTATTGGTCATCACCAGATGTCTGTCGGACTTTCTGTGGCAAATGTGGCGCGTCTGTCTCTTACTAGTGTGAAAAGCGACCAGAAGAGCTAGACTTGGCAAGCGGCATATTGAGGGCTGAAGAAGGCAGTATGGCGAGGCGGTCGTTGGAGTGGGTTTGGGGTCAATGTAGCTCATTAGAGGAGAGCATTGATGAGGACATAAGCGATGCGTGGGTAGGAAGTGCTGAAGTCATGAATAGGGAAGCAGCTGAAGGCTCGTGACAGCAGGAGACACTTCATAGAGTAAGATTTGGAATATAAGTTAATAATGTTCTAGATTTCATGGGATAAGCAACCCAATCTGACTGAGCTACCGGCCTTGCGATCACGTGGGGGCGCCTTCTCTTCTAGGCTCTTCAGAGCTTTCAGAGCTTGCGGAGAACTATTTCCAGCTATTGCATAAGATTGCAAGCAACCCCTTTGGGATAGAAGAAAATTCATGAAGAGAAACCAATGTCGTTCTTACATTACTTCATCTCTCGGATCTCAAGTCACACTTTGAACTTATCCCACTCATATTGTCCTACAATTTTAAAGCAACATTCTAAAACAATCTGGAACTATCGAATATGTCACGTGGGGGCACTTATCCCTCCCTCTGGAATTCCAGAGGACTATTCCCTCAAATTGTATAAAATTGCTGGAACAATTTTACCTTATATTCCCATGTTACGGGACTGGAAAATCATGCATTCGTCAAAGCCTAGCTATCACGACATCCCTCTATAACAAGCCCTCCAAATACTCACCATGTGTCTATTGACTTTATTCCCTTTGATCCTGAGTAGCTCTTCTAAAATCTCTGTACTTATTGATTGCACGTTGCTCAAAATTTCTCCAACGCTTGAATTCTGCCCATTCCGGTGCCTTAACGTCTATCTTCCCCAAGTACAGCGGAAAGTAAGTTTCGTCGCAGTCCGAAACTAATTCAGAACCCCACCATTTTCTTTCAAACCCATAGTGTCTATCCCTGCTGTCCACAGTAAACTCGTCTCGGATACACCTGTTGTTCTTGTTCACCACCAGTTGTGGTCGAAGAAGCTTTTCCCTCTCGAATGTCTTCACTCGTGCTTCTTTCAGTAGCTCCATGATCACGTTGATATCCAGATCGACTGACTTCAGGCTTGAAGGTGGCGGTAGATTGTACCCAAGTTGCAGATCTCCAACAAAAGATTCATATCGAGTCAAAGAGAGACTAAGACATGGATATCTAGATAAATATTGGATGTCTGCGCTTCCTATAGCGTGCGCTGCAGCTTGAAACGCTAAATGATGTCCTCCACCTCCCTGTAGATTATGCTTCTCCTTGCAGCCCTTGGGGCATCTGCATGTGAAGATATCGAACAGTGCATGAATCATCTCGTGAATCAAGGTATCTAGGTAATGTTTAATTCGTTGGCCAGGGCCGCTCCAGCGGTTGTTAACACTGTCGCGTTTTTCTGACATAGCGACCGACAGCGTGCAGAACACCCTTCCCTCCTTGTATCTCGGGTGGCCCTCTCCGGGAAAATAAGGCTGGCATAAGCCAACAGCTTCTTTCAATTTGAGTCGGCGTCTCTGTAGCTTATATTCTTCTATGAGTTCCAACTCGCAATATCCAGTGAGGAGACCGTTGAAGTACATATCGTTGAATAAGTCGAAGAACAGCTTCAAATTCTCGATATCATCAACCTTTCCAAGTTTCCAGGTCATTTGATTTTCCAGACGTGCGAATGCTCGCTTAGCTCGGGGTGGAATGTCTTCTGGCTTGCAACGGGCAGTGAACTCGATATGTGCAACGAGAGCGGCGAAAATAGCTTCGCGGCTATTAGAGAGTAGTTTGAGGTTTCCAAGCTCGAAGTATTGTCTGGAAAGAGATGGCGGAATATGGAAGTCTTGTTGAGAAGTCATTGTTGCGGAGGTTGATCTTTGTTGTTTTGTCTTCTGCTTCGATAGCAAAAAATGCTACGGTACTATTAGAAGTCTTGGCCTTTATACCTTGAAGATTTTGGAATCGGTGAATCGTAGAATTATATTAATGGTGTTTACATTTCACACTAGCCAACCTAAGCTTTACTGTCAATGACCCGAAGTCGTAGTGGCTCTTTCTGCGAATCACCAAATACCCATTTCCCCCCCTCCTCTGGTATTTGAATGAAAATCCGAGTTCGAAAGGTTGAGTGAGCTATAGATATATTGCATTGCACTAAGTTGAAAGCTTGGGATTGTAGATCGATGATGAGCAAAAGAGTTTGAAATGAGGGACTTTTGATATCAGGTGACTTGCAACCTTGAACTCATTGGAGACCATGCAGGACAATTCATTGCTAAATTCCCAAGACCAAAAGTATGGCCTCACTTGCGCTTAAATACAGATCTATTCTCGAAATGTGTCTAGGCTCTGAATTGCCAGAGTTCATTTGCAGATATGGTGGAACTTGGCATTCCCCATAGGTCCCGTTCCCCTCTCTCCATGCAATGGCTTCGATACGGCCACTTATCTCTTTCGAAGCCAAAGTTCCTGTCCCAAGCATCTACCGTCTGCTGTTTTGAGATACAGCTATTGCTTGCTCTGATTAGTCTAGACCAAGCACTACGCTCCTTTAAGTCTTGATTTTCTTCTGCTCTCTGCTCTTTCAAACTCTTTAATATCAGTTCAATGTCTAGGCGGAGGATACGGAGAGTGGCTTCGTTGGGCAGCTTGTTACCGAGCATCATGTCAGCAGCTAAGCAGACTTCTCTGCGCAGATCGAAGTACAAATCAAACGGATTTGCTCCAAGCCATACGCCGCGCTCCAAGGCTTTTGCAGCTGCTTGCCAAGCAATATGATGTCCCCCACTGGCTTCTCGGTTCGTTCTATCAAGACAACCCCTATAACAACGACACTCAAAGATGTCGAACATTGCGTGAAGCATTTCATGCAATATGACAAGGTGGTATTCTTTGATGGCAGCGTATTTGTCCCTATAATTTGCTAGGCTTCGTATCGTGATGATTATCTGAGGCTTCGTGGCCTTGTGACGGCTATCTATTTCTTCTCCGGGAAAGTAAGGTTGGCAGCGGCCTCCGCAATCGGAGCCATAACGTCTCTTCATCGCACCTCCGTCCACTAGCTCTAGCGTGCAGTAGCCAGTCAAAAGTCCGTTGAAATAAACATCATTGAAGTAGCCAAAGTATTTCTTGATATCTTCAAGGTTGTGAGGATTCCCCAGATTCCACGTGCCATGATGCTTAAAGTTTTCCGCCCCCATTCGTCTTCGTGGGCATGGGTCCTCAGCCATCGAATATACACTATAGGTCTCTCGCTTGTTGAATTGTATGATGGCTTTTGAGATGCTTTCAGCACTATGTGAAAGGGGTTTTAGTCTTCCAAACTCGAACTCTTCTGGTGATATGGATGGTGGCTCGTGGAGTAGCTCCTGAGAAGACATTGTGAATTGAGTTCAGGCTGGTAGTCAATAGAGAATATTGTCGAGGCGTTAATTTGGAAGTCGACGAACACTGTATTATATTCTTTTACAATCAAGATGAAGATGATGATTAACATATCATTTGTGAATGTGCCATGAAGTAGGGGGTGAATGTCACAGTATTATCGTCAAGTGATTCAAGCCATTCAAGCGATTCATCAGGTGACTGTGATGTCTGGTCGCTCGCTGACGGCAAGTATCGAATCAGCTGCTTCCTAAGCAAGTCGATTACAAGCGAAATTTATGGACTAGTTATCTACTCAAAGCTCTTCCAGATCTTGGTATCATCCTGCAAGTCAATCTGGCCCAGGTACGGAAGGGGGTTGCCATAATTCACGAGACCAACAGGGGTCTACAACTCCTTGTATACTCTACCAAGTCCAGCTCAAAATCTACCAAAATGCTACTAAAATGTGGCTAGAGTCGAGCACTTTAATTCTCTGAATTTTTCTTCTTGAAAAGATATAATATTGTTGTGGTTTGCAAGGAATAATAGACCCCTGTCGGTCTCTTGAATTATGGCAACCCCCTTCCGTACCTCACGGGAGGAAAGGGGGGCTAAGCGAGGCTCGCTTAAAGCCAGCTGCTGGACACAGGAAAAAGAAACGCTTGTGGTGATAAATTCCGCGCAAACGGCCTTCAAATTGCCATAGAGATTAAATTCAATCTTCTACGGTACATTATTTCAAGTCGGGGTTTTGTTCCCGTCGTATTTTCCGCGACCGACCCCATTCTCAACCAGTAATAGCCCAATGCGCCCGCAAGCAGGAAGAGCCTCGTAAGAAGATAATCTTGTCTTTCAGTCTGTCTCTCTCTGCATCTTCTTGACGATATGCATCCCGATACTTCAATATCTCCACTATATCCAGACCCACAGAGCGTAGAGCAGCATCATCAGGATGGTTGTAGCCAAGCTGCATGTCACGCGCCATCAGTTCGTTACGAGACAAGTCTGTCCCGAAGCCGAACATTGCGCTTCCTGCCTCATCGGCTTCTTCGATCGCTTGAGCAGTTGCTTGCCAAGCTAAATGATGGCCTCCTTCTCCAGTATGTTGCCTTAACTTCACATAACAACCTCGGTCACACACGCAGGTATACAGCAGGAACACTATTGATGAATTAGTACACGCTTTTGATGGAGGTCTAGGGGTGGAGGAGCTCATATGATCAGTTGAGACAATATACTTTTTGAAAGGCAGCGCCCAAGGTGGTTCCCGGATATCTCGACTCCTAGAATGACGGCAAAACAAGGGCAGAATTTGACGCACTGGCATGAATCATCTGACTTAACAGTTCTCTTTGATATCTCTGGACTGGTTCGAAGACATTTCCTCGTTTTGTCTTGCACAATGGTGATCTTCACATATGGGTCCTTGATTCTGTATCGTGGATTTCGTTCTTCTCCAGGTCTGAAGATCTCACAGGTTCCGGAAAGACAAGCTTTCTTTCCCGTGCGCTTTGATATACGACAAGCTTCCACAGTCTCAATACGACAGTAGTCTGTCAGTAAACCGTTGAAGTAAGCTGAGTTGTACAGTTGAAATAGGCGTTTAAGATCTGGGAGGTTTTCTGGTTTGCCAATGTTGAAGATACCTCCGAACTCAAAGGTGTCCTTCGCTTCTTCTTGTCGAGATGAGTGTCCGTGCTTGACGTAGGCTATGATGGCTTTGGAGATATGGTCCATAGAGAAAGAGCCGAGCTCTAATTTGCCCATGTCGAAGTCATCTGTGTTGATGGGAAGGGTGGCGTGTAAGTCTTCCACATATTTCATGATCTTCTGTCGCATGAGAAAGTTTCTGCGCCGCCACAGCAGCTTCAAAAGCAATAAACGGTGTTTAACCTTGGGCACCGCTACCCGAAAACTATTTCTCATCGATGACAGGTTGGTCGCCTTGGAGGTAGCTCATAGGATTCGACGATGCAAAGATCGGCAACTTCTTAGATGGTGGAAGGTTTAAAAGCGGAGGGACATACATATACATATCTTCTAAGAAGGACTGAGTCATAGTCGTGGAACGAATCTTATTCACCACTACGCTACGGTCATTATAGAATATGGTCCACTTTCAAGGCGCCAATATGACTCGACCGACCATTTAAAAGCATGACATACTCATACATAATACCTTGAACCATTGTCTTCTGAGCAGCAGACTTGCTCTAATCATAGCTTAGAATCAGGCTGAGTAAGGTTGACTTATCTATACGCAGCCTTCCCCTCAAACCCTCTCCAATTGATACAATGGTGCCGCTCGTCAGAAGTGTATCGTTCTTCCAACCATGTGGTGTATTCGTCTATAACTGGCTAGTCTCCTAATCTCTCAGTCCATATTGATCGGTCATATCCAAAGTTTCGGTCCCAGCCATCTGTTGAACATTGATCTCGCAGGCAGCAGCTGCTAGCTTTTATTGGTTTCATGAAAGTGCGTGCATGTTTTCTTCTCTCAGCTTCCTCGGTACGGATGTGTTTCAGCCGCTCCAAAAGTGTAACCATATCGGTGTCTATGGAGCGAAGTTCTACCTCATTTGGTACGCTGGATCCATGTTGAGCATCCATGGCCAGTCCTATAGTGGTCCAGAGCCATAAACCGAGTCCGAACAGATTCCTGCCAGGTCGATTACATCGCTCAAGCGCATAGGCTGTCGCTGCCCAGGATGAGTGATGCCTGGTATTATGATCTTGGCCCATACTTTGCCGACTTCCTTGCACAGAAGGATACTGGTAGATGTCGAAGATTGCATGTAACATTTGATGAAGCAGGGTGTTCAAATACATTTGAATGATCGAGAAGGTAGTGGTTTGTTGTAATCGAGAAATTGAAATAGTGACTTGCGGGTTTTCGACTGGATATCGTGGATCTCGTTCTGCCCCTGGTTGGACGAATCCTCCACAAGCAGAAAGGATCCCGCAAGAATTCTGACCACGTTCGATAAGTCGCTCGCTCGAGACAAATTCCAAGTTGCAATATCCTTCTAGTGCGCCATTAAAATAGGCGCCATCGAATATCTCGAAATACTTCTTGAGATCGTTGAGATTGTGAGGGTTACTGATACTCCATGCCCCAACATTTTTGAATAGCTTCAAGGCTTGTTGTTGATGAGGAGCGAGATCTCCGACGAGGCAGTAATATGTGGTTGGGGTTAAATAGCTAATGATGCCTGCCGAGATATCTTCAGCGCTATAAGACAGCGGCTTCAGGCATCCAATTTCAAGGTCTTCTCTGAATTTGCGAGCAGGGAAATGACATTCGTCCAGGAAGCCCATATCATGGGTTATTGGAAGTCGTAGCTCCATCTCATTCTCAGATTCAGGGCCACATATATTTTCTTCAACCCAAGCTGCCCCTTTGATGGTCCAGTCTCGCAGTTCTTGTATTCTCTCGAGAATTTCAAGTGTATCGAGCTCGAGTGGCCGAATTTCAGCTTCGCTTGGAAATCGCCAGTGCTCAAAAACGTCTGAAGCCAAGCTTGAACTGCGTGACAGATTGAGCCCCAGTTTGAAACATCCCACGCTAACGTCAACGGCTTTCTCGATAGCTTGTGCTAGTCTCTGCCAACATATGCCATGAGGACCGTCGTTGCCTCCTCCATACATCTGATGTCTTTGGCACGATCTGCAACAGCAGGAGTATGCCATGACTATGGCATGACAAAGTTCGTGAAGAAGATTTTCCAGAATGATTCTGACATCTTTCGTGGGATGCGCATGTGGTCTGGACGTCAAAGTGATTGTAATCTCTGGTCTTTCAAGTCGGTATGTTAGGTCAGCATTATCGCTCAATTGTGGTGAAGAGGTAAGGCCCATAGCCAATTCATGATCGCTCAGCATAGTTGTTATGTTCTCAAACCGTAAAACGACCAATCCCGTCAAAAAGCCGCCGAAGAACGCGTCATTGAATATCTCGAACCACTTTCTTAAGTCTTCGAGATTGTTTGGCATTCCGAGCTTCCAAGTCCCTTCATTCTTGAAGCTTTTGAGGGCATATCGTTGTCTTGGATGCCACTTATTCTCGTCGAGTAGACGGATTCGATTGACGCAATGCACTACTGCCTCAGAAATGGAGCTAGGGCTGTAGGAGTCGTATCGTAGGAGACCAAGTTCGAAGTCTTCCTTGAGAAGTGGTAAATCGACATGAGGACGGTGTATGTACGACGTGCTGCTTGAACTGCGACTTGAGCTCTGGCATGAATCCATGGTGTATGAGTGTCAAAGAATGGCTGCAAACTCTAGTGAGAGCTCCTTTTTAGATGACAAATTTATGGATAATAGTCACGGCGACTCGGCTTCTAACAACAAGTGGTCGTTAATCGGCTGTCTGTAAGCTCATGAATCACCAGTGTAGATAGATGTGAATGGAGGAAGCTTGGCTCCGTTGTGATTACATGTCAATAGAGGAGGCGCCAATCGACCTTGACTTAATCGACAAATGCTCTGGCTCACTCGACAAAGAGATACTGAGCTGAGGTTTTAAGCCATCTCCTGATACAAAAGATGGTCGCACAGTTAAAAGTGATTTGATTAAAGACTGGTACAAGGCAGGATTATTATCTCAGATAACGATCCAAGAAGCAACTACCAAATCTATACAAATAACGAAGCCAGCTCGGCATTCTTAAATGTTCCAAGCGAATAGGCAAGCTCGACAAAGGAAAATGTTGTATTAAAGGATCATGGTTAGACTTGCTAAATTCACCAATGAGAAGCTTTAATCACTTTTACTCTCCGCTTTCTCAAGATGACGAGCGAGACTGTGGAAAATAGAATGTCGAGGGTGAATAATGACGGTATCTTGCAGCTCCTTGTACGGCCATTCCTCAAACACATCAAGATAAGGTTCAGCCGTACTTGTGCAATCGGGGCGACGATACATCGAGTCATCTATTGACCAAAATTAGATGTCCTTCGTTAAGAGATCTATGTCAGGGCAACCTTCAACTCCCGTTCCAAAAACTTCATCTCGTATTCAACCTCGAATTTTATGACTTAGGCGGAGCAAGCTGTCGATCCCGCAACATCCTCGGCGCCTTCCACGACTGCCGAGACCCGCCAGGCTATGTGAGTGGCGGAGCCAGGATCCCCAAAATTCAAGCGAGAAAGCCTAAACGGAGCCCATAACCCCTATTTCTCCGCCAAAGCCCGCTGTAAACTATTTTGAGCTCCGAGTGCTTGGCTCACGACATTATTTCAGGGGACAACTTGGTTCCATAAAGCTAGTTTCGTATATCAGATGTCATATGAAACAGAAAGCTTAGTGATCGTCGTGAAATTCTGTGAGAAATGAATTGTTTAGACGTACCAAGACTTCGTATTCAAATTTCGGGACCACCATCTTGGCAAGGTCCACTGCATAGCAATCATCCAAGCGAGAGAACAGGATGTATAAGTATTCGGAGTTCTACGCTCAAATGGATTATTCATTACCACCAACATTCAGAGAAAACAAGAAACTGTCGCTACCAGAACCTACTATCTCCTTGAATCCATAACTTCCAATTTCCAACAAGTCTCTAGTCAAATCAACATGCGTTTCTCAACCATCTCTGCTATCGCCCTCCCTATTCTCTCTTCCTTTGCTCTTGCAGACGACACAGTCACCGTCTCCGATCTCACTGTCAGAAACATCAACAGTACCATTTACAGTGTGTCATTCTCCGTTGCCAACACGACATGTTCTGCATCTCAACCTACCGCTGTCGTACGTATCTATCCTTTCCCGCATCTTTGAGATTATTGCTCAACATCCTTAGGTCGTATGCGGTGATTCACCATATCGCTTCTACATCGAGGAGAACAGCCTTGACAGCTACAATCTCACCATCTACGAGCAGACTGGTGTAGCGTAAGTCCCCTCTTAGTAATTTCGTATGGATGAGTGGTTGATGTACGGAATAGTGTCGGACTTTATAAAGAACAAGAAGTCTCGACAATTTGCAGAGCTGGACCCACTGGGGCTACCGATTATGTTTGCCAGAGTTTCTCCAATTCTACATTTACTTTGACCTTCGACGGTCAATGAGCCACTTAGCTCCTGGGTACGGGATCTTGGGCAGTATTTTGTATACCTTTTGTAATGCATAGCGAAATGCCAATCTTGTATATAATCACTTGTTGAATGGATTCGTTATCCTTCATTTTCATCTTCTGAGGACTCACTCGGGATCTGAACCAATTCACAATGGAGATTCTTTTTTGGTAAACTTCGATTGGTATTACTATTTACAGTAGTCTTGGAATTCACCCAGGAGGCGTGATGAGAAGCGCAAGTCTCTTTAGCGCTCACTAAGGAGCTTTTTGTGCGCAGGTCTGGAGTTGATCCTCATCCAACTGTCAAAAGCGTATTCATCGAGCACAGCTTGATCATCAGAATGACAAGTAGAATCCCAACGGCCAGGATTGTACGAAAAGTTCCTCTCCCAAGAGTCGACTGTCCAATTAGGTAGTAGACATACACTTGATTTTGAAGGAATTCTCTTTTTTTTTCTGTGTCGAGCTAAGAAAGCGGAGTGAGCATTGCCTCGGAGGCACTTGATATTCTCCAGGAGATGGACTATATCGAGACCGACAGAACGAAGCACTATGTCGTTTGGTAGTGGACAGCCACTTTGTACGTCATCCACAAGGCACATGCTGCGATTCAATGTAAGGCAAAGGCCGAAGACTTCCCAGTACCTGTGTCTGCAGGCTTCTTCAAGAGCTTGAGCCACCGCTTGCCAATATGCTCCGTGGCCAAAGGCAGCTTCGTTGCCGATACATGCGTAACATTTGGTACAACCACATTCATATATGTCGAATATAGCGTGCGACATCTCATGAAGTAGACATTCTTGGTAGCTCTTGATAGCTGCGTAGTTGTCATCGACATAATGTCGGGTTCTCCTGAAGGTGAGGGTGCAATATGGCTTGGAGATCGGATAACGAGGGTCGCGCCGAGATCCCGAGCGCGTCATACTGCAGTAAGCATTTGCATCGCCTATGCCACGTTTTTTTCATGCTCCAGGGCTTTATAAGTTCTAGCTTGCAGTAACCCGTGAGCAAGCCTCCGAAGAATGCATCGTTGAAGATCGCAAACCATCGAGTGATGTCTTCGATGTTATGAGCTTCGGCGATATTCCAGGTCCCATGACTCCTGAATTGCTGCAAAGCTCGTTTTTGTCTTGCTGAATAGCACCTCTCGTGAACGGTGGTAACCCGCTCGATGTTGGCGACTAGAGCTTTCGAGATGTGGTCTAGACTGTATGATTCAGGATTCAGGCGCCCAAGCTCGAAGTCTTCCTGAGCTATGGGCTGGGAGATGTGGCCGGCATTTGAAGCCTTCGTTTTGTCTGGTTTTATGTCTGGATGTCGAGGCTCTTCCTTAATTGTTGGTTGTGGACCGTGAACAGGATCTGGAATGTCCATAATGGTATTGGAGTCTGAAAAAGAGCAAGAAAATATCGAGGTTCGCGAGAGACTTGGCAGTTGTGCGACTGTGGTGAAAGAAGTCGACGATGTTGAGGTTGGAGAGGTTGACAGGAAAATGAAGGGAGTTTACAGAGAAGCGAGGTCTTAAAAGCAAGTAGAAACAGCATAATCATTCACGCTACGCAGATAATCCTCAACCGTATCCCCACGTGTCAAATAACAGTCATCTCATGGAATCTGCGAGTACCTAGGCAGTGAATAACAACGAGCACTTGTACTTGCCACGTGATTATTCGCTTATGACCCCTTTTCCGAAAGGCTGGTGGGAACTCTTAATTACCGCCGGAATTCCGAAGGTCGAGTAGTAAAGTGAAATAGTAATTCATTAGTCAAGTCTCTTTCAAAAGCCGCAGTCTAGAGAACTCCATAACCCTAGCTCCATCATAAGTCTCAAACTGCTCCCTCACTTCGATCATCTTATACTACACCCGTATTGTCCACCAGTCCATTGCCACCTCTTTTCTGCAACATTCACTCTGATCAGACGTAAACTATACCGCGAAACTTGACGAGCAATGGGTAAGAACAGCAAGGCACTCGCCAATGATTTTTGAAAAACATTACTGCTCCTTGACGGGCTTGTAGGAGATTTTAAGAAAGCGAGAGCCCTCTTCCTAAGGGAAAGGGGACGGAGTGTTTGTCTTGCCTTGGCTAAGTAGAGCTTTAAATTGAATATTGTTTAGGAAGTGACTAGACAATTATTACTAAGAGGTTGCTTCATAAATGGCTCAGTTCGTCGATCGAAATGCCACAACACAAACCAATATACTAGTACCGCTTCAAGAGGTCTCAGAAATATCATTCAAATCTAGTATACACGGACACACCCAAAGTCCTCTCAACCCAAATCCCAAAAGCCTACTCCTTTCCCTCTCTCCACCTCCTCAGCCCCTAATGTCTAAAGAGCCCAAACTTCCCATGCCCATGCACCGCCCTCGGAACATTCGTCCCCACACTCCCCTGCCCAATCGTGACCGTAACCGGCGCACAAGCATCCCCTCCGGTACCCAACGCACTCGTGACGCCTGCCAAACTAACCGTCCCCGTCCCGCTCACCGGGATCTGCACACTAGCTGTGACCGTCGCAGGCGCACTCGCCGTCTGCGACGCCGTCGTCGCGACACCCTGACAGCTATTCAGTTGATCCAAACAATCGGTCCCGGAGAACGCTGAGCCCGCGAGCGCCGCGCAGGCGTTGAATTGCGAGGTGCAGGCTGCGGAGGCGGCAGCGGGGAGGGAGAGGAAGAGGGCTTCCTCGACGAGGAAGCCGGTGCTGTTGGATGTTACGCCGGGGGGAGGGGAGCCCAGGGCGGGGAGGAAGATGAAGAAGGTTATTATTTCGACGAGGATGGTTTTTGTTTGCTGGGTTTTGGATGATAATGCGGCAACGGTGCTGAGGGCTGTGGTTGAAGATGGTGGGGTGGTGATGCTTGAGGTGGCAACGTTATTTGCTAGACTTGTTGTGCCGAGTTTGAAGGAAGTGGCTAATGTACTGCTGTCTTTGGTAATTGCTTTGGCCGAGGTGGAGATAGATCCCTTGACTGAGGTGGAGGCAGATGCTTTGATAGATGTGGCAACTGACACTGCCTTCACTGATGATGAGGCCTTTACGGACGTTACAGCTTTTGAAGTCGCTGAGACCGAGCTGGTTGCTTTGGTACTCGTACTTCCTGTTGTAGTCCCATTTGTGAGGGTAATAGTACACGCAGTCGCTACCCCATTGCCGTTAAGTTTACACACCACCGGTTGGAAGGGAATCGAAGAGGCGGGACAAGTGAGTTGTGTCAATGACATGAGGTATCGATTGGCCAAGAAAGTGAAGAGGTTGGTGCCCACACAAAGATCAGGGGAAGCTGCGTTGGAAAATACGGTTTGAAACCCGGAGAGGAACGGGGGTGCCACAGAGACCATATCTTGGCAATATGGAACAAGTTCGCCGTTGGCTGTACTGCTGATAACTGGTTGATTGACTCCAAGGCGATATGTATTTGTCTTTGTGGTGCTTACTGTTCCACCTGCAGTAAGAAGACAATCTGGATCGTTCAATGGAACCAAACCAATGGGGGCTGCTTGTTTTGCGGAAGCCTGAAGTTCGGACAAAGCTAGAGCAGGAACACTGGATCCAGGGTCATCCAAGGATGGTGCAACGAATGGAGTGCAGCCAATGAGAGGGTCGATGATGTTTGTAAGGAGTGCTTCATCGGAAGCATTGTTGATGACAGTCGCATCGGGGTTTGCGGCACGGTTCGCTGCTGTGTCTTGTGCCAACTGACCATTTGCAAGAAGTAGATACTGTGTTGGGACATTGTCAGATGGACAAGCATCAGTGATCTCAAAAGAGCGACTCGTTGGACAAGCATTGCCAAGCTTATCCACCCCGAGATCAGGGATGACAGTCTTGCCAGAAGAGACACCAGTATTTGCGGCAGTGAACCATTGTTCAGCATTGCACCAGGAAACTTGGCCGAAGACGTCTCCTTGAGTACCTGGAAGTCCATTGATACAGTTGGCGGTTTTCAATGTCGGCGATGTGTTAGCATTTTCTCCATTCGTGTCGAGTAGCTGCAGAGTTCCACCATTAAATCCGAACCACAAACCAACCACAGCTCCAGTAGGAAGTGTTGGCACCACGGGAGCCGCAGCTGGATTTGTTCCAGCGTCGATAACGAGAGGATGATAGATGCTGATGGTTCCAGTAGTTGGGTCGAATATTGCAGCTTCAGCAAAGGCCTGCTGGGTGGCTACACTCTGGCTAAGAAAATGTCAGCTCAAACGGACATACCACACCGTCCCAGGGACAAAATATACCTGCATGGTGCCTTGAGCAGGAAAGGAGTTGAAAGTCCTTGAGCGGTCAATGGACTGGCTGGAAGAGTCAAGAAGCAGTCGAGGACAGTAGCGTTAAGAATAGCCGCGGTCTGTGAAGCAGTGACAGCGGTAGCTGTCTTTGACATAATAGACTGGGATATCTGTGTGCGGTTGATCTGCTTGGCTTCGGAAGACGAAGCAAGATAGAGAACAGCACCGAAGAAGATGGTTGAAATATACATTGTGCCTGATTTAGATGTTGTCGAAAAGGACTGTAAGAATAGACAGTGACCAAGCACTTTAGTCAAAACCCGTCGAAAGGATTGTAAATAAAATTGATGACAGCGACCAAGCACGTCAGTGAAAAGAAGGGACAGAAAACGCAAATCAAAGAGAGACTGATGAAGCAAGAGGATATCTTTCGAGGAACAGACTCAAAGATATATTAGGAAATAGATGACAGCGAGAATCCATGACGTTTGAGCCACTGTAACGAACCTCCAAGCTGGATTCAATACCCCTCTTGCGCGCGCACATTGAAACAACCCTGGTCAAGAAGGAACAGACGGGGGTGTTGACCTGCGGCGCCATGTCATGGGCCTCGATCCCAGGGGTTAAGCATAAGTTTCGTCCCGAGTAAGGGTAATGTTGCCGTGGTGCTGATTGAGATGTTTATGCAGCCTTGAATCAGACCATATGTTTGTTCTTCTTAGACAGTTTCGTCATGTCTCTCCAGCATCTTACAATACAAAGTCGAGAAAGGCTCATCGATGCGTCTATTTGGCCTGATTGTCGAATAGCTGGCGAAAGTTGGGACCTTCGAAGACTTCAAGCGTATATCTTGTGTTGCCGCATCTCAAGAGATGGGATGGGGTCCAATGCGCCGCAACGCCGGTGGAGGTCGACGGCGCAGGTACCAGACCACCCTCCAATGATTCCACCAACCAGACCCAGGTCATTCGGCAAATGCTCCGATGCACTCATCCCACCATACGCTCCTCTTCTCCAGGTTCCGTTTGAGTTGTTCAGTTGACGTCCTCCTGAAAGGTCGGATGCAAAAATAAGCATTCTCGCTTACCCTTAGCACGGGAGATCGGCGAATGGGGAAGATGCAGTGACTCTTCTTGGCGCACGAATGTTCGTCTCTGCTACCCTGCATGTTTCATTGACCTTTTCGCTCGCTGAAATGACCATTCTGGACCTTCGAACCTGGTGAACGAGGAGGATAAGTTCGGTTTGAGATGAACGGAGCCGAGATGGCAGCTGTTTGACAGTGACATTTCATCTGACATCCTATATGTTTGTTACTCCTGTCTAACCGCCCTTCATTTTAGTTTTGCAATTATTCCCTCTTCTCGATGCTTACTGTCAAGAGTAGGCCAAATGTCGGTCAAGGACCCGGGGACGTCGATTGCCGGCCGTGCGTTGTGGCTGCATGGTTCAGATTTCCGGGAATTCGACTCTCGGCGTCTCTGGACCTGTGTGCGAAGAACAAATAGATCATCAGCCCTATGTTGGAACTCCTGCCTGATATAATCGTGGGCATCTTTTAGTTTTTGGTGTGAAGTTGAAGCTCGTGGCTTAAACATCGAGTTGCAGACTACGAACCCTGGGTATTTAGTTAGATGCGTCAAACCGCCTTCTGAAGTAGAAAATCTGCAAACAAGGAATCTGAACATCGGTGCACGCTACTACATAAAAGGACCAATCCTGTCCCCGTCCCCGTAATCGAAGTCGCACACCCAATCAACATCTCTAAAAATACTCTCTCACACCCGACATCAACCTCTTACTCATTCACACCACTTTAAATCCCACATGATAACAAGCTGGCACGGTAGGTAGATCCAACATTTAAACTTAAGCTCAAGACATCTGCGTAGAGGGTGTGCTTCCGAACCAGATCCGACCTTAAGTAGCCACAGCATAAGAGTCAAAACAATCTCTAGGTAGGCATCTACTACCAGGGTTTTCAGGATGGGAATACTGTCCTGTCCTGTACTCTAGATCAAAAGAGCGGGGAATTATTGAAAGAACTTAGCTTCCAATTCATGCCAGCAGAAACACGGCTTTAAGCTGGTAGCCGCTGAAACCTGAAGCTCAAATATATTCAGATCTTGTGCATGACTGCTCAGACAAGAAGGTATGGGAGCATGATGCATCGGTATCACTGATAAAACATGCTCGAAGATCCTATGGTGCCTATTTTTACCATGTCGAAATATATTCGTGTAATGTTGTGCAGTATGGGACAGAAATACTCGAGCCTCGTACTGCATTCTTCATGTCCTGGATGAGACAACAAGCAGTCAAGGATTCACCTTCGGATCTCTTCCCTTCATATTTACAAAACCTAGAGATTTTGACCACGGAATCATAAGTTACTCAACTACCACAAGTCCAATCCTCAAGCCATTGAAAGTCGGGGCTCTTCAGATTATGAATGAGCTCCAGGAGCTTTTGATCGTTCGATAATGGAACTGGCATTATGGGTGTTGTGCAGGAACGAGGTGGGGGCTGGAAAAGTTGGACAAGAGATTCACGCGCTGGCGGCCGCGTTTTGGATTGCGATGTGCAACAAAACTATTTGAGCCTAGGGCTGAATCATCCCAGACCTGACCGACATTGGGGACTGAAGAATTCTGCTGATATTAAATACGGTACGAGTACTAGAACATACTAGTGAAGCATGGATGAGATGGGAGATTTGCTTCCGCTGAACAGATGTAAATGATGATTCGACTGATTCTTGAACGATATGACAAGTATTGAAGTAGGTCTGGTGTGTAGCACAAAGAGGAAAGAAATTCTTGCTTCACTTAGCTGAGGACCGCTCCTAGAGCATACCTAAATTGGCCGAACTTTGTAGAGCACCGTACTATACGGTAGCCACTGCCATGAATGCACACCATTCACTGAGATGCTTATAGAAGAGAACCCGAGTAAGCAGTCAATCATCGATTCGTATTTCATCCCTCAAAATGCTCCTCGAAATTGGTCCAGCAGCTGGCGACTTAGAGGTCTCCTCCTCCCTGCTTCCCCTCCTCCTCCACCATCTGCCCCCGTCGCGATGGCTGAATTTGTGTTCTCTCCCTCCAGTCTTCGTCTCATTGCCTCAAAATCTTCTCCTCTCTTTCGAGGAGCAATTCCTACCAGCCACCCGGGTACACGCCATCGCATCATCGAAACTGGCAAGACTTCATTCCGCCACGAGTGTCCCACTACCCAGCCCACAAACGCACATAATAAGGAGCCCGGAAACTGGGATAGAGCTAGTTGGACCGCAGGTAGGTAGACATAAGATTTGTCTGAGAAGGTAAGGCCGACAAATGGCTCGTTGGTAGGAGGTGCTGCTGATGCTGCGATGCGGTACTTGTAGACGTGAGGTATGACTGCATAATACTGTGCTAATATAGCGAATATAACGGGTGTCGGGCCTGCAGGAAGGTAATTGAAGGTGTTGAAGGAGAGGGGTCGAAGAACAAGGGCGAGTAGAATAGGTGGGACGATTGCAGCGAAGCAAAAGGACAGAAGGATGAAAGACTGCGATTTCTTGTCAGTCAAATATCAAGATAAATAGGATGCACCTACAGCGTATTTACGGGACCCCCATAACCGTTCAATCACTCGCATATTGTATACTGTCATGGCGGCGAAGAGGACTTCGGTTGAGTTTGTGTAGCACAGCTGATATGTGAATATCCGCCATACTTGGTAGTACTTCCACAGGTGTGGATCGACTTGGATATAGAAGTAATGCTTCGAATCTGTGATGCTTGCGAGGATGGATGCAGCAACGATGCCGTACGCAAGGCTGCGAGAGACGGGAGCATCTGCGAAGCCGGTGGAAAGCATATTGATTCCCGGCCGGTAGTCGGATTGCGCAACTTGAAGCTCTAAAGATGTATCATCGAATCATATCTCATGCCACGAGAGACATTCGGTGTGCGATTGCGACTTGCTCGGAAGTGCTAGGTAAAGAGTCGTTGCTTTGCTAGCCTCCCCGCGATGTAAGTTAGAACGTGGCCCGACAGGCTTCGCGAGGCTCTCCGTTTCTTGGACGCTGTGAAACGTCCTCAACGCATGTGCCAACGACATGATGACAGCTTTCGCAACACAATTCACTGAATGAATCCGGCTCAATCGCATTTGCCGATACGTCCTACAGCTTCCTAAACCGTTCTTATTTGATAAAAAATCATCTTCTGCCCATACGACAGCACACAACAACATTACAGGGATAGCTTGTTGGTAACCTGGGTACACGATGTCTGGAATACACCTCACACAATTGCGGAAATGGATGCTGGAGTCACCACCAGTGGAATGGGCCATGAACCAGTTAAGGGAACTTCTGATCGGTGCCTTACGGCAAGGACAAATACCGCAGCATGTAGCGTTTGTGATGGACGGAAACAGGCGGTTCGCCAGAAGTCAGAAAATCGAGACAGTGGAAGGACATAATCTGGGATTTGAAGCTTTAGCAAGGGTTTGCGTCTGCAAATCGGAATTTAGCACGTTTGCTAATGTTATATTCAGATATTAGAGGTCTGCTATAAGTCTGGAGTGAAGGTTGTCACGGTCTATGCTTTTAGTATAGAAAACTTCAAACGATCGAAGTACGAGGTCGATGCTTTAATGGAGATGGCGAAGATCAAGCTGTTCCAGTTGTCACAGCATGGGGAACTGCTGGACAAATACGGTGCTAGCATTCGGGTTCTAGGCAACAAAAACTTTGTCAAGCCGGACGTTGCGGAAGCTGTGAATAAAGCTGTGGAGATGACCAAAAACAACGGCGAGTATGTATTTACCATGAGGACTTTTGAACACAACCTAATTTCTGGAATAGCTGTGTATTGAATATATGTTTCCCATACACTTCACGGGACGAGATTACCACTGCTATTAAAGCTACAGTGGAGGACTATACAAAACCATTATCAGCACACGCCCGGCCCTTCTCTCAAACAAGAATCACACAGAAGATTCGTTCTCGAAACCTCAGTACCTCACCTCTACGTGCCAGCTCGCCAACACCAGACAATGCTTCTGACGTTGATGAATCAGTTTCGTCGTCAACGACGTTGCATCCGGAAACACCTCCCCAAGATAGCCGAGAAAATAACGTCTATCCAGATCCCGAGACAATAAGTTCGGACACGATTGGAGATCACATGTTCACTGCTGGTGATCCTCCTCTTGATCTTCTCGTCCGGACGAGTGGTGTTAAGCGGCTAAGTGACTTCATGCTTTGGCAATGTCATGAAGATACAGAGATAGTCTTCTTAGACTGTCTATGGCCCGAATTTGATCTATGGCAGTTCTTGCCAGTGTTAGTGGAATGGCAATGGAGACAGAAGCATATCGATGAGAAGGCATTGAGTGCAAAGACGAAGGTCCGGTAGTCTTCTCGTGGATCAGCATAGCATGCTAGAGAATAGAGCTTTATTGCAAAGCATCAGGCGATGGGAGTTGGGAGTTAATCATCTGAAGTTAGCGAAAAGTATGGAGGTCTGACTTTGATCATCATGATAAGAGACTGCATCCTAGTGATGAGGTCAGAGTTACTTGGTGCTCATTTAGTAAAGTTCTCAATTCGGGAGCTATTTCAGGCAAGAACTTGTGGATACCTGGTTTAAAAGGTAGTACGTCTCCTCGAAAAGTGCGGATGAGACGAATTCAGCGTCCCGTCTCCTAAATGAGGAGACAGAAGCCACAAGCTATAGATAGAATATGATCTATAAGAAAAGTTCTGATTCCGGAAGCCCAAAAAGCTTCTCAACCAAGGTACTAAACTCTAGACAAGGACTAATTTTGATGAGGCTCAAAGCTCTCTGCAGTAATTCCTAGCTTCAATATTCAGCTACAGTGTATACCTTTCAAGACTTTTATGGCCTAGCTCTTTACTCCTGTGAATCGCCCTGATTACGAAGTTGTGATGTGATTCAGCAATATCCCGGAGGATTGGAAAGCCGGCACTTCCCGGACGTCATGTGAGTTGGCTTAGATAAAGCGGCAGAATCGAGGCGGTGGGAGAAAGCATACCTACCGCGAATTTGGGTCCCTCTATTCTACCTGCTTTTACTCTAGATCCCAGGTGTTCCCAAGCCCTCCCACTCGTCAACAACGAAATTCAATGTGATTCATGAACTAAAATATCAATTTCCGAACTTTGGACGACCTTTCTCTCGCTTGTCGCACTTCACCAGCGCTGCTCGGTGCTCCTCTTTCTCACCTCCGGGGTTGACGAAACCACAATCGCCCACGATGAAGACCTCAAAGCAAGCCTCCTCTGACTTGGCATCGAGTCGCAGAGCTCAGCCTTTACGGCAGACGAGAAACAATCCCCCAAGATCCTCAATTTCTGGCAGTCGACCCTTCGGATCCCGAGCGTCACTTAACAGCGGTCTCGAAGAGAATTCGATCGAGATATTTCCCGCGATTACACACTTCGCAGATGCTATTACAGCTCTGCCAAAGGAGCTCGTGCGACACTTTACATTATTGAAAGAGGTCGATGCCAAAATCTTTGCGCCAGAAGAAGAACTGGGAAAGTTGATCGACGCAGCACTCAGTGCCCCTCTTCCAAATCGAACACAAAATGCTCTCGGTCCAACTTCTGCTCCCATGTCCGCACAAGGAAGTCTCAATGGCTCTATCATAAATGGTCATGCCGGGTCTGCCAACTCTGTTGTGGAGGCCGGCGATGCTTACACCTTCGAACCAGCCAATATCCCACGAAGGCAACTCTTCCAACGGATTGCGTACACGATGTCGAACATGCTAGTGTCTTTGGATGAGAAGAATCACGTTATAGCTACGGCTGCAGAAGCACTCAATAAGCAGGTTGCGCGAATTGACGACTGCTTCCCTTACATCGAGCTCGAGATCAGCGAGGAAGCACGATATGGCAGCAGTACACATTGGGCATATCCTGAAAATCGCGTACCCAAGACCGGCGCTGTTTCGCGACGAGAAATTGCTGCTGCGAACAATTTATCGGCGGCAGCTCAGCACTTGGTCGACGAAGCAGCGGCCAGGAGTGACGCTAGAAAGCAAGCTCTGCTGGAGAGGAAGAAGGGGAAGACTCAGCATGCCGACTCCGATTTCGACGATCAAGAAAGCCGGCAAAAAGATAAGAAGCTACATGGCAATAGCAAGGTTCGAAAGGCGGCCGATGCTGGTGTGGGATTAGGAATCACAAATGGTGCTACAACAAATGGCAACCCCCCTAAGAGACAGAAGGTCGCCAATAATAAGACAGCAGCTGGTGGCGCTGGCATGGAGCGCTCTCTGAGCTCCGTTTTTGGCAGTAATGGTACAGCTGCCAAAGGAAAAACAGGAAGCCCTCGGGAAACGCCAGTGCCAGAGCCAAAGAAGCGGGCGCGAGCTGCTGCGGGCACTGGGCAAACTCGAAAGAGGTGTGTACTTCAAGCATCCGGACTCATATTAATTACTTACATGATAGCAGAAACAACACCGTCACTTCCGCTGCGATGTCCCCATCCTTGGCTTCCTCACCCATACGATCCACATTCCCAGAGCCGAAAGGAGTAGGAACTGGTACACCTCCTCCTACAAATGGCAGACCAGCTTCAGTGAGAGGTAGACAGAATTCGACACAATCGATCATAGAGAAGAGAGCTCCGTCCGAAGTGGCTAGCAAGCAGAATGGTAATGCAGTGGGGACGCCAGATCTCGGCACAGCGGCTACCATAACAGGGCGAAGTATACCAGAGGTCAAAGTGACCATGAAAGAGACGGGCTCTAACTCCAAAGGCGAACATCTCCTCGAAGATGTTAATCAAGGTCCTCCAGAAATGGTCGGTGGGCTTCTTGTGGGAAGCAGGAAAGGCAGTACCACGACCAAGCAGGAAGAACCAGATTCCAATGGCAGCTCCATGCAAGATATACAGACCACCACCATCACGACAACGAAGAGTGGACGCGCTAGCAAACCCTCTACTCCGGCCATTCCATCCTTCCCAGAAGCAATACGATCAAGATCATCGAGGGCTTTGGAGACGACGTCAATCAATAAACGGAGTCACAAGAAAGGTGCCGGTGCAGCAGCGCAGCAGCTTCTTGCTCAACAGGTGCAACCCGATGACGGCGATGATGCAGCGAGCAACATCAACGATGAGGACGTTGAAGAGGAGATTGCTGAAGATGAGCCCACCTATTGTTACTGTAACGGCGTCAGTTATGGTGAGATGGTAGGCTGTGATGCGCCAGACTGTGAACGAGAATGGTTCCATCTGGAGTGTGTAGGACTGAAGGTTGCGCCGAAAGGGAATGGTAAGACCCTCATCCTTCTCCATAAGATCAAGGCTAACGATGAACAGCAAAATGGTTCTGCGACGACTGCATAAAGAAACGGCCGAATCAGAAACGTCGATGACCAGCCTTACATTGTTTAAAAATTCATAATCCCATTCTGGCATTAATTCTTAGGGGACAGTACGGTACATAGGGAAACGGAACTGGGATGCATATTATCTGACTTCATATGAATAATGGGAGTTTATAGGGTATCGGAGTTTGATGTCCTATCCTATCCTTAACCTGGACATAAGGTATAGGGAAATGGATCGTGCTGGGTTTGTGTGGCGACTTCTTTTTTTTCCCTTCTTCTTCCTGGAGTGTGGAATGGATATGAAAATCTTTTATCGAGATTTTTGGGGGGCGTTGTGAGATAGAATTCCCGAGGTCGATCGTTGTTTCTAGACATTTTAATAAATGTCGTTATGATCAAAGAAAGTTCAAGTGAAGGATGCTTGCTGAGGTGAGAAAGGGATTTTGTGTGACTTGTTTGCTTGCCGAAAGGATGAGGCGTTGCGTCACCGGAGCAGAATTTGATGCAGCACGTGATTGACGAGAAAATAGGAGATTTCCGTCTCGTAGAACAAAGAAGGCTGGAGTAAATGCCCGAGATGTGTGAGAGAATATAGTGAAGTGGAAAGAGGACATCGGGGATCATACACGGCTGCAGAGCCTTGCTTTCGTTTCTTTTTGCTTGGGCCCGATTATGGTACTACCAATGTTTGAACCTGTACGGGACAACATGCAAGATTCCATTTCTAGGCTATTGTGGCGTAATGAAGAGGTGTGGCTCCAGCTCTAGATTGCCCGAAATGTTGGTACTGTACAAGCGGTTGGACCGCGAGTGAGTCCCTTCTTTTTGCAGCTAAAAACTATAGAAGTGATCATGAGGAAGAGGGGAAGAACACAAGGTACAGACAGACAGACAGACAGACAAACAAGCAGCAGGAAAAAAGCTCCGTGACTCGGAGCTTTCGACCCTGTCCATCTGATCCGGTCAAGTATCATGGGACAAGAACAAAGACATCCGCACGTGATCGATCCCGATCCAAACCTTGAGGCATTTTGAACGCGGGCACTAACCTTGTCATCCCCTGCATTGCAGAGAGATGGGAAATCCGGGGAAGCAAAAGCAAGCATCAACGTGTTCTTATACACACGGCTCGTCAGCCTTGTATCTCGTGCTCTTCGCCCAACTTCCACGGTATCTCGAGCACGAAGAACTTTCTTCTGCTCCACAACAAACATTACTCGGGCAACGAGAATAGCGGTCAAGGAATGAAGGATGAAAGAGAACCTGACTCATATGATCAGGCTGTGAACTTGCACGTGGTCCGTCTTCGGACTTTGACTTTGCGTCGGTCGTTTGTTTGTTTGCATCGTCCGTCAGCTTTTCATCGTCCATCTCCGCAATCCGTTGCTAAGCGACCACGCTCTCGGCTTATTTTTAGTGGTGGTGCATGATTGCGACTTCTTTCGTCACGATGGCAAAACTTTCCTTTTCTTTCATGCTGCCTATCAAGGTATCTCGCTGTTCAGATGTTCGAGCATAAAATAACAGAAACTCCCATTGTCGAATCGGAGGGTGTGAATCGATGAGCGCCCGCCAATCAGGGCGCGTGATGAGGTAATGCAGAGAAGGTTTTGACCGCCAAGCCTCGATTTCGTTGTGTCAAAGCCAGAGAGAGGGGCGAGCCGCCCGAGTGAGTAACGTACGTTTGGGTTGGGAAGCGATTACCTATTATCCAGTCTTTGCATCACGAGCCTCAGCTCACCTCTCGTTTCCATCTCTGACAAAACAAAACTCTTTCTTTCTTTCTAGTGCCCGGGCAGAAAGTTCCCCAGCTGCTATGCTATGCTAGTCTAGTCCTTCCGAGTTCCGGACCTGAAAAGAGGAAATCTAATCACAAGGCTGGAGCAATTTCTTTATTCTCATTACTCAATTCCTTGCTTCTCATTCGCGTTCGCCGCCGCCTCTCTTTGTCCGTTGCTTTAAGAAGGGGTCCTGTCCTGGTCCCTTTGCTCCTGGCTGCACGCACCGCACGCACGCACTACGAACACATGTGGCACGGTAGAGCTTCCTATTGATCTTCACTCCTACGCATACACTCTTATTACATATTACATTTCCAATACTTCACGACTACTCTCGAACCTCCTCTTTTGGGACCTGACGCTGCAGCAGACCATTAGACATAGGTTATCCATATTACCTGATCTAAATTCCGGTCTGGGGAAAGAAGGCGGGGAAGCAGCAGTTTCCTTGACTAAAGCGCAGGGGAACGTGTGTCAGAGAATTATATCTGTTGCGCCTTGGCGGAGCGAATACACAACATCGCAGCAGGATTGTGCCATCTTGCCAGCAGATATCGTTCGTGTTCGTGCTCACCGTTCCCATCATCGATACATAATTTTTAATTCCTGGACTGGTTGAGTTGGGTTTGTGCGAGGCTAGTTTGGGTGCCGTACTGTTCCGCCGCTTGATATAAATCCGGGGTCGCTAAGCGTTGGGAGGAAATTCCCATCTGGTCACGATGGCCGTTTCTTCAGCATTGCCTTTGAGGCGCAAAGCTCCTCCATCTCAAATTACACCTGCTCCAGTACAGGATACCGATCTTACCACAGAGACAAAGAATAACGTCGCACCCCCGATGACCACGGATCGCGTTGACCGCTCGAGTTTCTCTAGTGTTAAGGAGAGTCACGGTGGTATCGCGCAGTCATTCACGGATTCGAAAACGAGCTCGTATCTTAGAAACGAGGTTTCTAATACCGACAACGAGGACGCTATTCTTGACGATTTCGTTTCTACTACTGGATCTAGAACCCCCGAATTGGAATTCGAGAGACAGCCAGAGCTGGGGAGCGGGATGTTGACGAATCCTCAGAGTAATCTCTTTGCATTCACGCCTTGTGATGGGTTCAGGGGATGGAAGGATATCCCGTTGATGGCGCAGACGATTAAGAATGTTAAGAGCAAGAGCTATTCGGACTTGGCGAGATTGCATCGGGGCTTTCAGTGGGAGATTAGTGATAGGGATAGGATGGATTTGGATGTGGTGACGGAGGAGAAGGGTGCTTTGCAGACGGGGAAGAGTAGGTTGGAGAGTCTTCCTACGGAGCTGCTTGGTGAGTCTAGATGTGTTTCTTACTTTCATTCCCTTGGACACTCGACGCAGTTCTTCAATTGTTTGTATCTATACATCACATGGCCAACAATTTTTGAACGTCTTGCTATTCTATCAATTTTCTCTTCAATTCTTCTTCCTATATCAATCTTCAAGAATCTTACTAATGATCTTCCCAGGTGCAATCATTGACCAACTAGCAACTGACATACCTCCCAATGGCTTCTCAGCCCGAAATATCGACCTAATGTCCCTACTTCTCACTTCACACACCATGCACTCGGTCACTTTAGCAACGCTGTACAACCAAGTGACCATCCCTCATTCTCGAATCTTCGCCAAATTCCTGTCTCATGTCTCTTCTCACCCAGCTCTCGGAACGATCGTCCGGCGGCTTGACTTTTCGCACTTCAACCCTACTTGTGCGGGAATGACAGCTAGAGAGAGGTCTGAGACGATGAATTTGATCCCAGAAACCCTTCTTCGATGCTTGTCTTTGACACCTAACCTCCGAGAGTTTCTAGCTCAAGAACATATCGACAATGATCTCAGCTCCGAAGTTCTGAAGACCTTGCTTTGCGACCTACCCCGTTTAAAGGCCTTGGATCTCTGTGCTTGCTCTTCAGCCAACTTCCGAGATGCATTCACCAACGTCCTCTCAACCCCGGACTTGCTGCCAGCAGCATTACCAATAACCCGCCTCTCCCTCCACGAATGCACCATCCTCCCCTCCTCAACATTCGACATCCTCCTCCCTCGACTCCCACACCTAACACACCTCGACGTCGCACACACACGCATCACATCCACCGCCCTTCAATCAATCCCCCCCACCGCCCGCCTCACCCACCTCAACCTCTCAAAATGCTCCTTCCTCAACGGCGCCGCCGTCGTAGACTTCCTCTCCACCCACCCCGCCGCCCAACACCTCGTTTACCTAAACCTAGCCATGGACCCCAAATCCCACGAAATGCTCCCCGCAACCCTCCTCACCGCTCTCCTCCCTCGTCTCCCCTCCACTCTACGCTCCCTGAACCTTAATGGCAGCAAGATGGACAGCACACACATCCCGCTCCTCCTCCCGCTCTCCAAACACATCGAAGAGCTCGGTCTCGGCCGCCACCTCAGCCTGCCCGATATCCAAGCGCTCTTCGTCCCCGACGAAAGACTACCTTTACCGCAACAATTATCCTGGACGCCGCATTCCCTGCGCTATATCGACGTCTCGGACCTGTCGTCCGCGGAACTCGATCTAGGCTCCCTATTCGGGCCGCGCTGTCCGGTGTTGAAGTCCGTTGCGGAGCCGTTGGAGGTTATCGAGGTCGGAGCAGATGTCTTGAAGCGGCTGGAGCGCTCGAAGCCCGTGCTGGATCGCGTGGGGTGGTGTGTGAAGGAGGCGGGGAGGAGGGCGTGGTTGGTGAGGAAGAGGGACAGGGTCACGGATGATGGCGGGAGGGGCTGGAAGTGGGGGGCTTGTTATTGGGGGATGCGGAAGGTTCCTGTTGCGCGGGCGGAGGTGGGGGGGATGTATGGGCATTATATGTTTAAGCGGTGATTGGCTCTTTTTTTTATGATTGTTGTTGTTTGATTTTTTGGGGCATTTAGGTTAAGTTTTGGGGTTGCATAGCGGGAGAAAAGTCCATGGTTTTGGATTTAGCGATGAGTGCTTTCTTTCTTGGATATCGACAGGTAGAGGATCTCTCGTAGCATAACGTACTTCAAGCTTTGCATAGCGATGATTATATTTCTGTCATTCATCTTTTGCTTTCATCTCGGCGTTAAACAGAGCGAAAAGTCGGGAATAATACTACAAATCAAACAAATCTTCTCCTCCTCTATTCAAGATTATGTAATAAGTGAATTGCCCCGTAGCGACAAGAACAACGTACGTCCTCACACCAGACAACAAAGAGAAAGAGTAGATTTTACGAGCAAATCCTCTACATAAGAGCCATAATCCGACCCCATCATGGCAGCATCACCAGGAAGGCACCAAAAGTACAACCGAGTATCCCCACATGTCTCAGGCCCTAATGTCCCGAGAGATGATAGTATTTTTCCAAGCTTCCAAATCTTCAACGAGCGAGCGTTTTCATACCGAGCAAAACCCCCCCGCTGCTGTTCGATCGATCGATCGAGCAAGAAAATAATAGCCTTCGACCGCAAAAGATGCAAGATTGATTTGAAGCACTCTAGGGATTTTTCGGGACCAGATGGGCGCACTTGACTTGTTTCTCAGTGAGACGACAGTATTTTTTTCAACGAGTCGGTTCCAGAACCGGTATGTATGTCGTACTTCGCTGCTGTAGAATGTCAGTACTGCCTTTGAATATGCGCTCTGGTCAAATTGTCTTTCCTTGCCTCTGCTTGCTAGATGGAAGGCGGTGATATGTTTTTAAGGATATGGGACGTACAATAGGTAGATAGGGATGGTTTTCAATGTCCGTTGTTGAGATGCGAATTTAGAGGTAGATAAGGTATGTAAGGAGAGGTTCTCCTGAGTTAGGGAAATTGTCAAGTGCTGAGAAAGGGTGGAGGATTGGGTTAATGGGCGTCCAAACGCGGATTCTTTCCTTGTTTGTGTAGAAGACAGTCCTCCCCTCCTGCCGAGCTCAGGAGTGTAGATGACTCCATTATCGGGGTGCCTTTCTGAGATTGTCCAAAATTGGGTCTCCTACGAGCCCCACGAGCAAGACCAGCGCGGAGAGTCCTTTTTAGGCTCGATATGATCTGGACCGACTTTCAAATCAAGGCCAGGCTTCTCTCCTCGCCGAGAGAGCCGTAAAGTGCGTCCTGAACGTCAATGGGAAGCCGATTACCGGCACTACAAGCACTTGGGAAATAATCACCCTGTTGATTGTGCTCTTTCTTTCGGACGTCCTGGAGTTTCAGGAAGTGCTGCCTTTGATACCATTGCAATGTCAAGATAAGATTGTCCTTCTAGGTAATGAACAAGCTCGGCATCGTGGAGATTGACTCTATGGAAACGGATTCGCCCAGCTTACGGATTTCTTTACTGCTCGGCAGATGAGACAAATCCACGATTTGGGAGAAAATGGTAGCATGGTGATGTGATTTCGGCTGGTGGTACAATAAGAAGTCTTTATTGTACAGTATAAGAAAGCAATTGCGGGCTGACCCCTTGATGAAAGGAAGAGGACGATATCACGAAGTTCAGCAGGAACAGCACCAGAAGGGAGAGGCGAAACGAACCTCCTCTCCGCCGTGGAAGAACAGCGCTTATTCCGGGAAAGAGGACTGGAGGTAGACAAAGTAGGAGTGCGAGAGGAACGTCGAGGAGGCTCATGTGCGTTCCCAGTCTCTCAATGTCGGAGCAAATCCCGTTGATCAATGGAGGGGAGCGGAGTGCGGATTCATTGTGCGGCTTCGAGGACGCTCATACAAGTAAAGCGTAGAGACTTAGAGGGAATTGGTATCACAATATCAAAGAGGAGCGGAAGGGAGAAAGGCGCATCGGGAGTAGGGATTCCCCGTAGAGCGCAGATCCCGCTAATCGCGCAGAAAGTGTGGAAAGCTGAATAAAGCCTTAGCTCTGCTATGTCCGTGCTCGGATTAGACATTGATTTGGCCAGATGTCTTGAAAGTTACTTCTGACTTATTAAAGCACATGGTTCTTGGAGACTAAAAGATAATTCGTTGATGTGCAACAAAGATGAACAATGTTCAGGTATTATAAGTTCTTGAATTAAAAGTGCGTACTTAAGAAAGTCATAAATTGTAACCAAAAAGAACAGATAATTCGGCGATATGAAATACAACTAATAAGATCGTGAATTCTGTACTAGAGTCGTAAATCTGGTATGCGATGAAGTACTCAGATTTGCTCCTGACTTTGCCAAGTGCTGAAATACTGTAGAGAGTTGGGACAATGATCGAAATGCCTCAAAAGTCCAAGCCCGTATCTCGACCGACATAATGTAAGCTTTGAGAAGTCTTTCCATTTCGAATAAAGACTTCTTAGGTATATGAATAAGCAGAAAGCAGAGACTTGGAGGGAAGATAGCACAATATCAAAGAGGAGCGTCAATGAGAGACGAGAGACTGGGAGTTGAGATCCGCACTGGTGCCATCAAGAGAAACAGGACAGGATCTCCAAATCGCTAAAACGATCTCTGATGTTTCGGGCCTGAGATGGAGAACCTCTCGTCTCGGCAACGAAAACTCTCGACGCCGCCACTCCAAAACCCGGAATAGCCTCACGTGCTCACCTACCACAAGAAGAATGGAAGCATGGACAACAACGTATAACGAGGCTGAGTCGAAGGAACATCTGCATCATAGGTATATTGCATTCTTCGCTGCGCCTACGAGAAGACGATTGGTAACGTTACAAATTTCGTGTCTTGGTGGCACAGCCGACGAGGTGACGATGGCAATATATTTTCGTTGAAGATAAAAAAAGGTCACGATAAGCAGTATTCAATACTAGGATATGTTTTGCGCCGGACTGCTTATCGGGCACAGCAGATACTGAGACAGGTGAGTACTTCGGGAGCTGAACCCAACATGATACAAATACAAATGCCGGATGGATGTCGTCGTCTCGGGGGTTTGAATGGACTCGTGATGATTCGAAGCGGGAAGGGCGATCATTCATGTTGCTGCAGGCCGACGTAATAAATGGTTCATCTGTTCTAACGGGATGGATGGAGGTTTCGCAAGATGCGATGCACCTCACGACAACGGAGTTCGAGGTACTACGCGAGCTACGGTACTTTCTGCATGCTGTGCTGTGCTGTGCTGTGCTGCTGCAGGTAAGATTTACTTATCGAATGCCAAGACCAAGAGAGGATATCGCTGCCACCAAAAGATAAGAATGCGCGAAAACGGAAAGGGACTTGTCGACCACAGATACCGAGATACGACGGTGCCATTATCGACATTCTGGAGTAGGTACAGTAGAACATCAGTAACGGCTGACGATAGCGATCGATACTGTACCGCTCTCGCACGGTGCGTGTAAGACGCAATAATGACAATGCCATGAGGTCGGTCGGAGAATGGATGTGACGGCCGCGTTTCAAGAACAACAAACCATTCTCAAGTCATGAGAGGAATGATTGATTGTTTGGACAAAGAACGGACGGACATGCACCACTTCTCAAGGCTACGAGGCTGATCTTCACTTGAAATGAAAAGTCCTGGTGCCTGCCCCCATGTCCAGACCCAGACCCCTCTGCTCTGCTCTGCTCTTATCAAAAAGCCTGCGCCTCCAACGGTCATCATCCACTTCGCCAGTGACAGGCGGTGTCCAGACAAGACAATTGCTCGCATGGCACCAGCCCGAATCGAGCGAGCAGCAGATAGGCGTTGCCAACTTCGGCACTGCAATTGACTTTTCATTGCAGGGGGCTATTCTTCCGCGAGAGATTTGAAGCTATTGATACCGCCGCATTCGCTGTGTTGATTGGTAGGAGGTACATGAAGGTACCTCAGGGTCCGTTTTTGGGCGCACGACACTCTCAGTCAGGGTTCATCCATCTGGTGGTGGTGGTGGTTGCTTAATCTCTGATATCTATCGTGACCATCCATGGGGGAGATGGAAATGGAAGTGGAAAATCTTGGGGTCGAGCCAATAACTATTTCTATTATCAGTCTCTCTCCACTCACTTGCCACTTTGCTTGGGGAGACGAAACGCATTTAACTCCAAACCTAGTGCCCGCTGTGCCATCAAACACATACTTATTGCCGTCACACCAACCACCACCAACAATTCTTCCCTCGCTCTCTCTTTTTTTTGTTTACACCCGTTTTCTGTTTCCTCCCTCCTCTCGTTGTGTGCCCACGATGGGTTACAACGCGCTTCAACAGCATGATCACGATCACGACCACGATGAGGACGATGGCGACCACGATGATTCGCCTTCGCCCAATCCACAACAACACACGCTCGCTTCTCCTGTTTTTACGCCACCCCTCTCAGCGTCGCTATTTTTGGACGATCCCAATACGAGCAATGAACCCTCTTATCCCCATACGAATGCTCTCGGTCTCAATTATCTCGTGCAATCGATAGCCTCTAGAAGCACGAGAACGGACGCAAGCTATGATATGGTAGAGAGTGAAGACTTTGCGGCCGACGCCAGAAGCTCCCCGGCGCTGTCAACGGAGAAACCGCCAGGAACCGGTCGATCACCACCAAGCGAATCTTCTGTGGTGGCATTGCACATTCCTCGAGCACGAAGACGCCGCAGCCCAGCCACAGCCGCTCACCAGCAGTCAACAACAATCTCACCTCGAATCCCTTCTCAGCCGATTCCCAGGACGGCATCAGGACGAAGCATTGCCCTGCGACATCCAACACCGGACCTTCAGGTCCTTCAGGGGGCTTACACGGGAAATATTTTACACTTGGAAAAGACGGCAGAGCAATTGAGCATGACATCTTCGATGGACGATGCCATCAGGGAGTTACACGAAGAACAGAAACGCTCAGACAGTCGCCGCTCGTCATTACTGTCCTCGCAGGGCATGTCTGCCATTTCAAGACAAGTTTCAAACGCCTCGTCAATAGTGGAAGTCAACTCGGCAGCACGGTCAGGCGGTTTCGCCCCAGCCGGCTTTATGATGTCCCCCAAAGGTTCGTTCACCGCTGCCGCAGGTGGTCGGGGGCGTTCTGCCTCCAAAAGTTCTCGGTACGGGTCTCGTCCTGAGCCCGAGTTAGAAGGGAGGCCTCTGGACTCCTTTGTCAATATGCACTCGATGTCATCAATAGCGCCCCCTTCTCCAGTTCTCTCGCGATCTGTATCCATTGCTGAACAGGACGAAGACGCAGCGACCATGACTAAACCAATTGCAGATCTACTCGAAAGTCCAGAGATGAACGAGACACCGAGAGGGAGTGATGAGAAGAAGAGTGAGGAGGAGGATAGGCCAGCAACATCTGCTTCAATTAGCACCTTTGACCAGGCACAGAAGATGTTCGCAGATTTCGATGGCATACACTCGGGTCCGTCACCCGAAGAGCAGATGGATACTGTGGACATGTCGAGGGAAATGGGCGATTCTCCGAAGAATGATAACCACCAAAGGAGGCCATCAGGCGGTCGAGTACTGTCTGGAGGCAGACCACAATCGTACGCCGATCCACGAACTGGCCAGGAAATGGTATATTACCCAGCACCTGTTCCCATGATGCTCAACTTGCCTCAAAAGCTGTCGAAAGCACCATCATCAATGGCAAGGAATAAGAGAAGGTCACAAGTCATGAGCAATATCCCAGCAGCTGCTCGACAATCTGCTATCTGGCTACCAGATGTGCTAGAGAACGAAGAAGATGGAGAGATGCCAGAAGATGATGAGTCTCAGCAGCAAGAATATATACCACAACATCAAAGAGCCAGCATGGGAGGACGACGGCTTACGCAAGATCTTTCACATATGCCCGCACATTTACGAGCCAGCACCTTCTTTGATTTGCCTGCAGCAACGCAAGTTGTGGAGTTGAAGGAGCAGTCTGCCGTAGCCACCTTGGATAGTATCCTCGACGCGTCAGCACATGCGCCGGTTAGTGCATTTACAGATCACGCGTTTGCTGGAGCATTGGGTGCAGAAGTGTATGGCAAAGAGAGGACACACAATCGAAATAGCCGAAGCACCACGCAATTGCTTGAGCCAGAGCAACACAAGAAACGAACGAGTTCTTTCAACCTTCTCCTACGCGGTAGACGAGCTAGCAGCAGTGATTTGCTGGATACAGACAAGCGGAGATCAACGATGTCGGGCGTGATAGAGGCTACTGTCAGATCACCAATTGAGGAGGATGGTGATGAGGAACTTGAGAATGGAGACGATTTTGCTGTCAAGGCTGTCGAGGAAGAGGAAGAGGAGGAGGATGAAGGCCAGCTCGACGACGATGTCTATCATGGTGCTCCTACCACTCTTCTCGCAGAGCTCCAACTCCGAAAACAGCAGCAGAAACAGCGGACACAGCATCTCACGAAGCAGTTCCCTACTGGTATACACTCTACACTTCTTGAAATGGATGCAGTTGCACAAGTTCAGCAGAAAAGTAGAAAGAAGAAGAGGACAATACTGGCTTGGGAAGATCCTAATATGGCTGATCAGGATGACGAGGATGGAGACGATGAGGACGTTCCTCTGGCAATGCTATATGCTAAGAAATCTGCCCAACTTCGGGACGCAAATAGACCTCTGGGCTTGATGGAACGCCGTGATATGGAAGACAACGAACCTCTCAGCCGGAGAAAAGATCGCCTACAAGGTCGTCCACCAGCAGCACCTCGTGCGTCCACAATGATGAACCTCTCTGGACCCTTCATCCCTGAAGAAGAAGAAGGCGAGACTTTAGCGCAACGAGTTCGCCGCCTGAAAGAACAAGGAGGAACAACTACAGGCCTACCCTCCGCACGACCGGTCAGCGGAGACTTCACCTCAGAACTAATGTCCCAATTCGGGGGCGACCTCCTTGACCCCAAAGAAAAAGGCAAAGGAAAAGAACCCTCCACCTCCCCCGCCCCAGAAGAAGAAGAAACCCTGGGCCAACGCCGCAAACGACTGCAAGCCGAACGCGAAGCCCGCGCCAAAGAAGTAGGAACCCAAGGTCCCCCTCCCCCATACGCAGAAGAAGTCCCCAGCACCCACAACAAACGCCGCAGCATGGCCGATATCCTGCAAGCGCACCCAGCAGCCGGCGCCGAGCGCGTAGTAAACTACCAAAAACCAGTCGGAGGCCTCCTCGGCCTCCACGAGAAGAAATCCTCCCAGCGCGCCTCGACCATGCTCGATTTCCCGCCTACCGCCGCGGCGGAATTCATCAAATCCCACCCCCCGAACCGGCAATCGTCCGGGGGTTTCAAAGCAGGGATGTACAACGACGGCAAAGGCGGCATTATCCCACCCTCTCAAATCCCACAGCAGCAACAATATACATTCCCGCAACCGAGCCTGGGCGCCTTTCACGGCTTCAACACGTTCCAGAACCCCTACGCGTCGAACATGAACCTCGCGGCGCAGAACTCGAGTTATAATCTCGGCGCAATGCCGAGCCCGTTGCCGTTGCAGATGAGTTATATGCCGGGGATGCCGATGGTGCAGGGGATGAATATGAATATGAATATGGGGATGGGAATGAGTATGCTGCAGATGGGGCAGGGCGTGCAGCCGTTGAAACAGGGGCAGATTGATATGGTGGAGCGGTGGAGGCAGAGTGTTATGCAGTGAGCGTGTGCCTGCCCTGAGTAGGGTGAAGGTGAGGAGGATCTAATACCGATTTATCTATATATAAAGACAGCATTCTAGGCGTTGGCATGAGCGTTTCCCCCCCTTTTTTTGTATATATCATATTTTCTGGCGGCATGGCATGGCATAGCGTGGCATTGCGGGTGTGTATTAGTACCGACTTACTCAGCTGGAGGGCGTATAGATGGATGGATGGATACGACGAACTAATGATGGAATGGATGGAAGGAAGGGGATAAATCAGATGAGATGAGTATTCATTTGTGTCCTTAGCCATATGTGAAGTGCAGTTCCTTGACATCCTTGTTGCCTATGTCCTGTTTCTGCGCTGATGCCCATGAATTTCCGTTTCCCAGTTGCGTTTTCCCGATCCCGATTCCTTTTCCTAGTTTCCTTTCCCGATCCCCTTGCCTGCTCCCGTTCCCGAGCCCCCCTTTCCCGATTCCAGTCCCAGCCCGTGTACACATAACAACCGAACCCCCCCCTTTTAGCTAGGTAGCCAGTTAATCCAATTCCGAAGAGTGGAGAGCTACCTATCCTACCTGCGCACGACCTAATCCCATCCCCCATCCCCCCATCCCGCATCATCTCCAACCCAAGACGAGAAATCAAAGCTTCTCAACCATCTCCGCCTTACCATTCTCCATCTCCACCTCCTCCTCCTCCTTCTCCTTCCCCTTCGCCTCACTCCCCCTCTCTCCACCCTGACCATTACCATGAGACCACGGACTGACATCCGTCCCGCTAAACTTCCTAGCACTCACCCCCTTCTCAAACAAAACGTCCATCTCGCCATACGTCCGGCCCTTCGGCTCCGGCAGCCGGAAATACGTCCACACCCAGCAGAGACCGCACATGCCGGCCCAGAAGAAGCCCGCTTTGCCCTTCCAGTTCCAGGCCGTGGGGTTGAGCATGTAGGGCACGATGATGCCGTTGATGATGCCGACGACGTTGTAGATGTTGCGGGCGAGGACGATGGTTTTGGTTTTTAGGCGCGTGGAGGGTAGTTCGGAGACGAGGCTGTAGCAGACGGGTCCGATTGTCTGGATGGTGGGAGGAGGAAAATTAGTGGGAATGGAGGGGAGGGGAGGGGAGACTTGCGATGTCGTAGACGAATGTGTAGATTAGAAGCAAGGAGCCGATGCCCCAAGCGGAGTTCTTGGATTTGGAGATGGAGACCAGGCCGATGAGTAAGAGGAGCATGGTTAGTAGCGCGAGACCGTTCACGTAGAGGGTTCGGCGGCCGGCGTGGGACATCAGGAACCAGCTGCCGATGGTGCCGATGAATCCGATGGCGTACTATGGTGAGGGGTGTTAGTCAGTTGGAGAAGGTGGGGAAGAGGGAGGAGAGGGAGAGGGAGAGGGACTTGGGCCATGGACATGTCGAACGAGTCGACGATGGGGAGGCCGGCTTGTTCGTAGAAGTAGGTTGAGTAGCCCATGAAGGCGCTGCCGCAGAGGTTTTGGATGGACCAGGTGACGCAGACAATTTCGGTGCGGCGGAGGTCGATGCCTGGTGTTTGAAGTGTGGAGTTAGTATGAATTTTTGTGCATTGTGGGCATAGAATGTTTAAATAAGGGTTGAGACATTGAACGATTAGAAAGTCAACCAGTCTCAATGTGAAAAGAATAAGGTTGAAGATACTGACCCTTGAAGCAGTCAAGATAACCGACACCAGATGCCAAAGACTTCTCAAGCTCGTTGGTTGTAACCATCATAGCTATCGTATCGTCGACATTGAAAGATTCGTCTGCGTTCTTGGAGGAAGTGAGGCGTCTGAGGGCTTTCTTTGCATCTTCGACTCTGCCGCGACGGACTAGCCACCTGCTACTATGAGTTTGCAAATCAGATTGGTTGATGTGGCGAGCTTACCATGGAGATTCGGGAGCGAAGAGTACTCCAATGATAATTGGAATTGGCCAGAGCCACTGTTATGTTTGTCAGAACTTTTCAACTAGGTCTAGAAACGGATTGACATGGAAGGAACGTTGGGATTTGGATTTGAGTGTAGAAATGTAGGAGCTCACCTGGATCGCAAAAGGGATTCGGTAACTCCATTGATCACTTCTCTGAACCAAAGATCTCAGAACTCCAGATCCAATCAATTGTCCCATAACCCAGCACAAATTGACATAAGTAGTAAGGTAAGCTCGAAGCTGCGTCGGGCAAACTTCTGACGCATAGGCCGTTGTCAATGTCTGGACAAGAATCAGTAAGTGCTTTGATCTAAAAACGCCTCCTTACCTGGAACACTCCCCAAGGAATACCGCAAAGAATCTCTCCGACTTGAAGGTCAATTAAGTTCTGCGCAAAGAAGGGGATGAAAATGAATGCAATGACCGCAACCAGAGAGACAATCATAGTCTTCCGATATCCGTATCGTTCACTGACAATACCATTAACGAAAAGTCCCAGAATCTCGCCTACATTTGCGCCCTTTACTTCTCATTAGCTTCACCCAGACAACACTCATGATCGTAGACTTACATTACTAAGACCTGCCTGCCACGGAGCTGGGACCTGATATGGGTTAAGAGGATTTCCAGTAGCCACACCATACTTCTTATTGAAACTGGGAAAAGCATAAAGATTGGCGAGCAGAACAACATCATAGCCTTCCATGACTATAGCGGTAGAAAGAATGATGCTGAACATGACGGCCTTGGGGTAGGTTCTGAAGGCTTGCCAGATTGACATGTTCTTTTCGACGTGTGTGGCATCTTTGGCGTCATTGAGGAGGGCGGGGATGTCTGCGTTGGGCTCGGACATCTTTTCGCGGATGTAGGCTTGTTCTTGGGGGAGAGTATTGGGCGAGGTGATAGGATCGTCGGCGGAGGACGTGTTGCTCGCCATGCTGGTGTATTGTGGTGGTGTATGTGCAAAGTTGGTGGTTTTGTAAAGAGTTGAGAAGGTGATTTGGGATGGAAGTTAACGTTGAGATGATCAATGGGTTTGGATGGATATTGACTTTATGATGAAAGTGAGATGAACGGTGAGCTCGAAATGAAAGCTGAAGTTGAAGCTATACTGAAAAGAGGTACAGAAGCTCTGCTAGCACCAAACAAGCAGGAGCGTCTCTTTCTTGTGTGATTCTGGAGAACAGCAGGTACGAAAAATACGTTGGTAGTTCTATCTGCAATCTCGTTCGACCTTTGGTAACACAAGTACGACGATGAGACGGCAACTTGCCTGTTCCCATCACTTTGGAAGTTATCATGCGCTCTGGTGGCCAACGCGCTAATCTTCGGAAAGAAGAAGTGTTTGTTACACTTACAAAGAATGTATCTCAAGCCAAAGTTGGTCTTCTCCGGTTGTTCGTTGCTTTTGGTACGCGTTCATCTTAACTTCTCACGCCGTACGACGTCCAAGATCAGGAAAGCTTGGTTTTGAAAGGTATCCTACCTAGGTACTCATTGTTACCGTTGTCTGATGTCCTCCAGAAGCCATACCAGAAGCTTGTAGTATGAATATCATGCACTCATCGACTCATTCGGAGGTGATCCCGTGAGACCCATCCTCTCACCACGAGACTCCACGCCTCAAGTCTCAGCCTCCGGAAATTAAGAGGATCTGAAGTACGATCAGTCATTTTCAGTTGAGCTTTGAAGAACCATGAGTGTTGGTAGCCCACCTTCACCGGATCTTGATCGGCCAACTCCACGTACATCAATCAATTTTGACATTTTGGATCAAAGCAGCTTGCAATTAGAAGCCTAGCTCGTGATGTAAGGAGCGGAGCGGAGCACATCTGGTGGAAAAAAGTTGCTATAATGTTGGCTGCACAACGAGTCAGCCCCACGTCCCAGTACCATGGTTGTGCACGCTTTCCCCGCAGCGAGTTCTTGTGTACTTGTAGACTCGTGATAGTTGCATCGGGAAAGCCGACCTACCTAGATGTCTTCGCGCGCACGATGGCGTTCCACAAAACTCCAACATGGTGCACCGCAGCTGTCTATCTCGTACCACCTTGTACCTCTGAAGGAACTCGACAATACATCCTCACCGAAACGGGCAGGTCGTCTATCTTTCTCGGCGACTAGCCAAGCGGATGTCGTCTCCGCAGTTAAGTCGATGAGTACAATATATACCTAGGTACAGGTACAATTGAGACGGTTCCTGCATTAATACTCTGGTTATCCTAATCGTTAGTACTTCGTACTGACCTCGTCAGGCCGAAACGATTTTCCAATCTGCAATGGAGCGCCGCTGACTGGGTGGCTGACGAGAAATCGACTTTTGTCGAAGGAGGTGCATATGCTGGCGGGAGAGATATGCGGGGAGGACTCGAGACAGGCCCCGTCGATAGGATGGTGAGTGAACACCAAGCAAGGCGGGCTGATGTTTGATAGTTAAAACACCACTGGGTCGAGGTCAACTGATAGGGGTCTCGTTGGCCTCAGCTGCCCTAGATTGCCCCCTAAACTCAAAGCTACCTAGCCTGTAACATTCCCCGCCTTTCCACCAACGTCGTCCCCCGCATTTAAGCAGCACACACTTCACACTTCACACTCCACACTTCACATGCGCTTGTCGCTTGTCAGCTTCTCGAGCCGCTCTCCCTCTCTCTTTCCTCGCCATATCTCTCGCTCAATCCATCGTTCCGGACAGTGTCCAGTTTCACTCTTTCCATGATAATCCGGTGACGATACGAGCCTGGAGGTGAGATGGGATGTCTCCAGAACCAACCAGATCAACAGCAACCCGTCGCACGGTCTGTGATCACTGTCGAAGACGTCGTAAGTCTTCTTTCTGCAAAGCCTGCCATTCGCCCAACACGCTCTTATCGTCGCTGGAGCTGGAGGGGCATACTCGGAACAGAGCTTGAGCACTGACCAGCCAAAAGGAATCCGTTGCGACGGAGAATATCCATGCAATCAATGTAGCAATGCTTCATTGACATGCAAGAGGGAGCATGTGCCTAAGCGGAGAGGTCCCAAAAGGGGCAGTGGGAGAGTCATTAATGAGTTACGGGCTCAGGAGGGTGATGGAGTTCAACCACCAAACTTACCCAAGTCAAATGGTTCAGGAACGGCCAGCCAAAGTTCGGGGCCGCCATCGTATGTTGCTTCTCTTCTTCTTCAAGCTTCTGTTACTCATATATGGATCTTGTTCAATTCTTCATGCTTGAAGTTCGAGTCTACACCTTAACGAAAGAATTCGCCACTGCGAAGAAGAGTTTTTGGTCATGTGCCAGGCACGTGCTCCGACGATTTGCTCGATTTCTAATTCTTCTATTCCATTTTGTTTGCTGTACTTTGTAACATGGTGCTTACTTGATTCTACAGAATTGATCAATGGATTTCGGACAGCGCTGCTGCATCGACATCTCCTACAACCGATCAGCAAAGATGGCATCCCATAATGTCAGATATTTCCCACCAAACCGAAGAATCCGCAAGCATCTTCACATCAGATCAATTCAGACCAACTAGTGTTTCCTATTTACACCTAATTCCAACATGTCTCGACCTTTTCTTAGAGCATATATACCCCATTATGCCCCTCGTTCACTTCCCAACTCTGAGAGCATCCCTTAATCGACCTCTCGAGATGTATGAGAAGAATCTTCTCTACTCTCTCTGTGCTTTGACATCGACACATATGTCTGGAAAGAGCATTCTGGCTCCGGGTCCTCCATCATGGGAAGCAGCTGGCCGTTTCTTCCTCGACGAATGTATTTCTGTCCGCCAACATTATGATTTCGTTGAGGACAAATCATTATCTGCTGTTATTTCCTCGTACTTTGTATCAACAGCTTTCTTCGAACTTAATCAGAATCGCAAATCATGGTATTACCTACGGGAGGCTTTGACGATGGGCCAGGACTTGGGGTTTCATGACGAGAACAGTTATACTGGGTTATCTCCTGCTGAAGCACTCTGTCGTCGACGTACATTCTGGATTTTATATGTCACTGAGAGGTATGGGCATTATTCCTCCATCGTCTCGTATCTCACAAGTTGCAGGTCATTCGCTATACTCCGCCACAAACCTCTCACCCTTCAAAAGACCCCCGCTTTCCCCTCTACCCTCCACGAGTACGAAAGTCCAGAAATCCACTCCGGCTTCATGCATCTCGTAAACTCCTACCACCTCCTCGACTCCTCCTTCGTCGATTCCTGGAACGAGTCCGCGTCCGTCCCCGCCTCAACACTAACCTACACCGCGCTCCAACAACAACTCTCCCGCCCCTCGCACGCAACCAACGTCCCCCTCACCGACATCCAAAAAGCCGACATCCTCGTAACCCAACAATGGCTCCGTCTCATAATCTGGCAATCCTCCATGCGCCAAGGCCTCCTCTCCTCCAACGCCGCCGACGAATCCATGACCTTCCGCTACCCGCTCCAGATCGCGCACTCGCTCCTCAACGTCATCTCCTCCCTGCCCACGACCAGCATCGAGGTCCACGGCATGGGCATCTTCGAGAAGATCTTCGAGATCGGCAACACAATGCTGGATGTCATGCAGTTCTGCGGGCCGACGATGAATAGCGAGGGCGCGTATGGGGTCGTCCAGGACCCGTTTGAGGTTTTTGTTAAGACGCTGAGTCAGACGCCGAATAGTCAGCGGCAGTATGCGAATCTGCTGCTAGCGAAGGCGGCCGAGAAGCCGGAGTTTAGGAGGTTTTCGGATCATTTGATGCCGGAGCTTCATGGGCATGCGGATCTATTGCCTGGGGCCGGGTTGGAGGGAGTTGGGCTGTTGCAACCGCCTGTAACGCAGGGAAGACAGTGGAGGGGTAGTATTGTGGGGGAGGTTGCCGAGGATGGGAGTTATAAGGTTAATGATGATGTAGAGGTTCAGAACCAGGATTGGGGCGCGAATAATGCTTCTCTTCCAGGGACGGGAGCGGCGAATGCGATTTGGATTCCGGATACAGTTAGTGTTAGTGATGATGGGTCTGGGAGTTTGTTGGTTGGGGATGGGATGGATGGCGTTTGGATGAAGATGGAATAGGGCGGGGTATTATCATGATGAGGAGTGATTTGGCATTTCAGGCGAAGGGTAGGATGGATCGATACCTTGGCATATAGGATTCGGAAAGGATTGCTTAAGTCACGAATGCTTCTCTTCATTCATCTTAGGCGGGAATGATGCTTATATAGTTATGATGACTCTGTTTTTATTCGCTATTTGTTTCTGCTTCTTGACGCCTCTTCTCCGAATCATCTCCTTTTAATACGTATTTCGCTCTCTCCTTCCGAGTAGAATATCACTTAAGAATTTCTCATTCATTTGCACGAATCAATGATGGCTTTAAAGAGATTCATATCTCCAATTTACATTAGACACTTAGCGGAGCTGAAGTCCGGGTTCACATTCAGCGCGTTTCGCGCGCATCGCACAATCAGCGCGATTTGCGCATTTTGCGCGATTCGCGGGATTCTTGCTCCCAGCGCCCCTTTCTCGCTTACGCTCCTCATCATCGTTAAGACATGGTTCTGGAGGTCATTCAGTTCTGGGAGCGTATGCTCCGTGCAAGACAGACATCGAGCGGGAATTGCGCATTGAGCGCTATGCAGGGGATTCTTACTCCCAGCGCGCCCCTCTTGCTTACCTTACTTCCTCCTTAACAAATGTTTGAGTACTTGACAGACATGCAATTGGCATGTCAAAGCGCTCAGGAACCGTGGCGCAAACATCTTTGGATCTGTAGTTTGTAGAGTTCGAAGAGTCCTTCGGGAGGGCTGAATTTATAGTTATTTTTGATTTTCGGATGCTGCGCTTTCGTTGCGTTCTGTTGTATTTTGATTTAATGTTCCACTCTTTGTTAGTACTTTGCTGCTTTCCTAAGTCAGGAACCGCTATTTCCACTTACGATCCCACCGATATATACAGGATGATTGGGAGAAAAATATTCAGCGAAGCTTGAAGGGAATGGTGGCTACGTTTGTCCCAGTGTGCACTCCATAACCTTCAAGGAAATTCCGAGAGGTTTTCGATAAGTCGACGCGTTGCGAAGAGATCCATGATTTGTGAAAAGAGCTTCTGTGATCGACCGGATCTCAACGACTAGGGATCTCCTGAATTCATCTGGTGTAATTTAGAGGAGGCTGAGAGCCGCAGGTGATGTTAATGGGGCCTCTTTTTGTTGCACGTCGATGGATTGTTTCACATCTTTACGACACTATAATGGCTTTCCAAGTAGGGAGCAACTACGAGGACATATACCCAACACAATGTCCCTTTTGAGCATGGACATTATACTCTCTTCAGTTTTGTTGCACGTCGATCTAATGTTCTACATTTTCTTCGCATTTTACAATTTCTTAAGTCAGCGATGGCTCTTCTTACACACTCACTGTAACAACGGACATTGGGCCTGCTCTATTTGGGTCATGTTGCACATCGCAGATTTGTCAATCGCCTGCAGTCATTGCAACCCCTTTTCAGTCTCGCTTAACATCCAGCACTTTCATTGTATGAAGGTCAACTACAACTATTTTGCTCTTCACTTCGGATATCTAGGCTGTTGAACCTATATTCCAAAATAATTTAACTATAGTACAAAACTAACACTGAAAGCAAAACGAAACAACAACAAACAATATTCGAATGCATTCCAAACCATCTCCCTCACCCACTCCCCTCATATCCCAAACACCCGCCCTCACCAGCGGCGCAAACACCCTCCACTCCACTCATCCACCGCCACCGAATGATCACTAACATCATCCATCGCAATCTTCTGCAGCACCCCCTCCTCGGATCAACAGCCACCAATTCCGGCCCCCCAAGAAAAGATATTTTTCCTTCCAATAACAGGCTTGGTCACACCCCTTTATATTCCCTACTTCCTCGACGATTTTACCTGAGTATGCAGAGATTATGTATGAAGAGGACCAAAATGTGCAACTGAGAACAAGGTATGGGTGCGCGGGGCCCGAAGGCGGTTCTGGCGGTTGAGAGGACCAGTGACAAGGCCCTTAAAATATGCAATCTTGAAACAAAGAGAGGAGGAGACTGATTGTCTTACGAGAAATCGATGCTATGTCAAGCGATACGTGCAGGAGTACTTGCCTAAGTTAGTTCTCTTAGGATCCTCGTTCCTCCGAAATGTCTGCGTTGAGCTCTTGTAGAAAGTGCCGGAAGCTTGAACGAATCATATGAGACTCAGAGCTCAGATATGAGGTCTTCGGAATAAGAACGTCGTTTACTTGCTAGCAAGCCGTCTCGCTGTTCCATGTACCCCGAGCTTTGGTACTACGAACACTAGAGGAGGAAAAGGTGTGAGCTGCAGGCAGAGCCGAGTCGACAGAAATCTCGGATCAGAAGCTTCGAAATGAGGGTAAAAGATTACAATATACGCAGAAGAGTATAGAGTCAGGTTGTCGTTTCCTTTTCTGTCGTGCTTTCTCTAGTGTGGGAGTTCCTTCCTTTCTTACACTCTCTGAATCAATTCCGGGATCGAAGGCCGGTCAAGTCCTTCTCTGAACATCATCGATTCCAAATATCACTACTTAAGGTGACAAGATCATAGGCTATGTCGGAGATGTCGCAGCTGCATGAAACCAATGATTATGACTTTAACCTCTCCGTACTTCCACTGTTGGAGTGGAATTTGGATGGGGAGAGCATGAGTTTGAATGCACGTAAGTCGAAGCCCCGAATGATTTCAATGGTGTGATAATCAACTGGAACCAGCAACGCAGATGACCTCACCTGGCCATGCCTCCAACGTCGTTACCGGTAACGAGGGCATTGGAGAATCAGAAGCGGACGACGAGGATAATACGCGTAGCAATGCTGAACTGATTAAAGATACTGAAACGACGGACCGTGGCCACGAAGTAGCTACACCAGATCTCTCGAGAGAAGACTTGGAAAGCCGCAGCTCTGCAGCCATAAGTACGAGCGACTTGGGAATCCAGTGGGATCTAAAAGTGAGCGTGGAGAAAAGAAATGCCTGGCTTCACAAAATCGTTGTCGAATACATCCACGATGACAACTCCATTGGCCACTGTCTGGCGTACTACATCAATCGGTATGCTATTGATATTAGCAAGGTTGGTAAATTCTGGGAGAGAATCGAATACTCAGATCAATTTTCGATACTAGGTCCCGATATCTTTGACGGAGATGGAAAATTCCGAAAGTGTTACTACAAGGATCCTATACAGCGAGGTACAGGAGCATGGGGTAAAATCGAACTGAATCGCGGGCCTCTTTTGTTTATTGAGCGCCTCAGGGTCACAGCCAGAGAATTCCGCGGGACGGGACTAGAACGCGCAATCGTTCATAAGATCATCGACCTGGCACATGCAGTGACGTCCTGGGAAGGGAAGGGAGCTTTCCAGGACCAGAATCGATTTTACGACCAAAAATCTCTGACCATGGTACCTAGAAGATTTCGGCAAATCACAGATCTTAACGTGCTCTTTGTACCTGTCTCTCATCAAATCGATTACGAAGACTTGAGAGGGAAGTCTCGACAAGAACAATACGAGATAGGATTGGGACTGAGAGAGTTAGTTGAAGCTTTTTGGCGATCACTTGGGTTCCGACGCATCGGGGTTTCTCGGTGCTTCGGGCTAAGTTTCGATCCTAATCATGCGTCACGTAGGATGCCTATGGAAAGTGATTGCGACGGACTTGCTCATCCAAGAATGGACGAACACTCCCGCGAGAAAGACAAACATAGCCTTTGGGCCTGGCTGCTGTCACCGGAACGAAAGAGACAAATGGAACAAGATTTCATTTTCCATTACCTTACAGCTATATCCACGGAAAGACAGTACCTAGAGTTTTACAAAGATCTCATCAACCGTGAGTCTGTCGCAAATCAGCTTGGAGATAACCTGCTTCATATCGCCGCCCGCTCCTTGAACCTTCGATGTATAAGGTGGCTATTGGAAAATTATAACCAAGCACAAAATTTGACTTCCGCTCGCAACAAAGGTGGAGGTACCCCTTTCGAAGTCTTGAAAGCTAATCTTGAGGGCATCCGAAATAGAAAGGACCAAAACGGAAATTGCCAATTTGTTGGATACTTGTTCGAAGAAGTGGATTGTATTATTGCTTTCAAGGGTATTAAAAAGCTCCCCAGAACTGATATACAGTATCACCGTCTCACGTATGGCTGCACATGTGGCGAGTGCGTAGAAGGCTACATATCACCACTGATGAAAGCGGCGCTTCTTTACGAGTGTGATGAAATCGAGAAACGGTCCCACAGCTATGCTGAGTATGGATTTCCAGATAATATGCTGCTGCACATACCATCTTCTGTCCAGATAATCCAACGCAGCGTGCCCAGCCGTCGTTCTTTCTTAGCATTATTGAAAGCTGTAGCTTTCTGGCTCAGGCAGCCGATAAACCCTGCCCCACGGCGGAAAATCGTCATATCTCGATTTACTAGCGATGGCGGGCAATGGGATAGAGATCCTGATATTGCTCCGGAGAAATGGGTGACACTCGCAGGGGCCACCGATGCTGCTCTAGCTTTCATCTTTGCACTTGCAAAACATCACGATTCTCGGATTGGAGATGGCAGCTTTGAAGCAAGTGCCCCGGACATAGCGAATCTAAAACCATGCAGAAATGACCATGAGTTTGACTTTGTTGAGAGGGTTCGTGTGTTCAGAGATGATGAAGAGGAAAAAGCCGCGATGTGAAGAACGGTTTTTGGATGTGTGCTCTTGCATTGGCAGGACTCGGTCACCATTGTCGAAGTGTAGTTGGGTAGCTCATTATTGTTTTTGGTGATTAAGCTGTACCGTTAGTTTTAAGTTTCATCATAAGTACTCTTGGATTACTCTGCACATACCTATCTGTTCTTGACACCATTTGACTGAAATTTACATAAGTGGCAGACACAGAAGAACTTGCTACCTCATCTCTTATTTCTCAGGTATGTGCAAGACCTTGCACGATACACTCTCGACAATCCCAGAACCCTAGAAATTTGTACCTATAAGCCAAGCAATCAAATCCGAGTCCTTCGGCAACTCAGGATAATCCATCGCAATGACACCGTACCTCTTCCTCCCACCCTCCCTCTCCGTCCCCGCACCCCAATCAAAGCTCCGTCTGGTCGTCACATTCATCCCCTGCACAAACTTCCCAATGAACCCACTATGCGCCCCAACGGCAATCCAATGACTCTCCGCCACCTCGCCCTTCTCGACCGGATCCCCGACCGCGGACGTGAAATTCAGAAACCAGTGCTCGGGCGAGGAAGACGCGGCTTTGGACAGCATGTTAGACACGTAGGAGAATTTCGATTCGATGAGTTGGGCCAAAGGTTGGATGTCGCTGTATTGCCAGTGGTCTTGCAGGGTGAATTGTACGCCGGCCGGGGACAGGAGCGTGAAGTCTGGGTTGTTGTTTAGCCAGCCTGAGAGGTCGAGGCCGATTTGTGAGGAGGGGGAGAGGGTAGGGTCCGGTTGGTAGCGTCGGAGGAGAACGGCTTTGCCGCGGGCGAGGCCGAGGGTGCTGGTTGTGGGGGAGGTGAGCCAGCGGGATGTGCCGTCGGGGTAGAGGGGCGTGTTGGCGATGTGGGTTGCTACTGCTTGGTAGAAGATTGAGGGGGTGTTGGCGGGGGTTTGGGCGGTGTCGTCGTTGTTTATGGAGACTAGGACTGTCTCGGTTGGTGTTGGGTGGTGGGTTAGGAAGAATGTGAAGACCTATCTCGGTTATTAGGAAGTGCACGAAGCGAGCTGGGAAAGGGGGTGGGAGTACCTCTTGCATCACATCGTCGAACTTTAGGTATTTTGGGAAGTTTATGGGGATCCCTCCATGATACATGTATAGCTGTCCATCGGGGTGGACTCTGCATCTGAGATCCAAGAACCTCAATCCAGCTTCCATCTGTTGCTTCACGTTCAAATACTGCGTTCGGACGAATGGGATGTTGCTCATGGCACAAGTATCATGCGTTCCTGGAACAGTGATATCGGACAACAACGTATCATCTGGAATACCTCCCATCCAAGAACTCAACGAGAAATCCAATAAGGCCCGAGAATACCAACGAAGATCCATAGCTGCGTCATTTGCATTGAAGATACAATTGATTCTTCCATTCAGAACAGCAAGTTGAGGAGGAGAAGTCGATGTCTGACCAGCAACGGCTTCTTGAGGTGCCCATTTCCCATCCTTGTACTCGCTAATGTAAATAGTGTGACTTTCATCATCAGGCCCATTCTCTTGGAAAGCGAGGAAGGCACTGTCTCCATACGAAGTCGCAGAGACACCAGTTGCTGCACGGCCTTCGCTTATGTCCGAGGCCGAGTTCCAGATACTGGATGGTACATCATATGCAAAGCAAAGAATCTCTCGTGATTCATCGTTGGAGCTGCAAAGCACGTGGAGTGTACCGTCTAAGACGAAAAGAGCTGGAATACCGCTGACTTGTTTGATACCGCTAACGTCTTGGACCGGAGTCCATGTTGTAGTCTCGTCTTGTGGGTTCACAGCCCAGATTGAGTAATAGAGATTATTGTCTTGCACGAAAACGAGGAATAGCTTATTGTGGAAAGCTACAAATGCCGGTGTAGAATGGGCAATGAATCCTGCTCTCGGATCAAGGATTGCTGGCGTCGTCCAAAGCTGATCAACGTCACTGAAGACATAATGTGCCATCTCTCCGTTATCTCTGACGATAATGGCGTGCAGCTGACCCGAAAGTTCGGCAATCACCGGGATTCCCTGGTCTGGAAACTGGAGTCGAGGCTGGAAAACATTGTTGTCTCCTCTGGCATAGAAGAGGAGACCAGAAGGATCACTCCACAAGCACCAGAGCTCGCCGTGATGGGTAGCGAGTGCTGGAACTGATGGAGTTTGCCCGTTTGGCGTGTCTTGGACGAATCCGTCGTCATTGAGTCCTCTGGTGATCCAGGACATGATGTAAAGGTGATCTTGAATCCAAGGCAACTATTCGCAAGGATACAACGGAATCTGCAGGCAAAGTCAATGAGAGGAACCTGGAACGAAAGAAGGAGATCACGTGTGCGCGAATAAAATTACCTTAGAGATCTTCAAATTGACGTTTGATGTGCGAGAATACGTTGTGTATCGCCTCAGAAAGTTCTTAAGCCGTTAATGAGAAAGTGAATGGTATGTACAAAATACACTGGCTCGCGATGTCGTTAAGTTGGCAGCATGAGGAGGCGTGCCAAGCTTTTATATCTGACCCCGCGCTAGCCAAAACTGGGTCGGTTTCGTCAGCCGCTAGCCGCCTCTGTCAATCGAATGGTAAGTCTTCCTGATTGGGAAAACTTTCAGCTAAACAGGGTTACAAGTGATGTTGCATTTCATTGTATGGTGCTGAAGTCTCGTCTCCTTCAATAGCTACCACACGTCCTACCCCTCCCTCCTCCCTCCAACTCTTCTCCAATCGTCAAACAATCCCCTAAATACCGCTCGTCCACCACTATCCATCTCCCCTCTCATCGCGTCTCTACCACTTTCATTCATTGTCTCTAATACTGCATACCAACCTTGCATCAGCGCTTCTCTAATACCGCTTTCCATCCTCATATTCATATCCAGCTGCATCCAAATATATTCTTGCATGATGTATTTTGTCCATTGAGCAGACATGCGCTTCGCTTTATCTTTGAGTGAGATGAGAGGGTTAGTGCGCCCCTGAGAGAGGGTGGAAAGAGGTGGGTCTGCGATTAGGAGGAGGAGCTTGGTGAAGTGCTGCGCATGGGTTGTAGTGAGTGGCTGGAGCCAAGAGGGCCTCGAGGCAAACTTAGGTTTGGTGTTGGTAACTGAAGAGGTACCAGCTGGTGTTGTGGGTACGAAGAGGCAGCGGAGGAGAGCTTGCATTGCTTGTTGTGCAAGGTGAGTGTGGCCTTGGAGCTTGAGACGATGGTGCATCAGGATGGTTTGTAGGAGGCGGCAGAGATGGGTATAAATTGTGCTTGCGTGAATTGGCTGAAGAGCTGGTGCTACGAAAGTCATTAGTCTTGCTTAGAAACAGTGGTTATAATGGAAGGATTCGCTTACCTTGCGAAGAGCAAAAGGTAGTGATGCATCCAACTGTGCAATCAATGTTATACTGCGACATCGAATGCCCCTTGCTTTTCAGCATCAGCTCTAAAGTCTCACTAATCAGGCAGAATTGCCGAATTTCGGTCACTTTTGTTAACTGCTCTGCAAGGATGGTATATGCATCAGATAGTGTGAAGCTTTCGCTGTCCTCTTTGTGACCTCGCACGTCTTCGATCGATGAGATGATTTGCCGAGTTGAAAGAAGTTCATCGAGCAGTGTAGCATCACCGGCCATAACTGCTTGGAGAAGTTCCAGCTTCTGTGCGTTGTTCCTTCCCTTTGTCGCACCCTGTGTACGCTTGACGATTGATTCTCTTCCCACGATTGTAGTGGCATCGCCTCGAAGATCGATGTGCTCGATATCTTCGCGACCATAAATTGCTATAAAAGCTTGCAGACGAGATCGAGTGTTCAACTCGTTGTCCTCGAAACCTTCGAATTGGTCACCCATGTCTTCCAATGATGCCAACTTTGAAGCGTCAACACCAAGGGCTGCAAGAGCATCAATTAGACTGACCATAGCTATTTCCGTCGATATTTGATGAACCTCTGTCTCTAGATGCTGCTTTAATTGGATCAAAAGGGCTTCCCTGAAAGTTGCGGTAATGCTTTCAAGATCATCTCGGAGGATGATATCGTGATCATTGAGCGCCATCTCCTTCTCGCGAAATGCCACTAATGCGACTCCGATGATGCTGATCAAAGCGTAATTGAGTTGCTTCTTCTTACTAGCTTTGCTGACCTTTTTCTGGATTGCCTTGAATGCTTCTGTTATGTAAGTGGTATTACGTTTCTGATCCATATTTGCGAGAGCAGCACTAGAGAATATGTTAGCATTTGTACGCCTGGCTTATGAGGATATCCCAGCTGGGAAATAAATCGTGAAGATAATAAAAGACGAGATCTGAATAAATAGAATAGGGAAACATACAAAAATATTAGCCGAGTAAGCTCTTTCAACAAAGCCAGATGACTTTGACACCCAGCAATATCTGCCACCGCCAAGGTCCCTGCAAGCTCGATAAGATCTTTGAACTTCATGTCATCATAAATGGCAGGATGACGCATTATTTTGACCTTCAAAGCGAGGACAGGAAGATCAAGGGCCGTTGACTCTGGCGTAGGCCAACTATTCATGATCTGTTCTTTTTGAGACTTAGAAATATCATCGAGTCTCAGCATATGTAGGCAGTGAGTAGTAAAATGGTTACTAGTGCTCGTATTGATCAAAGGATTGTCAGAATTCGTGGTTGAGTTTAACAGAGTATCGACGATCCTCTCTGGATTGAACATTAGCAGGTACGTTCGTTTGGGTGGGTTGTAATGATGCGTGAAGGAATGGAGACTAACTAGTGAGCTTCTTGTTACCAAAGACAGGTGAGTCTCGTCCCAGCACAGCTGCCCATAATCCGGGAAAAGTCATGGCGATGGACTCGGCATCCGTGGTTGTATTGTACCCAGCAGACGCTATCCAGAAGATCTGTTGCAGCAGATCGTGGAAAACATTGCCACAGATACTCAAGCCAAACCTAATCCATCAGTTGAGTCCTTTCTAGCTGGTTACATTGACATTGACTTACTCGAGAACTTTTGGATGTTCTACAAACAAACACCGAGCAAATGACCACAAAGTCCAATCCTCGTCTGTAGTTGCCATGTATCTCACAGGCTGGTAGGTACCATTCACAAAATCAAGGTTTCCATCAGACATGTTTGACATCTTTGAAGTGAAAGTTTCTGTAATATGCTGTAGAAAGGCGGCAAGCAACGGTTCAGCAAGCTTCTTGAGTCTGCCGGCTTTCTCTGCCTCCGCTGCCTCCCAAGCCGTGCATGCATATGAGAGAATTTCGAGATTCTCATAAGTATGTAATGGAGACCCCAGCATAGAGCGGATGCGTGTGTCAATCTGAAGCAAAATATCGAATGGTTCTGCCCCATTCTCCCACAACATGGAGAGTTCATCTATGTCCGAATGCTCAAGCCATGTTAATGTTCGTGAAATGATTCTCCAAGACCGCCATTTGTATCTTGCGGAGAGCATTTTGGATGCACCATTATCGAAAAGAATATGAAATAAGCGAAGTCCGACCGCATCGACAACGGATTCATCTCCAGAAATTGATCCTGCTATGGCTTCAAGGATGACACATGCAGCGTCAAGACAACCTCCGGTAGCATCTTCTTCTTCGTGGCTGTCGCGATACTCCTTAATCTGATTCTCGAGCCAATCAAGGATCTGAGATATCTGTTGTACCGTCAATGATGACTCGAACAGCTTCCCAAGCTCCGTTTGAAGTGCTTCATCTTCCCAAGCGGTGAAAGTAGTTGTTGAACTGGATTGTTGCAAGCTCCACGTTGCCACAAGCTGAGCATACCAATGTCTAATAAATCCAGACAGATCCCGTGCTTTGGCAAACTCATTCATCAGTGGGACCACCACATGCGAGACGACAGAGTTCGAGAACTCTATCCAACTCGCTTGGCTAGACGATTTGGTGATCCTCCCAAATAGCTCTTTTAATAGATCTTTCTCACTTGGTATTAGGAAAGTATTTCCATCAAGCTTGAGAATGGTTGCAACAAGATCCCAATCCTCAGATCCTGTCCGCAGGCCATACTCCCAAGTAATCTCTCGCAGTACTTCCAGATCAATACTGACTTTGTAGTCAATAGCAGATCTTAGCATTGCGGAAATTGATTTGGCACTTGAAGCTCTACTTGGAATGCCTGCTTTCAGAGTATTGAAAACTGTTGCAAGCCAAGCATCATCTTGTGGTCGTCTCCGCTTCCTTGCTCCAAGTACCTGAACGGAACGAATTGCAATCTCAAAAATGATAGCAGCATTAGCACTGTCTTGGAGGACGGAGATTCGAGTCAAGGAACTTAACATCTCAGTATTCTTGTCTTCTGAATATGCAGTTTTGGCTGGTACAATAATGTTTCGTGCTACTAGCGCCTCGAGTCGTGATAGCCAGTTGAGAGCTGGATATTTACCACTTTTCAATGTCCGAATCAGTGATAAAAGAGGGTTGGCATTATGCAACGAGAACTGAAGGTGCTGATTTTCCTCTGCAATGTGGCAACCCCAGATTTCAATGAAGGGCGAGAGCCAATCCTGGATGCTGCTGCTGGCGAGAGCATCGCCAGAGAGAGCTTTTGAGCAGAGTGACAGCCATAGTCCAAGTATTGTAGCAGATTGCTCGGCTGATGTTCTGATCACCGTTTTCATGTACTCCGCCACGAATGCTGAGCTTCGACCTTGTTCGAGTTTCCCAGAGGTAGACTCGACCACACAATTGACTGCTGCGAAAATAGCTCCAACCAGGCTTAACAAATCTGCTTGCTCTATAAGAGTGGAATTCGAGACGACTGCACCCCCGCGCTTTCGTTTCTTGGACTTCTTCTCAGGCGAGCCTCGCTCAGTCGAACTGGATTCAGAGCCTGCAGCAGGTGGTTGTGAACTGACATCTCTCTTGTCGGTTTCCTCAAGTGCCAATTGTACGATCGAGGTGAACTTCCTTTCAACTAGTATCTGGGCCACGTTGACCAAGGGTATGTTCCGTATGAGGTAGCATAAGAGAAACCAGGAAGAAGATGTTCGTTTCGGGACGTCGTTTTTCGGTGCTTGTAGTTTCTTCAATAGCCATCTCAACAGCCATTCCTCTCTACCGTGATATATGGCCTTTGCTGACGACTTTTCCTTGTTGCATTCATCTTCTGAGAGTCTGCGAACCTCATCCAAAGTCGTGCCAACGAAATTCGCAGCTTCAACAAGCTGGTCCTCGAATGGTGCTGCTTCCTTCTCCAACACCTGAAGCTTTTCTTGCGCAGCACGGGATTTCGACGCCTGAACAAAATCATTAGCCCTTCTACAATCCTGAAATAAATCTGGAATACTACTCACCATAATTATCATAAATTCATACAGACATTTCCGAACTCAGGTTCCCCTCCAAAATTCCAGCATTAAAAAAGTTCCCAGAGGGTGGCAGAATCCTTACACCGCTTCCTCATCCAGCGTCCGAATTTCACGCCAAAATCCCAGCTTCGTCAGGAACCGGAAGCTCTCGCGACGACGAAAAGAAGCCTCAAAGCTACCTCTACACCTCACAAATTGATCTTGTAAGTCAATTGATATTTCGCAGAAATAACGGCTGTTTGGTTTGAGATTGGGATGAGAACGAGATGCTGATTGGAAGTGTAGAAGAGAGAAGAGAAAGTGCAAGATGCCAGAGACGACGATTCCTCCACCTCCCTTGGCTGCGCGCCCGGCGAAACCTGTTAGTGAGGCGTTGTTGAATGAGAAGGTATATTTGTCCTTTCTAGTCTAGTTGATTCCCCTTCCGGCCCTCGGTCTCTTTCATTGAACCTCGAGCAGTCGTATCATGAGAGCAACAAATGCTAACACCAAAGCAGTGGGATCGCTGTCTCTCCTCCCTCCTCATCCGCTCCTCACTTGGCCTCTCCTTCGGCGTCGTATTCAGTGTCCTATTATTCAAGAGAAGAGCTTGGCCTGCGTTTGTTGGGTTGGGATTCGGGGCTGGAAGGGCGTACGAAGAGTGCAATGGGAGCTTTTTGAGGGAGGGAAGAAAGGAGGGTATCAGGACTGTTAGACCTTGAGTGAGCTGGGAAGGAGAGGTCTTTCTGTCTTTGAGTGGGGCTGGCAGAGAATGGAGAAGACAGCAGGTTGGAGAAAGAATGTATGATTGTACAAAACGAGTTACATGGGTTAGGATGAGAGAAGAAGAGAAGTAATATATTCATCTCTTGCTGAATTTCTGGATGTGTGATTATGTTCATGCTCTAAGAACGAGCTACACCTTTCTTTAGGGAGTGGATCTTTGTAATCGCTAAATGCAATGATTTGGATCTTGTCCAAGTGGTGTGATCACAAGGGGCATAACGAAGATTGGACTTGCTGTGAGAACCTTTATTTGTAGGTGTTACGGTAAACTCGTCTGGAACTTCTCAGGAAGCTGGTCGCTTTCGCGATGGGCGTCTCAATCTCGATCTCCCATGATCTTCTCCCAAGCCTCTGCCCAGGAGAAAATCCTCATTAGCCGTCAAACTTCAATACTTCTTTTCCTGGGCTGCCCAGACTCTCCACACTGCTGTCCTCCACAATCATCCCGATGTGTTACAGTGGTCTTTGCACTCCCAGTACTCTCACTTGTTCCATCACCATCCACATACCTAGTCCTGTCTTCATACAATGTTCCTTCATGATAGCCATATTGCCTTGCTTCACGCTCAACCTCTTGCAAGAGTCCTCTCCTCTCTCCTCCTTCCCTATCACGCCATCCACCACTCCTCGTCAATCCTTCGAATAAGTGCTTGGCTGCAGTTGCTACCGTATTCACAGCTTTTCCCAGCTTCCTTGGTGTATCTTCAATTTCCTGTTCTCTTCTGTAAACTCTAGCCCTCGTTCTTTTTCCGACGTTGAAATCATCAATCTTGTCTTTGACGAATTGGAACACATAAGTGAAGATAATCCAGCCAATCCAGCAGAGGAGTGCGACAAGGATGCCAAGAGCACCCATCAGGATGACCATCTCGACGGGCGTGACGTGCATGGCGGCTGTGCTTATCTGGAGGGGATGTGCTTGTGCATGATAGGGTGTGGGGTATTCAGGTTGTGTTTGCGGGTACGGGTGCGTGTGGACTTGGCGAAGTCGATGGCGGGAGAGTTTGGAGATTGGAGCGTGCATTGTGTACCGATTGAGGCGGCGGAGATGTGCGCTCATTGTGTGCTTGAAGTCCCTGTGCTTCGTGGTTGAGAGTCGGAGACTTTAGAGTAGGAAGGTCTGTTTTTTGCTTGTGGCTCAGCGAGTCATTGGAATAAATTATAGGCGTTGACAAGACGAATTTGCTATGATTGATTGTTGACCGTTGGTTAAAGAGTGACGAGGTATTGCGAAGAGAAAGAATAATAGGAAAGTGATGTTGGTGGAAGCATATAAATTCAAGGAACGATTTTCGAACTGTTTGAAGACCTAATTTGAAGAGATGCATTGCTCCTTCTATATTGAAGTTTACTTGAATTCATTGCAAAGCGAGCTAGCTGCCTGACCGTGTAAGTAATGCGAGGAAAGAACAATCTGAGTGTGAGGTAAAGAAAAACTTCAATGAGCCCCTTCCGATTAAGCAAACTTGAGTCTCAACTAGAAGTAACATCTCGTACCAACTACTGCTTTCAGATGACACAAACTGGAAATCCATCACGTGTTCTGGCTTCAGCTTGTTTAAAAAGCATTAGATCAGATAGAGAAGCAAGGAAGGAAGGCAAACAGGTCTAAACTTGAGACGTCATCCTAGCAACAGAGATCTGAAAGGATCCACAGTGCTTTCAAAAATTCGTCAACAAATACCAGATCTTCTTTGAACGTTGAAGATCTCACTCAAAAGCTGTCGAGCTACTCGACTCATGTCAATGTCCAATCTCACGTGTCGCTTGACCTGTCTTCGCTTCCCAGCTTCTCGGTGTGAGACATGCAGTGCGGATACTTGCATATTTGGAGATTCCAGCTCGCCAGAATTTCAAGGAATAAGAAGAGGAGCAGTTTGAGCCGCAGTTCCACGGCTGTTACGAACTGCCAACGCAGCAAGTGTTCGTACAACGTCCTCTATCAACTTCTGATAGGTCAATGGAACAGTAGGCGATTTCAGAATCATCCGATTCCTAAAAAGGCGTCCGATGCGAATCTGTAAACCGTTTGAATCGAGGAGCTACGATCAGCCGGCGGGTTTCGTCGCTATTTCAAGACTTCAAATGGATGTTCTGGAAGGAAATTGGAACAAATCCTGGTTGTTGGCGGCGGGAACTTCCCCCTTTCCACCCCACCACCGCCTCTGTTCGCATGGCGCGCAAGGATTATGAAATCCCTTCAGGAAGCCTAAACCACTTAAGCAATAGTATCAATAGTATCCACAGCCTTATTGAAACACATTTTGGAAGCGAGATGATCTGAGGAAATCGTGGAGAGGGAAACCTTGAGCAATAATCTATGAGCGAGTCACCAACAACCACGCCGATGAATCGAAGATTACCTCTGTGAAAGGAGTGGCCCAATGTTTGATAGTTGATCAGAAGAGTGGAAGCGAGTTGTGAAGGACCAGTGCTGGTTGGATCATGATGCCTTTGTGCTATTGGACATGGATTTGTGAAGATTTGTTTCACAACCTCGTTATGCATCGAGGGGTCTGAGCGGTGGGAATGTGTGTGACCCGAAAGGATGAGACAATCGAGTTGCCACTTATTCGCGGCTGTTGATAGCTGGTAGCGGTGCATCATTTGACAGACGACCGCCTCCTAAGTTCTGATGTGCATTGGGAGTGATACAAACCTTCTGTTAGTTTGAAGATCTTCAAGAGCGCAATTCGTCCGCATATTCCGTACATAGACGTCCATCGCTTACTTCTCGCTATTGGACAGGGGCTCGTGCCTCTCAGTGGTGGCGGTCTGCAAAGAACGTACGGTACGCTCCTGCTTCCTTCTAAAATCTGACACAAGTAGGATGTGCACCGAACTGAGGAGTGAGATGTTCTTGACACTCTCTAAACAGTTGTGCTGCTGTGATAAAAGAATATCGTGATATGAATAAAGAAAATCGTCTCCTGTGTTGCGGAGTGGAGAGGCCCCTTTTTTCCAAGCCTGGTCACTCCCGGATATTAAATGTCAAAGTCCAGGATGGGAGTGATCTGAGGCAGCTCATCCTTGCCAGCGGTATTTCAGCCCCTGGTCTGGTCTGGCTCTGGTGCAGGTAGTTGTTGATGGTTACATGAGCTCGATCAGTCAGCCAAATTTGAATAGACAATAGTTTGCCATCAGCATTTCGTCCTTCCTTCGAGTTGAAGTCATTCGTGCACTCTTCGTCCTTTGCCTGAAATATCATTAAGGATTAATCCATTAGGATCCATTGTCGCCTCACTTTCCAGGCGTTACCCTAAAGATAATACTACGACAAATCAGGTAACGCGCGCTTCGGCGACCGATCCAAACCTCTTTCCTCAACAACTAGACCAATTCTTGGACTTCACTCTCCTCGCAATTCAAAGAGCAACAGATTCGAACAGCACGACACTTATCGTCGACGCTGCGCCCGTCCTTTCATCAAGTCTCTCTGGTAAGTCCGATCTGATCCAATCCCTTCTCCTGCACATGAAACACCGGCAAAGCTCCGTGGAACTGCGAAACTTCTGTCCGATCTACCAACCCCCCAAACATCAACGGTGCTCCTTCCGTTCTCCAATCCCCATCATATATCACTTCTGTTCATTGCGCTGGCATTGCTACATACTTCAACTTGCCGTCGCTGGCAGCTTTGCGATTACTTTTCCAGCTCCGAACTCGAAGCTGACTGACTGGGTCCAGTAGGCTCGTCTCACAGCCGACATCCACTGACCAATTCAACAACACCATCTCAGACTTGCGACCACGATAAACCGCAAAGATGGGTTGTGGCATGAGCACAGAGGAGAAGGAGGGCAAGGCCCGGAATGAGGAGATTGAGAACCAACTGAAGAGAGACAAGATGATGCAGCGAAATGAGATCAAGATGCTGCTTCTCGGTCAGTGCATCCGATCATCGCCGGCAATTGGCATATACTAAATAAAATGATATAGGTGCTGGAGAGTCTGGAAAATCGACTATTCTCAAGCAGATGAAGCTGATCCATGAGGGAGGCTACTCTCGCGACGAGAGAGAGTCCTTCAAGGAGATCATCTTCAGCAACACCGTTCAGTCGATGCGCGTTATCCTTGAGGCAATGGAGTCACTTGAACTTCCTCTCGATGATCAAAAGGCTGAGTACCACGTCCAAACCATCTTCATGCAACCTCAGCAGATTGAGGGTGAGTGCTTGCCACCTGAGGTCGGCAACGCCATCGCTTGCTTGTGGAAGGATGCTGGTGTCCAAGATTGCTTCAAGCGATCCAGAGAGTATCAGTTGAATGACTCTGCCAGATAGTAAGTCGCTCTTCTTTTCGTTGACGCTTTTGGGAGTGGTGTTTGGAAAAAGTTCGAGAGCTTTATGCCTTTCAAAAATTTCAGCCACATTCGCTTGAAAATCCAAGCCGCAGTTCAAGCCGCACCCCAAGCCGCAATTATGATCCGCACAAGATTGCATACGCTGACAGAATATTTCCAGCTACTTCGACAACATTGAGCGTATCTCCCAAGGTGATTACATGCCAAACGATCAAGACGTCCTTCGATCTCGTGTCAAGACTACCGGAATTACCGAGACTACATTCATCATTGGCGATCTCACATACCGCATGTTCGACGTTGGAGGACAACGATCTGAGCGAAAGAAGTGGATTCACTGCTTTGAGAACGTCACTACAATTCTGTTCCTTGTTGCCATCTCTGAGTACGATCAATTGCTCTTCGAAGACGAGACTGTCAACCGCATGCAAGAAGCCTTGACCCTCTTCGATTCCATCTGCAATTCGCGTTGGTTCATCAAGACCTCGATTATCCTCTTCCTCAACAAGATCGATCGTTTCAAGGAGAAGCTTCCAGTTTCCCCAATGAAGAACTACTTCCCCGATTTCGAAGGTGGTGATGATTATGCTCTGGCTTGCGACTATATCCTCAATCGATTCGTCAGCTTAAACCAGCACGAGACAAAGCAAATCTACACACATTTCACCTGCGCAACCGATACCACCCAAATCCGCTTCGTCATGGCTGCTGTCAATGGTAAGCTTTCCTGTCTTTTTGAAATGTTTCTCCTGCTAATATCTTATAGACATCATCATCCAGGAGAATCTACGTCTTTGCGGCCTGATCTAGATATACCAGCATCGGCTTGATCTGAAAGACTTTCCTTGGTTTCGGCATGGCGTTCATTCAAAACGGTGGCTCTCTCAATACCAGTCCTTGGCTCCTACAACTTCATACCCAAACTCGTATCATCTCTTGGTCGCTTCGTCTGCCGCCTGGATAATGAGATATTGAGAAGGGCATATTTGGTTGCGGTGTCTCGCGATGCTTGCGTTTTCTTCGTGTGTTTACTTGCTTCACTTTCGGAAAGTTGTTCCACAGCTGACATCGAAGCAATCTCTCTGGGCACCGATGGGGAGTTTTATTTCGCGTGTCTACTTTGTTGATTATTTTGCCTGTTCCTAGGTTTTCTGGTACTTTTTACTAATAGCGATGACGGAAAACTGCCGATTTGAGATGATGGTTTGATCATTCGCCTTCTCGCGAAGGGGAACGATTGACAAGGATGGTCTTCAATGCATGATGAAGTGGGGGATGGTTGATTTGAAGCAGTGATGAGAGAATAACATGCATGGATGGGAGTTGTTTCTGGCTGCGAACTGATGCTTGCATCGGATGGTTAGTCTTCAGACGTGGACTTCGCAGTAGCAACAAGAACAATCAGACTAAAACTGTGCTTACCTTGACATGTGAGACTGTGAGATCGAAGGCTTAGTTGAAAGTGATAATCATATGCTCCGTATTAAAGTGTATGTTCTACTCTCGTGCTCTGTTTCGAGAAACGCGACTTGCCCATCCTCAATTCGGCAAGTTGAAGTTGACTTATCGTTACACGCATCAGGCAACCATTTTTTTCTCAGCCTCATCCCACCACCTCTCTATCATTTCAACATCAAACTGACTTTTATTCCCATCACGTCTCATCCCAACTATGCATCCCCTCCATTAAATTCACCGCGAGCCCGAAAACTCAGTACACCCACGAAAATGAGGCTCTCCCACCTACTAACGCTCGTGCTGCAATGTCAGCTGATATATGTCTCGGCCCTCATCACCCTCGAATCAATCAGAGATCTTACCCGCCTGACGGACGATATGAGAGCCAGGATCGAGGGATCGGGAAAAGTTTCTATTGTCCCGGGGCAAAGGGTATTAGGAGGAGGAGAGGATGGAGATGAGATTGAGGATGTAAGTCCTATCCTTAGGAGAATAGAGAGGTTGTAATTGACGTGAGATAGGTCGTGGCTGCGGCGCTTAAAGTGCTTTGTTCGGAATTATTGAGGGAGTTGGAGAAGCCTCTTATTGAGCCGCTGAATGCGGAGGTGCTTGTTGATGTGGTGAGTTTTTTTCCGTCTTGGTAGATGGGAGGGGAGGGGATGGGAGAGAGGAGAGGGCTGATGAGATTTGAAGGGAGAGCAGGATTTGAGGTGTAGGGTTATTAGGAGGGGGTATCATGGGTTTTTGGAGGCGACGGTTAAGTTTCTGCATGAGGTGCAGGAGAGGGAGTTGAGGTGGCAGTGGTGAGTTAGTTTGTTCTTATGTCAAGTTGCAATTCTTTTTGTGGGAGTTGAGAGATGGCTTGGGAAGCGAGATAGGGGTGCAAACGGGCGCCGTCTGTTTGCAGATTTTTTAGGCAGCTCGGAGTTCTTGGGCTATTTGGCTGTATTTCAGCTTACACTGCTGATATGTTGGGCAGGGATCATGAGAGCATGGTTTTTGAGGGGGTGGGCTGGTTGCAGGGGCTTTGGGCTAGTCGGAAGACGGTGAGTTCTTATTTTTTTTATATCTTGTTTAAGATCTCGGGATGAGGGAAGGAGCCTCGATGATGAGATTGGAATTTTTTAATGTAGGAGGATTGAGAAGCAAGTGTACTGTGGTGGAAGAAGACCAGAGCTGTGATGTAACGCGGCGGCTTGGTGGATATTCATTCTTCTTCTCCGTTTGGATCTTCACTTGGCGAGAAAGAGATGCTAATAAGAGCAGAATATCCAGGACAGAAGCTTCATCGAGCAACAGATGATGCTGTATAGTGAAACAGGATGCTTTGGGAAGAGCCAGGAAGTACTGAGGAGTGGAGTCGAGGTCGTCGAGTACCTGAATGACTTGTTGGACTCTTTTCCTTGATAACATAAAGAGTTTAGTTATAAAAGAGGTCTTAAGGAGGAAGCACGAACAAAAACAGAGAGCTCGAAGATACCATTGCAGCCGGCGTTCCTTCAATCAATGAATAATTTTGTCTACCTTCCGAGCCTTCCTCCCTCGCTTAGCGAAAGAGATCACAACAACACCCAAAAAAATCATCACCAACCAAAAACAACAATTAGAGACAAAACGCCCGGGCACACAGTACTTCGGTATTATTACCGAAGTACTGTGTGCCCGGGCGCCCAAGCGCATAGCTTGTTCGCGGTGGCGGAGGGAATGGCGTAGTTAAGTTGTCGTTAGGAGGCACGGTGGCGAGTCAGCGACAAACCCGGTCGGTCTTTTGGCCACCCACTTTCTGGGTGGCCTAACCGGGCTTGCTGGGGAGGAAATGCTTATTTAAATTTACATAGTTATGAAATTTCGTTTGTGGGTTAGGCTGAGGAAAAGCGAGGCTGAGGAAGGGCAAATTCACGCTAGCTTGTTTTTGATACACGAGCCCAGAGATGGAGGTTGAGAGTTAACGAAGTTGATTACACGAAGATCTAAGTACTGTACATTGAAGGATTGAATGCTCCGACTTCCGCTGTTTCTGTATGTTGATGTAATATTCATACCATCCCATTCCCACCCATCTCCATCCCCATCTCCTGATTCTCATTCCCACTCCCGAAAATCCTAAACATGGTGCTCTGCCACGCGTCAGAATACTGCTCGCCACTCAACCACTGCGCATCCATATCCCCAAACTGCTGTTGTGCACCGAATCCACTCATCCCCACCCCATTGCCAGTCCCCGGCCCGATATTCTGAAACTGCAAAATGCTGTTACTGTCAAAGATCGCCCATTCGTTGTTGTATACTTGAGCTGAGGTGGAAAGGAGTTCGGGTGCCGGACGCGGCGTGTGCATGTTTTGGAGGGAGGACTCGAGGCGGGAGGCGAGGGTGTGCCGCAGGGAGGGCTCGGGTTGGTGGGTTGTTTGGAGCATGTTTAGGTGCGTTTGGATGAGGATGAAGTCTGGGATGTGTTAGATATGAAGCAAGTTGGGGATGTGAAGACAGAAAGGGCAGGAAGAAAAAGTGGGGGTGTGAATGTACCATCTGATTCTCCAACTCCGCCTTCGATGCCTTGGAGTACGAGGAGAGCTGCCCAGGTTATCATCTGAAGCCATGTTAGGTCTACCCTTAAACCATCCAAGGTAGTTGAGGTGACGTACCACAAGGTCCCAGTTGGACCAGATTCCTTTATCCTCATTTTGCAGCTTCAGCGTAGCTCTGGCAGATATTAACAGCTCGTGCCGTTCCATATTCGCAACATTGTTGGCAAAGAGGTCAAAGCCGCGTGCGGGATGATAAATTGAGAGGACGAACAGTCGGTGAAGACTGTATTGGCGGAAGATCATTAGGGAGTCGTGGTCTGGGTCATTGGGCTCTGAGAGGGGATTAGCTACAAGATCGTAAGGGATGATTTGGAGGTAGGAACACAGGAAGATAGAAATGCGCTTGTAGTGTGAAGAAAATGGATTCGGTTGCCAATGAGGGCTCATGTTGTTTGCTTGGGGACGACGATAGATGTATCAAGCGAAGCAGGTAGACGTGAGCAGAGCAGAAAAGAGAAGAAAAAGGTAGATAGTTAAATGAGTACTTCCTCTCCAGGATCCAAAGACAGAAACTGTGCATTGACCACGAAGTAGCTTGTATGGCTGAAAGTTGAGATTCGCCAGATTGACGAATTATTCTTCTTGAAGACTACATTTCCGTTTACTGCATCTTAATATCAGCTTTTTAGAGTTGAGCTTCAACTCCTCAGGAATATATCAGATGAGGCAGCAGAGATTTCATCGAGTGACCGTGTAAAACTGGTGTCTTGCCACATAATTCAATTGTTAAGGACTGCAAGGTCGAAACCGAATGTAAAGCTCACTTAGAACTACTAGAAGTAAATAAAAATTTGTGAAGACTTACTGTTCCATTGCACAAGCCAATCATCCAATTGTCTTGCCCACTCTCGGATCACCTTACTATCTGCTTCAGTAAAGACGGCTGGCGTACGCTGTGCGCTATCGACCTGATTCGAGGAGATGAAGGACCATATTGTGGGCAGCCCTCTGCCAGTGAAATGGCTAAGGCCGGTATGCATCATCTGTGTGAGACTGTAAAAAGGGTCTTTGGCTGCTGTCTGAAGCTGCCGCAAAGATGGCAACGGTGCTTCTTTTGGGACAATTGGGCAGGACATATGCAATGAGGCATGTTCGAGATCGATGATCTGGTACCGTTAGTGGCTAGCACATGCTGTACTTTCTAGTGATTCTTACTTGTAGTCCTGAGAACAAGCCTCTCCATTCGTGGGAGCGTTCATCGATGTGAACGGGGCAATGATCAAGCGTGAGTCGATATCCCATCGTTATCCTAAAGGTAAGATCTGACGTTTAGTATGTTTCTTGCAGGGCAATCAGGAAGGTGGAGGTTTCAAAGATGTGAATACATGCATGATGCCTAGGGGAACTACTGGTTCGGAGAGGACTTACCACAGGCCAGCAGTCTCAATGAAAGCTTCAGAGATGAGTCCAGCAAGTATGAGACCCAGTACATTCTGAAACCCTCTCTGCTCCTCGCTCAACTTTGTCTTCTCTTGATTAGGTCCATCTTTGGAAGCTCGTGAGGCAGCCTGAATAGGCACTGCTAATTCTGAGATAGCACTACATGTTGCAACAAAATAACCAGGAGCTAAGCCTGCAAAGTCGGGAGATTGATGATGTAGAGCTGAAACGTAGAGTATCGCAGCAAGTAGAAGTGGAGTGGGCGTAGATGAAGTCTTCTTCTTTGACAAGAAATGCAGCCCGGGCATATTCTTGTGAAAGCTGCCATGTCTTAGACGAAGAAAATAGGGGGAGAAAGCTGCTTACGATAGCCAGAGCTGCTTGATAACATCACGAGACCATATCTTCGGGGTTTGCGGAGGTCGAGTTGTCGTCTTCAGATGCATCGCTGCAGCAAAGACGCCATGGAATGCCGAGTCAGCATCTGTTGGGCGTAGACATACATCATCGTCCAAGACCGGGCGAGGAGAAGAGACAATGCCAAGTAATGCCTCGATCGTATCGAGCCGGGAAAGGACTGTCTGAGGATCAAGCGTCGGTTGGGCCGTATTGCTTGCATGTCCTGCAATAGCATGAGATGGTGGTGGAAGCTCATGAACTACAGCAGCGGCCTACTTGGGTCAGCGGAGGAAGTGGAGAGAATGCGATTCGTTCACGCCCACATTTGCCCGCGGTTTAAATATACAAGGGATTTGACTCAACCGGCATCGTTTGCAAGTGGATGATTGATCTTCTACCTCGCATTTCATCTGAACAAGTCAGGAATGAACGCGAACACGATCATCGGATTATCACCTTTTGACGTCTGCAATTGACTGGCAAGGATGAGCACGGTTCGTAAGTTCTTTCAGGTGCAAAACTTACCGCATGCTTTCTGTGAAGCAATTAGTATGAGAGATGTTTGAATATTGGAGACGTGACGTACCGTGGGCTTTGGGCCCATGAAAGTTCCATTTCTGTTACTGTTGCTACTCATCGTCTATCAAAAGTTCGCTTACACGTGATGGCTCATGACGAGGAATAGGGGAGCGAGTGGAGGCATCAAAGAAGGATACTCGGCGAAGCTGTGCGTGGTGGAGGGAGGTTATCCTAGTCCGTTTTGAGGCTGCTGATAGGAGAGTGGGGCATCTCCTGCACATGACATGCATTTACCCTCCATTTTCATAATTTTTATGCACACTCAAACCAACTCACCAGGTTCGAGCCAAGATTTCTTTCATCTGTTTGAAAGAGGATCTTCAAAGTGACAGCGAAGACATGTTGAAGTCGGGCGGTGCTTGCTTCCGGGAGATGGTGGATAATATCTTGGTTACATATATCAAAATGCGAGAAAATCGCTTTTAAGGTTGGCCCCAGAATCGAACGGTCTCAAATGGCGTGAGTTACACAGATCGACAGAAGTAAAACCCCTGAATATACGGGGACACCAAATATAGATGAATCAATGAGGTCATTGTGAGGTGGTCGCGGGATTGAGGAGAAGATATACTTTCCGCGAAACTGCGGCCGCACCTCGTCTTCAGTAGCTTCGGTCTCGAGTCTCTTGGCGCTCGAGCGGCTATCGACCAGTAATTGCATAGGAAAAGGTCAATGATGTTTGAACCAGAACTCAAAAATGTGTAGTAATCATAGGATAATCATTCGCATCAGCTCGTATCAGCTCTTCCATCAGGGAGGCTCGTCAAGAGAACCCACTAACGGGCAAAAGCTGCAAGTCATCTTATATCCATTGGCCATATATGTATATGTGAGCACATAAGCTATATGACGGGCAAATATGTATCAAGTTAGAGAGATGGCGTCTGCTGGCGGTGAGCCGTCGTCGAGGGTTAGCCAGTGAAGGGTACTTCTGCAGAGTACTGACGCTCAGACTGCTTAGTCTGTAAATTACTGCGGTTGTTCTCCATTGTACTGTAGATTGACCAGGCCGAGGCAGGCCGGCGCATGCCGAATCGCAAGGTCATTGGCAGTCAGTCCATCTCCATCACGGTTGCATCTCAACTCACGTCTGCGCAACATCGAATGAAAAGCAGAAACAAATATCCAAATTCCTCTTATCCAGAGCTCTGGGACAAATCCGCCACACACATTCTCTCGTCGCATCGTTTTTCAATCCAGAATACCGTCATCGTCGCCCGGACACTCGCGGCTATTGGCCAAACGGGCATGAATGCATGATATTTGCTTCATTGGGCTCTTGTTTCTGCCCAACCGACCACAGACCATGTCGCTCACGTCCGCCCCGTCACTGGCAGTCACCGCCCGCAACGACACACGACTTCCAAGGGAAATCCATGTACCTGTTGTCTCCAGCGTCCTCCTCCTGTCCTCGAGGAAACTGACCCTCCGCTCCTCCAGCGGCTGCCAGCGTTTCCCTCCGTCACTCGTGCACCCGACGCTCCTTTGGGCTGCAACTTGTCTGCAACTTGCCCTCTGGTCCACTGGAATGTGCTTATGGTCCGCCCAATGATGCCTGACAAAAGCCACAAGTCCTCAATCCAGAACACACTCTGTCGTCCCTATGGCGAGGACAGCATGGCAATCTCGAGGGGACGTCCTTGAAAGTTCAAGTAGGGGCCGAGTAGTGTAAGCCCGCCGTGCCGGTTGCAGACCATCGTGCTCTCGAAAAGATACTTTCGACGAAGATCTCTTACACCGAGTAATTTTGTTTGAAGGAAACACTTCGGGAATCCTCTCGAAGCGCGCCCATCTTCGCGCGGTGGCGAATTTTCCTGCATGCCAGACCATCTCATATTGTTGATTCCATTCGAATTCAAGTCTCGATCCTGGTCCAAGCTCCATTCTGTCACCTAGGATCGCCCGCTCATTCTTGTCAAATGTGCAGCTCTTCAATAGCTTAACGTTGGCAACTATAGCTCCCAAAAGGCCACTTGTTGTCTCAGTCCGAGTCTATAAGTTAGCGGCTTCACATCTCAGACTCGGAAACATAAAGGGAATCCAACTTGCCAAAGTTACATTTTGGTCAGCCGCCCACCACTCACCGCCTCAATATTCTTCCAAGCTTTGCCATCCTGGAGGATCCATACCAGTGCCGGAGGACATTTGAACCCAAATTTGACCACTAGGACCCAATCGGCCAGAGGATATTTGCGTGCTTGATTTCCTTTGTACTCTTGTACACTTTGTCTCTCAATTTTCATTTCGCGGATTTTCTAATTACGATATGATGGCCTCAAGAAGAAGTCTCCAAGTGCAGCCAGACTATGGATATGGCCGACCGGTCCCCATTGGAACGATGAGCGCTTCGAGAAGGTACGGAGAGACTTTGTGAGATTCAGGAATTCGGGACCGAGCTAACCAGCATTGAAGTACTGTCTATCCGGAGAGCACTCAGGCCAGTTATGATAATTCTTACTATGCAGCATCTAGGTATGTCTTTTCTTCTTACTTGTTGATTCAAAGAGCAGACGCTGAAGTCGGATATCAAGCGCCACGTATACGCCCGCGGTAGCTGCAACCTACAGTCCAATCGCGACGACATCCTCGTCAGGAATCACTCCCATTCGTTCAAATTCGATATACTCTTCCAGTGGATATAATGTGGGATCATCTTCCGCCCTTTACGGAGCTGCTGGGCCTGGCTACAACTCCTACTCCAGTCCGGCCTCAAGTTGGGAACCTCAAGGCAGGGTCTCACCGGAAACATACCCGGATGAATACATGGCTTCACCCAGCCCTACGGACTATGTCCTTGAATCCTCAAGCAAGACAGTGAGCAAGATCAAGGGCGAAGGGAAACATTCGCAAAGACGTCCGTCCAACAGAGATGAGTTCGATGGTCCACACCAGTTTCTCCAACGTCCACCGCCGGAATATATTGCCCAACAGGAAAGAGATCTTCCACATCTCCCAACCAACCTGGTTGTTCACGAGCAGGATAGTATCCTCACACAGGTCAACGACCGTTTGTCACAGTGTGCCTTTGACTTCGTGGCGAAGTATCAATTCCCAATTCCACTCGCAAATGGCGAGCTGAGACCGGTGGAGCGACCCGATGACCGGGAATGGACTGAGTGGGTATATCTCTTGAAACGTCTGGCCACAAAACGACGGATACCTGCCCGTGTGTTGTACAATGGCCAGATAAAGTCCTTCATTACGATTCTTGAGAATAGTCTAGAGTTGAGGCACGCGGCTAAGCACCAATCTCGACCTCTCAAGGACGACAGGAACATTTTACAGCTCATATCCGCAGGAATTCAAGTCTGCAAATTACTTAAGGATTCGCCTGCCATGGAGAGTTTGGACAGATTATACGTTGCAACAGAGAAAAAGATCCAGGAGCGGAGTCAAGTCAGTCGCTTTAGAGTGGCCTAATGGCTTCCGCTATGAATTTACGACTTACGTTTGCTGCATGAGCCCCGGCGTTGGGTAACCATTCCAACATCCCTGTTGGACCATGCACAGTCTCATGTTTGTATTTTGCTCTTTCCCATTTGGAGCCCCAATATATTTTTGGTTTTTGGATTCCCCCCACACTTATTGCCCATCCCTAGGAAGTTGCCAGACTTGACGAGCCAAAGGATCACAAACTGAGAGCCTTTCACATGTGTTTCTGTCATTTTTTTGTCAGCCTTGCGGATGCGTTGATGTTTGTGCTTTTGATGGACATTCGCCCGGTTGCCGTTGGCCGCTATTGGATCGCTGTTCCAACAGCTGGAGCCAATGGACAAGATTCGCCACCTGGACTAGGTACCACTGGACTCCGAATACTGTGGACAAAGCTTACACTACAGCAAGCCACTGGAGGGAGGGGTGCCATGCCAGGAGTCGTTGTTTAGCCTTGCTAGCTTAGCAGAGTTATGTGGTTGGTTGGACGATGGCAGGTATGGATCTTGGTTGAAGTAGAAGAGGAGTTTTGAAGCAGCGAATTGTATGGAGAGACTGGAATGATTGGGACGACTGGTCCTGCTTGTTCTATGGCAAAATTGTTTCAGGCGCATTGAATTGGATTGCTGTACAGGCGTTGTTTATCATGGAAAGACGCACTTGCACTTGCACTGGGCGTCAGGCTTCCAGGTCTCGAGTCTTTGTCGATCGCGCGGAGGGGATGTTCTTGCGTTTTATGAGCTACTCGGTCTTGCGGTGTTCTGATGTGTTGTACGCTGGAGTCGGTGACGGAAAAGGGTTTATCACGAAGCCTAAAGCCTCTGTTCAGTATCTCAAGACCAATTACGTCCTTAGCTAGACGAAGAATTCCACCATGAAAAGATAACCTGAGCTTTGTATTTATCCCGTCCTCCGCGCATGCATATGGTGCGCCACCAATCACGAGGGCATTCGCATCCCGGTAACGCCCACCGGTAACGAATTGGGAACCGAATTGCCAGCTGACGAAGCGTCGCGGTGCCCGATTCATTCGTTGGGAAAAGCTGGAATGGGAGGGGATGGGGAAAGAGGCCGTTATATATCACGTACACACATCTCCGGAATTGCTCCAAATTGTGGAGTAAGTGTGCCCGGAAATCTCACTCTTCTTCACCGTGATCATTTTCAGTTCTCGTTCTCGTTAACGTTCTCGGTGCCGTGGATCTGCGTGCTCTGATTGGCTGTCTCGGATCTGAGATCATCGTCGTTTTCGGAATTGGAGAGGAAGAGAGACAGACAGAGTGATAGAATTATACGGGTAGCTGTACAAGATGGCGGACCGAACTTCAAGTAGAAAGACCACCCTTGGTCTTGGTCATCATCACAATCACAATTCCCAAGCCAGGCACGATTGCAGGAGCTCGTCGACGAGAAAATTCCTCCCGCCTCAGTCCTCTCCCTCGCAACCGTATCGTCCACCTCTCCCTCCCATCACTCTGCTCCAGCAGCCTCATCTCCCGGTCCTAGATACTCCTAGTACTTCCTACCACCAGTTCCCTGGCGTTTCGAATTTCCCCGGTCCCCCAGGTCCAGGTCCAGGCTTCTCGTCATTCATGGCTCTCCCTCCTCCGCTTCCAATACCTGTTTCGGTCCCCGCCGCTTACCAAACCACCACCACCACCACCACCACTACGACAACAGAGATCGATGTCCTGATGCAAAGCAGTAGTCCGGACTACGCAACCACCAACACCGAGGGCGATGTCAGCTTCCTCATGTCCTCGCACTCGGACATCGAGCTCGGGTTTAGCAGCAGTAAAGCATTTCCGCTCTCGCCCGGGTCGTCTTCAACTACGACCGGGACGCTGAGTTTCTTGACCACGGCGGGAGGCACGCCCAGTGTGGTTACGGAGGACTTGTCGGTTTCTGGGACGGGGAGTGGGATTGTGACGGGTGGGTACGTGATGGTTAGTCATAGGAGGACGTATTCGGATCAGAGTAATAGGAGTTCGGGGGAGGGAGGGGGTTTGTATAGTACGCCGGATGAGGAGTGGGTTGAGCATCAGGGGGAGGTTTGGGGCGCTGTTGGGACGGGAGCTGCCGGGCAGAGGCAGGAGTTTGCGGTTGAGGTTGAGATGGAGGGAGGAGATGAGGAGGCGAGGTCAATGCCTCATGATCCAAAGTTGGTGCTGTATAGTTTGGGTACTAATGGTACGTGCCTCCTTTTCCTTTCATCTCTTCTGCGCTTGCTTCTTGTTGTCGACATGGTATCAGAGCTAATGAAAATACAGAGCCAAGACCGGTTGAGAATCCGTATCAATACCAACAAGTCCAATCAAGTGGGTATCAAGATGCTGCTACCTACCAAGACCAGAATCAATACAGCTATCAGACTGTCAATCATCAGGTCTTCGTGCAGACCTCAGGCCCAGCTAAGGTTTCATCTGATGGCCCATGGAGTCCTGTCGCTCCACAGGTTCCTGTTTACGACTCTGGCTATGTCGCCTTCCTTCCATCACCTGGACCTGCTGGCGAGCAGGACTCGGAAACAAGTCAGAGTAGGGCATCCAGTGCCACTCACTCTCCGCAGCCTGGAGACTCCTCGGTGTCGAAGCGGCGGTCCAAGAAAGCTGGTGGGAAGGGAAAAGAGAAAGATGTTTCTGGCTGGGAGCACACTGTTGTCTCGAAAGGCGGCTTGCAGTTCGTGAGCGAGAATGTGAAGGAGGAGGTGGACGTCAGAAGTGGTATCCGCAAAGGAAAGTTAGATCCCGAGACGGCGGAAAAGGCGAGAAGGATTAGGAGGATGAAGGCTTGCTGGAATTGTTGGATCCAGAAAGTTCCTGTAAATTGGTCGATGCAGTATGGTGTAACGAGGCTGACGAGAAACAGTGCTCTGAAGAGAAGACATGCGAGAGATGCACCAAGCTGTTCTCGCCAGTCGCGGATCAACTCTGCTGCAGATCTGGGTTCAAGGACTATGAATCTACATTCTTCCCAGGTGAGCGCGTTGCTCGACTCAAAGAGTGGTACGCTGACATTGTTAGATTACCTCCATGCTCACTTCAAGAAAAAGAAAATAGAGGATCTCATCTCCGAGCATACTAGCGGGTTCAGTAACACAGTCTTGGTCGTTGATGTCTCGACTGGAGGACTTTTCAAGGCAATGACTCTGACCGCCAATGTCTTTAAACCCAAGACACGGGAGTTACTTCGACACGCGAGTCTTGTCAGTCAGCCTGGGCAAGATTCTCAGTTGGTTGAGCGATACAGTGCGCCTGTGGGTATACTGGGCCTCTCGCCACCAGAGATGAAGAAACTTTGTACGGAACACATTGATGAGATGATAGCGAACCCATCGTATGCTGCACAAGCAACAGCGGGTGACGACACCAAGCTGCCTTGTGAGATCCTGGAGATTGTCCGGAAGTATTGTTCGAAGAAAGACGTAAGGATCTCTGTGCTTTTGCAAAGTCTTGCTAATAGGATTGGCGAAGATACCTCTCGTCCAAAACGCTTTAAAGATGCATGCCATCCACTACTTCATGAGCACACTCATCACATTCTCTGAGGAATCAGCTGAGAAAGTGTCTCGATCTATACGGAACTACGATGCACTTCTCGAGCCGTACTTGTCTTCGAGACTCCTCAACAGACAGATAAAGTATGTCATGCATAAATTGCACCGCGAACTCACCATCGAGGTGCTTGAGGGACTCGAGCGATCTTTGCGGGCAAGAACAAAAGACTCCTGGGGACCATCATTCTGTACAATCCTCATTCTGTGCTTGTGTATCGAGGATCTGCAGATCGCGGCAGATACGATGGTTGTCTGCGACATGCTGAAAAAAGGGAACGAATCACAGTATACTCGGGATCAAAGCTACCAAGTCTGCCTTGCGTTGGACGAGTATCCCTTCTCACAGTGCAAGCGGCTTTTCCACGACATCTACAAATCGCACAAGGAAGCGAACGGTGGTGCTCGAGAAGGAGGCTTCAATCCTTTGCGATCCGTTCATGAGAAAACCAGTACAGGTTTGGATGCCACCACGGATGCAATGGTCAAATCGGTGTACGGGGTTGTGGAGGAGTCTTGTGAGTTGTAAATCCCTGACGAAGTCGATAATATACTAACAAGTTCTAGACGATGAGATGGTAGAGCTTTCGAAACGAATTGCGACGATCGAATTTGGATATACGGTGAAGCCGAAGGACATCAAAACCAACAATACTGGGAGATTGGCTTCTGATTTCCTCAGGTCCTTCTTCCCTGATAGCTGAGCGCTGGTTCGTGAGCTACAATGATGATGAACAAACAACATGATGTGATGCAGCGATGGATGATGTGAAGGTTCGATAATATTCATGTCCATATATTATTAGGGTTTGGTACGGGCGCAACGGATTTTAGAAGATTATCAAGGTGCATGAAATCCCAGGAAAATTAAGACCATTTCCTTGATCGTGTAGACATTGAAGAGAATATCATCGTATTGAAAATAAGATGTGATATGGTAGATGTTTGTCCCGATTAGTCCTCCTGGCGCACTTGTCAACGCCAGCAGGGTGGATGGGACTGGCTGTCTAGGCCGTTGGTTCTTTATCCCACGAACGATATTGAAATAAGTGACGCTCAAGTCCATTAAGAGGCGCGAGAGGTAGGCAATATGTGGTTTTATTTATGGCATAAAGGAAAACAAGAAGGAAAAAATGAGGAAGCTTTGAAGTCGATGTAACGACTGACACGTGACTGAATATTTATCAAGTCCGCACGCGCGCAACAGGCATGGTCCGACGCTGGCTCATCTAGCCCATGGATACTCGCGAGTTCTCATGATGGTTTTGACCCGAGGCATGCGGAGCTGGATGGCTTTGCATTCGTCGTTTTCGATATCAAAGTTTGATGAAGAAAATTGAAGAGATCTCGCAACGAAAATTTCAAGGATGAGCTCGATTTTTAGCGTCGCGCTAAAAATTGGCGCTAGTGCTGTGACCTCAAATTTTATCGCAGGAAATCAAACACTTCTTCTTTTTCTCCATATTCACAAATATACTGACACGGTCAATCAACCGCTAGGATCCATTCACCCACTGGCTCGCGGTCATATTTACGTGCCTGATTGACCTATATTTCGTGGGCCCTTTTGGCTGTGGCTGATCTTCTTGAAGAGATGATGTTGCGGCTGTCCTGCGTTTATGACATGTGGAATCGATGAATTGGATGATGAGCGGTATTTCTTGCTAGAATAGTGGATGAATGAGGGAATTACACAGTAACCTCCAGTACTGGCCGACAAAAACTCGTCGCTTGCTCATCGATCGGTCTTCGCGAGCTGCACAGTCATGGCACGAGGTGATGCAAAATTTTCTTGGATAAGAGTTCATTCTCTCAAGGAATACCGAGACCTCAAAGTAGTCAAGGGACATCTCCATATACTCATGTGTAGGTCTAAATGCCAGTCATCTCCTTCGTCTCTTCAGACATTACGACCTTCTTTTCTCCTTCAGTAGCACGGGCTACACCTTCTGCCAACTTCTCTTGGATCTCTTCGCCGTCAATGATCACAGCAGTCTCTTCTAGAGAAGCACCGCTCGTCTCCACAAACAGGAAATATACGACAACAAGCTCGACGAAAAGCCAGACATCGTACACAATATAATCTGGCATGCGTCAGCTCGGGATTTGCAGACGATGTACCTCGAAGACTTACATTTCCATTTAATGTTTGTTACTCCAACCGGATTTGCGTATTGATTGAAGATTAGAGCAAGCGCGACGAAGAGATTGTACAGCACGAGACCCTATTGGAGTTCAGCAGATGATATTGTCCGGTTACTCCAAGCTTACCCGTGCACGGAGGTGATATGGAAGGATTTCCACGACATAGGTGACCTGCAGAGGTCCCCATCCAATTGCATACGACAGGTTGTACAGAAAGATCATGGCCAAAACACCTTTCGCAACGCCGTCTGATCCTTGTCCAGTCAAGTCAGTAGACTTCTCGTACGTTGATTCAAGTGCAGTCCAGACTGTGATGGTTAGCAAGTGCTTGAAGACTAGATGATAGATATTTACTGATGAAGCACACCAGCATGGAAGCTGTCGATACCAAGAACATTGTTCGTCGTCCGAATTTGTTCACAAGGAGTGAGAAGAAGAACGTCGTTACAAGACCCCAAATGGTCAGCAATCCGTTGATGAGTGTCTGCGTGTCTTGCGACGTGTATCCGATTGAGTTGAGAATAAGCGTCAGATAGTATGATATCAGACCATTCCCAGACCATTGAGAGAAGAAACCAACAGCAAGGATAATAAAAAAACGCAGCCGGTTTCCCTTGGTCTTGAAGAACGACATGTACGAGGTGCTAGCAAGTGCTTCCTTCTCGAGTCGCAGAGCCTCTTTGATTTCTTCGAGTTCGAGCAGTACCATATAGTCTTCAGAATCTCCGTTGCAGTGGTATTTCGTTATGATCTGCTTTGCTTTCTCCTCGCGGCCTGTGTCTACTAGCCATCGTGGAGATTCTTCGATGAAGAACGCAGCAGCTAGTTGGATGACACTGGACACTCCTTGAAGGTACGATGGAATTCGCCATGCATAGTCATTGCCCATACGGAAAGTACCGTAAGTGATCCAGGCTGCGGCTATTGCTCCGAGAGACCATAAAGCGTTGTAAATGCTCACCAATGGAGCTCGTTGAGTTGGGAAGGCGAGCTCGAGGATGAGGAGAGGAGCAGCCGTGATATTGAAGGCTAGACCCATACCAAGGATACCACGAGCGGCAACAAACATACCAGCTGTCAACGAATCAGCCTACGGTTACGATACCTAGACTGACTGTTGAGACTTACTGTTCTTAGCAGCACCTTGCAGAAGCACACCGACCAACATTATCAATGCACCAAGAAGCAGGGTTGCTCGTCGACCGAATTTATCGGAAGCAATTGCACAAAATGGCAAAGCCACCAATTGTCCGACATTCTGGATGGCGTTCAACCTATAATTAAGGTCAATGATGTCCTGCATCAAGTGTACGGTGATACATACAAAGCCAGAGAACTAGCATCAGGATCATGGAAATATGCTTTCCACGTGTCGAGGGACTGCAAACCATCTATCGCCTGTCAATCTTGCTCTCCATATCCTTCGCTTCTCTGCCACTTACTCATCATAGACCCATCATATCCAGTAGCATAGCTGGAAATCAATGAAAGACACAAATTAAGATTCAACAACACCACACCACGAGTAGCAAACCAGCCAGTCTTTCGTCCACTCAAGACTGCTTCCATCACAACGGGAGCTCCATGGGTCGACATTTTCACGATTCTCTATTGCATTCGTATTCAACAATTAAGAGGTTTGGAAATCCACTCAAGCTATCATTCCCGAGGAGCTGGAAAAGCTAAATACTCCATGTTCTCTGTTTATCTTTTCTTGGCATATGCAGAGCTCAAAACTTGTTATCTTCCCTATCTCCATGATCGTATTGAATGTTAGGTTCGTGGGTCGACAATCGCGCTCTCCGCAAAGATGGGGAGATGTCCGAACATCACCGAGCAGTTTGCCGGTCGGCCAGCATCCCCGAAGGAGGAGTGTGGGAAACCCCCATCCTATCATTGATGATTGTCGGTTATGTTCAGGTATTAGCTCTCTAAATATCAACTTTATGGATCATGGACTATCTCATGCATGCGATTAGACGGATATTCGTTCCATTGGTGGACCTTGACGCGCACAGATGATCTCGTGAGTTGCTATTCAAGATGCGACTGAGGGGTACTGTGGAGCTAGTGAGACCCATGGAACACCTTCACCGGGTGATGTGGACATCAGACGTTATTTAACTGTTCCTGAAAACGGTATGGAAGCCTCCTCGCGTTCATCCACTTCAGTGCAGAATGGACCTGGCGATCTGCAACTGTAATGTGGAAATCTCGGCGGAATCCATGCGGTTGGGAAAGAAGGCCCTTGGCACGTTACATTGAAGCGATGTATAAAGCGGTTCCTGAGTACCAAATTGGAGAGTTTGACTCAGCTGCAATTACCTTAAATCTTTGGTCGCTAAGCTCAAGCTCACTTGCAAGATGCGTGGGCTTTCAATTGCTGGAGTTGTCTTCGGACTTGCTGCCCTGGCATCTGTTTCCAGCGCCATGACATTATCTGCTGGTAAGATGTTCTTCCTGAGAGTTCTGAAACTAAGACTAATAACATGTAGCTGCACAAGACTTGTTCGACTATTGCATGTCAATTCAAGATCCAAGATGGGATGAGACGTACAATGTAGTCTGGTTCAATGACAACGGTCCTTGGTCGATCCGTTTCACTGCGTGGTATACGGCAGGACTACTGCACCGTAATCAAGGCCATGATGTCGAGAATGCAAAGGCCGCCTTGAAAGCAATGTGGGTTTCACGGCATTAATGAAGGCGTCAGCTGAGTTAAGATAGTCTGGCAGTTCAGATGAACTACGATTTCGACTCGGCTTGGTATGGAGACTTTAAGTTGTCTCCTGATGGTAAGCAGCCTATTTCGAAAGTATTGATGCAGTTATTGACAGCACTCAGAACCAAACCCTCAGACACCTTTGTATACTCCTAGTATCTACGTAGGTCATCAACATGCTTCTCCGGAGTACCCCTTGTGTTTCTGACCCACTTCGCTTGCAGAACACTTACGATCCTAATTGGAGAGAATTCATCGGGACCCAACTCGTTCAAGTGGTCGAAGAATTTGAAGAATTGATAGGACCTGGACTGGTAAGCGATATCGAAACAGCCATGGCATATGATGCTGTAGGAGCTATGAGACGAAATGGTTCTTTCCCAGAAGGAGACAATCTCATCTTGGCCTACTCCAATCCACGCTACATGCGAGCTTTGAACGTAGGCTGGATCGGAGCCCGTCTCAACAATCAGACTTTCATCGACTTCGGCAATGATCAAGGTACCATGCTCTACGAACTGTTCACCAAGAACGGTGCAAATACTCTTGGTGAATATAACGCTCCAACCTACTATGGCATGGATATGTGGGCCATGGCATCCATGGCGAAGTACGGACCGAAGAATGCCACATTCACCGAAAACGCCAAGAAGATCATGGCGTTGGTCTGGGAAGACATCGCGGAGCACTACAATCCATATCTCGGCAACATGGCAGGTCCTTACGACAGAGCATATACTCGAGACATGACGACTCACGACGCAGTCCTCTCCATGTTCTGGTGGGGAATCTGTGGACACGACAAAGCCCCCACACCACCAAAAAGCGACTTGGATCTCAACTACGACGTTTCTCAAGGTGCGGCGCTTGCTCTCATTATGGACACCGTTGCCAGCACTTTCTCACCCGATGTCATCACAAAATTAACCACGCCCTTCACAACCGAGCGTTTCCTCAACAAGACCATATACTACGATCTCGACACAAATAACAGCCGAACAGCAACATCCTGGCTCAGCAAACCCCTCATGATCGGCGCTCAAATCGTCTCCGAAACAGTTAACCGTGGCCAACAATTCACCCCCGCAATCGTACACTGGGCATCTGACCCTTCACACAAACCGTTTCCTTACAATGGATTCTTCTCTCTCTACCCTACCGCTTCGACAATCTCCGCAACGGCTTCATCCCATTATCTCGAAATCAGCTATCCGAACACGACGCAAGATGGAACGGATTCGTTCCAATTCATGCTCTCGGGAATCCCACCGCCGTGGAACCTGGCGGGGAATGTGGTTGATGGGTTTACTCATCTGCCGTGTTTGAATGTCACTGTGGAGGCGCCGGGACTGGAGAGGTTGGATACGGTGTATGGGAGTATGATTTATGATCATTATTATTATAATATCACTTATGTGGTGCCTGGGAATTTTTCGGGAACGCCGTGGATGGGGTTTGAGTTTGTTTATACTTGCTGAGAGGAAGTAATGTATATGCTCTAGTGGTTGGAAAATGGAAAAAGTCTGAAAGTATCTTGGTTACTGGACTCAAATCTAGCCTCTGTGATCTGTGCGAGAGCAAACGTTTCTCTAAGCTTGGCGCACTGTTGCAAAGGTATACCAGTCTTTGGTGTGGGAACCTTATTGTCTACGACGAGGACAGATATTTTAAACCTTAGGATATAAGACAATGTTGTTCCAGAGCTTGTCGAACACAATAATTCGAAAATGGTGGTTCTTTGAGAGAGAATGGAATACTCATCGTTCTTACATCCCTCGAGTCTTGATTCACACTTGGGACTTAGCCTAATAATTTTGTCCCACAAACTCTAGAACAAGGTATTATCTGATGCCTCGACTTTTGAAAGATGGAAAGTTCCCCGAACGCCACAAGGTGTCGGAAGCCAAGTCAGCCATTCAACGAATCTGTGCTCTTTGAAAAAGAAGTGGAAGCTGTCCGAAAAAGTCTTTGCGTATCTTAGGTATATTGGTGTCTGGTTGGAAGGGCTGGTTGTTTTCAAAGGTCGCAGAGATAGTACGCGGCTCGAAAACCACACGAGTGCTCCTAGCTGCTCGAGTATATAGATGACTGAACCATACGGGATCTTCGTAGTCGAGGCCGCAGCCGAGAGCTTGCCACTTCGTGGCAATCAACGCGACGCCGTGCTCATCATAATTTACAATATCGAAGTGGAACTCGGTCGGGCAGGACTCGCAAGAGATAATCTCAGAGCATGTCGGACAGGGTTGATTATCGTCAATGGTCCAATGTTTGGTACGACACCGTAGAACACGGGCAAGAGGTTCGATGTTGGATAACCTGGGTTCTAAGGAACCGAGGTGACGACATATTGTGGCCCCATAACTTTTGGGAAGTTCCACTGCCTGACCCAATGGCAGCATGAAGATGTGTTGTACTCGGACATATAGAGAATTTTGAATTATTCGAGCTTCAGCTGTGTCTTGACGCATATGACCATAATACGGGTAGGTGGAGTCAAAGCGCAAGAGCTTCAACAACTCAGCAGTGTCCAGGCCCAATCGATGTCTCTTCATCACCATCTGGAAGATAGGATAGCGGAAATTTTCATAGATGGCGTCATGGGTTCGTGTATTCATGTCTTGCTTTACACAAGCCAGGTCTCCGATATATGGTCTGTCGGCGTAGCCCAAGGTTCTGGGACCAGGATCTTTGACGAAAGACTTGTCAACCCTGTGGAGCTTCAGACAAGCTTGACAGGCAATATGATCTGGCATTCCTTTCTCTAACAGAGATATGAATGCCATTTTATGCAATTTGGCTTCTGAGCTTTTACTTCGCAAATCATCCCAGGACGATCGTCCGAGTAAGTCATTGATTGGCCGGCAGCAAAATGCAAACGCTGCAACGGATTCGCTTGGCAGGAAGTCCGCGATGAGGGAAATGACTTCACGAGGGAGGACTCTTAGTGGGCATTGTTCCAGAGCGTGAGGCTTGACCTCGACCTTGAAATATGCCTTCCATGGTGCGACGAGCTTTTGAAGGAGTCGTCCCGTCAAAGTCGAAGAGGTCTTCGGGGGTTGGTCGACTGGGTTGTGTACGAGTGCGTTATCCATGATGTCGTCCGTGTTGGTATGGAGAATGTGAAGGAATTTCGATCAGGAAAGGAGGAAATTCTTGAGTTGTGGGAAGTATATAGACTAATCAATTTAGATTACCGCACTCAGGGCGTGTTACCTTAAGTGGTCAAGCTTCGTCGACATCACGTGAATCTGGGTATCTCGATGACGAACATGATATTGAACTCGAGGCTTGCAGCAGGAGCTTTTCTGAGCTACCGGGTATAAGATGGGAGGGTGAAGGGAAAGCAAAGCGAAGACGCAGACACTCGCACGTGATAAATTTCCTAAAAATCTTGTATGACCCAAGAAAAGTTGAGGACTCTTCCATGACTAGTCTCGTTCCATATGCATAGCAATATGGTAAGTACTCTTCAATGTGGAAAATTGTAGCCGGACACATCCATACATTCCACGATATTTGAGAGACCAGTGGCCTAGTGGATCTAATGACGGGATCAGTCCTAAATTAGGTACCGTATTAATTGCATTCTAAGACATAATTCCTGAATAAAGGCACAAGCTCTACAGAGGATGGCCCCGCGAAGCCTCTCCTAAGTGAAAATATCGAATCAAGCATGCAAATTGGAGTGACTAGAGGTAAATTACCCTGTCTACTGCTATTAAAACCTGACATTGTGCTCAGACGGCATCGCGGAGAACAAAGAATTTTAAGATTAAGGTATTGATTTTAATATTAGAAATGGTCCCTCAGTAGCCTGACTAAGGAAAAACAGAAATAATATGATGTTTTAGAATGAAGTTAACACGGTAGTTGTCTCTTCATACATGTAATCTTATCTCCACGTTGAGGCGTGCTGAGAACTAAATAGAAGCGCAATAAGTTTTATCAGTGAAGGGCAGATAACGTCTTTGCGATACAACGAAAAACATAACGCTATTGCCATTCGAATCCGGAGCGGCTGAGGCCGTTCCTTGAATTCAAGTGCTTGAGACTTCGAGCAGAAGATCTGTAGACGCAAACATGCTATAACGATGATTAAAACGCTGTGTAAGGTAGTATAATGTGAAATGTACAAATATAAGCAAGCATCGTAGAATGCTGAGAGGCATATAAATGAAGTTTGACATATTTCGAGCTAGTCCCAATCGAGCATCCAAAATTTATTTCCCCTCCATAAACCCCGCCAACTCCTTCTATTGCTCCCACCGCAAACAAGAATCATGCCCGCAAGTCTCCTTTCCCTCACAGCTTGCTCTTATCTAATTCCATCTCCAGCTCATACTCCTGACCGGCTACCCTACATCCGGCAAAACCCACCGCGCAACGCAACTGCACGACTACCTCACAACCCGAATCTCCTCTCTCCCTCCCAGCTCGCCCTCCTCTTCCCTCCGCGTCCACCTAGTATCCGACCATACGCTCTCGATCCCACGCACAGTCTACAACCTCGACACCAAATCGCAGAATGAGCGCAGCAACAACGCCTCCGAAAAAGATGCTCGCGCGATGATCTTCGGAGAAGTGAAACGAGTTCTGAGCGCGAAAGATATAGTGATTCTAGACCATGCGAATTATATCAAAGGATGGAGGTATCAATTATACTGTGAGGCCAAGGCTGTTAGGACGAGTCATTGCGTGGTCCATGTTGGGACTCCAGTTGAGAAATGTCGGGAGGTCAATGAGGGACGTCTTGCACGGCGAGATACGGAGAATGGGGAGGAAGCAGAGATAGAGGCAGTAAAGGAGCAGGATATGCCGTACGAGAAAGATAATTGGGAGAACCTCGTGTTCAGATACGAAGAACCGAATGCTTTCACGCGCTGGGACTCTCCGCTCTTCACCGTTCTCTGGGACGACACTTCTCCACCCTGCGAAGCCATCTGGGATGCTCTCATCGGTTCCGATGCTGAGGGAGGTAGGAAGGTGATTCGTCCGAATCAAGCTACGGTTTTGAAAGCTCCTACCAGTGCGGATTATCTTCATGAATTGGATCGGACTACACAGGGAGTTTTGAATAGGATATTGGAGTGGGGAAAAGATCATCCTGGGGAAGGTGGAGGGGAGGTCGTTGTTTCTGATGGAGGAGATGAGTTGGTGATTACTTTGCCCGCGAGAGAGATGGGATTACCTGCTTTACAGAGGTTGAGGAGACAGTTCATTGCGTTGAATAGGCAGAATGCTGTGCCTGTGAAGAGAATTAGGGAGAGTTTTGTTGGGTATCTGAATGTTTCTTTTGAATCTCTATAGTGGCCGCATAATTAGTATTGGCAAGGAGTTTAGGCATGGAAAAGAGATACCCTGGAGCATAGACAAAAGAGAATTTGAATTTGAATCTTCCATTCTTACTATACCTTTTATATATATGAGACTAAGACTGCTTTTTGATCCAAGCCACAACATCCTCTCCCCATTTCTCTCCCTTCACATCACCACTACACAGCGCCATAGGCGGCGAAATATGATTATGTCCCTCCGCCTTCAAAGACTCAATCCCATCTCCCCAACTCTCCCAAAGCTTTACAAAATCCTCCATCGGCTCACAAATCTCATCCTCTGGATCAAACTCCCCTAGTACCGCCAAACAAGCCGGAACCCCCACCTCCTCTCTCGACTTCCCACTCTTCATAACAGCTTCCAATAGCCCAAAAACACACCTCTCCTCCACCTCCTTCGTATCCCCATAATACGCCTTCAAAACCTCACTCCTCCCCTCCTCCGCCCTCCTAAAATGGCACGGCACAGCTACATTAACCAGACCCCTCAAAACTACTCCTCCCTTCCCGCTCACCAAACTTTTCCTCTGCTCCGCAAACTTCTCCCCAAGCACAAACGTCGACGCATGCACACCCCCCGCGCTATTCCCTACTAAAAACACATCTCTCTTCCCCTCCTCTCCTCCTCCGAATTCCTTCTCAACCCATTTCAACGCCTCACTCACATCCTCCCCTCCACTCGGAAACTGGGCATGTTCACCCACCTGACACCCCGGCGCGCTAGAATCCACGCGCCGGTAATTCATAACCAGCGTCGTGAAGCCGCGCAGGGCGAAGAAAGCGCCTACGTTGGCGTAGACGAGGTTCCCTGGCATCTGGGGCGAGGACTTATCGCCGCGGACGAGGCCGCCGCCGTGGAGGAAGATTAGGATTGGTGATGATGCGGAGGAAGAGGAAGAGGGGGGAGTGTAGATGTCGAGTTTTTGGCGGGGGTGCGTGCCGTAGGATACTTCGCGGGAGGGGATGGATTTTATGGTGGAGGCGTGGGAGGAGAGGAGCGGGGCGAAGATTTTGAATGTTGGGGGTAGGATGGAGGGGATTGATTGGCCGGCGGTGGTGTTGAGGGAGGCGATTGCTTCCATTTTGGTGGTGTGGTGTTTTTGGATGGATGGATGGGAGGGTTGAGGTAGAGTTTGAATCGGAGCGTTGAGGTTTGAGGTCTTTGTGACGTCTTGTATCTATTGTTTAGAGAAGGCGTGAGGATCAGATGTTGTTACTGCAGTGTAATAGAAACCAATATATACTAATGTCGGTAGCCGTTCTAGCGTCTCGCTACTCAAACGGGGGTGGACTTCAGTCGTCAACCTCTTCGGCTCTCGGTCTTCGACAAAGATACAACGTCGTCTCAAGAAAGTATCAAAAGAAAGATTGAAACTGTCCTAGAAACCACTTCCTCGGACTATATGTGACCCGTACGCCGAGGACGTCGCGGCCTTTTATTTGCGTCCGACAACAGAGGTGGACGGACACCCCGCAATCGTGGGGAAGGCAAGGTGGAGCGGATCGATTTCGGGGCCTGGATGCGGCAGTACTTCGTACACCCCACCTCGACTGTCCACTTCAACTCATTCTTGAGACGGCTTCCACTTTGATTGCTTGTATATAACCACGAGGACCAGTGTTCATCATGGTGGAGTTCATTATTTTCGCTCCATTCTGTCTCTCTTCTCGTCTTCTTCACTTACTTCCTTTTCCATAGACTTATACAATAGCATCTGCATTCAAAATGACGATAGAACACCTCACAACCCCACCAGGCAAGACGGACCTAGCATACGTCCTACCCTGCTTCACCGGCGAGCTATGGACCATCCCCACCTCAAATAGCACCATGCGTCTACTCGTCACAGGCAAAGAAACAGACAACGCCTTCGCCGTTGTAGGGACAGGTGGTACATACGATAAACCCATCGGCTTCCACTACCACCGCGAAGCCCACGACGTCTTCCTCTGCCTCAAAGGCAAGATCAACGTCTGGGCCAACGACCAAGCCAGGAGTCTCGGCCCGGGAGACTTTGCTTCGGTTCCTCCTGTACCTCCCCCTCCCTTCCTTCCTCCCTTCCTTTTCAGTTCTCCCGAACAAAGCTAATAGCTAGGATAGGGTACGATCCATCAATACCAAATCGACAGCGCGCACACCGAGTTCATCGGCCTGATCATCCCCGGCGGCTGGGAAGAATTCTTCCGCTTCATCGGCGAGCCGTACGCGGGACCGCTCTTCCCCACCAACGACCGGCGCGACCCCTTCGAGGTCCTGATCCCGAAACTCATGGCCGCGACCGAGAAATTCGACATGATCCCCGTCCGCGAGAAAGCGCAGTTCGATCCGCAGCCCTGGGACGGGACTGAGACGCGTCTGCCGGGGAAGTGCGAGACTGGAGGCTACTTTTTGAGGGTGGGGGCGGGCGAGAAGTTTGTGGTGGGGGGGACGGTTGTGAGGGCCTTGGCGAGGAGGGAGGAGACGGGTGGGAGGTTTTCGATTTATGAGGTGGGTGCGAGTGAGATTCATAGGGGGAAGGGGGTCGGTAGGAAGTTGGAGTTTAGGGATACGCATCATGCTATTTATACGGTGGAGGGGGTGCTTAGGTTGAGTATTGATGGGAGTGAGGTTAGTACGACGGCGGGGGAGACGACCTTTGTACCGGCGGGTACGAAGTGGAGTTTTGAGGCTGGGAGTGGGTATGCAAGGGCGTATGTTTTTGCGAATGGTGGTGGCATTGGTGAGGTGTTGACGAGTGTGGGGAGTAAGTATGAGTTTCCGGGTGTGCCGGCGGAGGCGGAGAGTTGGGATGAGAGTAAATTGAAGGGATTGGAGACTGAGTTGAAGTATGTTGTTATATAGGTAGAAGAAGAAAATGTATCTCTGTATCGTTGCCTCTTCCTTCGGACGCCAATGGTGTGTTATTGAGAATGTCAATCTCCAGGACTTTTTATTGATCTAAGGTCCATAAACCTGTAACTAAAATCCTATAATGAATGCTTACACTAGTACAGGCACCATCCACACCTAAACATAAACATACACATCAAACTGTAATTTCGACTCAGTTCTGGCTTCCACCCACAAATTCCCAAACAACAACATCTCCTCGCCGCCTACTATCATCATGCCAATGACTGTTAAAAGTCCTCCACCTCTCCTGCACCTTATGTCCCTTCATCTCTCCCTCATAATACTCCTTCAACGGACCCTCAATCCCCTCAAACCCAACCACATACCTCGGCCACGGCTTATCCTTCGTTCCCACCTCCTCCTTCAAGAACTTGACCGGATCATCATAAAACCTATCAGCCTCATCTCGATACGCTTCCCTCTCCTCACTATACGCCGCCAAATGAATGGGTGGCTCGCAACTCAGAGCCCAGGCTTTGAGGCCAGAGTGGAAGAGTTGGCTGCGCCAAGGAGTCGAGTGGCACGGCATGAGGAAAGCGGCGAAGGTTTCCGAGTCGGAGTAGTCTGTTTTCTTGGTTCGGTCGTCGTCGATTCCTGCGTCTGGGTCGGAGAGGAGACGGCCGCGGCCGTCGAGAGCGAGGAGTTCGTATTCGTTGCGGAGGAATTTGGTGACGGAGATTACGCCGCGTTGGTGGAAGATTGTGGTGTAGCCTGCGATGAGGAGGTTGAGGGTGAGGAGAGTGTAAAGAAGGGCTTTGTGGAGGGTGGTGGTGGAGCTTTTAGGGGTACGGTCTAGGGATTTTGGGGGCGGTGGTGTGGTGACTGTTTTGAAGAAGTAGGCGGCGATGGTCGGTGCCGTGATGATGTGGAGTAGTGGGAGGAGAGGATAGATGAATCGGACTTCTTTGTGGGAGACGATTGAGAGGGTCGTGAGAGTCAGGAGAATAGCGGTAGTGAAAATAAAGCGGATATTGGATGTTGGAAGTGCACTCGTCTGGTATAGAGTTATTAGGCCGAATGGTAGACTGGTAGTCAAGAGTAGAGGAAGTCCTTGAGAGAGATAGTAGTGCCAATCATTGCGGCCATAAAAGACCGCGAGATCTTGGCTGATGTTGAAATGTAGCCACTGATAGGGAGGGAACGTCCATTCGCCGAAGTAGTAGTAATCTGATAGAGCAGAGACAAGCAGTACTGCAGAGCCACAGAGCACAGCCTCACGGAGGAGAATCATGTAGTCTGCAAAAGGTCCTCGGGTGCCTGACAGCATGCCCGAGATTATTGGCACGATGACGCAGAACCATATCAGAAGATTTGTTGGTCGAAGTATACATGCTGTACCAGCAAGTAACAACGCAATACGGAGGCTTTCCCTAAATCAGAGAGTGCAGAACCATTGTGTGTGAGGAAAACTTACTGGTTGACAGACTTCGCAGTACCGAAGACCCCTGACTCAGATTCCCTGGCAGAGCTGGTCGTTTGTTCTTCATCGTCATTTGATTGGGAGAGATCACTGCCAGCTCCAAGCACTGAATCCGATGAGATTTTCCACGGCCAGAAGTACATGGCAACAATGGTCAATGTTGTCTCAAGAGAATTTGAAAATGTTCTTGTTGAACAGAACCAATTCCAAGGGCTTAGAGCACTCATCATGATCTGTTCTGATATTAGTAAGAATTGAAGCAATTGTACTTTCTAGACTTACAGCTACCCATGGTGCATTGCTTCCCGTACCATAGATTCGTTCAGAAAGTTGCCATGTATAGTAGTCGCTCAAAGCAGCAAAGTAGGCTTGGACGATATTTGGTAGAATAGCTAAAAGCATGCCCCGGAACTGAGGGAAGAATGACAAAAACTGCATGGCCTTGTCTGCGCCATAGTAGATTACTGCGAACAGTGCTGGATGCAGTGACGAGCGTAATTGGTGATGCCATTCCTGATATTTCGTTAACATTAAGTTATGTTCCAGTGCAAAAAACTTACCCATGTGATCCATGCTCCACTTTGTGGCCCGAAAGCCATTTGCCATGCTGGCTCTAAAGACTGAAAATATTCATCTGGCTGGAAGAAGGTCCAAATAAGAGCAGCATTAATACAACGGAATACAAGTAGCACCATCCATGTGTCCTTGGCTGTTTGCTCATTGACAAGGTGATTGAGGCCATTATCCTGAGGATATTCAGAGGACTGCACTTGATCCTCTTTTGTGCTCTTCGTTGGAGCTTTCAGCTCCTTACTTGTACTCATATCTGTAAATTGCTAGAAATGAAACTCAAAGGACAGCAAGAAATTGAATTTTATACATCTCTAAGCTTCCCGTCCCGGTCCACAAGCTGAAGAATTGTGGTACCGAGAGGACTGCCCACGTGTTTGAGCTCTGAACTGAAAATAGGGGCCTGATGGCCTTGCATGATTCAGAGGAGACGAATTATGTAAGAATTGAGTCTTGCCGCATCAAGTTAAGCTGCCAATCTCTGCCAATCGTCATACCTGTCAATACAGCAGCTAAGCAAATGGCCTGATAGGCTGCATCGGCCGAGCCCCCGGCTATTCCAGGCTGAAAAATGTCCCCCGCTACTGTGCACAAAATCCCCTAAGCGCAGGTTCACACGAATATCCCATGGGCCTATGATGATTCTGACCCCTAATGGCAGGTTTGAACGCGCAAACTCGATTCAGACATTCTCTTAGTCAAGATGTAGGTCATGCGGTAAGATAAGAGAGAGCAGACGCAAGGACTTGCACTTAAAGGTCTAGTATCGATGAAAAGGCTTCTCTTCTTCTCTTTTACTAAATGGGCGCCGTCCCCGCGCCGCCTCTCTTTCCTCCACTTTCTACAAACAACAGACAAACAGTTCTGAAAAACATATATATCACCACTGATCTTCAGCTTCAACTGATTCTCCAGAAACCCACCAGGCACCCAGAACCATGGCACCCCACGCAAACGGAGAATCCACCACTGGAAGCAGCGTCCTCAAACCCACCGCTGCTGCGTTCCAGCCGATAGCGGCCCATCAAGGATCAAATTATCACTCTACGTCAACAGCAGAAGCAATTGAGGCCGAACACAAATACGCAGCACATAATTACCACCCATTACCAATAGTGTTCGCTCGCGCAGAAGGGTGCAATGTTTGGGACCCTGAGGGAAAGCATTATATCGACTGCTTGTCTGCATATTCTGCAGTCAATCAAGGGCACTGTCATCCTGAGCTGGTGAAGGCTCTCTGCGAACAGGCCTCACGACTCACTCTCTCCTCGCGCGCATTCCATAACGATGTCTTCCCGAAGTGGGCTGAGAAGGTTAAGGAAGTCTTTGGGTACGATATGGTCCTGCCCATGAACACAGGCGCAGAAGCGGTTGAGACTGCCATCAAGATTGCAAGGAAGTGGGCATATAAAGTCAAGAAGGTTCCACAAGACAAGGCATTGGTGTTTGCTGCTGCTGAGAACTTCCATGGCCGGACAGTATGTTCGTGTTCTCTTATATTGGAGACGTTTGCTAACAAATAATATAGATGACAGCGATTTCTATGTCCATTGACCCTGAATCCCGAGACAACTACGGCCCATACGTACCGGGCGTTGGTGCCATCTGCCCGTCTACAAAGAAGACAATCCGCTTCGGCAACGTTGCTGACTTGGAAGAGGCATTGGAGGCACACGGAAAGGAAACCGCAGCTTTTATCGTTGAGCCCATCCAGGGCGAAGCAGGTGTCGTTGTCCCCGCAGATGACTATCTTACCAAAGTCCAAGCACTTTGCAAGAAGCATAACGTCCTTTTGATTTGCGACGAGATCCAGACTGGAATTGGACGGACCGGCAAGATGTTGTGCTCGGAGTGGGCTGGTATCAAGCCAGACATGGTTACACTTGGAAAGGCCATTTCTGGTGGCTTGTATCCAGTGTCCTGTGTTCTGAGCTCGAAGGAAATCATGCTCACTATTGAGCCTGGAACTCACGGCTCAACCTACGGAGGAAACCCTTTGGGATGTGCGGTCTCCATTCGTGCTCTTGAGATCATGGAGGAAGAGGACTTGACTGCTCGTGCTGAGGCTCTAGGCAAGATCCTCCGTCAAGGTCTGGAGGATCTGAAGTCACCCATGATCAAGCTCGTCCGAGGAAAGGGACTGTTGAACGCTATTGTCATCGACGAGTCAAAGACTGGTGGACATTCAGCTTGGGATCTCTGCATGCTCATGAAGAGCAAGGGTCTCCTGGTAAGTCGTTCTTCTGCACGTGCTAGGTCGCTACTAACGTACCACAGGCTAAACCTACGCACGAGAACATAATCCGTCTTGCTCCCCCATTGGTCATTAGCGAGGCCCAAATCAAAGAAGTCCTTCGCATCATCAGCGAATCTATCACCGAGTTACCAGAATTGAAGGGAAAGAACGAAGACGAAGTCATTCCTAAGAGCGAGAAGGGCGTTCACATCGGATTGGATATTTAGGATGATACCCCCATTGGCGGCAATCCTGGAGTTGGTATAAAGATTGGATATTAAAATTGGGCTTTTCGCTTACATGTATTGCACGACGGGATTTGGAAAATTGGTCAAGGGGTACTGCTAGAGATACAAGAGATCCCTAATATCAAATCACATCATGATATCTTTCCGAATGCTACCTCCCCTTATCTTGAACGTAGGCAACAGCTCGACGTCGTCGTCTAAGGCAGAGCCGCTCTCTTCCCGATAGGAGAGCCATGCAATGCAAGTTCCATTAGCTTCACTTCTACCTACCCAAGTCAGGACTCGCATTGACAGCTCAGAATCCTTCTGCATAAGTACTCCTACAATGGCTACTAAATCCCGTCCCCATCCATCCCTTCCTCTTCTCCACCCAAAACATGAGGCTGAAGCTAAGCTCCAGGTAACAACCGCAAAAACGCATACTCGGTGTCCAATATTCCGAGCTCTGGTCTCCTGCATCCACCTACCTACCTACCTTGATGTAACCCTCCCTAATTCATCACGTGCTAAGTAGGGGCTTGCTTGCGTCTAATGTGATGAGACATGCAGCTGCAGGAGCGACGGCACTGCAGGTTTCTATGTGACACTTTTAACTTAGGGGTGAGTGGTGGTGAGTAATCCGGAAGATGGATGATGGGAGAATGGGAGAATGCAGGTGGATTTGTGAGTGATATCACGTGCGATGATTCAATTGAGCACGCCACGGTCGTGTGGCGATGGCGAAATGTGTAGCTGGATTGGATTATTAGAGTAAAGTTTGGATGGATTAGGGATGGTACAGGTGTGAGACAGGAGGAGGGAACCGAATACTGGGGATGATGGGGGTGAAGGCCAGACCACGATAGATGTTCCACAATTGCTGTTGCAGCGAGAGAATCTGCCACGTAGATTCAGGAGCGCAGCATCGAATCGGAGATGCATTGGGTGCCGTGCAGGTCTGTATGAGATGGTACTGGTTGTCGTCGGGCGAGCGTGACCTCGGGATGAGTGGTGCGGGTGAGTGAGTGAGGACAAAGGAAAGAAAGAAGAAGGGTCTTGGGTAATCCGGAAGGGCAGGCACTCGGGAGGCCTCTTTGAGAGAAGTGTGTGTGTGTGGGTGAGTAAGGGGATTTTGATATGGATGTATGATGATGTTGATGCATGGTGAGGTGAGTTTACCTAATTGTCCAAGCAAAGGGACGATTGAATAACCTTGATTATTGGGGGAGCCAATGTGAATGTGAAAGCCAGACTGACTCGGCCATTGAACCAGCGTGAGTGTTCAAGGCAGACCCGATCACTGAGCCAGTGTGAATGTTCAAACCGCACTCGGTCACTGAAGTGTCAATGTCCAATCTAAAGCTGAGTCTTCCAGCCAGTATCAATGTCCAGTCCAACCTTGATAGCTCGAAAATGAGAGCGATCGCCAAAATGGCTACCCTGGCTCACGATTTTGGTCTTTGCGTTGCACGAAATGGGGTATGGGAACACATTAACGGGCAAAAGCGTTGGGAAGGTCCACGATTCTTGGTCCTCGTCTCACCACCACCCTTGATACGAACCACACTTCCTCTGAATGTCCTATCCTGCTATCCATGCACGCTGGCCGATGGTTGACCGATGTATGAAGAGAGTCACCGTCACCGTCAGCATAGCGTCCCGTCGCCGTCCCTACCGTAGATAAGCAAGATAATCCGGCCTCGCTCACTGCTGTCGTTTTTGCCCTTATCGAAGGCGCAAGGCAAGGCGCAGAGGCCCTTTGTCGGCAATAGTGATCGTCCTCCTGCACGCATCCTCACCCAACTCGACTAAGCCCCTTCCCGTTAGACTCCGATGCAGCTTCGCTGGGAGTCATTCAGGACTGCAGTAACTCAACTCGTGATGTTCACTACTTACTCGACTCTTCCTAATCGACCACCACCCACCTGATTTCCTCGTCCTCGTCCTCGTCTCATCTGTCTTCTTTCTTCTTCCCATCCTTCCCTCGCATTCACACATATTGACACATTCATACCGAGCACCCATTACGCTGTTTCCCCCCAACAACATTGCTTCGTCGAGTCATTAACTTGCACTCGATACATCCGCCCGCCGCTATCGCCCATTCGTTAACATATCTCATCCTGCACCAACCGGCTCTGCAGCCTCGCCCTGCACCTTGTCGACCACCGCATCCTCACCCATCCAAAGCCGCCTCCCCGGAAAGCCCTGCCTAGCAGCCACGCATCCAGGCACTCACGCACTCTCTCTGTTTCCGTGACGATATTGTCCATTCACCGTCCAGCGCGGTGGTCTCGAGGTTACCTGACTTTCGAGCTCTCTCCTCGCTTCAGCTGCCTACCAGAAGCAACCTCCTCTCCAACACAAAGCTCCCCAAGCTTCGATCCTTTCTTTTCCCTCGATTCATTTCCTGTGTACATGCAGAACGAAATAACCTCGAGTCTTTATCCGCATCTTACCTGGTAGTCCTCGAGCTCATCACCAGGCGCAAATCGAAGGCCTCTGGCCAAACACTGTCCGACACCGCAGCCATGGCGGCTCACCCGCCTCCGTCCTCGTCGTCGTCACCGAGACGATCGAGGACGGGCGATAAAGTCGTAGGATCCTTCAGCATCGAAGAGGAGATAGGCAAAGGAAGCTTTGCTACGGTCTACAAGGGCACTCATGCAGTAAGTACCTGATGACGATCAGATGAAGTGGCGGGACTACCATGCCATCTCCAACATTTCAATTTCCGATGAACTTTCATCATTCTAGTTGGATTCTGGGTGTATAGTAGTGCTGACTTGCTCTTTCGCAGACCACCGGAGCTCTTGTCGCAATCAAATCCGTCAATCTCTCGAAGCTTAACAAGAAGCTCAAGGAGAACCTTTACTGCGAAATCGAGATTCTCAAGGGTCTTCACCATCCTCACATCGTTGCACTGATCGATTGTCGAGAATCGCCAACACATATACACTTGGTGATGGAATACTGTGAGCTGGGTGATCTTTCATACTTCATCAAGAAGAGAGATAGGCTTGCCGATAATGCAGCATTGAAGGACATGGTTAGGAAATACCCAATGCCACCAGCAGGAGGATTGAACGAAGTCATTGTGCGACATTTTCTCAAGCAACTTGCGAGTGCGATGGAATTCTTGAGAGAACGAAATTTCATCCATCGAGACGTCAAGCCGCAGAATTTGCTATTGCTTCCATCACCCCAATTCCTGGCACAGTCAAAGGATAGGCGGTTGGTCATGAGCGCCAGCAGAGAGGCTATGGTACCTATCGTAGGTCTCACGTCCTTGCCAATGCTGAAGATTGCCGATTTTGGATTTGCTCGATCTCTTCCCTCGACGTCCCTAGCCGAGACATTATGCGGTTCTCCATTGTACATGGCTCCAGAGATCCTGCGATACGAGAAATACGATGCCAAAGCCGATCTTTGGTCGGTGGGAACGGTCCTCTTCGAGATGATGACTGGACGACCACCTTTCCGCGCAAATAACCATGTAGAATTGCTCCGCAAGATTGAGCAGAGCGAAGATCACATTCGTTTTCCTAAGGAGGCTATTTTGAGCCCACCAATGAAGGAATTGATTAAGGCACTCTTGAAGCGTACACCAGTCGAGCGGTTGCCTTTCGAGAATTTCTTTAGACATCCAGTTGTAGTCGATCCAATTCCTGGGCTGGTGGGTGATGATCGACCTGCAGAACTTCGAGTATCCAACAAAGCAACAAGCGATCTCCAACGCAAGCAAACTCGAGCAGAGTCAAAATCTGCTGATCAAGACATGGAAAGAATACCATCATCAGGCAGTGGTCGACGAGTGGCAGCTCAGACTGACTCTCCCATATACTCTTCATCACCACGCAGCAAACCAGTACCATCATCGCCGAGACCACGAAGTACAGTTCCTGTTCAACAAGTTGGAACACCGCCCCAACCAGTTGTTCGACCAGCTTCGCGTGAGAAGCGACCAACGATTCCGTCCTCAGCGACAGCTCCAAATGCAGAGACCATACAAGCCAATCGACCCAAGGAGCCACGCCGCACTTCCTCTCGGAAATCGTCCATTGATGAAGGACAAGTACGAAAGTCTTCAGAGAGCACGCAAAGCAGGGAAGCCATTGAAGAGGCCGAACAAGCTGTTCGTGATGCTCGAGAGTATGTACTCGTAGAAAAGCGAGCTGTTGAAGTGAATGCGTTTGCAGACGAGATGGCTGCGAACCCGAGGTTGCAAGGTACCAAGCAGCAACCCGTACCAACACGAACAGGCCAAATATCCAGACGAGCAACAACACAAGGTTACCCAGCTTCAGCTACTGGTGCAGTACCTGCCTCACCTTCACGTGCTGTTCAGATCGCACAAGGCAAGCCTAGATCAGATGTTGTACCACAACGACAGAATTCGTTTGGGAAATCTTATGGTAGCCCATCTGCGACATCAGCCATTGCCAAAGCCCTTCATGGGGCAAGTGTAAGAGTATTCGGAGTTGGATGGTCTCCACATCTGATCGGCAAAGGCGTTTCACCTCCCCAGTTATACAGCCCATTCCCAGCTTATCCAACTCCTGTTGGTCTGGGTCTAATAGGCGATTCGAGGCCAGCTGGACCAGTTGATGAGGATCAGAAGGCCGTTAACTACATCGAAGAATCGGCAACTAGGAGTGATGTCGTGTACGGATTTGCCGAAGTCAAGTACAAGCAGCTCATTCCAATGGCACCTTCTATGGATCACGGTCTTGGAGGTCCGGCTGCTGATAAGTCCGGAGGCTCAATCCAAGATGACGAAGGTCTCACAACTGAAGCAATTGTTGCTCTGTCTGAAGAGGCCCTCGTACTATACGTGAAAGCTCTGTCACTACTTGCTAAGTCTATGGACATTGCAGGCGGTTGGTGGGCAAGAAAGTCACGAGGCGAAGTTCTTCCCGGAGGTCAAATCAGAGCAGAATCCGCTAGTAGTGTCTCTGCGGGTAACCGAATCAACAGCGCAGTTCAGTGGGTTCGAAACCGTTTCAATGAGGTCTTGGAGAAGGCTGAAGTTGTCCGGCTAAAGCTCCTTGATGCTCAGAAGAAATTACCTGAAGATCATCCAGGCCATCCAAGCAATCACACGAGTGCATCAAGGATTGCCGGTGCTTCGTCAACAGATGGTGTTGTACTTAGCTCAGGTATCACTGCCGAGAAGCTGATGTATGATCGAGCATTGGAGATGAGTCGTTCTGCAGCAATCAACGAAATTGCAAACGAAGATCTTCCAGGCTGCGAGATCTCTTATATCACTGCTATCAGAATGCTGGAAGCAGTCCTTGAGAACGATGATGATTCTGTCCCACATCGACGACGATCATCAAGTCTCAGGGAAGAGAAGGTTACCAAGGAAGAGAATGATGGCACGGTCAATGGTATCTATCTTGAAGATAGACAAGCTGTTTTGAAAGGTATTACTACTTCAGTTTTTTGACATCTACATTCTGCATATCTAACATTTCATAGTTGTATCAATGATCCGTACACGCTTGTCGACTCTCAGAAAGAAGATGGCATTGATCGCAAAGCATCAATCGCTTCCACCCTCCTCACCGCGACCTTCTAGCATCACCCATCATTCTAGCGGTGGTACAACTCCAACCGTTGCCAACACCCCGCCTCATTAGATACGCTTGACGCATTATGACTTTACGTCTGCAAAAGAGAAATATAGCGACTTTCTCGACGAAATGCCGTGCAGCCGGACTGGCTCCGGTACCCCGGCACCTTCTTTGATTGCAATGCATAATCATACGGCGTTCTTCTACCCAATTTGCTATCCTCTTTCAAATTCTCTGTTTAACTGTTTAGATTTGGGACCTTCTTTCTCTTCATTGTGCTTATGGATATTGTATGTTTGATTACCTCACACTTTTTTCGGCGTTTCGGCAGTGGTTCTGGATTGGTGCCGCCATTATCCAATATCGGAGGAGCAGAACGGGAACTTTTCGAACTAGGCGCAGTTTGTGCGCGCATTACTAACTTGGCACGATACGATCACGATATGGCATCATTGCGAACTGGTTGATTGACAGGCGCTTGGCTTTTGAGGCGCAATTCTTTTTTACCTGGCTTGTGTATATGAAGGCGCACAAAGGGAAAGAAAGGGCAATAGCAAGAAGCGTTTGTGTATACCCCCTGTTGCTTGCATGGACTTGGGCACTTTTTTCGAGAGAGAGGAGAAGGGGAGAGAGATACGATATGTTACGCACGCACTGCATAAGAAAGGCCCAGGAATGAATTACAGCACAGCTGGTTTTTAGCTGGTTGGGAGGGGAGGGAAAGGGGATTCAGGTTAGGGTGGGGATATGTGTGTGTGTATTTATTCATACCTTTAAGGAGGAAATCAATGCATGGCTTGATTTTACTCTTGATATTTTCTTTTTTCTTCTTTCTGTGATATTTTCTATATCTATTTCTCGTTAAGGATGTTCGAGATGGATTTTGCCCTCCCATCACTCAAAACTCACCGAGGGAAACCGCAGCCTTACATCAACCCCTCCCAAAACTCATAAAACCTCGAATCTCTCCTCCTCCTCCTTCTTGAAAACTTGCTCGTAATCCCCCCTCTCATAGCAAGCCGACCACTCCCTAAACACATCCGCGTCCACAATCTCAGCCCGCTGAGAATACACCCTCGAGGGCACAGGCACCGCGTGCAGCGTTCCCTGCGCTTTCGCGTGGAGGGGGAACGTGATTGGGACTTGGTCGAGGAATGGGTTGGAGGAGGTGTTGGAGGAAGAGGAGTAGAAAGGGTTGGAGGACTTACGCACGTCTTTCAGTGGTGGTGTGGGTTTGATCTCTCTTCCTATTCCTAACCCAGTGGTGGTGGTTGAGCGGGAATCTCGTAGGACAACAGCAGGACGAGACGGAGAGGGAGAGGGGTTGTACCATAGACTTGTACCTTCACCACTCCTTCTGCCCGTCTTGAGAGATTCTTCGCCGATACAGCAAAACGATGATGATGATGATGATGAGGAAGAAGAGGTTCTCCTCGACGAAGACAGGGATGGGTAGGGTATGTGTTCGAAAGGGGAGTGGAACTTAGCCTGGAGGATATTGTCTACGAGATCGCTTGCCTTCTTCTTCTTCTTCTTCTTTTTCTGATGGGTGTTCAAAGTCGTGCTAGTGCCGCTCTCTTTCGAAAGTCGTCTTCTTGCAGCAGGCGGAGCAAGTCTCTCTTTCTTAGCTGGAGTCGGAGGCGGGATGACGCGCTCTAATTTCCCTTCGAGGATCAAGGTCCGGATGTCCTTGAGGGGGAGGAGTGGTTGTTTGTCTTTTTGCTCGTTTTCTTTCGCGGAAGATGGATGTCGGTGGTTTAGTTTCGCCATCACGATATCGGAGAATTTCTCTTTGCGTTTTAGGGGTGGTGGATTTGTAGTAGTAGTAGTAGTAGTAGTCTTTTTGGAGTCCTCCGTTGAGAGACGCAAGTACCTTCCGCTGGCATTCGCTTTCGCGAGCACCTTTTCGCGCTTTTCGCGGCGGCGGAGGCGGGTGAGGTAGGTGGCTATGTCTTCTGTGGGTTGTGGGTCCTGGTGTGTGGAGTCGTAGGTTATGTGTTCGATTACTAGATCGCGGTTGGGTTTCTTTGTTTGAGGTGCCATGTTTGTGTTTGTTTGTTTGTTTGTTTGTTGGTTCGTTTTGGGGGAGATGATGGGATATAATGCGTTTGTGGATTCTGGAAGAGCAAGAAGAAGAAGAAGAAGGGGAAGGGGAACAACGGTCTTTTATGGGTCTTTCGTTGTTAGCGAATGGATGATTTGCTTTGTGTGTTTTTCGATGTATGGGATTAATGTCTTTGTTTGTCTTGTTTGCTGTGAAACTACATTGTAGTGTCTCGAGTATTTCCATTGTGGTCTCTTTGTTGGATTGACTCAAGGAGTCGACAATGAGTTAGTTTGTTGCTTTCTTTTGAAAATCTTCGCATTTCTTACCTTATTGTCCTGCAGATGATTATGCTAGATTTGGAGTGAGTATTAGTCGGCAGATCGTATGATAGGAGAATAGTGTTGTGAGAGAGCAATCTGTGTGCTTCATGCATGATGATAGTGAGATGCCAGTCGAACATTGTTTTGTTTCGGACTGTGTTGACTTGAGACTGGTTTTAGGAGATGTTTGGGATGAGCTCGGTTGTGTGACGAGGATCAGTTTCGGTAAGAAGACTTGGGAAACGTTCGAAGAAAGAATGAACGGCGGTTTAACCCTTGGAAGTTGCTTGACTGCTTAGATGCTTTTGCTTTCCCCAATATGCACAATATCTCTCCCCTCCATCATCATCCCCATCCCCAATTCTACTCCAATCCCTGCCACCCAACATTCCCTCATCTCAGCTAAACCTTAACCCCCTCATCAACCCTATAATACCCCTCCGTCCTCCCCCTCGCATCCTCTAAACACTCCCCCAACATCCCCTCTACCGTTCCTTTCTCGCCCAACCCCTCGACTCCCTCTCTAGGAACCAACCTGACCTTAAAATCCACCGGAATAGCCACCAGCGCGCTCTTAAACTGGTTATAATCCACATAATCCGTATTCGGCGGCATCTCTTCACTCGCTACGATCCTATAGCTCGTCAACAGTCTGATAAGCGCCGTATAGAGTAGGCGAGTTGCTATGATCTGGCCCGAACAGGCGCGCGAGCCGGCACCGAAGGAGAAGTGTTGGAGGCCTGTGGGGATTTTCTCGGTGGCTGGCGAGAGAGTACCGTCTGAGTCGAGCCAGCGTTCTGGGTTGAAGGTTGAGGCTGAGGGACCGAAATGATCTACGTCTAATCATCTTATTAACATAGTTTAGACAAAAGTAGAGAGAACACTTACCGTGATTCGCAGCTTGGGCATTAATCAAGATCATCGTCTTAGCGGGAATAACTGCTCCGTCCCAATGCACATCCGTGACTGTCTTCCGCGGCAAGCTCATCGCAGATACGGTGTAGTATCTGGCCGCTTCCTTGATGATGGCGTTTACGTACGGCACTTCTTCGCCTTGGAAGCTGTTTCTCCAGGCATCTCGTACATCGGGGTACATTCTCTTGATATCCTCGTAAGCTTTTTCTTGCCACACTTGGCCTTCTGGCGTAGCCAACGACCCAATGCAAGACGTGAGAGTCCCGGGGATGGTCTCGAAACCGCCAGATACTAGGGACAGGCAGATGGATGAGACTTCTACTCCTGAGAGTTTGGTTTCTTGGTCTTTGAGAATGGCGGCGGAGATACAGGGCTTATCTGTTTCCTTCCGAATCATTTCCCTAACTTGATTCAGGAGAGAATTCAAGTAAGCATCCCGACGGTCCCGTAGTTCTTTGCTGCGACGATTCTTCTCGTTATTCGGAAAATATCTCATAATCGGGATATAATCCTGAAAATTCTCGGACGCGGAACGTAGGAGACTGATAGCTGAACCAACTTCCAGAATCTCTCTAAGCATAGAATCGTAGACGGAGTCCATTCGGATCCCGTAGCATAACGTGAGGGTAGTATTGAGAGCGTAGCGTTGGATGTATGGTCGGATCATGATCTCCTTCTGTCCATTGCAAGAATCCAAGGCAAGATCTCGGGCGATGCAGTATGATTCTAGATCAAACATATCGAAATAGTCTCTAATCTTGGCCCTGCCTAGCGCTTGTCCAGACGCCTTCCTCTTGTTCTTGCAACTCTCGTCCCACGGAGAACTTCCAATTGTAAATCCTTGCGTACTGCTAATGATGCCATGGAAAGTATAGAGTGTAGGACGATCGATGACGGCAGATTGGTTCCCGATCAGCATGCGTTTGCAGTCTTCGAAGGAGTTGACTACTACTGCTCGAGTGTTGCCGAGTTTGATTTGGAAGATGGAGCGGTTGTATTGGCGCCACCATTTCTCGCAGACGCTTGCGTGGTCGGGGCCCAGGGCGAGGAGATGCCCGGTTATGGGGAGAGAGGAGGGGATTTCGAAGATGCCTTTTATGTGTGGGATGTCGGTTGCTGTGCTGAGCTGGGGAATTGGTTAGCAGAGTTAGAGAAGAGGAGGAAGGAGAACGTACGTGCCACAGTCCAAAGACGAGAGAAATGATTGTGAGGCCGATGAGACCTGTTTGGTTGCTTATGCCAGGCAGGATGGAATCCTGCTTTAGCATATCCATCATGAGGATAGGCATCTTGCCGTCCAAAGTCGGTGGGTTCGTCGGAATAAAGAGCTGAGATGGGACAAGATATCCTAGAGACCGAGGATGAAAAGAAGAAGAGAAGAAACCAACCTACAAGCACCTCACCTAGGAGTCCAAAGTATATGTAGAGAAAATATCAAACAATATCATTCGATCCCATCCCACTTCCCACTCTTCAACAGCGCAGAACCTACCGTAGTCCACCACTCTCGTCGACGCCAAAACGAACCCTCTAGATGCCGGCCGGCAGACTCTCCATTCACTCTCCTTCATTCGCCATAGGTTGAAGTTTCCATTGCGTAGACTTACTCATCTCGAACAAGCTCGATTTGAACTCTTTCCTCTCCTTATCGCCATGCTTACATAACCAACAATACCCCTCAATCGGGCGCAGAGGGCTTGGCAACACGACCTGTCAGATTCCGCTCCTTTGAGACTTTTGTTGCACGTCTGATGGGAAATGCTGCCTCGGTCTGCGTCTCCGGTGAGAAGTGGATGGGTAATCTCTTTAGCCAGTGAGGGGGCTGGGATTACGACCAGCCTTTTGGGGTTGTCATGTGCGACGAATTGTGTATATATTGCTGTTTTAATTGTAAGGACTTGAATTAGGAGAGTATGGTATGCATGGCATTTGCAACGATAGATGGAAGCAAGACAGAGGATATTGGCATGGGCATCACGTGTGAAGTATTGAAGGCATTTTATTCAGATTTCTGAATTTGCAAGTAGCCAAAGGGCCAACTAATGTGCGCTTATTGCGCTGTGCCCATGCTTGTATCCAGCCGTCCATGCAAAAGCATATGCGTTAATTCAATAACGCCTCATGATGTCCAGTTTGCAATTATCAGCAACTCCCAGCGAGAAGCCGTCCTCCCAAAGGAACAAAGCAAAGAAGATCAAGTTCAAACCTGAAACGCCCAAGTTAACCTATGAATGCTTCCCGCTGAATGCTCCACATCCCAACGCCTGGGTATTGGTTCCTCGGCATGCCATGATGCACGAACGGAATACAAAGCAATCAAGGAAGCGCTATACCAAAAATAATGAAATGGAAAGGTGATAGAAGCATGCAAGTGTGGATCTCCTGTAGGTCGAAAACTCGAATCAGAAGCTGTGCGATCCTGTGGATACAAGTCCATGAAGGATCAGGACGAGGCGAATGCAATCAAGTGCTGCTGAATTAATGTCGTTCAAAGGTGGCAAACGTGCAGACTGCGAATGATGATGTGTCTGCTACAGCCAGTAGGTAAGCCGAGGATCAGGGTGTACATGGATCTTGTCTGATGGGTCGAAAGAAGATAGAGTAAGGTTCTGACCTGACCCGTCTAAATCCGGTGCTTTCCTCCGTGTCGTTACTGTGAAATCAGTATGAAGGGTAGAAGTGAGCGGGTTTGGAGTTCGGTGGATCTGCTGCCAGAAGATCATGAATTGTGAGTCCAGTACGAGCAGGCTCCTGAATTGGAGGATTTTGGTGCATGGACGAGGTATTAATTGAAGGGTATTGCGTAAACGCAGATTGGCTGCCAGTTTGGGAATGGGAATTGAATCTCATGGATGAGTACATCTGAGTATGGTGGGTCGAGGGTTGGGCTTGGAAGGAGGTCGTACTGCCGTATCCAGTATAAGAAGATGGATTCGTAAGATCGGCCGCAGCGGCCAATACGCTCAAGCTGTTTTGTTGGCCTTGTTGCTGAGGTTGGAGTAGATGACGAGCCACAAAGCTGTTGCGATTCTGAGCAGCTAAAAGCGAAGCTTGGTGGTTTCGCTGTTGAATTCGATGCTGCTGAAAGGCCTGCTGGTTCAACCGAAGCTGAACCTGAACCTGCTGATGACGACGGTGCATCTGAAGCAGATTGTCCTGCGTACCGTAACGTGTAGGCATTCCCGCATTGGAGTTGGTGCGCATGTTTCCAGCTTCAACCTCGAGTGGTTCATTCGTAACACTGTCGACGTCCATGCTTCCGCCAGCTTCGCTCTCAACTGCAGCCTCCAGGTTTTCGGACTTTCTCTCCTCCTCATCCAACCATTCCTTCTCAATCTTAGGCTTGAGGGTTTGCCATCCACGCTCAGTACCACCATCGCGGAAAATACGAGTCGCAGCCTTATAGGCCGCGGTTTTCTCAACGAACTCGGTGGGAACGTGGGGAATCTCGTCTTTGGCACGTCGGGTGAAGAGTTCTCTCCGAGCGGCACGGTTCACCTCGTTAGGCAATCCATTTTTGACTCGGCGTTTGCGAACAGCACTCTCGATCTTCTTGACGGTCTCCATCCAAGCGGCGTTTCTTAACTTCATCTTGTCAACCCAGTCTTGACGCTTTTGAATGAGCGCAGTCTCCTTGATCTGATGGACGGCCTTTGCTGACGCATTGGCTGCAGCTGAAAGTGATGGATCATCAACGTATGGCAGAGGAGTTCTCTTGTTATACTCGGCGATGATACGTTCGACATCTTGTTTCAGATAGTATCGGTAGAGTCTTGGGGCACCGCGGGCTCGCTCCCTCGACTCCTCTTCCGTAACGTAGTCATGAGGCTTCATGAAGGAGTCGTGCATACCATTGGGAATACAGGCAAGGAGGTCTTGAAGGGTTTGACGGCCAACGATATTCTGACGTGCCTTCAAGATGCGGTCTTCCCGTTCAATCTTCGCCTTCCAGCAGTCCGAGCACCATCTCTTAGCCCAAGACCAATGAGTTCTGCAAGCCATTTCATCGCTGCAAGGTTCCTTCGTTCCAGCCATTGTGACTTTCTCCTTCTCTAAGCAACCCTTCCCACCAAGAAGATCGTTGTATTGTCTCTCGGTGATATCTTGCTTCTTCTTGATCAGCTTAACCACTTGACGTTCAGCGTTATCACCTCCCGGAACCCCAGGCGTAGCAGGAACAGCTGGTATCTCAATTTCTTCTTCGTCATTATCATCATCGAAGTTCAAGTAAACTTGAATGGCTGAAGCAGGAGGCATTTCAACACCATAGTTCTCCATGCGCTGATTGACGAAAATTGAGGAGTATTCATCGATCCAGCACTTGAAGTCTTTGCTAACAGAGCGGGCCTTTTTGATGAATGGGGGTGGAGTAAACTCAAGAATGCGCATCCAAAGGTCAGGACCAAGCTTATGCGCAGCCTATAAGAAAGGTCAGCGATATCATAAGATCCATGAAAACATTACTTACAGGCTTGGGCTTTGCTTCCTTCAATTTGACAATGCGCTTGATGTTTCCCTTCTCAGTCTTCTTCACAGCGGAGTTGTCGGCGGATTCAGCTTTGCGCTTGTGGCTCGACGAAGCTGATGGCGTGTGCTCCATCTCGAAGGCTTGCATAATGGTACTGAACGGACGTTGGGTGCAATTGAGAGAGGAAGACGACGAGGAAGGTGTGGGTGTTGAAGTCTGGGACGAGGTGGTTGAGGTGGTAAGATCTCCAGTAGCCATATCTCTAGCGGGGAAAGATGAATTTCCACTAGCAGATGGCTTTGTGACAATCAAAGAACCTTCCGGCATCTTGTTGACAGGCATGAAGCTTTTGATCGTTGGGGAGGTGCTAGAGACTGGTTGACCGCGTCCAGAAGAGAAGGCTACTCTGAACGTATTCTCACCCATGTTGCCGCGAGTTGAAGATGAGGTCGTAGAGTCGGTGGATAGGGATTTTCTCATTCGAGGGAGACGAGATACGAAGACATCATCTTCCGAAAACATGTTTGTTTCCGGCAATGATGGTCCGCTAGATTGCGAGCAGCGTGGTTGTGGAGTGTTGTTGGTCGAGGTTCGTGAAGGAGATTCGATCCGATATGGAGAATCCGAACCAGACGTGAAAGAGCTAGACAGGTCCGGCCACGAGTTTACGAAGGACCGCGATGCTTGGTCGAGTTGTGTGTGGCTTGCGAGGGACAATTGAAATGAATTCGAGAATATGAAGGAGTGTTGCGTGGCATAAGAAGAGTTGGTCGAAAGTGAGGTGTGAGAGGTGTTGGTAGTTGCGAAGAAGTTGTTCGGGGTTTGTTGGCTGGAGGAAGGAAACGATTCTTGTATGCGGTCAAAGGCTGAAGAGTCTGGAGAGACGAAAAAAATTTCGTCAGTTCTTTTTTCTTCGTGTGTGCACAATGGTAAGGCTATAGTATTCACTCACAATCGCTAGTCCTGGGCTCGTTTCCACGATGACCCTCCATCGCGAATTCTCCTAGCCGAGCATCGTTCTCTTCTGACGGCCGTACCTGCGAATCGCTCAAGGCAAGAATTGTTTCAAGCAGACTGGCCACCTCAGGACTCGATTCGAACGATGGTACGGGCACTGAATACGTGGTGTCCTCTGCCGCTGGAGGCGGAAGTGAGTGCTGGGCGGCTCGAATGTATGTTCCTACGATGTATCTCGCAACTCTGAGGCCAGCAGGATGACTGAAGACAGTATTGAGGTCGAACACCGTATCGCTTTCGTCGGGAATCGTGGTTGGAGGGTGTCCGGAGGACATTTCTCTGCTGGAGAGGGATTTTGGAGGAGAGTCGTCGTCTGGGTTAAAGGCGCCCCGCCAAAGGGATTGACGTAAGGACCACGATGTCTGGCATGAAATACTTGATGTCTGGAATGCGCTTTTCGAATAATGCGTCCTCGGGATACAGGCTGTCGCTGGTGGCAGCGTGTGGTCGTCGGGTGGTTGTCGAGTGAAGTCTGTATGAGGCTGATTATGGAGGTTGGAGGTCATCAGTCTGGAGTTTTGTGTCGTGACTTTCTCTCGTCCGCACCGGGGCCCATTCGCATCTGGACTGGACTGGTGGACAAATTGCAGGGGAGATAGATTGGTGGGTGGGTGGGTGTGCTTTAATTAGCTTTGCTGCTAATCCTTCTCGAGTTAATGCCTATGGATTCATCCTGGAGCTCTTTGATAATTCTGACTTCCTCTTCCATCCTTCATTTATTTATTTACAAGATACGATGCGATGCGCCGCATTTTCATGATTGTTCATTGCATTCCGACCTCCTCTGCTCCTCTGGTGGCTCTTTCCTTGGTGGATCGCTGGACAAGGTGGTGCTCGGAACGAGAGCGGCATTACAGGGAGAATTCAATGCCAATACTGCACGGCACGGGAACTGCAATTGCCATCCCGAGTCATTCGAGGCCCGAACTCTGAGGTCCAAGTTGTGTTGGGAGGCAAATGCGGCCATTTGTGAAGAGGCACAGAAAATGCCACATGAGAAGGCGATTCCTGAACTGCCAAGCTTGTCTTAAGATCGCACACAGACGGCATGTATCTTTCAGATGAATACTTCAGAGCTGAAACCAGTTTCTTTCGGGTATACATACCTGACTCAAGAATCTAAAGGCTTAGTTCTGCATCTACCTTGATAAGACTCTCTCTGCTGTTGCTGTTAATTCCGCCGTAGTCACGGATGGGTAATCAGAGTGCATGGAATGCCCACATGACGCGGTCATCAGAGGACAAACTTGGAGGCAACTCTAGAGAATACATCAACGAGGACTCTACTGGATATGATACTTTTCCAGGTTCTAAGAACAAGTTGTCTTGGTCCAAGCTGGAAAGTGGGTGCTTGAATGATGGGTATCTACAACCGTTTCCTCGATTGATAGTAGCATTCCTTCTATCAAATGTTCTGTCATTCTCGTAAGCCCTTTGCTTGACTGTTTGCATTTGCTTGCTGGTCAAACATTAATTTGACCACTTCTGTTCCATTATGTGACTACTGATCCGATGCTCAGTGTGACCGACCGAGCAACTCGTAAGATCATTATTCCGAGCCGAGGGCGAATCAAACCAATTGACAGTTTATAATTTTTATCTTGTGAAGAACCAATTACTGGGAGTGGTCGGCTCAATCAAACTAAAATTAATCGTAATTTGAGAGCCAGAATCTGAGACATATACTCGGAAATAAATGAGAACGTTGAGCAAAAGAAGAGAGCGAAAACGATGAACGTCTGGTCCATGTTCCACGTTTTGAGAAGCAGCACAACATAAAGTCAAAGGAGAGAAGTCAAGATTATAGATTTCTTTCTAAGATAAATCCATCGAGTCAGGTAATAATTGACTTGATAACTTTTCCCCAGCACTTGGTTTCTTCAGAACGTGATTTTTCAGAAACTCCACAACATCGTCAATTCCCGCCGGGGAGTTGAACCAGTGTCCTCCTTTGGGATACTCCTTCCACGTAACCTGCGCACCAAATCCCCGTAGAGAATCTCGTAAACCTCGACCATTCCCTATCAGAACAAGAGGATCATCGACACAATGTTCTAGCAAAATAGGCGTACTGCGTAGGACCTCATCGGTCTCTGGGCTGCCGTCCAACGAAAGAACTTTCCTAGTCTCAGCGAGTGTTCTCCCAGGGAAAGGCATCCTGCACGAAAACCCAAGGAAGGCGCCGAGTCTGGGCAGCACCTGTTGACCACCAACAACCGGCGGGAGACTTAGATTTAGCAACGTATGTACGCTCGTCGCCGCACCTTGGCTGATACCAGCCAGTATAACGCGATCCCACTGTCCGCCCAAGACAGCAGCCTCGCTTGAAAGGATGCGCTGTATACCGGCAACACTCTCCCTCAGACCCTTCGCCTGTAGCTCCTCTCGGTCTGAGAAGTTGCTCACATTCCAGACGTCGAACCACTGTGACCATTTCTCGCCAGGAGAGGCTGTGCACTGCCGGATCTCGGATTGGGGAAACACCCAGCGGAAGGATGGGAAGATTTCTGAGAGCGTACGGTTGTGTGAGTCTGTTGAGTAACGCAAAGACGAAGCAAAGTTCTTGGCCGTGTCTCCGCGCCCGTGTAAGAAGACGACGGTATGCGTGTGGGGTGTGGAGGGATCAACAGTGATGAAGGAGAGATCCATATCTGGTATGATGGAAATTGTGTGTTGGGCAAGATGCTTTGGTATGCACCAAGCATTAACCTATTAAGGTATGATTCGAGATGGTCAGCATCAGATCTTGTGGGATTACTGTATGAATAGTGTGCTCTCAAAAGATTGACATGAATGTGGAAAGGTTTGAGATGCTTGCAGGGGACAGTCCAATCGGGGTGTCACGTGGCACACTAGCGCAGCAAGAGAGTAATATGTCGCATTCAAAATATTTATTGTAAGATCTTACAACAATTCCGTAGAATTATATAGGTATTGATCCTCGTACTGTCATGGCAGAGCAGCTACAAGGCTCGAAATGCATTTATAGATTCACGTCTTTCGCCAGTCAATGAAAAAAGTTATACATAATCGCCTTCTTCCCAACTTCTGTTTTCCACCTCGAACTCCTTTGAAAGGTCTCCAAATTGCTTGAATATGTCGTGCATAATCTCGCACCATCGATGAGAGTATCTAAAGCCCTCAAACAACGACTTAGTGTAGTCCCAATATTCCGGGTAGTACCCGGAATTCTCCCAGTCCACAATTCCCGTCACCTTCCAGCCTCGAGTCCCATCCCGATCGACCAAGATGTTCCGAGCATTCAGGTCCCCATGTGTGAATACAACCTGGTGTCCTCTGCGGCTCGGCTCATCCGGGTTGCGCAGGACCTGGCTGAATGCCGCCTCGTCTACGAAAGGCCCAACTGGATTTGAATCGCGGATGCGGGGGTCTCTGCAAGGCCCACCTAAGGTGTCACATATGGCATATTCTGGACTGACAATCTTGGGGATGGCTCGTATCTGGGTCAAGTAGTCTTGCATCTGGGAGACAAACTTTGAGCTATCGTCGTCTGACAGCATGGCCTGACAGCGTGAAAGAGGGATTCCTGGCACGCGGGATGTGACAAGATAGGCATCATGTGAATAGAATGGATCCTTTGATTTTGTTGGCACAATGACCAAGTCAATTGGCTTAGGAACCGGGACCGAAGTATACTGGCGCACCATTTTCAATGCATTGAACTCATTGCGAAATCGGTCGGGGTCTTCCAGATATTTCAGGTAGAGACCAAAAGGTAGTCTTTGGACGGACTCCCAGGCGTTAGGTTTTCCGTAAAGACGATATCCTATCTTTTGCAGCATTTTGTAAGTGGCTACTCGGACTCTGTCCGGAAACCTGACCCAGACGGCGAGACAAGCAGTGCTTATTAGGCCAGTGATAGAGAACGGGCTTCTCTGGTCAGATTGAGATGTTTTTGCTGGTTGCTTTGTAAGATATTTCGTCCGAGACGATGGTTCCTTGCTCAGTGCAATTTGTTCAGCAATATGGAGCCATCGGCAGCTTGGAGAAAAACGAGCGTGAGTGCCTATAAACCGTGGATCCACCTTCTCAATACCAAGTCGAGAATGATCGCCCAATAGCGGATAAGAACCATCAGTATCGATCGGATTCAGCACTCCAATCAAAACATGCTTGATCTCATACTATGTCAAAGCATCAGCAAGGTAAAGGGGAACTGGAAGTGACTTATGCATGAGCCCAACTCACTTCGATCATAGATGGCTGAAATCTGTCTAATGTTACAACACCCTGCGCAAAAGCGTGAGCTGCTGATCTACGGACAAGCCAGTGGTTATGATAAGAGTTCATGTCCTCGGGCCTTTCAACATAGGCGAGCCACCAATCGCGGTAGGAAGGGGTGAGGAAAGCACCGAGCATGTTGAAGATTCGGGGCTTTCATGGCTAAGGGTTAGCTTCTCTTCGGATCTGGGGTGTCCGAGACGATCAGACATACCTCATCTACGATCCAGCGAGAGGGAACGGGAAGAACAGGAACCACGACAAGCGGATCCCAGACACGGCTGACTTTGCCGGTAATGCAACATTTGCCCCCATCACGTTTAGTAATATTAGCCTGAGTGACAGCATCGGGCGTCGGCGGAGAACAGCCATGTTTTGAGACTGAAGTGTTTGTTAACAATGAAGGCTAGGAAAGGGCACAACATATAGGAGACGTACTGGATTCAACAAGATAGGTCCAATCGGATACAAGTCGAAGAAGTCCAACTTGTTGATTCTCTCCAGATTGAGTTGTCCGCAGCACATACCGAGCGGCTAGTCGAGGGTCGAGGGCTTCGATGATGAACGATGAAAGTAATGGGTCAGAAGGGTGAGGCAGCTTGGCGCCCTCAATGAGCGACAGTGCCTCTTTCACATCTTTATCATTCATGAAAGAGGCCATGTCGAATCAAGAGTAGCGATAGAAAAATCATAGGCCAGATAGTTTGGTGATACAGTGTCAAAATGAGCTGGAGTAGAAGCAAGTTTATCGCAGGGTTCAATGTTGTGTTGGCTGTCGGTCACGTGTGCCTAGGCGTTCGGCTGTTCAATCGGCGGAGCGCTGTTGTGAGGACAGGAACATTTCTAATTTCGAACACCAGAAACAGAATTAGCAGGCTGTCTCGAAATAAGCGCCGCGAATCCAAGCTCTACAGAGATAAGTGTCTCCGACCTAGATGACTGTTGCAAAAGAATAGTTACATTCCTAGAAGGGTATCGTGCGGACTCATGGTCGGGCTGGATGCGGGCCCTCTTGACAGTCTAAAGGTCTGCAGTTTCAACTGTCGCTTCGGTGGCGTCTATCTGAAGACATGTACTACTCACGGTCTTTCCTATGGCCTGCCATCCAATTTCACAGTCTGCGGTCGGCCATTCAAATGTCATCTCTTCAACCAACAAGTTTCACTTCCATACAAGCCTCAAAGGCATCTAACACCAAAAAGTTTCAACTTTCGAGTGAGTCCGAAAGTTATCGAAACCCAACATCTCTGTCTCTGAGCTGATAGCAAGAACATGCTGCTTAAGAAGTTCTATAAAGGTAGTCGACCTGCTATGTTTCTTTCATGTTTTAAACGAAGTAATCCTCTACATCCATAGTAATTCAAACTCTTCCTCATACAATCTCCATTTATCTCACCTCATATTGTATTTTGTCCCGTCCTCTTTTCTCAATACCTCCACATTGCAATCATTTACCTATTGTTTCCAAGTTTATTTATTCACTCAATCCATTGCAATGAGTACCGCTACTTCTCCTACTGCCCCACGCACCCTCTACATCACACTTCAGTATCTTCGCCGTGATGCTAGCGGAAACAAATATGTTTGTGAATCCTAAAGCCGAGAGATAATCATCAACTCACTGACGGTCAAAAGCATTGGGGCCTCTATGCCACAAGTGATACCCCACCCAGGGGCACATTGTTCCACGCAACCGATGCTGGCAGGCAACCTTTAGACCTCTACTATGAAGAGAGAAAAGTTGAAAACCCAACGAAGTCTAAATCGATGACCGTTTGCGTCAAGATAGGAGATGTATCCTCCACAACTGCAATTCACAGATGTGTTAGTACGGTTCCTTTGATGAGTAGAAGTCGGATACCTGCGGGCGAACGCCAGTGGACATGTCGTGTATATGTCAAGGAAGCCCTCAATGCTCTACACAACGCACAGTTGCTGAGCCTACCAGCAAGCGTAGGTAAGTTGAAGCAGATGAATTTCCAATATGATAGAACGCACTGATAGATCTCGGTTCTTCAGGCTCCATTGAACGTGCTTGTCTTGCAGTTGCAGATGCATACTTACCGTATCGGCTTAGTCGTGAGCGACCCGGCGTTTATAATGACTTCTCATGGTTGAGGAGGGGCAGCACAAGCCGAACAATTCCAATGGAAGTCGATCCGACCCTATATTATCCATCTGAAATGGAAGTCGACTCAAGTGGGCGCTATAGATCGACTCGATCGTATGGATCGCTCATGGACGTCGATTCAAGTGGACGCTATGCATCTTCTCAGTCATATGGATTTTAGTTTAGGGCATCGCGAAGAGGGTGGGAGTGACTACAGTACTTCGCAACTAATGTACCTAGCGGTCGGAGAGAAGGGATATGGGATGAAGGGCAAGGAATTTAATTGTGCTACTGCTGCATAGCTAAGATGTGTTGTTATTGTGTTATGGGGGTACGATTTTTGGGAGCACTTGCTTGGGCGTTTTGATTTGGGCTTTGTTCGTAGAAACATCAACTAAGCTGAACTTTTGACTTTGGGAGCGCTTGCATCTCTATGAACCTGTCAGCATAACGCCTAGTTTCAGCACAGCTCTTTGTAAAGGTCATCGTGGTCATCAATCTATCTCACTGCAATTCTAAGGTCGAAAGCCATGCATTTATTCAGTACATACACTCTTCAGGTGCAGAGATCTAACTTGTGGGGTATAAAGCTCGTGCAAAGCAATAGATGAAAATGACTAGGCCCACCGCAACCCTCCCCTTCCGAGTTAACTCCATTCGCTACTGTCAACTCCATGCACCGTAAATTCAAATTATTCAGAGGTGATGAGTTCAGCCTTTCTCTTACCCGCAGGAAGGATGGCTCGTGGGTTAGTTGGTCGCCAAAGGCGTACCTTGGCACGATAGCATACGACCCAGTCTCGACCGGGGCCCTTGAACTTAACGCCCATCAACATTGTCAATAAGATAGGTCTTCCTTCCAAATCCTTCACGTTGAGACCTGGTCCTTCCAACTCGAGGCTGTCCAGCACATGGAAATTAAGATCAAAGGCATCAGAGAGTTGTGGATATATGGGCGCGTATTCTCCTCTATAGGCAGACATGTTGACGTTGAGGGTTGAAGCAATGTTTGCGATTGACTCATGAAAGCTGTTAATCTCGGCGTTATTACCAACGATTGCGACCATTGCTCCGTTCAGTCGCTTCACAAAATCATCTACTCGAGTCTTTCGGCGCTCGGTAAAGGATTGCGCATCCGCTGGATTCTTCTTCATAGTTCGGATACGGGTGTCTTGGATGATCATTTGGATCATATCAGATGAGAGACCGGCTGAAGAATCGAGTCAGTCACTTAGCACTAGTAGATGTGTGAAGGGCTTTTACCATAAGATAGTCCTTCTGTGAGAATTGAGGAATCGTCAAACGGCGAACCAGACTCGAACACGAACTGTTTAACAAGGAGCATTAAGGCACCTTTGATCCAGACCGAATTTTCTGGTTTGATTCGAAGGCTCTCGATCTTTCCCTTAATAGACACTCCGCTATAGATATCCAGCATTTGGCGCAGAACCATTGCTGCCAGATTTCCAGGAGCTTCATCTCGGACACACGCTAAGTCAGAGAAGGCTACTTTATAGGGTTGTAAACCGGCCATTGCAGTGTATTGTGACAAAATGCCAGAAAGCTCATCCAACGATCGGCAGATTTCATCCTGATGGTCGAGCCACTCTTGGCCATAGCGTGGGGTGTTTTGGATGGACTCTGTCCTATTCGAACCTTGTGTGTTGGGTACGTCTGGACGTCTTTGTTGACAATCAGGACAAAACCAGGATCCAGTGTTGTTCAAACACTCTTGAGCATCTTTAATTCGAATAAGCCAAGTCTGGTATAACAGGGACGCAGAGAATTGACTTCTTTGACAAGTGGACCCACTGCAGGTGATCGATTGAGAAGGGCGTCTGGCTTGGGAGAAATCAGGGCTCTGATGGTTACGCTGTCCTCCATTTTGGGTCTTGACTTTCTTACTCAGTGTTCCTTGGGTTGCAACGAAGTCAGGATCGAACGAAGCTTGAGACTCTGGCACTGAGCGGGGAGAGCTTTGTAATATGATGATTGCTCGCTTTTGTGTGGAGGTAGAGGACTTCTGCTGTGACAGACGGGAGTCTGGTGCAAGATGATCGGGACTAGGTGATAGTGTCTCTGGCGTTGGTCTTGTTGATTTTGGTGCTTGTCCATTACGACCCAGTTGGAAGGGCGAAGGCCTATGATGAGGAGGGTTTGTATCAACACCAAGTTTAGACTTCTTGTCGTCGAGTTTTCTCGAGGTCTTGCGTGGCAGTGGATTTCCGATCAGCTCAGCACAAGAAGTGCAACTGGATGTATCTCGACTTTCGGGGGCAATAGGCTTCTTCCCACACATGACACAGAGGTCAAGCAATGGCACAAAATCCGATTGCCGCACACCTAGCGACTTGTTTCGCGAAGTTCGGGTTTTGTTACTTCGTGTTTGCTCTTCAGGAGAGGCGGCTTCTGATTCCGGGCGGTCTTTGGCCAGCTCTTTCTCTTTCCTTGCTTCTCTGATCCTCTCGCCCACGGCATACAACCAAGGGACCTTTAACTTGCCTCTCGCATCAAAGCAAGTTGGCAATTGATGGCAACGATTGGTGGCCGCAAATTTGACAGCTATTGATATCAACTGTGAAAAAGGAGGTCCTCCAGCCAACACCTTCATATCGCTATCTACCTTCTCAGGTTTAGCTGGGTTCATGTTACCCCTGTTGGCTTTTGTGAGGTTATCACGAACTTCCGCCTCTGAGAGCGGTAACAACTTTCGAGGATCCATGATGCTTGAAGAGGATTCGAAGTCTCCATTATTGAAAAGCCCGTCAAATTCGGTCAAGTGGGTACGAGTGCCGTTAGGAGAGATAATATTGCCCACGGATTGGTCGTTATTGCTTGCGTAGCTCTCGAAAGAGTCAGGTAATTGGGGGGTTGGGGAAGTAATTGTATTGCGAGACATGTTTTCAGGGCAGGTCCACAAGAGGATCAATTGATGGCGAAGCAAGCCTTGATAGTTTATGGCGTAGCTGGAGTGCTTTGCAGCGAGCCGAAAAGATTGCGACAAGCGGTTCTCTACATCCTTTCAGTTTGCATCGTGAAAGCGAAGATCATGTACTCACCTCAGGTTCATACGAGTCTCGTTAAGAGCAGTCGTGAAACAGATACAAGTGAAAGGCTCGTAGCACGGGGTGCAGCACAGGCTGTTTGTTTCGAGCGGGTGGACGTGTTTGCAAGTGTTCCTCCAAGCCACCTACTTATTCGAAAGGGCTCACCTGACTTCAATCGCACCGGGTGAGACAGAGTAGCGGAGGGGTTGCGCTCAAGGAAATATTCTGATCGTGAATCTTTTGGGAAGCTAGAGATGGACAAGATCGGGAACAACCCTGTTTCCTACGTGCATACGCGATTGCGCGCTAGTCTATATTTTTTAATTGTGAATTCTTTTTTTGAAAAACAAAGTAATTAATTTTGACATTTTATTTTTTATTTCTTGTTTTTTTTTTTGAATTATTAATATTTTATCAACTTTTAATTTTTAATGCCGGAACATAAGTCACGTGCTTATCACGTGTGGTCCCGTGGCTAGCATGTGCGCGGTGACCCTCGAGTTAGTTAGCGGGCTCTGAGAGGGACATCCTCCCCTCGAAGCCAGCTCTTGAGAAGGCACGAATCAATGAACCAACAACCTGACCCATAAGATCTTATATTATCCTATTACTCGAGTACCCTGTGATACCAATATTTAAAAAAAATATATATATATAAAATTCTGTCTCGGCCGGTTCAGATTATCCCGGGGTAGGCCCAGAGCTTTCCTGGCGGAAGGATAATGGCAGGACGCAGTTCATTGCTGCGACGGATGCTCAAGCATTCACGGAATTTCGTCTCTTGTCGCAACTTGAGGGCATTATCCCCGCTCTAGAAACAGCGCATGCGGTTTATGGCGCCATTGAGTTAGCCAAGAATATGCGAAAAGACCAAAACATAGTAATCTGCATAAGTGGAAGAGGAGATAAGGACGTCCAGAGCGTAGCAGAGCAGCTCCCAAGACTTGGGCCAATGATCGGCTGGGATTTGAGGTGTATGTGTTAAAGCAGGCCAATCAGAACTGTAATACTGGCCGATACAGTTGAACCTTAATGAAGAAGAAGCCTCATCTGGGCAATCTCGAGCAGAGATACTGACTACGCCACCGTTTTGGTCATTCTAGTAGAAGAGAAATCTATATGCCTTGAAATCGTCTTTTCAACCATGTCCCTGAACACTCTTTGTCCTTCCCATTGTTCCAGATAGATAATATACTTTGTATTAAGTAGGTCTCTTAATAAGGCGTCATCTACTGGCTGCCGAATATCCCCCCTTTGTCCGAGTATTTGCATAATTGTCCACGGGCTGTCTTTCCCGCCGGCGGAGTTCTTGGTGTTGGCCTCGACCGCCAAAAAAGACGATACAGCACTAATCCTCTAATGTTTCTTCTCACAGTTCGATTTTATCTTTCTTTTCCTAAACGAGCGCTAATTTCAGGGAACGAAGAGAGGTTATTGTCTTATATCCGGTTCTGTCCTGTGGGCTAATAGAGGACGGGCATAGCATGTGACTCTCGAAACAGTGGTTTGGGCTAAATGAGAATCTAAGAGAAGGCATGCTCGTCAACGATTATACTTGTGCTTCGCCACAGTTACCTTATCGACTGAGGCTCTAAAAACCCTCTGCCTCTCACACTGCTCGAGGAAGACCTGGTATTTGACGTCCAGCAGCGCTCGCACATCTTCATCATCCGACGGTCGAACCAACTCCCCCGACTTGCTGAGGCGTTGGATGACGGTCCAGAGGTCCTCAGTATTACCGTTTTGCTCCACCGTGCTAGCTTTGGCAGCCAGCAGCGCCGCGCCGCAACACACAGCAGCGTTCTCATATCTTGGAGTGACAACTGGAAGTTTGCACGCCGTTGCAATGGTGGCTACTAGGAATTTGTTCTGGCATTGCGAGCCCGACATGAAGATCGACGAGATAGTATGCCCGGCGCGGTTCATCTCGGAAATTATTTGGTGTATTTGGAGAGCGAGAAATTCGATGACGCCGTAGTAAGTGATAGCAAGGCTGTCTAAACTTTTGTCGGCTGTGAGGCCAATCGCCGACCCCCTCATAGAAGAAGAAGTAGCGGCCTAGATAGGGGATATTTGGAGCGTCGGAATCCGCGCACATCTGCTGAAGGTGGTTATTAAGAACTTCAAATATGTTCGATTTCTGAGATTCAGCAAGGGACATGGTAATTTCATATGCAGGGTGGATCTGCAGCATATGCTGCAGTAACTGGCCTGTGCAAGCAGATAGCGTTAGTTTTTACTCCCTCACACAGCTTAGCTTGGGTATCGGACAGCTTAGAGTTAGGATCTTGCTTCCCGAGAAATTGCCTTTGAAATCCAGTGCATCGCAGTTACGAAGCAGGTTGAAAAGTGCGATCACATACCTGAAGCAGTCTGACCACCTCCTGACATCCAGAATCCCGGCAATACCCAGTCCTTATAAGGGCCCCAGATACCGTGGACGAAAATAGGGGCTTTTGAGACCACAATGAGGCAACTTGATGTACCAGCCACTAACGCCAACCTGGATTGCACAGGAAAGGCATCCGGATTTCCTGGTGCTTGGAGCTGTGCTCCAACAGTGCCCACCCAACCAGCATATGCATGATGCCAGAGCCGACTAGGACGTCTGGTGGTAAGCCGAGTTCTTGTGCAGCCTTATTACAGAGCTTGCCCACAGGAACGCCTGCCTGCAGGCAGGTACCGTCCGTGCTAGGAACCAAGTTAACTACAAAAAAGCACAACTTCAAGTGATAGCTTACCTTGCACACCCCACCGACTTTCTCGAAGTCATTTGCCACCAGATCCTCTAATCCAATATCTGCCAAGAATTCCCTGTCCCATCCTTTGATTGTCCCGTCCACACCAAGAGGTAATGTCTCCTGGTCGCAGGCAGCGGTACAAGGTATGCTCACGTTCCCCGTCGCGATGTGGGTGAGAGCATCGTTCAGATCATAAAACTTGCATCTGTCGAAAACCTCTTTCGGTGTATTGTTCTTTAGCCATAATACTTTGGGCAGTTCCATGAGTACCGATATTGAGCCGCCAAGGTATTTGAGAAGACTGTGCGCTTTGCTATTGATGGAAGCCGCTTCAATGTCGGCCCTGCGGTCCATCCAGAGTATGATGTTGTGAACAGCGCCGGAGGAACTACTTCCGCTCACCTCCACAGGTTCGTCGGTGTCACGTGTGTGTACAGAGAGGGAGCATGTGGCCGCAAATGCAATACTCCGAACAGTGTGAGGATCAATGCCGCTCTGTACTATAGCTTCTCTGACCACATTACACACAACGTGCCATATATCGTCAGTAGACTGCTCCTGTAGCAATGTATCAGCAACAAGACTTAACTACTCAGCTCAGTCAATGAAAGCTTACATAGCAACCTGGTCGTGACTGCCATTGCTGGATATTCTCGGAGGCATGTCCTACCAACTCTCCCTCACTATCAATAATGTATGCCCGAGCGCTGCCAGTGCCTACATCCAGGCCAATGTAATGGGAATTTGATACGGGAGCATCTTTACCAGAATCGTCATTGCATTGGGCCGAGGGCGGACTCTGTATTAGTCCTATGGTTAGCATGGTTTAGATATTCGAGAAGGACGGAGCTCCTTTTTGACTCTGTCAAGTAAAGTAGCACCGCGAGAAGGCTGGGACACGAGAAGGACGGAGCTCCTTTTTGACTCTGTCAAGTAAAGTAGCACCGCGAGAAGGCTGGGACACGAGAAGGACGGAGCTCCTTTTTGACTCTGTCAAGTAAAGTAGCACCGCGAGAAGGCTGGGACACGAGAAGGCGATGGACGTAATAAACTATGGCGCTTGCAGCTCTAATGATGAACCCAATTAGAAGAATCTTACCAGAAAATATTCTATGAAAGGATGTACTGGGTGTTCATATAAGAAATTTTGCCTTACCGCTTAATTCTGCCTCCGATTCCAGGTTGTGACGAAGCTGGCGCTACGCATCACGTGCTCTAATGCCTGAGATATCTTCGTCGTATTTATTTACACGATTACGCTTCATTTCTTTTAACCGTGAATTTTCTAAAAAACTAAATAACTAATTTCGACAAAAAACAACACATTTTGTAGCAACAACGCCTTTCGTAGCAATAACGCTTCTCGTAGCACGTGCTTACGCGATTGCACGCTAGTCCTCACTTCAGCCTTGTCGTCGAAGCCAATCTTTCGATATTAATTTTATACAGAACAAACTTATACCAAGCACACTCCGCAACATGTAACTTGCTCCATGTCTTTACTTTGACCACCCACCTTGCGTTACCCTACGAATCGACAGCACGATAGTTGGCCAGCCTCGACCATTGCGACGACTGAGCGGTGGCTTCACACGGTGTTATCATGCTCCCCTCACCTGTTCGAGGTAGAGCGATCCGGGGCGGCAAAGGTAAGTTTCCAAAGAGTTCCCCAAAGTCGAAAGATCTGACTGACCTTTCCAGCCCGCACCGGTCCCAGTCCTCGAGCTAAGCCTCCATTGGGAGCCTCGACATCAAGCGCATCCACCCAGTCCTTTGCCGTTACGCAAACCACGGCTGCCAAGCCAGCATCTACATCCAAGTCCGTTGGCAGACTGATTGTCGGCATCGATGTGGGCACCACACAATGCGCAGTAGCGACTGCTGAGATCCTATATGGTAAACAGAATGGCGGCAAGGCACAATCTACTCCTAGAGTAAAATTGTATGAGGGCTGGATCGGTTTCTACATGAACCACAGCTCCACCCCGTGTACAGCGATGTACTACGAAGAGGATGGCACTCCTTTGACGGGGAATGATCTCCAGCCTCTATTCGATAATGCGAATCCAAAATCGTATCGTCCAGACAGACTTATTCGACTTTGGAAGCTCATGTTCCACCATCATCAAAATAAAGCACTTATTGCGAACATTCAGGGTCAGATACAGAAGCAGCTTGATATGCTTGGGAAGACAATGGATGATTTGATGAGAGACTGGGCCCGTCTCCTCTTCGACCATCTTTTCACTGAAGGCAGTGGTATCTCGTCCTTGCGACAAATCTATCCAAAATTTGACCAATTAGATCTTGAGTAAGCAGAACTTGCGTCCTTTGAACCTTATTTCCGCGACGTTCTTTATGGCACATCTGAAGCCACTACAACCTTTGCAGCGAACAATGGTTTTCGAGCTAACATGACTGTCTGACCCTCTAGGCTTGTTGTTGCTGTACCTCCAGGTCGATCCACGATCGCTCATGAACAGGTTTTGCAGTCTTTCATTCAAGGTCCTATCAAATCGACTACAGTTTCGCTTGAATCGGAGCCAGCAGCTCTATTCCGGAATTGGGTTCAAGAAGGGGAAAACGACCAGGACTGGGTGGTGAGTACCTCACTGGTTAAACACTTGAGTATTTGCTAATAATTGATCGCTATAGGTAGGAAAACGCTACTTGGTCGCTGACGGTGGCGGTGGAACTTGCGTTGGTTCTTCTCAATAGTCCCAAAGCATTGCTAACGTTTGCAGTCCTTCGTCCGGTTTAGACTAGATGGTCTTGAGCCACTTCGCTTTGCCCAAGAGTTCCAATCCGAGAGTAAGCTAAACAACCTTGAACTTCCTTTCAAAGGGGCGTGCTTAACAGAATGTTAGGTGTGGTGTGCGGTGCAGAGACAATATCAGATCTGTTCGAGAGATTGATTGCAACAAAGATCCCAGAGAATTGCCCATACCGCGATTGGTATATTGAGCGTATTCGAAATAAGTTCGACACTCAGTACAAGGTAAGCTTGTTCCTAGCTTCATTGGCTGTAGTATCCATAGGGTTCTGGAGCTTTCTCCGAAACAGAGACATGTAGGCAGAAGGATGCCGTCCATGTGTAACGTCCTGACATCGCTTGGAGCTACCAACCCATCTGTCGGCTTTTACAGTGCTAATACTTGGGTAAAAGCTTTTCGTGGGTTCAAATGATCGTGCGCTGTCTTTCGAGAATCCGATGAAAGTATCAGCAGATGATGTCATAACCGTCACAGTGTAAGTCAAAATACATGTCTCAACTTCTACAAAAACTGATGTGATAATTAGCGATGAGACCAAGCAATGGTAAGTGTACTCTCACACTATGTTGCTATTCTAGCCCAAGCTTAATAGCTGTTTGGGGCACTGATGGACAATGACCGTTAGCAAGCTCTGGTGACAGACTATGAGCTATCAGATCTGCATAGTCATCTATCAACTTCTTGCAGTGCTAATCCATTTGGTAGCTTTGCACTGTGTATTGCCGCGCTGGTGGAGGCTATTAGGCGACAGCTTGCGATGGGTGAACCAGTCGATGTAAGATACTCTTAAACAAACTTTTAAATGTCTGCGGCTAACTAGCAATGTAGTATATCGTCCTCGGCGGTGGACTATTTCAAAACCCTCATGTTCTTAAATCAATTGGAGCGGAGTTCAAGGGTCTGAGACTTCTAGAGACGTCAAAGCTGTAAGGAACTTCCAACAAACTTGTGTATTGGGCTGACATAATCCAGCAAGGGAGCAGTCGCTAAAGGCGCGGTGCTCTCTAAGATTTTCGACAATTTTATCTCCAATGACGAGATCACGAGAACCAAAGGCAATCTCACTATGATTGAAGTGACACCAAAATTAAAGAAGTCCAAGTTCTTCAAAAACCTTGTAACCAAAAAAGGCGTCGACGGTCGTACATACTACTGGGCCGTAACGTATCTTGTGAAGCAGGTAAGCTAGTAATTTGTCGACCTTTCATAAAACAATGATTGAAATTTTACAGGGTCAAAAATCCATGAATGGTCGCGAGATATCTACAGAAACAAGTGCCAAGGACGCGAGAAGACATTATCTTGAGCTTGATGACGATGATTTAAACTTCTCGGAGAAAATCTTCACCTTCAACTATCGACCAGGAAAGGATAAGTGGGCAGCTCTTACCAAGAGTGGAAGTTGGATCAACGAGAGAGGCCATGAGAGTACGAATGTCCTCAAGCAAATATTGTCGATATGCTAATTGTGCCAGTACCATACCCGGAGCACTACGAGAAGATAACTTGGAGTCCCTTAGCAGATGAAATGGAAGTTGAGCTTTCAGACCTCGAAACAGAGCGCACCAAAGATGGCACTGTGAAGCGAGTTCTTCGATATTCACTCCAATTACAGGTCAAAGAGACTGGTACGAAATACTGGGCTAAGATGTGGTCTTCTGATGCGATGAAGAGAAAGACGGGCGAGAGTGTCTGGTCTCTCTCACAACCCGTTGAGCGACAACCGCTCTTTACTCCTCAAGCGATATCGCAAAGCCTTGCCGACAGCTTTAAGTTCGACGATTCCCAAACTTTAACTTCAACTTCAATTTCAACTTCCAATGCCAGTGTCGTACAGAACTCAGCTGAGGTTGCCAGACCTAACTTGGCGGCAAAGATACAGAGACCAGCTGAGGTTGCTGCACCTAATTTGGTAGCAAAGACACCGAAATCAACTGAGGTTGCCAGACCTAATTTGATAGCAAAGACACAGAGACCTGCCGAGATTGCTACACCCAGCTTGTCGGCAAAGACACAGAAACCAGCTGAGGTTACTAGATTTAGCTTTTCAGCAAAGACAGTGGAAATTATTGCGAAGCCAAGTACCGTCGCTTCGACATTCACACAGTCTAATGGATTCGCGAGTACCAACAAAGGCCAAGAAACATCATTGCCTTCATATGCCCTACCAAGAGGACCCGTACATGTTGCTGAGCGCCCTATCCAGCAGTCGCTCGTGAAGCCTGGTCAAAGTTCGTCCCAGTTCTCCCAACCTGTTCTTAAACAGAATGCCAAAGCTAGCACGAGCAGGCCCGGAGCTTTGCGTCGTGGAGGAGGTAAGTTGACAATGAACTTCGATGTGAAGTCACTACATGATACTGAAACTTAACAGGTTGCTGGACATGCTCGCTTCGACACGCCTCTTGCAACTTGCAAAAGCCAAAATGCTGGCAATGTGAAGAGTTCGGACTTCAATGCGACTATATTCGGCCAGCTTGGTGGGACGACGATCAGCTGAAAGGCAAGCAGACTGAACTTTATAGACTTATTGTGAAGCAAAGCAACACTGTCAAAAAGTTAGGCTCGTCCTCAAAGCCGACAAGATCGATGACCGGCTCAACCACACCCAATATGACTACAAATTCTTCTCTAACAGTAAGTGCCTCGCATCGCTTAGGCAGGATTTTGACTGATGAATCTCAGCAGCAACGAGTCCAATCATACACTCCAGGTTCAGGAACGACTGGTTCTCAATCGAGCGTACAGAATGGTTCTTCATTCTCAAGTGGCACCCATAAACAAGCTGCACCTGCCTTCGACTGGTCGAAGAGATCCAGGGACTCGGATGGAGAAACTTCTACCCCACAGGCTTCGAAGAGACGTCGCCTCGAAAATCTGTTTGCCGATAACAATACTCCTCCCAATACCAGTGGCTCTCCGATTCGCAAGTCAGACCAAGCCAAAGTCCAGCGTTCGGCACCAGATATGAGAACTTGGGGCAGTTTGGACGACGAAGATCTCAACGGCTCAGACTTGGTCCCGCACGCTTCGGATGTGGAGGATTGATATGATGGCGACGGTTGCGACGGTTGCGACGGTTTCGATGAGTTCTTAGGAAGCGTTCTTTGAGAGGTTGACAACGCGATGTGGTTTTCTGGATCCGAACCAGTTTCGAAGCCGGAGGACCGTATATGTACATTAGATAACGCAGTGACGAACGGGATGGGATGGGGGATCATGGCGTTATTTTCGCGGTAGCATGGATGGATGGCATGGCCTAGCGTTTATTTCGAGCGACTGGGGAAAAAAGACACCACCTCCTGCGTTGAATCCGGGCTGCTTATAGCTATTTAGCTAGCTAGCTAGTAATTGATTTGATTTTCTTTGCGAATTGAGAATCTGCTGACGTTGTGGTGATCTCTGATAATGATACAGAATAGCAGAAGAAGGAGAAAGTTTTATCCTGCCTTCCTTGGCCTCGGTCATTCCTTAGCCTCACTACTAGATTGATTACATAACGGCTCTAGATCACCATATCTCCTTCCTCTTTCAGAGCATCTTTGCTTGGCGGTTTAGATCGCAAGTTTGGCGATGTGCAACAGAAGACGGGTTTGCGGAGTTGTGTTCTGGACTGATGGACTGCAGATCCTTGTCCAGCTGTGCAGGGGTGACTTGAGAGATGGTCACGTGACCGTTGCTAAAGTGATGGAACTTGGAAGAGTGAAAAGTGGTTTAAGGATGATGAAGATTAAAACTCATAGTGAATTTATATTTGTATTAAGAAAGTGACGGATAGAAGAGAACATGAAGGCGCGAAATCTCTCGCAATTAGAATCGTGACCTTAACAATAAGCTGTCCCAAATAAGCTAGTCTGGTACCTTTCCTCTCCTCTCCAGACCAGCCGAGATCCCTGGGACAAAAGCCACAAGCTTCACAAGCTTCTGCACAAGACTTCTTTCGCCATCACAAGCTTCATCGATCGATAAGACTAGTACAGTAGTGTTACAGAAAGGTTCACTGCTTTCTTTCTAGCCTTTCTTTCGTTTTCCCGTACAGCTGGCTCGTACCTTATCTACATACAAACTACTGTCTGGAAGTGTCTTGCATACGCATACATACATACATACATACATACATACGAAGACGGACTGCATGTGCATATACCGTATGTATGTACTATTGTCTGTTCTTGGAAATGCACTTGATTCGTGTTATACATTACCTACTGAGACTGTCCTGGGATGCGCGATCGAGGGGCTGTGATGCGATGCGATGTGCTGTGGTGGAAGGTCACTGCTAACGCGTCCACCCGTCTGTCTGTGTGTTCGTTCGTTGGTTCTGTCCGTCTCCTTTTCAGATTACTGGACCTAGCACGAGTCACGAGCGAAAGAGACCGTGCGAGTGAGGTGGTTTCTTCGGATGGCAGGCATGACAGACAAGAAGGAAGAAAATGTTTCGATTGGTGTAGATCGGTATATTTGTTTGATGGTGTTTCAATAAGTTTCAGTGGCGCTAATGGAGATGACAGAGGGAAACATTGGATGAGTGCAGATGTTGGTAGAGTTGGATGAAAGAAGCAAGACGATGAATAAGGATGGCGGTGGGTGAGTTGGGCGATATGCAGGTTGCCTCCAAGCAGAAGGAGAAGCGCCTCAGTGTCGAAGCGTCGACTTGCTTCAGCAGGTTCTTTCTTCGGGTCTACACCGTACTCGTATCTCGCCATTAACCTTCTTCTCCAGCAGGTTCGTTCGCCACTATTATCATCCATCATCTGTATTATTTCATGCACGACGTTTCAGCAAGCAATAAACATTTTCCTTGGAGAGACAGCGAGCGAGCGAGCACTTCAGGCTCATCTTGCATCCAGACCACCCCAATCTGGCTTCTCCCGACCACTATCAATGCATCGGGTTAGCGAGCCACGCAAGGGCAGGCACCGGCGCCAACTTTAAGTGAGTTGGCGTGCTTCTTCCCTGGAAGACGCTGCAGCGACATTTCTTTTTTCAGCAGCGGAAAACTACAACGTGAGGCTATCGAAAATCTGGAGTGAACGTCTTGATCTTGGTCTTGATTTTTTGGCGATGATGAACGTTGAGCTGGGGATACGGGCGGGGTCTTCGTTTCAGATCCGCTTACTGTTATCCAAACATCGAGCTTAATCGTCGAATATCGAATGTAATGCGCGCAAGTTTATGCCGTGGGCAGCATCGTGATAACGGGAACCATGCTGTGCGCTGTGACACGGACACTGAAGATGCTTTGAGAAGTGGAAAGCGGTGGTCTTTGCGCCACCTGGGATGGGGATGGCCGCGGCCAGTTCAGTGGTTGCATTGGTTGAATGTCGCCTCTTGTCCTGGGATGGGGATGGATTGATGCTGGGCTGGTTTGCTCTGCTGGTGCAGGAAAAGAGGACGACGGCGGAAGGGGACAAAATGGCTGGGCGTTCAGTCAGGCTGGGGATTTCTCCGTCGAAGATAGATAGGCTGGTACCAGTGTGCAACCAATACGCCCGCTCCCCAGTCTTACCAGCGTAGTGGCGGGCCCAGGTACAGGAGACAGACAACAATATGAATATTCGCTGTATGCCATCTTTGTTGGCAAAGTCTCAGAAAGTCACTCTTCTCCGATTTCCAGTCTCGATCTCATAATTCATGACGATTCAGAACTTGAATTGCATTCGATATCCGGCAGTATTCACTAGACCACAATCTTAGGCCGGCCAGGATTATCTGGAGATCGCCTCCTAAGCGAGATACAGTACAGTGCCTTGCAAACCTTGAGACACCCAGCGAGATTGCATCAAGGTCCGTTGAGGAGAACCAGCAGCACCACCATTCATCGTCCAACTTCTTTCAAGAATCAACTCTTCCTCCTCTGCCCTTCGTCTCTCTCTCCCTCATTCGACACGACGACGGGAGCGGCTGTTCAATCTTTCAATTCATCAATCATTCAGAACTTTACTGTTTCTGGACCTGTACTGGGCAGCTATTGTTGGACGATTCGAATACTAATTTGACTGCCGTTTCCACTCCACGACGACGACTTCTGCGACATCCCCAATCAACGCTTCAAACTTACAGAGATCCCAATTATCGAGGCACCTACCTAGATTCGAATTGTGGAGAGAAGACCTGTGATCAATTGTCCTCCAAACTCCCTTCGTTTCGCTCTTTCTCCATCTGAAGCTTCGACATACGCAAGCTTTTGCCTCAACAAACCTGCACCACCACAAATATCCCATTCGCACCTCCTCCATTCACTCGAACAAGCAGACGACCCGACGATAAAATTCGATTCATCATGTCTGCCGTCGACGAGAAATCGGTTGTGGTCACCACAACCGATGCTACTGGCGATGCACCTACCTCGAATCACAACATCCTCACAATCACACGACCATCTCCCGCCCGCCAACATCAACAAGGTCTCGTCTTATCCACCATCCAAGACGTTGACTCCACACACTCTTTAAGCCCTCCCCCTTCTGCCACAAACGAGAAATCCATTCTCGACTCCCTCAATTCCCCCTACGAATACCACCACTCGCACAACGACGAGTCCCACTCCGACTCCAAGATGAACGTCAACGTCATCCACTCCTCGTTCGAGAACGATCTCGAGGCCCAAGCCCTGACGCAGGAGAAGACGCAGGCCAGCCAGAGCAAGTCGAACCTCCTGAAGAACAAGACCAAGTCGTGCGTCGACCCAGCTTGGCCCGGTCGAAACCACCTCAAGATGCAGCGCAAGATCGCCAAGCGGGAGCGCGCGTGCTGCAGACCGTGGGCGGCGCTGAGCAAGAAGACCAAGGGCATCATCTCGGCGGTCATCTTCCTCGTTATCCTCGGTATCGCGCTCGGTGTCGGTTTCGGTATCTCTTCGCGGGTTGGTGGCACGATTCAGACGGGGAATGGAACCAATAAGCCGATTAACACGAAGTGAAGCTTGTCAGGTATACTTCACTCTCTCTGTCTTCATTGCAGAATCTGACAGGTTCCCAGTCGATTCGTCTTCAACAATCTTCCCATCCAGGTCCCACGATCTTGATCGGCACCAACCTCTTTCTTGTACATAATTTCCGCAAGCGACTTCTGCCTCTGCTCTTGCTTCTCATACCCCCGAATGTATGTGTGTTAGGCGTTCTAGGCGTCCCGGCCTCGACTGGAATGGACGGATGGTCGGTCGGTCGATTGAAATGTAATGTTCGGCGGCAGACAGACAAAAAAGGCCTTTTGTGCATATGGTGGATCCGTCTTCTTCCTTTTCTCTGACTCCATTCTCCTGTAGAAGAGTGAAACATAGGGAAGGCCTCAAGTTAGACGAGACACTTCAACCGCAATGAAAAAAACCTGCCTGCCACCACTCACTCACTTACCGTCCCCAAGTGACTCTTATACTCACACTGAAATGATCAACATTCCATTCCTTCCAATCCCATCACCACCCCAGCACACCACTCACACATCAAATGCAGGTACAAAAAACTAAACCAAGAGGGAATATCCCAGCTTATGTATGTATCATAAACGGCACAGAGACATAGGTTTTGTCAGCACGCAACCTCCAAAGTGGAGCTCCCGCTCGGCGTTAGGAAGTGTGAGTGCCGAAGGATTGGATTTGCTTTTGCGGCGGGTTTTTGTGAAAATTATGCGGGGTTTTATGCACGCTCAGTTCTAAGCCCAATTCTTCGCTCGGAGGAAAATGAAGAGAAAGAAAAGGGGATTGTTTAGGTATGTTTGGAAGTCTGCTTCAAGAGACACTGACCGCGAGGCTACGGGAAAATACGAGGGATATTGCATAACAATATTCATCGATAGAACCGTTATTGAGGTGCTATATACTACAGTCGATGACGAACACTGACGTTGAAAGGAGATGAGAAGCATAGTATTAATGGGGATAATGGGGGATTAAGAAGTATTGGTTTGGGATGAGGGAACCTTATATGGTGGCGAGCAAGAACTCGAATTTCGGACTTTTTCGTGGTGCTGGGACGATTTAGGAGACGGTATAGCTTACACGAAGTCGATGGTTCGGACGCTCATGGTGCTGTCGTGGGTCAAGATACGGTGTAGCTGGCAAGAACTCGGATTTAAAACTTCACTGTGCTGTTGTGAGTAAGAAGGGTTGGTATGAAAGAGTGTTCATTATTCATTAAATATTGATTATTATCTGTCAAGCTATTCATTCCCTCTTTTCCACATCTTCCATATATACAAATCTCCCTCTTCCACATCTACGAACTCATCAACCCCTTCGAATTCAGATAATCATTAATAACAGCATACGCCCCCGTAGCGTTATAATGCAAATTAATCCCATGCCCACTATCCGGCTGTATATAACTCGTAAAATTCCCCACGGGAAAATTCATCGCAACCTGCGCCGGGATACTCGCCGCCGCCCCCCCTGTGTCCAAACAATCGCCGCCGCAATACGGCAGGTCGTTCTGGCCCGTGATAACCATCACCGGCCCCGTAAACGCGTTCTTCATCGCCAGCGAACCGAGGGTGAGGATCTCGCCCAAAGTGACGGGCTGTTTGATCGCTTCGGCGAGGACCAGGATGGCGGGGTCGTAGAAGTGCGGTTTGAGGAAGAGGTATTTGTTCGCTTCGGCGTTGGAGTTGATTATATAGCCGTTGGGCAGTATTTGTGGGGGTGCGAGCGAGCTGAGGGTGGTGCTGAGGGGCGTGATGTAGTCGAGGAGCGGTTCGGCGTAGGTTGAAAGTAAAGATGAGATTTGGGCCCCGGTGAAGTTGCTGAATCGCAATGGCTGGTTTTTGCTTGCGAGGACGAAGTTGCCGCCAGCGAGGAAGAAGGGCGGGAAAGAGGCGTTCATGGAGAAGCCGGTCAGGACGATGCCGTCGGTGAGGGAGGGGTACATGTTGGCGAGAGAGTAGGTTTGTGCTGAGCCGAAGGAGTGTCCGATGTGGACGACCTTGGTGAAGGCGTGCGGGACGTTGGGGAAGGTGCCGTTGCGGAGCATCTGCGTGAGGGCGACGGTGGCGGATACTTCTAGGAAGGATTGGATTTCGTTGAGGGGTTCGCCGTGGGAGGAGTTGCCGATTCCGAGGCGGTCGAAGGAGAGGGTGCAGTATTTGTAGGTATCGGTTGCTACGTTGATGTAGGAGTAGTTGTAGTCGTTGAAGGAGAGGTCCCAGTATCTAGCTTATGTTAATGGAAGTAAAAATGGGGAGGATGGGAGCTTACGTCTTGTCAAAACCAATTCCGTGAGTGAGGACTTGGACTGTGGGATCTGTAAAGTTGCCTTCGCTGGGTTGACAGAATTCGGTGCTGATATTGTATGTTCCTTCGACAGTTGCGTATCCAGTGAGGGCTGTGTTGGTGAAGTTTCGACCTTGTTGTGTCATGTTGAGGATGAAATCAGTCACCTCGAGGTTGGTCTGCGGGACAGCAAGGTTGAAAACTCCATTGCGAGAAGAGATGGTAACAGGTACTGTAGCGTTCATACATTTCTTGGCCCCCACAGAGGCAGCGAAGAATGCAACAGCGGCTATAGAGAAATACATGATGCAGAGTTGTCTTTGTAGGAGATGCCTCCGATACCAAGCCCCGCGATTGAACACCTCATGTTTATATACATACACATCCTCGGCAACAAAGAGCACCGTGGAGCTGTGATGTAAAGCTCGTGATGTCACAGCTTTACAGCTTGCAGCTCAGAGCTTCACTTCATCAGACTAAAAAGCTGAACCAAGCTCTCTACAGACAGGAACGGCAACACCCCGCAAACCAAGCAGCAACGGTACCTGAGCTACCATTTGTAGCATTTGAAATCCGGGAGATCGGAAAGAGCTCCTCCATACTGCAATGTCGATCATGTCTGCTTGCAGCCTATGCGATATTGAGAAAAGAGCATGCTGAGAGGATTGGAATTTTAGGTTCTGGATAGTCTCATTTAGTGAGCATCTAGCAGCCGCACTCGCAGCAACGTCATTACCACCACCCTTTTCGGACTTTAGAATGTACTCGTAACTTTGGTGGTACGTCCAGAGATTTCTGACTCCAGATTCTGAACTAACCTTTGGTTTCTCTCATTTCATAGATTGCCGAAGCAGAGATCAAGATGCAGAAGGGCCATGTTCTCTCACGGGATCAGACGATACATGAGTTGTCGGAAGCAATCCTCCAGAAGGACGAGCTGCTGCGAGCCAGGGAGCGAGAACTGCAGGATCTGAGAGATCAAATTCTAGTACTCGAGGCAACCTTTAACCTTGCACGCCGTGCACAATCCCAATTGATCAAAGAGAAAGATCAAGAATTGAGGGAAGCACAATTACGCTTCGACGTGGCGGTAACAGAGTTGCTATCCAAACAGGAAGAAAAGGACGCTGAGCTCTGGAGATCAAGGACAAAGATCGAAAGTTGACTGAAGCACAGCTACTTCTCAACGAAGCGTCTGCAGAGTTGGAGTCCAAGCAGAGAGACCTCGACAACCTCTACTCCGAAGCGCAGAAGCCGCAGCAGAGTTGCACTCCAAGCAGGAGCAAATCGACAACATCCAACGCGAAGCTCAGTCGCATAACCTTATTGATGAGGCCACAGCCGAGGTACAATCCATGCAACAAAAACAATCGAGAATCTTCATCACGAAGAAGAAGATGCGAGCGGAGTGATCGAGGACTTTTGGAACAAAGTCTAACAACTGCAAGATACAAGAGAGGACCTAAAGACCAGGCTAGATGATGCAGATGATGCTTGTGATGAGCAGGTCAAGCTAGCGAGTTTCACGGCTGAGAGGCGGCGCCGGCGTACGCACTCCTCTTCTCTTGCTTCCAGGTCTTGTAATTGCTGCAACCGCTCTCTCCTCTGCTTCGCTCGCGCAATTTCGGCTTGGAGCTTTGAAATTTCAGCAGCCTCCGTCTCCTCGTCGATGGTATCATTAATGGGTTGTACAGGTGCAATTTCCTTGTTGGAAGTGTTTTACCAAGGAGGTCGGAACGAGGACGAATTGGGAGTTGCAGACACAACTGGCAAAGACACGTCCCCCGAACCGACTCAATCGCGTCAGAGTTTCGAACGCGTTTCTTAGAACATCTCCATTACTAAGGCATACGGCAGATCCAAAAACGCCTGTGAATTTTTCTCTATGATTGGTACTATTTTCCCAGCTCTCGAGAATAGCCATTCTTTTCGACTAACAGATAATCAGGTCCTTCAACGCCGGTTCCCTCTTCCTAAACCACAAAGCGTCAAAACGTACGATATGACAACTATCGCAGATATTTCAACAGCGAAGTACCAACAAAACGTCCTCCAAATACGGGCTGCAAGTGGTCGAATAGTGCCAATTCGTCCTCTTCTGCTACTCCATCCAAGGGATCAAAGGGCAAGAGTCGCGACAACACAGATCTCGCCTTCGTGGCAAGAGCTTCAGCTTCTACGCCGTCCTTCCCATTCTGGATCAATATCTTCGAGAGGTGGAAGTCAGTACGTGCTACAGCAGCATCTGGCCAAAATCCTTTGTCAGCTCTCTCCTGCGCTCGCGACAGAGCTGTCCTCATGTACGATCTACGAAGCGTTAGCAATATCCCAGATACCAGCATTCATTGGCACTTACTCGGCCTCATCTAGCCTCCCAAGATGCGCATACAATGCTCCGACGGCATAGTAGCTCTGAAGGGTGAAGTAGGTGGTCTTTCCTGTTCCCTGCAAGCTCAGGCGCGCCTGAAGGATCTGCTCTTGCATTTCAAGAGATTTCTTTGCATCTCCATGCTGCAAGATTATGCTTGCCAAATCGAATTTGTACCTGAGGATCAATTGGACTTGACCTGTTTGTCGAGACACCAGTTCGACAGCTTTCTCGGATAGCCTGATTGCATTGTCAAAGTCATGACAGTACATTCGGCAAAAGGCCAGGTGGTGATTGAACTTGGCGTACTCGAATGCCAGCTCGTCCTCACTGCCCCATTCCTTGTATTTATCTTTGCAGTTCTGATATATGATTTCGGCCTCTTCATACCTGTTGAACTGTAGAAGTGCGTTTCCAAAGTCGGCCTGCGAGTTACACAGAGTGACTTCGTCGTCTCTGGTCGCTGTTCCTGGGATCGCATCGGCAAGTTGCTTCTGCCTGATCTCCAGGATTTTGCTGTGTCGATCCCTGCTCTCCATGCGGTGACTGATACCAAAGTACTGTATGAGGAGGGTCGTTGCGATGTGGATGTCTATCCGCAGTTTGTCTTCGTCACAGTCTAGTCGGTTCAAGATTGCCTCTGCAGAATTGAGCAGTCGCAGCGCATCATAGATTAGTCCTCGTTGCCACAAATGCACTCCTCCATCTCTGAATAGCTCTGCTAACCCAACGAAAGGTTGGATAGAAGGGAGGCCTTCATCGAATATCTTTTGAATAGTCAGGACATGGGGAACGTATTCCTTGAATACATTCCATTTCATCGAGTCCGAACTATCGATAGAAGGCCTGGGCAGACGCTCCCGAATGAGCTCGAATGCCATGTTAAAAATCATCTCCCTCTCCTGAGGATTGTCATCTAAGTCTTGAAGCAATCTATGCTGCAACAAGCGGTGAATCGAAAAGACTTGGCTATGGTCCTGTACTTTCACGCCTATAAGCCTTCTGTCCATGAGGTCTGTGACCATCTTGCGACACCTAAGAAGTATACATTAGTCATGGAGCATCAAGAGACGGCTCAAGTATCTTACCGAAATGCATTGTTTGTTCTCAAAAAGGCTAGGGCTGGAGTCGTGTGGTCGTTCATCAACAATTCTCTCTGAATTCCATCGCTATCCAGAAAGGCCATAATCTTCAGCAGCTTCAGTGCATCGCTTCCAAGATCACTAAGTCCGATGTTCCATATCGTTTCCAGGGCCATGTTGGATGAGGCTTCGGGAGGCCGAGTTGAGAAATTGTTCCTCCGCCATTCGTTCCAAAGTTCCAGGAATTCGGCAAGGGAGCATTTGGATGCCTTGACATAGCCAGCAATGTGTGAGATTGCCAAAGGAAGCCCTGCAAGGCTTGCGATCTCTCCAGCTACTTTCCACTCTGGATGAAACCTGGTTCTTTCAAACTTCAGGTCTGATTGCATTCCCTGAATTAGCAAGGAGCGACTCTCTTCCATCGTCATTTCCTTAAGGTTGATGTGGAAATAGTTCGTAGGAATCGGTATCGGCGCAAGATCTGGTAGCCGTGTCGTGACGAGAACTGATCCTTGGGTCCTGATCATGTTGATAGGTATGAACTTTTTAGATGTTAGCCTCTGACCGGGACTATGCTAACAACAAAAAATCTCTATCGCAATAAATCTTCTCGGCTACTCACTTCTTCAACTGCCTCCCAAGAATCGACGTTGTCGAACACTAGAAGCCATCTCTTGTCGCAAGTCTGCAGAAATTCTCGACTCGATTCAATCAACTGTTTCTGGTCCCGATCATCTGCCTCCAGACCGAGCGCGAGTGCAATCATACTAAACGTGTCCTCACATCCGACTCTGGTCTCCGACTGTGTCCAGAACACATATGCGTACGATGATTCGTATCTGTAGGTGAACTCCCCAGCGGTAGCAGTCTTTCCGATGCCTCCCGTGCCACTGATTGTACAGATCCTCCCTGGAACGGATAAGATCTTGTACATGTTCGCAAGGTCGGTCTCTCTTCCAACGAAGTCATCGTCTCTTGGGCGGGCAGACGTGCGCAACGGTAGCAGTGCTCCGGTCGAAGATGGAGCATCACTCGAGCCTTGAATGTATGGCTCCGTGCCAGAGAGCTTTCCTGACCCACTGCGACGCATTGAATTGCCAATCTCTCGTCTTTGCTTACTCGTATGACCAGAGAGGTAGTTCGCAACCTTCCATACTGCTCCCTCGTCGCCCCCCTTTTTATTAGATGGACCGAACAAGCTCTCATCTCCCGAGTCGTCATCGGAATCTCCAACGAAATCGAGGTTTGTTTGCTCCACGCCAGTATCAGCAGGACCTTTCTTTTCCGGTAGGACATAGCCGAGTTGCTCCTCGACAAAATCATTCAATATTTCCAGCTTGGTTCGGCCCTCAGAGACGTTATCGTCGAACTTCTGAGATCCCCACTCGTCGCTGTCGTCTCCCTCAGAAGATTCTTCACTATTGATAGAGGTGAGAGCCAGTTGCTCTAGATGTCCGGCCACATGAACTTTTAGCGCTTCTGCACCGAGTTTGACAGCGCACAAAGGGCAAACATCGGCTTTAAGCCCTTTCTGGGAGTACTTCTCGAAGAGCGAGACCATCATTGCCATCTCTTCTGGGCCGCAAATGCTGCTGTGTTTATCTTGAAGATGGAATTCGCATGCGCACGCAGAATCAAATTCCTCGTTGCAGGATTGACATACCCAGACTTTCAAGATTCGATGGCTTTCCAGCTCGTGCCGAAACCATTCGTCGCGCTCTCCATATGTTTTCTCGGGACGTAAACACTTGTCAAACGTACACATGTATGGCTCAAGGTCCTCGAAGACGTGGCCCTCCCAATCCACCTCCGTCGTTATGGCATTCGGAATTTCTACTTCATCGTGGCAATATGGACAGATAAACAATCCGCCCTTCTCCCAGGACACTGGTGGCTTTGGTACCGTCATGGTCGTCATGGGTTTTACTACAAATTCAGCTTCACTCATCGTCGTCACCGACTCATGTCCTATCCCGGGTCTCGAAAAGACGCTCTCGCCGTCGACCGAAGGTGTTGTTGTACTCGAACCAAGATAACTCGGGATAGTACGGAGTGGAGGGCGTGACGGCGGACTATCCTTCCTCAAGACTGGTTTTTGAAAGTTGAATGCATCGACTGCTACCTCTCTGAGCTGCGATTTCTTGATTCGTCTGGGCGCAGAAGTGCTGTTGAAGCCACTGTATGATATCCCAGGCTGTCGCTTCTCCTGCAGAGATTTCAAATATTTCCTCCTTCTCCAATTAGCGCATCCTAGCCTCGTGATTAGAACTTTGGTTGCTGCTGGAAACATATCTGTCGCAATGTCGATGTCCGGAACGGCGTCATTTGGGTTGGCGTCGACGGTGTACTCGTCTAGCGGGAATGGATCACAGACATTCGGTACTACCCTCATAAGGCAAACCAAAAGTCCTTCGATGTTTTCGATGAGCATTGAGATCCTAGGATTCTCCTGCATTTGGCTATCCAGCATCAGACCCGGATCGCTGGCATCAAAACTTCCGATCATCATAGCTTCTGCGTCCTCTTCCAGAACAGCGGCTGTCTCTTGAACCTTCTCCATTCCTCTAACAAGTGTCGAGTACAAGCCCCGAAGAACTTCCATCACTATACTGGACAGATTTGTGGTCTTGCGCAAGGCACGATCAAGGGAACGAGTTGATGCCCCGCTATCCTTGCCCCATGTCAAGAATTGCCCATATTGGCCGTCGATTGAGGTCGAAATGGCTGGAGACGAATTTCTTCTCGCAACAATGCATAATCGTTCAAATGCATCTCGACAAGTTTCGAATATCGCTGCTATGGGATTTGTCTGAGGTCGATGATGATGTTGCTTTGGCCGCAAGGCTCGATACATTGAATTGGGTTCTGCCATGACTTCACGTTCTCCGCAACGCAGATCACAATCGTGGGAATGGGCCGAATCTAATTATGTGACTAGGAAGACGTCTGATCGATTTCGAACTCCCACCATCGAACGAGGCTGTTGAGGCTGTAACATGTGGGATTGCAGCCTAGATGCAGTGCTGACTGACACATGCAGATACTCTTCCTGGTGGTTGCGATCAGCTTCCACCGCGTAGATTTCCATCCAGCGAACAGCCTTGAAATATGCCTGAAAGCCAACTTCCATTGCTGGGTCTCACCGTTGCTGGGCACTGTGTAACCTCGCTTTGCAGTAGTGTGGACCCAGCCCGCGATCGAGTTCTCAGCCTTGTCCCAAAATCTCGTCAATTTCTTCCCATGGAAATTTAGGATTTAGCTTCGACGGATACGCGCTCCTAGATTCATTGGCCAAGTTGCGCAATGTCCCACTAGTTCGCGATCATTAGGAAGAATTCCGACCAAGAGCATCGCCAAGGGTATCTTGTTGTACTCGGAGAAGGCTGATCGCAGTGAGTGGTATGCAAGGCGGGATTGGAACAGGTTTCGCGACACTCTCACCCACCAAAGGCGTACTCGGGCAACCTGCGCAGCAAATGCACATGCCGAGTGGTTGCCTACCTAGGTAGCACTCCCGCCTATCTCTCGATTGGTGTCTCTCGCATACCCAAAATCACGTCCTTCGTGGTCAAGGCCCTTGAGACGCAAATCAGTGAGGACACTGACTTATCTTCTCTTACTGCGCACGTCAAAACACATCAATGAAATGTCTGGCTTCGAGGTTGTTGGTGTTGTTTTGGCTGTCTGGCCGTTGGTTATCAATGGCATCCAGCTCTACAAGAGTTGCAAGGCTGGACAGGGCTGGAGCTTGCTGCTAACGGAGTTCAAGACTGAGGGGATCATCTACACAGAATTCGTCTGCCATCTGCTCGCATCTGATATCTCAGAAGCCGATTTGCACCAGATTACCACTAGAAGCAAACCCAATCAAGGACTCTTCAGAGACAAAAACCTGAGTGATGGCCTTCGAGAACGTCTGGGAGTTGATAAGTCGGACGTGGTTATCAGCACCCTCGAGGAAATGGACAATTTGCTCACGTCGCTCACAAGAAGATTTGGTGTGAATCAAGTTGAATTGGTATGCTATATCCAAATGCCCCATGCGCTGGAGGACAACTTCACTGACAATGAAGTAGGAAGCTCCGCCTAGTAGAATTCGTCGAGGGTTGCAGAACATCCAATTGAACCTCCCTGCATCAGCTGCGAAGGAAGAGTTAAAAAAGCTGCGCAGTTTGAACGGCCGCCTGCAACGATTGCTCACGAATCCCCCTGCCTCGAGCTATTCAACACAGTCGCAGCAACCCAAGACCTCGAGCACATTGCAACCTGAAGTTCTGAACCGGATCTCCGCTAATGCGAAAGTATTGCATGATGCTTTGGTCGACAACTATCACTGTCACTGCGAGGTTGGACACGATGCGAACCTAGGATCACGACTTGTTTGTGCTGAAGACCTGGGATTTATGGAGCCTTTGGAGCTCTTATTTCCCGTTTGCGCAGAAGTCGCGAAGGAGTTGACTGAGATGGGTCTGTCATCTTCCTCATCCATGGGCTGCACAAGTCCCGATGCAGTTGAGTTTGATGCTTTGTCCATGAGGTACCTCACCTCCGTCCGCGATCTCAAGTCCTTGACTGACAATCCAGTGATGCACCACCACGTCCCTGGCAGCCCAGGTTTCCGCCAGAAAGGTCTTGGTCGCAAAGAGGGCAGAGAGCGAGCATATCGACAATTCCAACCTCGCTTCCCAGTCCTGGCTCATCTCCGCCTCCTTTTCGTGGACGAAAGATATCCCTGAGTAAGAGCGACGGCATGGAACCAAACAATCTTATCGAAGACCTTTGCGCATTCATCAAGAACCTGGCTGAAACTGAAGTCAAGTCTGCTCCACCGTCCTGTCTTGGTATCTTGGGACTTAAGGAAAAGAAGTACGCTGTCAATGTGACTTCGCTCGGTAGCGACTTGGAAGAAGAACCGAAGAGCTTCGTCTGTCTGGAAGATTATCTGTCTCCAAATCGAAGCTGGAATCTATCACGACAGAAGCGCATGGACCTTGCGCTCAGTCTCAGTCTTGCGATCCTACAATTCGTCTCCACTCAATGGGTCGATAAATGGTGGTCCTTCAGAGATTTTTGTATGCTGAAGGGCGACAAGTCCCAAATTTTCGTCACTAAGAAGTTCTACTCCACCCAACTCGGAGCCGCCAAGACTGATGAACCTCTCCACTCACCTCAAATGTCCATGTTCTGGGACTGTATCGGCGAACCAATCCTCACTCGTCTAGGCTTCGCACTCGTTGAACTGGCTCTTGGTAAACGTCTCTCAGATCTTCGAGCACAAGCTAGTGATCCAAATGTGAACGATATGCTTGATCTTGCAGCAGCGAAGAAGTTGGTGAATGAAGGGCAGGTGCTAGAGGAGGCTGGGAGGTGCTACAATGAAGCTGTGCTTGCATGCCTGACGCACCAGATCGTGACAGCTGAGGGAGTGACGGGTTTGAATTCTCAACATGCAAATTTTCAGGCTGATTTGGAGACTTTCATTGTTGCTCCGGTGAGGGAGTTTTATCTGACGAGTTGGCGGCCGGTGCAGGCTTTGGTGGCGGCATGAGTGTGCTTGAGTATGTGCTGGTTGGCGTCGAAGTGTTCTGATAGTTTTCAGCGAGGAGTTTGGCGATGGATATGAGGACAGGCTACACAAGGAGTCCACTGGCGGTTTCTTCGAAATGTGTCGTGATATACATATATACCTATTGCAGTCCATCACGTGCTGGCACATACGTGGCCGAGGCTCCATCTCACCTAGCATCTCTTTATCCTCCTTCACTAATTTCCAATTTGATTTTCTCCCACGTTACAACAACCGTCTCAAAATGGCTCCACCGGAAGACCTCTCAGTCAAAGCACCCATCTACTTCCTCTCCCGCAACCCAATTTACGAAACCACAAAACCCTACACGCTCCGCTACCGGCCCTCGGAAGCCTCTCAGATCCCTCAAACAAACGTTGAACGAGAACTGCATGAACTCGTTTTCCACGACTTACGTCTCGCCCATGGACTGGAGTACGAAACATGTGGGTTCCAAGTCGTAAGTCTAGAGAGTGAAATGAAGTATGAGGAATACGATGACGAGGAAAAAGTTGAGCGTTTTCATGGGAAGGAGGTGGGTGAGGCTGTTAGGGTTGCGCTTGGGGCGAGAGGGGTTGATGTTGTTGATTATGTGGTATTATAGGTGTCTTTTTGATATTTGACGGTAGAATCGTGAGCTGAATGAAAGATAGATTCGAAGGAGAGATCCGAGTTGGCCGATTGCTACTGGGGAGACATATCGGTCGCAGCAGCCTGCGAGTGCTGCTCATATAGGTAGGTCATCTTGATCTCATGGACACCATTTGTTGATGAGCGATTAGATCATACATATGAAGAAGGTTGTCGAATCGTGAGGGATATTTATGGAGAAAAAGCAGATGTTGTTCTTCAAGGGCGTTGGCAATGTGTGAAGTAGGTCTCACTTTTCTCTCTCTACGACTTGAATCCCTCGGTCGGGTTTCAAATCATTCGATGAAGTCTCTTTTTAATGTTTCTGCCAGCGTCTGGCATCCTCTCCAAGGACCTCTAGTCGACTGGCCTCTCGCAGTCTGCGATGCATCGACAGTCGACTTCGACAACGACACCATGGCGGGAGACGTCGTAGATCGAGAAGCAGTATTCGAGAATACGCAAGTTCACTTCAATTTCGATCAGAAGTGGTACTACCTTCCATATCAATTACCTTCTGAGCTTCTGATTTTCAAGAACGCGGATAGCGAGGAGAAGGATGGGTCTACCCAAGGTAAAGTTTGCCTCGATTATGATGGAATTAAGCCTGACTAATTTGTATAGGGAGCCCTCATGCTTCGTTTGATAATCCGAGAACGACAGATGCAGATTTGAGGAGGGAGAGTGTTGAATTTAGAATATTGGTGAGATGGTAGAGGAGGCAATAATCTGGTGAAGAGGGAGGTCTATATTCACCGTCAGATCACCAGGCATCCTTTCAAGTAGTTTCACGATGCCATGTATTTACTACGCCTCCATGCTGAAATCTAATACTCAAACGAGATGCTATGCTTTCCAAAATAGCCTGCCCCCACTCCCCCATCTGCGTTATCTCGAAACGTTGCTAGGTCTCCGATCTCTTAATCCTCAATCTTGCCGACGTTTGAGTCTTTCCCATAATCTGCAGATTTCCCTTATCAGTCCCTGATCTATAAGCTGGACTTTCCTATTTCTCTCACCGAATAGCCTCGCTTTCACGAAGCCGCTGCAGCCTCATTCTTCGCAGGGCTGACCTTCGCGGAAGTTCCATCAACCACAATCACAGCACCCTTCTCGACACCATACTCTACGCCCGACCCCTCCTTCGCTTCAACGGGTGGCCAATGCGCTTTCCATGGCTGAGCCTTCCGGCAGGTTTGAGTTCGAGTTGAGGATGGCATAGCCCTTGCAATAGTGAAGTGAAGGCTTTCGAGTAGAGAATTGACTGATGCTGAGTCTGAATATGCTGAAGGCTGCTGGATTTTTGACGCTTTTTTTGAACTGTTGAGGGAATTTCTTTTGATGGAGGGGTACAGTGAGGGGCAGATCCGATATCCGCAGCCAGGACGCACCTCCCGCCAGCATCTGACGTGGCGGTGAGCCTTGCCATGCCAGATTCCGCCCGACTGTGATGGTGAGTGGCACGTAAAGTGATTCGTGAAGTTGACGAAGACGCATGAAGCTGCATGAGGCGGCATGAACTTGCAGCTGTAGCCGAGATCGGGCCCAGCGTCTTGGAAGTGATACCAAGGTTTAGCAAGGGACAGTTCGGAAGAGGTCGGCTTAGTTCGAATATTGAACCATAATTGCCGTTACCTCAACATAGGAAGTTGAGGAAACCACGGGACACCACGATCTTCATTATCACATATCGATTGTGTGATGGATTGGTTTTCGCAGATGAAGTATTATAGGTTGGGTACTAATACTCCTCAAAGATTCAAGTAGTAGACTGTTTGGGCCGGAGTGCATCCCATCCTCTGAACGAAAGAGTCTCGGTTACCAAAAGGGGGCAATTAGTGGCGTCGTTTATTAGCCGAGGAAAGAGTCACCTGGTAAATGTTGTTAGAGATCTATTGATGGTAAAGTTATATGGCTCAAGTGTTCTTATCCACATCTAATGAGTCATCATAGAAGACTTTATTCCAAAAGTTACAACAGACATTCCGAATCCTCCCGAATACGTTAAACATGGAATAGAGTAATGCTTCCTTCGACTGCTAAAAGCTGCTTCCACATGGCGACCACTTTCAAACGCTAGGTTTTGTTGAAGATAGAAAGTTGAGCACAGATCACTTTTGCAGATCGGACTTATTATAAAGATGTTAGCGGGTCGAAGAAGCTCGCATCGAGATTTTCAAGTCCGATAGATAGGGGTTGTCTAGAGAGGCCGAGAGGACAGCACTAGTCTGCAATTGAGACATCGGCAGAACTCTACCTTCAATGAGGAAAGGTAGCTCAAGGCTCGATGTCTGATTCGGTGGGGATTCTAAAGTCCTCTGTTTCAAGTCCTGCGTCACAAGATACACAACGTCTTGCCCATCTGTCTTCTGTATTAGCATTGACTTCTCGATATTACAGCTTGAATCTCACAATGGCTGGCTATTTGAAATATTCCATCGATCATTCACCTCGTCCCTTCCACACCACTGCGTCAATTTATGACATGCGGGTGGGCCGATCTTGCAGATGAAGATTCTGCTAGACCGATAGCAATAGCGATCGAGGTCGAAGCATCGAGCTAGAGTGTGTGACATGTCTGGTGCGTATGTTCTTGACAAAGCGGAAGAACGGAGTACCTAGGTAGGGTGGGGACAATTATCCTGGTGAGCTTCGTCACATGATTTTTTTTTCACCTTTCCCATTCTAGTTAGTTTATTTTTCGCGAAATTTCGTGGTCATCTCGAAAATTTTCTTCCAGCTTCAAACTTTCCTCTTCATCAAAAAGTAACAGAGCCAGCCACGACCTCCACCTCGATTTCGAAACAGTGGTGTGTTGCCAGCACTCTTTCGGGAGTGTGAGGCTCTGGAGATGAATAATTTTGCTCTGCAAGCTCCTTGATAGGAAGTTTGTCTCCCGTGGGTCTTCTTAATTGAGGGCGAGGGGAGGTGAATGTCGATGATGGGAGACATACCAATGTCAAAAGTGAAGATACCTGGATACTGGATTGCGCGCGCCGCTGTCTGGAGAGGTCGTGATGAACAGATTGTGGCGGGATCTGGTCGATTCGAAGCTCCTTTCACGAATGCGCCTCTTTTTCCACGCCGCAACACTGCGTACATTTTTCTTTGCTCTTTCGTGAGACATATCTTAATATACATGACAAGTCAATCGTACCGATCTATGTCTACAAATTTACGTGCACTGGTTGGATATCAAGCAACCGTACGGAGACGGCGAAGCAACCTTTATAAACTTGACCTTCCCACGCCCTCACCAATATCTTCATAGACGTCGCTCTCTTCGCCTCCTACCAGGTGCGTTCTCAATGAAGGTCTGGGAATGGAAAGGGAGCAGTCCCATCAGCGCCGCAGTCATAATTTTGTCAGCATCCCATCAATCGGTCAGCCTTGCTGCAAAAATTGACCTATCACAGGCTCCAATTCTTCTTTACGATCGCGGCTTCGGAACTTGGCTCTCTGCCATCAACCTCGAAGGAAACGTCAACCTCCTATACCACCCAAACGGTGACTTTGACCGTCACTGCTATTCGTCAGGTGGTCAACTCAACCTATACATATCATCCTGCCAGGTACTGGTCTACCCGGACAGCGAATTTTTGATACGATGCTCTATCGGGCGCCTGAGCAACCGTCAATGTCTGTCGATTGCCTGGTGAACATTTGCATTTACGGCGGTAGCCACAACGATCAATTCTTCCGATTGGAGAAGGAAACATATCGTCAGCTATCTATGCAGGTCTGGCCACAGCTCGGAGGCCGATATATCCATGAGCTGCCCCAGTCTTAAGCTCTACCTTCTTATGCAGGAGAGATAGTGATTAGCGTGTAATTTACACCACTTCAACGTCCGTGACCGGAATTAATCTCATAGCCTCAGCATTCTGTTATTAAATTGTCTATGCCCCTTCGCATCCTTTTTCTTCATCTGGTTCTAATTCGCTCTTGGCTGTTGATCTGATCCAAAGCTTTTGGCTTGAACCTAGGCAGTTTTCGAAATGCATTCCATACGCATGTACTAAGCTTATAGTTTAATGCGCTGTCATTTGGTACTTTCCTCGAACGAATGAACTCTGTACATCATGCTCAACGGCTACTCCTTCCTGTCCTGCGTACAGTTCAGTCTTTTTCATCACCAGCACGTGACCAGTTTCTTCTTCAGCCAGTTGTCTACGTCCAACCCTTCGATAATCTTGCATTGCAGCTGAACTTTAGAGGAAGAGGATACTCATGTTTTATCTTGTTATAAATGACAGCATATAGTTCGTGCTAGCGGTTCTATGCAGTATCGTTAAAAGCAAATTTCGAGTCTTGTCAAGAATTGCTACTGGAGGTGTCAGCAAAAGCCATAACTAGGTACAGCTCTTCTGTGATGAGTAATCGTATTTTTACTCGGTCCTTACTTTTGAATGTCTCGTACTCGTGTATTCGTTTGCAAAGAAACAGACCATCATTTTTCCTCCCTGGGTCACCTTCGCGGTAACCAGCAGGGATCTAGCTAAATCCGGGGCTTAGCAAGAGGGCTGAAATCACGTTTTATCGAATGATCATTATTCAAGCTTTTACCAAGCATTGTTTATTCGTGCTCCAGCGCCAGCGCCGTAGTCGTCGTACTCTGCGGTGCTTCTCTGTGTTGGGGATCGATCGATATGTGAACCCCGCACAGGCCACTGCTCGGAATGTCTGTCGATTGGTTGGTTCGCTTGGCAAAATTTGGAAAGGGGCGCGGTACTATGTCAGCTTTCCTTGCCCAAATTGCTTCTACGCGGCACGTTGACTTAGAATGAATGCATGTCTTATCTCATCTATGGGTCTCTATGGATGGCCTGGCAGTTCCTAAACCTTGATGGCAAGGATTATCCAGCCAAAAGTTAGCAAGTTCCTGGTCATCAGTCATATATAAGTATCGATTGCCTCTCTTTAATTCTCATTCACGACTTCTGGCAAAAGCCAAGAACAACTAAACTCCATTAGTTTGCTCAAACTCAGGCATCTGCTGTACTACATTGTACGACACTTTTCACAATGCCGCCAAGCACTCCCTTCAAGAGTGCCTGGACGCAATTCTTCCCTCCGAAGGCCACTTTCACAGACAAGAATGTTACTGCCGACCTGAAGGGCAAAGTCTACATTGTTACAGGTGCTAATTCCGGAATGGGCCAGGACTTAGCTCGGGTTCTCTATGCGAAGAACGCCAAAGTCTACATAGCTTGCCGTTCCGAGGAGAAGGCGACAGAATCTATATCATATATCAAGAAGTCCGCGCCCACATCGAAAGGAGAACTGGTCTTCCTCCCTCTCGACCTTGCCGATCTGGCCAAAGTAAAAGCAGCAGCACAGCGCTTTCTGGCGCAAGAGTCCCGACTACACGTCCTGTTCAACAATGCGGGAGTAATGACGGGTCCAGCCGAACCACCACCAAAGACAGTGCAGGGTCACGAGCTTGCTCTGGGTGTAAACTGCGTTGGCACTTTTCTCTTCACCAAATTGCTGACTCCAACACTGATTACGACGGCCCGATCCGAACCAGCGAATACAGTCCGTGTCGTATGGCTCTCCTCTTTCGGACTCACTCAGTATGCACACGAGAGCCGCGGCATCGACATGGACAACTTAGACTATCACATCCCCAAGCCAGGCATAGACCGCTACGGTATCAGCAAGTGCGGCAACTGGCTTTTGGGCGTCGAGTATGCTCGTCGACACAAAAATGACGGTATTGTGAGCGTGCCAATCAACCCAGGCAATCTCCGCACTGCTCTTGCGAGGGACCAGTCTTGGTTACTGCAGTTCATTGCCAATTTGATCGTCTACCCAGTCATCAATGGAGTCTATACACAGCTTTTCGCAGGATTTTCTCCAGAGGTTACGACTGAGACGGATTGGAGTGCGAAGTGGGGTAAGTCGTTGGTATGGTAGATGAATGTGGGTTTGAGCTGATCAATATACTGTAGTTATCCCGTGGGGACGATTCCAGCCGCTTCGATCGGATTTGCCCAAGGCTACGAAGCCGGTGGCTGAAGGTGGGAATGGGAATGCGCAACAATTTTGGGATTGGAATGAGGAGCAGGTCAAGAAATACTTGTGAGCCTCGTTGCTAAAATATACCTTCAATGATGTTCATTATAATTCCTCTTTTGGGAAGACTTGTAATTCGATTTGTATGAATAGTTGATGCAATCTCATAGAGAGGGGCTATGAGGATGTAATGAATTATTGCCAATCTTGCTTGCGTGGATTTGTATTGGCATCGTTTTGTTCTCGGATGCAGCATGCATGCCGTCCGTCAGCTTTTGATTATCAAGTCCTGTTCCAGAACATGCGACCTCGTCTCAAGACTCGATGGCTCTCACTGTTCAGAGAGTGAACATTTGCTAGCCTGTGTAGTGCTGTTGTTATACGGCATTCAGAAGATCTGGGAAGCAAAGACATTAGCTCGAAAACTAGTACAAAATCGATTTCCATACATGAAGCATACCAAAGCGAAAGCTTTTATTTATCTCTGACTTAAGAGTCTTCTGAAGCTTTGACTTCGCAATAGGAAATTAATATCTAAGAATATCGGACAACCCAGATAGTCTCCTGGCTGTTCCAAAGCTCTCTCACAAACAAAGATAATTCTGGATCAATCGTCAATGAAATGTCCTTGGACATTTTTCTGCGGATTTGTTAACGAAAGCGATTTCCTACTTCTCATGTCCCAAAGAGATGGTAATAGCATAATCTTTTCCCCTAAGATATCGAAGTAGTATTTGACGAACAATCTGTAGTTGCTTTTATCATAATTAAGATGTAACTGCTGATCAGAGGAAACTGTAGAAACTTGTCTAGTCTATTAACATGACTAACTTGACCTGAGCCTGGAAGGCCACGGATGATCCATGGGAGCTTGGGACGATTGTTAGTGTCTGGAAAACCCTCAATGACCTTGCTTGCAATCGCAGACGTGCTCGTTCCATGTGTGGTTGCAAGTGTAGGGAATGTTGATACCAGCTTCCTCAAGTACCATTATATCAGACAGATCTTAACTACCACAGACACGGTCCATCTGACGAGCTCTGACAACGATCGCTTTCGACTGTAAGTGCGGCTGGAGAGGTGTGGCCGATGGAGCTAGTGCCGCGAGAAAAGCGGGTCCACGAAGTTGCGCAGGTATATGGGTGAAAAATCGCTTCAATCTAAGCTTTTCTCTTTGGCCTTCTCAAGATCTTTGACAGCACCAGCTTCGAGCACTCTTCGTTCGCCGCCAACTCGTCACACAATAGCAATCAGCAGCAGCAACAGTCTCTCTCCACACCACCAACAACAGCAGCAACAGCCACCTCCTCCACACCATGCCTCATCTCTCTCTCCCCGGTTGCCCCTATCCCGAAACCCCTCTCGATGGCACGGACATGGGGTCAGCCCCATACTTTAACGTCAGTATTTGTCTGTTTCCTTACTATTAATTGCTCCGGTTTCTTGGACGTCTTGCTTTTGTCTAGGGTTTGCTATCACTCGACCACAGATCTAGCATTTCTTGCTCTTCCTTCAGATCAAAAGCCCAATCCTCCTCCTCTCCAACGAGCTTTCATACCTCAAAAGAATCTACAAAGAGTCGAACAAGAATACGAAGTTATGTACGGACCCTGTCTTAGGACAGCTTGGCGAACTTTTAACACCTCACCGGGGCGACGAACTTGAACGCAGCCCCAAGGCCTAATCCTCATCCTCACAATCGAGCTTTCATGATTCACAAACATTTACAAAGTGGTCGAAGAAGAATACAAAGATATGTGTGGGCCCTGTCTTGAGGCACTGTTTGGCGGAATTTTCAGATCTCCCCACAATGGACTCGAAATTGAACGCAAAACAAGCTCACAATGATACAAGGAGTCCACAGAGGAGAGTTTACATGTCTCTAGGCTTCATACAATGGTTTGGCCAGCGCGCAAGGAGACCTAAAAGCAGAAGCTGAGCACCAAATCACGTTTTCAAGCCTCAAAGGGTCCTAGATTGGATTTCTACAAGCACAGAGCCCCTCTACAACTCCCAAGGATAGGGAGATGGCTCAATAGAGAGGAAGATGGCAACGAGTCTGGTGACAGATCTCAGCGTCATCCTTCTCTGTGTAGTTCTGCTTCCTATTTCTCAGTGGAAAGGGGGAGGGGCTTCGAAGCGAAATTTTCGGTAACGGACCAATGAGCGTTGACCTCGTTTTTTCCACCCCTTCCCTGAAGCAAGCCAATGAGCGTTCAAGCGTTCCTTCCTGAGACGTCTGTTGATTGCCTTCGCTCTTCACCGCATCTTAAAAATCTCTATCCTACGTTGGATTTGTTTGCTTTTGAATATCTTTACAACGCCCAGTCTGGACCTGGCAAGTTTGCAGGTTCCGGTTCAGTGGCAGGATTTCCTTCACACGCTGCGCTCACAAGGCGGACATGGTGGTTCTGGTTTGTTCGTTTGAAGGGTTGTTCGTTTTTATTGTGTCCATGATATCGCTGTCTTTCAATTCTGTTTCAACTGAAGATGCATGACTTGAGGATCACTGATCGACACTTGACGTCCGCCGGGGATGCAGTTGCTACTGAGATCATCCCTTGGAGCGAACAGGATCTAGGATCTTGGGACCATGAGTTGTAAGCAGAGTCTTTACTTGGAGTTGTATCAAGAATGGATGCAGATCCACTGAGGTCAAAGAAAATGATCCTTGACAGTCAAATTTGTGGACTTCACAACATATCCCAGCTACGTCTTCGTTTCTTCGTCACCAGGTCCTACTTGACAATACAACCATGTTGCACTCATTCATCCTCTTTCTTTATCAATGCACGTCCTTGCCCAAAGATGCCTTTCACTGTTGGATCTGTTCCAGCAGGAAAAGAAGATGGGATGTGGGGACATGCGTTTAAGGTCTGAATGCGGATCATGCAAGCTACTGATCTAGGACACTGATCTGAAAGGTCAACCATCAATTCTCTGATGTTTGAAGCTGTTTTGGTACTTCATCAGAGTCTCCAGCATCTTTTTAAATTGATATGCTTCTCAAGTTCGAAAGTGCGTCCTGGGGATGGATCTTCGGGTAGATTTATATCTCCAAGTATTGAGCTTCCACTAAGCCACTCAGAATGTCAACAAGGAAAGAACAATGCTGTATCAATCTATAGTTTCTGTTGTAGTCAACGTACATAGAAGGGTTGAAAATACGGCATTCAAGATAGAGAGAGGGAGAGAGAGATTTTAGCAAAGTCCCATACCTCACCGTTGCTGTCAAGATGTGAATTGTCGACAAGGTTGATTGTTTCAGATCTGATTTAGGTCGTCTGCAAAAAAGGACCGGTTTCCTTTGCTCCGATCTTAAGATTTTCCCTGTTGACATAGCCCGTGCCCCTTGGATTGAGAAGGTAGCCTTCCCACTCTTAGCTTCATCAGCCTTGTTCTCTCAAGCTCCATTCATGTCTAAGGTTACGGCGATCTCCGGGTTCACGTGGACATCCAAGCTTAAGAAGACCACCTACGTAGCGAGCGCACAAAAGGGTTTTAATCTCGCGTGTTTATTTTCCTGGACTTCGCGCTACTCTCTATATCAAAATCTCTCAGATCGCCACTTCTTGCAAACCCAACAGACACTGATTCGATCTCGTTGCCAGCTTCCCGCGCCGCAAGGACTCAATCTTGTAAGTTATTTTCCACCATTGGAAGCACTCAAGCTGATTCCGATATCAAGGCTCCCGTCCCTGGTCTCGCGCCCGTCCAGGGTCGCCGTCCTGCTGCCGTGCTTGTATGGATATTGTCCCTCAAGATATACGAGACCGAGCTAATCTTAACAACCAGCAGCCACCACGACAGCCTCAAGTCTCAGTAAGTCCCGAACCTCTCCTCCAAGCTCAATTGTACGGATGACTAACGCTTTTATAGAGGGCACCACCTGTCAATGTAAGCCCTTCTCCTCCTTCCCGATATTCAACCTCAATCCGCTCTCCTCCACTTACAAACACGCATACTGATACGAACATTAGGCTACCAACCCTCCGACCGCAGTCACCACCCGCTGCCTCTCCTACAACACCGGGTTGGGCGCCGAGTTACCGGGCGTTGCCCAACGACAAGTAGTCACCCGAGCAGGGTTGGCTACCGACCCTACCAATTCCGTCCGGGCGAGCCACCGCAGCTCGGCCAAGGGGCAAGCTGTCGGGACCTTGGCTCCTGTCGCTTGTGACCTGTGCGCCGCTGGCTATGGGCCATATGTTGACTGTGTGGTTGCCCTTGGCACCAGAGCCAACGGAAAGAAATTCTTCGGTGGAGGATGTGCGTCCTGCACGATGGGTAGCCACCCGGAGCGGTGCAGCTTCTGTACGTTTGACCGACTTTTTCCTAGCTATATGTTCGATCTTGCCTAGAGACCTGGGATGGGATAGGTATAGATAGATTGCTAACGTAGTGAATACAGACACTGGATAGGGGGAGGTAGTGGGGGATTCTTCGGTCTTCGTAAGTCCTCAAATTCCGCTTCTTCGCCGGACATCTAAGCTAACGTCTAAGTGGGAGCAGTCAGCAAAAGCCTACTACGGTGGCATCATCATCTTGTCGGAGTTCTTGTAAGCAAGAAGATTGTCCCGTGGTATGGCGGACACTCAGCTAACTTCCAGATGGAAGAAGCAGTTCATGCAAAAGTCCTTCGCGGAAGGCACCACATCTCGTAAGTAAAGCTCAATATCCTTTGTTTTGCAAGTAGGATAGGAAGACTAACAGTAAGTGAACAGAGTATGTTTCCTTCAAAAGTCCACTTCGGTGGCAGCGTATTTTGTAAGTTGAACGTGTTCCTGAATCTGACGGATAATGGAACTGACTTGTTAAACAGACGATTCCGAAGTACGAGACACGTCAGAAAGTCCTCGCTGAGAGGCATTGAATACAGAGTCTAGATGCATGATGTGATTGTGATATGTGACGATTTTCTGAACTTGATAGTGCTTTGAGCTTGACAACGATTTTGATTTCACCTGAGAGAGCTGATACGACAGGAACGGATCAGACAAAGCTCTACGCTAATCATTGCGACAGCTAAGTTCCTGCTCCTCAAACCTTCTTCTCCCCACCACTAACAACTGTCACATCATCAGTCACCTCACTCTCCCCACCATCCACCCTCTCGCCACCATCTCCTCCCACCCCAACTCCATCTCCTCTAATAATCTCTGATTCCTGATCCGCCATATCCCGCAAATCACATAATACAACACAAAACAAATCATAAAACTCCGCAAACCACCCTAAATGCCCGATATCCGTCGCTGTCTCCGAAACACTCACTCTTAACGTACTCACAAAGCCAGGGAAAGGGACTGCTACACCGGCTATATAAGCGAGGAGCGCTTAGATACTCTATCCTTTGTGGTAGTAATAGTGGTTATTGGACCGGAAGCCGTTGTACAGGTTACTGATGAAGATATTGCTGTTTGTCAAAAGATAGTCTTATTCCTCTGTCAGATAGCGAATTTGAGTTGGAGAAGGAAGGAAGAGGAGTTTACAATTATACAACATAATCGCAATGGTACTTGCCTATTTTCCAATCAACAAGCATCATCAGAATTATCATATGCAAGAGAAGGGAGTGTCACGTTCTATGAAGTTCGCATACCCGCTCAGGAACGAGATGCATATACTAGCGCTGGCCTTGATTTTTCATGGAACGAGGATCTACATCCCGAATGTGGCGATGTATTCGCCGCGTTGGATGGTAGGTATTTGGGAGGAGCAGGTGGCGTCTGAGCCGAAGGGGAGGGTGTTGATGAGTAGTTTACGCCGATGGAGTGGAATACCCAGGAGAAAGCGCAGAGCGCTATACCGGCGCATGTCCTAGCTCACTAGTACTGAATTAGGACGGCGTCCATGAGGCCTCATCCATCCCTATTCATCAGCCAGTTCTTCGGTCAAAGGTAAAAGGTAAAATGAGAAAACTACCGGAGTTTAGCACCCCAAGCTTGGATTATAGCTGAAGCAGCCAGGGTACCGCAAGTCACAGTGATACGATTGATGATTCGCAAATCATTATTTAGTAAAGAGGAAGGAAGGAAAGATGGTTGGATGGATGGACGGGGAACAGATATAAGCGTTTGTCTGTCTGAAGGACCCTAGGCCAGACACGTACGTCAAAACATATAGTACTCTTTGATGTGTAAGGATTTGGAAGCAATAACACCGAGAACTTGACGTTCAAAATGTTGAACCAGAGTGGATATCTCGGTAAATTGTCGGGAGCCCCCAACTCGACTCCACTCTTTGACGATTGCCTACTCTTCACTGGAGTGGTTGGTTTGGAAGTATGCCTGTGGCGAAAATTTGTTTGAAGGTATAGAGCACGGTTATCGGGTGCTTGATGCTGCTGTCTGGGTATCGTTCTTGGAGTTCTTATTTTTCTGAAAAGCGACCTACTGTTAATGCATTTGGGATGCATGGAGAACTTGAGAACAGTCTCGCTTGTTTTCTTTAGGGATGGGAAGAAATGGAGTATATATGGTCAAGAAAAATGCGCAGGGTGTACTTGTGCTTCAGAAAGTCGGCTCGTATACCCGCTTGACAGACTGTTTCTCGAGCCTGTGCTCCTTTCTTCTTCGATGTTCGCAGGTCAGGGAGGAACTTCATGCTTGCCAAAATACGAGCTGGGATGGAGGATTGTTAGATGAACTTGAATATTTATTGATGATTATTTTGCAACGTGCTCGGACGTTAGATCAGATGTTGGATTGTAGGTATTCATCCTATTAAAGTAGATACCGGTAATCTGGGCTCATGTCCTACAATTTGTCAGCACTTTATTTTCACTTGCGTCCATATCACTTGATCCTTCAAGATCACCATTGCAAAATTGAGTAGCGCAAGGGAATCATGACTTACCCCTAATTCAGTCTTCTCATACTCCGTCAATCCGACATCCACAACAGCCCTATCCCTAGCTCTATTTTGCCAAACCACAGCAATGGCATACAATACACAACTAAAGGCACTCAAGCACAAGAACGCAAGACATATACTATATCCCTTCTTATAGTACGGCGCATCGGTTGAGATGAACGCATAGGTCGCAATAATGCCTCCAATATTGCCGAACCCAACCTGCCAAGCCGTTCCAACAGCTCGTCGATGATGACCTCCAAGATTCATGTTGAACCAACAGACGATGACTGGCATAGCAGAATATGCGCCCATAGCAACGAGGAACAAAGCAGCGTATTCGAGATGCTTGTTATGATGTACCGTGATCAGAATCGCGAAGCCAGCTATCGCTACACAGATAGGAGCGATGGTAAAAGCGAATCGATGGCGAGTGAAATCCGAACAAGTGGCAACAATCATCGCAAATGCAAAAGCACACGCCCAAGGTGGAACGCTGTGCAACTGTGTTTCAATGGCAGAATAGCCATATGTGGCCAAGATGGTTGGTGCAAAGAATGCATATCCGTATGCAGGTACAATCATGCCAAAGTACATGAAGCCTCCCAGGATGACTTTGAAGTCCTGGAATACACGGCCTACGTCTCGGATTGTGATTTTGCGCTCAGCTGCTGAACGACCTTGGTCGGCTTGGAGACGGGCTTTAACGTAGGACCGTTCTTCGGGTGTGAGCCATTTGGCGTCTTCAGGGAAGGAGGGGAGGACGAAGAAGAAGAGGATGGCGACAACGCAGGTTAGAACGCCTTCTAGGATGAAGATCCATCTCCAGCCATTGTATCCTCTCAACCCGTTCATCTTTCCAATAGCCGAGGCGAGAAGACCACCGAATGCGCCGGCGAGCGTAGTGCTGGAGAAAAAGAACGAGTAGCGACGTTGAGCTTCTGATCTTTTATACCACATCCCAATCAGATAAAAGCAGCCCGGAAACATGCCAGCTTCGAACAGACCCAAGAAGAAACGAGTTGTGAGTAGCCCGCCATAACTCGACACCAGTCCTTGGCAGATAGAGACGAGCCCAAAGAAGAACATGCAGAAGGACAACCATATGCGGGGTGAAAGTCTCTTCAGGAAGACATTGGACGGAATCTCGAAGACCACATAAGGGACGAAGAAGATGGTCAACGCCGTATTGAATTCCGTATTTTTCAAATCGAGATCCTTGATCAACCCGAAAGCCTTTGCGTTTGCAATATTTACTCGATCGAGGAAGGCGAGGAGGTATAGGATGCAGAGGAAAGGGATTACTCGCAGGTCGATTTTTGCCATGAGCTTCTTCTCGGTTGTGTGGGGAGGGCAGATTACGTTCAGGTCGTCGTATTCGGGAGGCGCGGCTGGGTTCGAGATATTGGGATCATAGTAGTTGTTGATCTCATTCTTGGTCCCTGGCTCTGGATCAAGGTCTGAAGTTGTTGGAGACCCTCTCGCGCCATCTGCGAAGGAGTTAGAGAGAGGGGATCTTGGAGTTGGCATAGAGATTGAGCCACTTACTTTTCTTGCCAAACATCTTGGCGGATTGTGAGTTGTTGATTCAGCTCAATGGCAGCTCTTGATGACCTATATACCAGCAGCTTATGTACAGCAGTAATCACTCGACGTTTACACTGCAGCTGACAATAGAGAAAAGGTGGTAATGATAAAAGAAGGACCTGAAAAGGACCGCGGCGACAAGGGCACGAGAGCAATAAGTAATCGAGCCAGAGAAGTTTTACTGCATAGGGCTAATGGTTCGACGTGCTTAGTACGAACTACTCATTAATGGAAAAGAATTTTAAGGATCCCCGCAAAATGGAATGCGGGAGGCGGCACTAAGCTTCTTACAAATGACCCTAACGCTTTTCGGACAAAGATCCGCAATTGTAAAAGATGTGATTGGGTAGATAATGCGCCCATGTCTCTGAAGATGCGGGGTTTGCGATTTGCTGCCACCAGATCGCCCCTTCGGGTTTCTGTCTGGACCGAGCATGAAGTCATGCCTGAGGTATTGAATATCTCTTTCCTATGTACCTAATTGCTTTGATGGGACACGATAGTTAAGCTTCTATGTACCTACGTAGACTTAAGCTTAATATTCCATGAAATAATAGATTTTTCTGTACAGTCGTACCTCACATCTTACCGTCTTCCGGTATCGGCTCAAGCAAAAAGGGTTCTCGGCTTATAAAAATCACAAGTGGAGAAACAGTCTTGGAAGTAGATGAGAAGAGTGGGCAAGAGAAAAAATAATGGAGAATTGGCATTGAACTCTGTCTTTTATCTTGAGGATAGTTGAAATATACCTCGAAAATTTCGTCTCTTCTACCAGTATCAAATTCGACGAGGTTCCGGGCCTTAGAATGCCCTGAGATGTCCTACAGAACTGCTAAGCACGTCTTGTTCCTTGAACAAAATCTCATTTTCTGATCTAAATGGACGTTTAAACGGATAAAATAATAAACTACTCCAGTTTACGGTAGGTGACTAAGTAGTCAAAAGGTACCTAGGTAAAGTACCTAGGTATCTGGTTCACGTGTAGATCACATGTCCGCAATGAAGCTTAGTCAGCTTAGGTAGCTCGAAACTCTTCTTCGCTCCTTTCTTTTCGAAGTCTTGTTCGAACAGACACGAATTTGAGATTCGCACAACTCATGCTTCTATCCAGACTAGGTTTGTATGATCCCGAAGTCGAGTAAAGCCGCAATATGCCAAAGTTGGCAACAGATCAACGTCGACAGCGCAGACTTTCTTGAGTGGGAGGCGCAGCCCTTGCTTTCCCTTCAGCGCGTGCTCGGACAAGACGCAGTCTCATCATGAAATGTCTCTGGCGTCTCATATGCCATGCTAGATTGGACTGGTGTCAGAATACCGAGTGGCATTCTGCCTGCCTTAAATGGCATACTTGTACCAAAATGCCCTCTTGCAGTCACCGAATGAGCGTGGCTTGCTCCGGCCATTACCAGCCTCATTCTGACATCCAAAGCTGTGATTGATTGGAATTACTCGCTTAACTGCAGCAACACACCCTTCCACGGACCTGTTTTCTTGCATTAGATAAGGATGCGTCTAGAGGCGGCTACGCAGCCTCGTCTTCATGTTGACTTAAGATGAGCCCCCCCAGAACTCTTGGAGCCTGCTCCATGGTCGCAAACAATGTCGACTTTTAACTCGAGGGAAGCAGCTCTCACAGGCGTCAATCTTCAAACATTAAGAATCGAGTCCGTTGGCCCTGAACGGATTGAAGAAGCACAATATGCAGAAGTGGAAGCAGAAGAAGAAGACGAAGATGACGATGCCCTGAACATTGATGATGAGCTTAGTGCAACAGTTGAGGATGCAAGACAGAAGACCGAGAGGCATAATATCGCAGAACAGAGCGGGCCCAGTTCCCAAAAGTTCCCAATTGATATGTAAGTCTGGTGTCGAATTACGGAGGTGCCATGCGATCTAGACTAACCCGGCTGGACAGTATTGAAGATGCCGCTACAAAGATGAAGATATCCCGAACCTGCGCACACTGTCGGAAAGAAGGGAAGATCGCTGATCTCTGCATTTGTGCTGGATGTGGAGGGAGACCATATCACAAATTGTGCTGGCCACGCGCAGTCCTCCACCAGCCCGACGATGGATTCGATACATGCAAAAGTCCAACAGAGTTTACGGAATATATATGGATTCAACATCTCCTCTATTCCAACACTAGTCGTGAGGAGCAGGCAACACTTCATAGAAAGGACATCTGGTCAACCTGGTTCGGTGTGCCTCATGAGCAAGAAACGCCGATGTTATACATCTACCCCAGATTGCAGCTACTCATCAGCGAAGCACAGGCTTTGAGAGACGATGACAAAGAACTCGAACAATTCCCAAGTCTAGTGTCATTCTTTGGTGATACTGGTGGCGGAAAAAGTACGATAATCAGAGCGTTGATTCGCAACGCTTGTCTGGAGAGCAGCAAGCCAGGGTCGGTTCCTATACCGGGAAACTCTATTGACAGACACAAATCGACAAGTGGAGATGTACATCTTTACTCCGACCCTGCCACCATCGATTCTAAAGTCCCGATGTTTTATGCAGGTAAGTTCTTTGGGACATGTCAATCATCAACATGAAATTGACAGCGCTATTAGACTGTGAGGGCTTGCGAGGGAGCGGAGTTTCTGCTGCAACTCGCATTGCTGAGGGTGATTTTAACTTCGGCTCAAGTTCGAAAAAGCTACTTCCACGACCGCCTTCCGACAACAAGGGTGGAAAACCAGCAAACTCTTCGAAAAGGCCCTCTGAAAAGCACACAAGACGCAGAAACCGGCGGTTCAACAAAGAAGCGTTGCTAAGAGAAGTTGCTGATCACAAGGCCACATCAAGTCGAAGACTGGAACTCCAATGGGCTGGGACAACGACCTCTGGAATATTGGAACATAAAACTACTGTTGTTGGACCGAACACTCGTCAGATTATCGTCAAGGATCTCTATCCTCGATTGCTCTACACTTTTTCGGATGTAGTTTGCTACATTACAAACAATCCAAGGTAAGCCATTCGCCATCTTTCAATCGAGATATGAAACGAAAGATTCTGAGATTTTGTCAGGGCTACAGAAGCTGAACTTCTACATCTATTCGAGTGGGCCTCAAGTGGCCATGAACTAACTTTGAATCAACGGGTTCGACCTGGACTTCTAATAGTCGTGAACAAAGATGTACCATCAGCCAGTGAAGATTGGCTTGATGTCGATTTTGCTACAAAGACTCTGCTCTCACATCTGGAGCTTTCATCAGCTTTTGCAGACTTGCGAAAGACATGGCGAAAAAGGGGCAAGTCACTGAAAACTGCCGAGGATCTGATTCTCTGCTATTACGACTCCTTCCGGATCATTTGTATACCAAATCTAGATCAGAAGACAACACATACCATTGCTGTCCAGTACGACAAGCTTTACAAAGAAGTCAGACAAGCTATTGAGAAGATGCGGGTAAAAAAGAAAAGTGTCGGAATGAATTTGAATGTTCAGAGCTTCAACAAATACATGGGATATGCCTTCGAGAGGCTCGCCAGGGACAGGACCAGCTCGATTGATTTCCATTATCTAGAAAGCAAGGATGCTACGCGGCCACGGAGATTTCACGAACACATGTTGGCTCTGATGATTTCGCTGAAAGAAGAAGAAGAGCGAAACAGTCCCGAATCCATTGCAGATCAAGAGACGCTCGTAACGAATTTGGTTCCATTCATGGCCAATGTTATCGCATCTGATGTTCGTGGGAGGAAAGTATCATCCGAAGGTTTGTGCTTCTTTGCATCGTACTCTGCTGCTGACAAGATCAAGAGTTCCGGCTGACCACTATTTAGAGGAAAAGCTGCTGATTGATCGCCGACTTCGGGAATGCAGACACACATTAGAGAGATTCCGAGAGAAAGCTTGGCGCTGCGAAGCCACAAGTGGAAAACGTCGCTGCCGTAATTACTGGCAGGGTCATGAAAAGGGGCATCAATTTTCCTCATCGGGACGTCGTAGACACTCCTCGCGGCCGTCTGATAGTTCGGGAGAGGAATCTCTCCTAGTTGGAGACTTTCAGTGCTCGTTCGACCAGGAAGCCGTGGAAATAGCAATGCATCAAGGAATTAGGCGTTTGCTCAAGAAAGTAGAGGACCTCAACGGTAACTTGGCCGAGTGTGCCCAAGACAGTGGAGTAGCACAAATATCAAGTTACATAACTTGTTATGGTTGTCTTCGAAGATGCCCCATCTTCATTCTGCCATGTCAGGATATCCAACATGCGTTCTGCCAACCGTGTCTCAAAGGGTTCCACCATGAGACTGGACGTGGAGAATCGACATTGTTCTTGAGAGGATGTCCATTGGGCTGTCGTTTCAAGAATGGCACACCTTGGCACATTCGTGTGAAATCTCGACTGGCGGGTGCACGACTTCTATCCTTAGACGGGTAGGTACCACAGGCGTTGCGATCTTGAAGTTTAAGCTGATTGAACATGACAGGGGCGGAATTCGTGGGATAATCGAGCTTTGCATCCTGAAGCAAATTGTGGCTGAAGTGGGCTTTGGTATTCCAATCCAAGAATTGTTTGACATAGCATTCGGCACCAGCACAGGTCAGTACAGGGTGCTCATGAATCAAAACGCGTTTGCTGATTATAAAAGGTGGCATCATAGCTCTCGGCCTCTTCAAGAACAACTGGTCCATAGACACGGCAATAACTGAGTTTGAGAGATTTGCGGAGGCTGCATTCTCGAAACGGATGTGGCTTAAGGTTCCTATGTTTCGTCATACGGCGCAGTTACTCTACTCTTACAGGTTCAAGAGCGAGGGTATCGATTCAGCGTTGCAGCAAGCATTTGGCAAAGGCCCGCTTTTCGGCTACAATCAGTCTTCCTCGCCAGATATTGTGAAGGTAGGAGTTGTCGCAGGTGTCTTGGGGGAGAGACAGCCATACATCTTCACGAATTACTCCAGAGACGTGCAAGGCACAGGTAAGATCTACCGGCCTTTTTTCGAGGTCAATTGAGTACTGACGCTAGTCCCACAGGTCCCGACTACCTCGTGAGAGAGGAAAATCCAGCTGATGAGCTGAAGATCTGGGAAGCGTAAGGAGACTTTCTCTGTACAATATGATTTGACTAATCTGCAAAATAGTGCTCGTTGTACATCTGCAGCTCCCACATATTTCGAACCATACTTCCATGACCAGACCAAAAAGGATTACATCGATGGAGCTCTGATGCGTAACAATCCAGTCCAGATAATCGAAGAAGAGCGTCGCATGGTATGGACAGATGGTCGGCCACTGGATATCGTCCTCTCCATCGGTACAGGAGTCCAAGCGAATTCAGAAGGAGCCGCAAAGCTCGGCGGCAAAGCTTTCAATCTAGCCAAGAAGCTTGTCCCGAAAGGATTGAAAGGCAAGATCGCTGTTGGTCTGGACATGATCCAAAGTACCCTAGACTGTGAGAAACAGTGGAAAGACTTCATCTCCGCAACCGACACCAAAACACGCCGCGTCTGCCACCGCATCAACGTAGGTCTATACGAACGACCACCCAACCTCGACGACGTCTCGAAACTCCCCCTCTTGAAATGGGAAGCGGATAAATATCTCCAGCCGCGCGGAACCAATACGTACATCTACCCTCCCTACAACTCCGCGCACGCCCACATCACCGCCGTCGCCCGCCGCCTCCTAGCCGCGCTCTTCTACTTCGAAGAAGACGAGGACTCCGTCGAGCAGCGCGGGCCCTCATGGACGGGACGGATCCACTGCCGCCTCAGCTCTTCCATGACAGAGCAATTTGGACGGCTGTCTCGGTCTGGACGTCCGGAGTTTAGACTTCGTCAATTGGGCAAAGGGGGTGAGATTTCGGTGGCACCGCTAGCGACGGATTTTGATCTGAAGACGTTTTCGAGTAAGGTTAGCTTTGAGGCGGAGACGGAGGAGTTGGTTATTGAGGTTAAGATGCATAGGTGGCCTGGGTGGGAGAGGATTAGTGGACGGCATCAGTTGTGATTGTGGATTGTTGTATACCCTGTGATGAAGTGTTTAATGATAGTCTCGCACGGAGAGAGTGTCCTCGGTGTCGAAACTGTGTGTCATCTTGTCGGCTTCCGTAAGGGACTGTGAGGGGTTCTCGTGGAGTAGCTGGGATCTCCACTTGACTAAGCTGGACGACATGATTGCCATGGTATCAGAGTTCCAACCGTCGAGATGCGGATTTTGAGTAATCCAGCCAAATCCAACAGGTCTAGAAAGTGGGTTAATAACAAGCGGATTTATGATAAGCATAATCTCTGTACAAAAGCAAGGGAAGTGGTCAAGAGATTCCGCCTTAATACCTCGTCTTACCTTCTGCGGCCTAGAATCGGGTTCCTAAGTTTAATATTTAGAAAGCGGGGTCAATATTAAACGGACTTATTATGAGCATAATTTCTCTACAAAGGAGAGTACCGGTAGTCAAAGAGGAGCGCCGTAATACCTCGCTTTACCTCAAGTGTTTCGAAATCAAGTCCTGGGGTCAAAAAATCTAAAAAGCGGGTGTCAGTAATAGACAGACTTATCACGAGTATAATCTCTGTGCAAAGACATAGCTGTGACAATTTTGCTTACCTTAGGTGCTTTGGAATCTGGGTCCTAAATTCTAGAAGACTTAAAGCTGAGGTTAATAACGGACATACTTATCACGAGTATAATCACAGTGCAAAGGAGAGGTATCAAAGCCAGGTTGTCATGCCCCCCTTGGAGGTCTTTTGATTCATCGAAACTGTTGTCAATTAGCATCAGTTAATGTACCTGCAATTGAGGAGCTTTCAACTTTCGACTTACGGAAACGAGTATTCATCATCGTCGTCATCGTCATCTTCTGATACTGTTAATATGGATGACCCAATTTTCGAAAGGCTTTTCACTTACGCCAAAATTGATTCTGCTGCTTCTCGAAAACAGATTAGTCATTGTACCAAGATCTAGAGGACAGTCAACTTACAAAAGCTTCTCTTCTCTACCTACCTCAGCTAGAGAGTATCTATTAGTTTCAAAGACCAAGAGGAAGCGAATGTCTGTTTTACCGGTAGTGGGCGCACTCGGCAGGGTGTCTATAGTAGACACAGCAACTACACGCACAACGGCGCATCCCAGCGACGACAACGCACCAAGGGTGACCGAAGGCGCCCCCGGCCGTGCATCTGTTGCATCGGAATTGACAGACATTAGCCCCAAAACAAGCTTTCAACTGTAACTGGAGCTTTCTAATGATAGAAAAGCTAGTCATAAGAGATCAACTTACGGGCGCAACAGTGCCAACACAGAATCCAAGCGCACCTCGGACATATGACGGGTGGGTCAATGCCCCAGACACATTGGCTTCCCAGGCCAATTGGCGACGGATGGGGCGGGAGGCGAGGTCGCGAGCCTGCCTGGTGCTCAGGGGCCCGGCGGCGACGGCAATCAGGATTAGACCTGAGGTTGCGGTGTTGGGAGCCTTGAATGTCCAGTAAGTTACGGTACTTTCAAATAACAGCTCGGGATACCTACGAGGCCGGCTGGGTTGAAAGGTGCAGCCAGCTTCCATCATTTATAAGTATGTAATCTCTCTGCTTGTGTGGTATAATAACTTACAACGGCGGGAACGACAACGAGAGGCTATGATTATATACGTTAGCTTTGGTACTTTAGAGGGAGGGAAAGTACTTACAGGAGGAGCGGGGTTGGCGGCAGGCTAAAAGTATCAAATAAAGTCAATTCTGTCTCCATATTCTAAAAATCTGAAGTTCGGAGACATGTAACGTACGGCAGGAACCGGAACGGCAGCGGGGGCCGGGGCAGCAGGATTGTTGGCCTGTTTCCAGACATTAGATTAGCTCTGAAAAGAATCTTGTTTTCTGAAAACGAGTGTAATATGCTTACGTTGGGGGGGGGCGGCCTGCAGAGACTTATTAGCTTTAAACATCGAAATCACGTGCCGTGGACTTACTTGGGGTGGTCCTTGACCAGGTTGGTTCTTCGAAATGTTCGAGTTAGTAAATGATATTCAATGGATGTAAAGTTCGAGCATTCTTACAGGGTTCTAAAAAGCAGAATTGTTAGTTTGTGATTCCAATACACATAATGCGTTGAAGTTGATATGTAGAAATAGTAAACAAACATTCCAAAGTGTGAATAGGAATATCGGTCTTTGTTTACAGTAGAAATTATCAAATAATCTGACATCTTCGTCCGTGAGCAAGGACAAGTAGCTAGGATCAAGTGAGATTATAGTAGCTACTACTTCGAAGAGATCAAAATACTTGACTGGCTTTTAACAAACAAGAGATTCAAGTCAGGCGCGGGCGGGGCGGACGCTACTAAGCGAGCCAGAGATAGGGGCTGGATAATTAGTAATTTGAAGAGATGAGACAACAAAGGAAGAATCGTACTCTTATCAGAGGCGAAAGAACAGGATGGATACATGAAAAGTACTTCCATGATGCAAGTTGGAAACTACTCAGAGACCATCGTAGTGGAAGTCCAGACAAGAAAATGCTGGGACAGCCTTTCAGCGCATTGAATAAAACTAGACGAAAGGCGCACTAGTTGGAAAACTTAAAGGAACATCTCTTCTGGAAAAGTCACGCAATTATCTCAATAGATGACATGGTAGGACAGATCTACACAATGAACAGAAGAAGATGTAATGTAACTTCTCCCAAGGCGAGACACGAGACTGGGCTATCATGAGATTGAACCTCGATGCATTCAAACCAGCTTTCACACCCCCGGACGAAAGGTGAACTCTACTAGGTAAAATATGATTTGTGGCATTGTCGGGGAGGTGTAGACTTCAGACGCAAAAAACACATGAACACCAAAAGCGCAAGTCAACTAACTCAGTCAAAGTGGATGGCTAGTAGCAAGAGTGGATCTCAACCAAGTGAGCCCCATCAACTAAACCCGGACTGAACCCCGGTAATTCGGGGTATAATCATGGACCATACGAAAAATGGTTGATTGAGTGTGTCCCAAGATAGATCTCTTGGTGATGAGGGGCAAAAGCAAGAGGCAATGCACAATATCAGATTTAATGGTAACAAATGCGCAAGTCATTGAAACAAACAAACAGTCAGCAGATGAAGAGAGCTCAAGAGACTAGTCTATCCTGGATTGACTTTCGAGAAATTCAGAGTCCCTCGCGTCGTGTTGGCCTTAGCCACGACTAATTACCCAACGATTGACCTTCGACAAAATAAACTCAGTCAAATGCCATCATGGTACACACTTGTATGAGACTGAGCATGACAAAGTACTCGGGTTAGACAATCGCCGCAACTTCGCGCTCACTCTCGCTCCATCAATAGGCCAGAGTGGAGGTGCCAGCTGAGATTTAAAACGCAAACTTATGCAGAAACAAGCAAAAGAACAGTATTGAAAAGAGCAACAGAAAGAGATATAACTCTCAGGCGTTATTATCCAACTACGGTAAATGAACTCTGCCAAGCACCACCTATATGACACGTTTATGTGAGGCCAGATATGGCAACGTGCTCAGGTTCGACGTGAGATCTACCCGACGTTTTGGCTCAGACGTGTAGTCAGCGAGGCTTCGCGCTCACTCTCGTCTCTACCTATAGACGTTACGTGACCACTAGATCTAGAACACAAAACCTGTACAGAAACAAGCAGAAAAAGGAGCGTTCAAGAATAACAAAAAGAGAGACAATCAAGTCTCAGGCGTCACTGCCCAACTGCGAAAGCTGAGCTCTGCCAAGTACTATCCATGATATGCCCGTGTGTGGAGCCAGGTGTAGTAGCGTATTCAAGTTCGACGTTAGATCTAAACAACGTGTTGACGCAACGAGACAGCTCTGTGAAATGGACTCGCGTTGTAAGGATAATAGGAATCGGAATAATACGTACGGCGGAAGACATGGTTGGGTGGTCGGTGGATGACTGAGTGGTCGATTTGATTGCTGAGAGTGGCGCTGATTGCTGAGATCGGGGTCGAAAATGTGTGAAAAGCCAAAGAGTGAGAATGAGTCGTGGAAAGTAAGATTGGGGTATTATCCAAGGGTCTCCGCTTTAATTAACAGACTAACTTTCTATTACGGAGCTAAACCTCTCTTGGGCGTATGTAGGTCGCTGGTGATGTCGTTGGTTGTTATTGAACCGAGACTCACGCGTCATGCGACAATGGTAGGCGTCAACCATGCATTCGAGCGAGCTGCGAGTGAACCATTGTGTCCTAAGATGAAGTACTACAACCTTATATGCAAGAGCCAGTGTAGTGTCATAAAGCTACGAGACACAATAGGATTTCAATAGAGAAAGAGATAGATGCGACTGCTCATGGATTCTTGTGTCTCATCTTGCTCTACAATGTACCTTTAGATAATCACAATAGTCAATTTGCTCTTAAGCCTCAGATGAACTCCGACAAGCTTCCGATAGATCAAAACTACAACTGTAGGTCTAAAGAGCTATTGAAGACACGCGCGAACAGAAGAATTCGAAATTTACCAATGGCTAAAGGATAACTAAAGCAAGGCCAACTTTTTCGATGATTACAAACGTAGTATTCTTTCTTGAGCACACAAGGGGTACTATCATTCCACAATATCTTTACAAGAGCAAGAAATCAAGGCTTTAGATAAGTCTCACAACTCTTGCAGGCTACGGGAGGGCTACGTGAGAGTCCCCCTGAGGCATGTGACTTCCACCACCGAACTTGAAGACCTTGGCGAAAGTGTCGACAGTTGGTATAGAATGGGAATAAGATGCATAGCCAGTATCAGGCACATTACTTGAGTGTATTATAGGGCGAGAAGCTAGACCAGCTGTTGTCTCCTCCATACCCGAATCGAAGTTTTGTTCCGACATACTTTAGAGGGGTCAAATTTGGTTGCGCATAGACGAAAATGTTAGTATTTTCCGCTGCTGTACCATTATCTAAACTTCGAAACCCCCGAAACTTTGATTTGTAAATGGGGAGGCATCTAAAACCCTGCGGATATAATGAAGCCATTTCTTCGTAGATGTAAGAATCGAACACAATAAACTTCACTTTATAGTAAGACCGTTCACGTCATATCATACCAAGAGAGATTGTTCAACTCTGCAAATCATTCGTCCACAATTTGAATTTTAAGAACTAAATCTTGAGTTTGGAAGATTTGTGAAATACCCGCCGTTACATCTTTCGTTACTTGTGGGCAGCCATTCATATATGCAATGATAGAACTATCTAAAGGATTGACCTCTAAGTGAGGGTAGAATTAGCAGATTAGGATGCAAACTAGCGGAGGATCACCAACCTGCATATTCAGCACGGCCATCACCGTAGAGGTCTCTAACTGCCAGCCCGATTGGTAAATGTTCATGCAACACTTCAAAAGTGGATAACAAAACCATTACAACTCACACAACGTTGGCACTTCCTTGAGGATACCACACAGGTTGAGCAGCATGAGGTCCATTGTCAGGTCTACCACTATTGAGTTATTCATTGACAGCCCCAGGTCCAGCGATCAACTTCGAGATAATCTGCTCTTCCATCACCGTTGATATCTGACTCTTTCGATCAGCTCAACTGTTCATGTCATCCAATAAATTCCAGTGAGTAACTCTACCTGCGAAGATCGTATTATTCCTACATCCACCAATACCAGAAGCAATAATCCCTTGCAGCAACAACCACTCCACTATTCCAGCATGAGGTGTTTCATCGATCGTCGGCCCAAGATTGAGATGTTCTGCTCGGCCATCGCCATTAAGGTCCTAGATAGGTGTTACATGATGAGATCAAGGACGGGTACGGACAGCGAATTGTACAGTACCTCCTGCCTTGCGGCTCCGACTCCAGTCGCGATAACACCTTGAGGCAGCCATTGCACCGAAGCTCCTGTTGTGCTCTCTTACGAAGTTAGGTACTCGAGGAGCCAAGTTCGGGAAAATTGTCACGGCGCAATTCGAATCAACCCAGAAATACCCTACACGACCATCTCCGTTCAAGTATTAGCATCGTATGGGATGCAGGGTGCAAGCAGCGTTATTCGTACCTGCAAAACGTAGTGCATGGATGAGCTCATACCCCGTGGATGCGTAGGAGCTGGGAGCTGCCACTCCGTGGTACGGTAAAGCTAAGTCCTGTTTCACTATCGCGGGTGCAATTCTCGGGAAGCTGTTTCTTGTCAAAACCTATCAGCACATCTCACCACTCTCATAGCTAACAGCAATATACATACAAATCAGTGCAAATGATAAGCGGGTAACAGTCAGCAACCAGACCATTCGCAATCTCACCTTGAGGATACATAGTCAGTAGCATACCCATCTATTGTATAGTTAGTCACACTGGATGTAGAAACATCTTGCCCATTCTTGTCTCCGCATTGCGGTATCACCAGAGTGAAATTTTGTTCTTTGCATAAATTAAGGTCATTGAGGTCAGTGGTGCGCCATCAATGGTAAGTCGTATCTTGGCAAGAAATGTTAGCATTCTTTGAAAGAATAACTTACTGATGAAATATGGAAAGCCACTTTCGGGGAGTCTGAAAGTGTGGTTATTAGTAGAACAGACTTATCACAAGCATAATCACTGTGTAGAGGAGAGGAAATGTCAGTCATAATGCCCGGTGGGTCTTTTGAATTGCGCCGAGCTTTTCTCTTGATTAGCACTTATAACTGTATCAGAAACATAGGGACATTTGACTTACTTGGCATCTATCTTCGTCGTCATCATCTTCTTCTTCTTTGAAATAGCGTTAGTAAATCGCCTGAAATCCGTGGGACTTTTTAACTTACCGTATCCTCCAAAATGCGCATGCTACTCCTCAAATTTATCAGCAAATGTATCACAACTTTGGACATTTGAATGCTTACATGCGTCTTGTCATTATCATCGTCGTCATCCTACCTATAATGTCCTCATTATCACTAGACATTCGCAGTAAACTTCTAAAGTTATTCTTACGGGTGTAGGGAGCAAGGGCGGAACCGAGATTGATACGCGCAATTGGCGCACGCGCCACCAAAAGCACCAGGGACCACCACACAAACAGAAAACGGCCCACACGAGTTCTGACAATGACCACAAGGAGTCTGAACATTGATCATGATCGTTAGCGAGATGTTCCAGGTTTGAATAGACATTTTTGTGGTTGAGAAACTTACGGCCGAGGCAACACCGATCATCTGGGCCATGCTAGCCCGGTCCCGAGAGAAACGACCAATTGAGTGCATAGCACCCGGACGGACATCAACGATTCGTCGGGGAGGGTGGAGGACCGGATTGGCCCACTGGGCAGTCTCACCCCCGACAACGAGCGCACGAGTGACAATAGCCTGTTGAAACTAATGTACCAGTCAGTAACACGACTTTAGATTGTGGATATGTTCTGAAATCACTTACGGCGCCGTGGGTGAGGAAGCCGGGGGGGTGGCTAAAATGTCAACAATCGGCCAGACAATCCGAATAATAGAACTTACCAGGTTGTTCGGAGCGGGGAGCTGTCATTGAAGTCAGCTTGATATTTCTCAACAGGAGATCTACTTACAGCAGCAACGGCAGGGACAGCCTGTAATGTACAGATCAATGATAATATTTAAGTCACGGAAGTTTGAATACTAACGGCAAGAACATTGGGACCAGCCTGAAGCATCTATGTTTAGCGATGACTCGACACAAAATCGATCACACAAGGTGGACTTACGGGCGGAGCAGCGGCAGCAGGACCGGCAGGAATGGCAGCGGGCTGTCAAAGTAGAAATTAGTATTGACTTCTGAATATTTGAGGCACATGTGACTTGTTTAGAGGTACTCACAGGGGCAGGGGCAGGGACCTATGAAAGTCCTCGTTAGCATCGAACTTTCATATGTAAGGGCAGTAACTTACTTGTTGGCCGTTGGCCTGGTTGTTCTATAATATTTTGATTAGTAACAAACATTCAAACCTTCCGAAGTACGAATTTTCTTACGACGTTCTAGATACTCTTGTTAGCATGTTTTCAACTTAGCGCAATGATGAAGCATGAAAAGCATGGTAATCGAAACAAAATCAAGAGATTAAGGAAATATTCTTTGTCGTTTTTTTACCAGGCCATAGCTCCATGACGCAGTGGGGTATGTTAAGCGAGAAAAATAGGGGTCGCAAGCTAGGCTAGGTAGATTGCATGGAGCATCAGATCCAATGCATCTTTCCTTACAAGATAAAACGTGAAGTTTTTGGAGTTGGTATTAGGGAAACATTGAGAGGGAAAGAAAAGACTAAATTGTGACAAGACCTCAAAAAGAACAGCAAGAGATATTCAACTTGTTAACATGATGGACAGGGTGAGAGATCTCAACAAAGGGTGACTCATCTACACAATAGTTGAAATTCGACATATTCATCGCATATCAACAGTCTGGACGAAAAGTGAAGTTTCTAGTTAAGAGCTCTAAGGTGGCTGAAAATGAAGAGTGAGGGGCAGGACCAAGCAGCACATAATATCAAATCTCAAGAAAAAAACATCAAGCTCTTTGAAAAGAAAATCCAGTACGTTGAAGGAGCTTTAGTACAAGACACTAGTCTACCCGACGATTGACTTTCGACGAATTCAGGGCGCCCTGGCCTCGTGTTCGCCCGGAAGCCATACACGAGCCCTACCAAACGAGACGTGAAATAAAAAACTGTACACAAACAAGCATAGAAACAATCTCCAACAGTAATTGACAAAAGAAACACGTATAGCACGTCATTATCCAACTACGGAAAGTGAACGGTGTCAGTGCCACCCATAGTACACGCTTTTGTGTGGATAGGCATAGCAACGTGCTCAAGTTCGGCGTCAGATCCATACAACACGTCCGCCAGAACGAAACAGATCTTTAGAAAAGAGACTCATGTTTCAAGAGTCAAGGACCTTTGATACGTACGGCAGACATTGTAATTGTTGGCGGTTGACTGGTGAGTGATTCGTGGCTGTTGAGGCGTTCTGGGAATGCTGTAAGATAGTCAAAGAGTGAAAATGGATCGTGGGAAGTGAAACTGGGGTACTGAACCAAGAGTCTCCGCTAATATCAACTGAGACTAAACCTTATTCTACGCTGCTAACCCGTCTCGGTCATAGGGACGTTTACTAGTGACGTGCTCGAGCGAACAGTCGAGCGACGACTAAGCGCAGTCCTCACAATGATATCCAGGTAGTCATCTGGCATTGTCTTGCAGAGCGACTGAGCAAGCGATGAATGTATCATTATGCTGTAACGTGAAGCAAGGCATGAAATACAGATCTATGATAGTAGAACTACAATGAAGACTACAATGGGACTAATGTAGGGTTGAGAATGGCATCTACTTCATGATATCCTTACCCATTATGGTTCATAATGCAGCGTTCTGCAAAGATAAGGGAGACTTTCAGCTCCCTTAAACCTCAGAAGGAAGAGGAAATGCTTTTAAAAAGTTGCATATAGTTCAAGTTGAAAGCTTGCCAGTCAGTTAACCGTTTCCACACAGGCAGGAGAGCAGTTAATGTTCAACTTGTGGCACTCAGTTATTGCCAATTAAAGACTATTTATTTCATTATTTGAGCGAGAATTCATATAAAGCTCTTCCAGTGCCTTGATACGCTCGCCTTCTAGAGGTTAGCTTATTTGGTCGGAAGAGTGCCATAGATATTCGTCGACGACCATTTTGATGAACATTGTGCAGCCCATTAACAAAAACAATCTGTAGCCATAGTGGACAAAGCTGACTAAGCGTCAGAAACCCATGCTGAGAATGACTTGGAACATGCTTGCTAGGCATCTGGAATAGAGCGCCGCATGTTGCGAGCAGCTCTCTAAGTTAGCTTGAGATGTTTGGCTCATGATGTTTCTCAAGAGATTATCTTCATAATACACAAACGGCAGCACAAACGACCGCGAACTTTATTCTGGTTCTATAACTACGCAGGTAGCTCTGAACTGTATCAAATAGGCAGGAACGACTCTCGACAGCTTGACGCTGGACCTCACCTATTCATCATCATGCCTGGTAGTCTAAAGGCTTTTCTTCAAAGACTAAGACAGCCCTGGAAGCTACAATGGTGGACTGTGCAGGACACTTTTACAGATTTTAAGTTGAAAGTCTTTGGCAAACAATCTTGAGTTGTGCTTGAACTCTCTGATGACACGTGACCTGACTCGAGGAAGCCATCTACGATACTTCCAGAGAGCTTTGCACAGCTCGAGAACATTATCATGAACATTTCACGTCACCAAGCTATCAAATCTTCCATTCCAAACTTAACAAGGCTCTTTTCCTGCCATCTAATCCCAAGGATGTGGACGCATTGACTAAATGCTTTGTGTACACATTGTCGCAAATCGCTAGTACAAGCTCAACCACTGGTTTCATTAATGGAAAGATTGAGAACGTGTGGAAAAATCTTGAATTCAGCATCAAAGGAAGTTGATTTATATTAACAGAACTGAGTGCAATTTCTAGCTTCAAGAGCTTTATTCACGAGGGTAAGTCGAGGGGAACTTTCCTGTCACATCACCCATGATTTGAATCGCAGTATATCGTCCCTATTGAAAAAATTAGCAGAGACCGAAAGGCTATGTAGATGTGTAGAGAAGACTTACAATCCAGCGACACATGTAAAAGCCAATACCCGAGAAGTAGAGTTGTGGGTCTATGTACCAGTCAGTATTGAAGTGAAGTCAAAGTTTCCCAAAGTCAGAAGCAACTCACGTCCGCTAGCAGTAGTATACCCCGGAACCTCTCCCTCAGAATCAACCCCAAATAGACTAACGTTCTCCACCATCCCCGCACTTTTCTCATCCAAAAACCCACTCTCCCTCCACCTCTTTGGCAAATCCACAGTCTCATACCCCGTAGCAAGAACCACACCTCCCGCCTCAATGACCCTATCCTCCCCACCCTCAACGTCCCTCACCAATACACCATTCTCTACAAATCCCTTCGCTTCCCCTCGAGCAATCTTGATCCGATCACTAAACACCAAATCAAACATCTTCGGCTGATCCATATAGAAACTCCTGCCCCGCTCTTCGTACGCTCTAGACACAAGACAAGGCGTACGATCAACCATATAACCCTTACTCTCAAATTCCTTACAGCGCTCAGCCTGCGCTTCGATCATAGCCGCCAAAGCTCCTCGTGCCAAGTCTCGCGTAACAGCAGCCGGCATACCGGTATCCAGAAAATCAGCAACTTCAACGGATGTTTGGCCTTGCCAGCGCATTGTGACCATTGGACCAATGACGTCGAAGTCGAAAAGAACAGTAGGACTACGTTGGAGGATCGTGACGGTTTTGACGGCGGGGCTGAGGGCCAGGTTGTGTGCTACATCGTGAGCGGAGTTACCTGAGCCGATAATGAGGACGTCTTTGTTGCCATATGGTGCGGGAGTACGGTACTCAGTTGTGTGTTCGATGGGGCCTTTGAACAATTGGCGGTCTGACAGCTTGGGGGATTTGGGGTTTTCGTGTGAGACGAGGAAGCCTGTTGATATGACAATGTTCCTGGCTTGGAGTGTTGCCTCCTTCTTGGTCTCCACATCTTGGACTTTAGTGGTCCATAAATTTGTCTTCTCGTCGAAGGAGTTGCTCAGGACTTTAACACCGGCGAAGACTGGAAGCTTCAATTCTTCGACTGCTGTGCCGAAGTATCTTGTCAAGTCTTGACCATACAAGTATTCGGGATACCCTTCACTCGGTACAGGAAACATGGGGAGTTGGATCATGACCGCAGGATGATGCAGCCTGACATTTTCATATCGCTTTGTGGACCAGTTTCCACCAGCCATGGGCTCAATGTCAAAGGCAGCCACATTAGCACCAATGGAATCGAGCATGATCGTGTTCGCAAGCCCACTACTGCTTGCACCAATGACAATGGCATCGAGAACCCCTTGGACACGAGGCAGACCTTGAGCATGTGCCTTTCCTCTCTGCGAAACATCAATCAAGGAGGGAGACTGGCGAGGAAGTGACTCAAATGGATGTTCGTCAAGTGATATCACAGCTGTAGCCATGATCCAAATCTTCCATTGACCACCCTTGGGTACTAGTTTGACTTGTCCAATGCACTTCGACGTGGGAGCTTCTGTCGTGAATCCGAATGGAACATCGAGCGAGGCCAGCTGAGGCGCCATTCGTATAAACGCTGGTTCCATATCCATAGTATCATTTTTCTCCACCGAGAAGTTCGACGGCTTCCTTCTCTGGCATAGTGTCTTGAAAGCTTCGGTGATATGTTGTGCTCCTTTCAAGGTCCGCTTGTCGAAGGTGAGAGTCAAGCTGTCTCTCCACCAGGAATCTTCATAGAAGAATCCTTCAAATGTTTCCCAGTCTCTCTTATGAATAGCTTCAGCGAATTGTTTGATGAAGGTGGTAGCTTCTTTGCCGACATCGAGAGTCGATTCGCCATCGAAAGTCGGTACATGAGGGATGCCTGCTGGCAAGTCACTGACATGGACTCGGGGTCGATGTAGTACCTCAGTCATGGTGGTTGTGTTTCTGAAGGACTTTTTAGGTGGGGAAGTTGCGCTTTTATGATCGACAGCTTCTCTTTGTGTACTCCCAGCCCTAGCTCCGTTCACTTATATATTGGCTAGTAAATTCATAAAATTTAGATATTTAACAGTCATTCTCATGGCTTCGCTGCACAACCATCACAAACGGCGGTTCCGGAACAGGCATTAGCAAGGAGGATCAAACTAGGAACACAGTCAGCACGTGGACAAAATCGTGTTTAAAGCTGCGCGAGCTCATACCATAAGACTTGGATATTATTGTCCCAAACCTTTTAGGACAATATCAGTGGGCTAAGTCCGGATTGTGAACTAAGATTTGAGGGTTGAAGTAGGTAAAAACAACTTGTAGTACGACGTGAAAACTTTTCCATCTCGAAGAAATTGCCTTTCCAATTTATATTATCCCACAAGTTCTTGGACAATATTATCTTGTATCCCAAATTTTTCCACAGTAATAGTGTTGCTCGTCAATGGACCGGAAGATTTGTTGGCAGGGGGCGGACGCAGGGGCGGGGAACAAATTTGGGGCGGCTTTCAACCAGTTCCGCCCCGCCGATCTGACGAGAGTAAGATTTTGGTCGAGGGGTGTGACACAACATCGATGATATCTAAATCAATTGCATTTGAACAATAGATCAATAATAATTCTCACCGAGACACGACTTATCCTCCTGATAAACATGCGTATTGAGGGTCCCACAATTCAGAGCTCTAAGTCACTTTCGAGACAAGTCATGTTGATTTAGAGCAGATTACTGGTAATGTCCCACGCCCCCATATTGCTTTTGCTCATAATAAGCTATATAAATCTTATCTGGATTAATGTTAGTATATGCTTATTTCTATTCATTTTTAAGAAACATGAGACTTGAGCCCAGAAATCAGTATGCAAATCTTCTCAAACTCTTGGTACATTGATAAATACTTGCAACACAAAATCTTCAAGATATGAATAATTTGGCTTATACTCAACAATTAAATTGTCCTTGTTTCATAGAGTGATTATGGTCGTGATAAGTCTGTCCACTGTTAGCCTCACTTTTACTTTCTAAATATTTCGAAATTAAGTTTTATCTTTCTTTATTTTATTATAATTTTAAAGGACTATAATGTTCGTCACTAAATCAAGACTTTACCATCCTTTTAAGTATGATGATCGGTTCAGACTTTAGAGCTTTATATTTCTCTGTGAGATAGATCGCATTATTCCTCGCTATATTGGTTTTACTCATGGTATGTTGTTGGGCTAGAATGTTACATTTATATTAGTATATGTTAGTTCCTAGTCAGTCCAAAACTCGAGATAACAATTCTTGATTTCCTGGTACATTGACTAATATGTTCAATACAAAACTGTGGGATATACTCTATTCTCAGTGCAAGCGGATCTCATTCATCACATTGTTCCTTGTTTAAACAGCTCTTAAGCCGGCTACATGTCTGCTAGAATGGACAGATCTATCTTTTCAATGAAAGGATCACACTGCTATCTAGCATGGACTTACGGAGCATAAGTACCTATTTAGTCAGGTTTGGGGTTTGAGCTCGCTTAGCCATTCAGGGGCTTGGAGCTACTACCCACAGTGAAGAGGCTGTGCAAGTTCAAAACAACAGCCTTCTGAGTTGGTTCAAATCGAGGTATGTTAATTTGCTGTAGAATTCGTGATATTCTACGAATTACTTTTTGCATAAAAATGAAAACACGTTGAAGGTAATATGAACACAGATCTACAGTTTTACGCCACAGCCCTTGGCCTTGACGTCAGAGGGCGAAATACCGCACCTCTCTCGTCCGACAGCCTCGTGGGGCATACTTTCCCTCGCTGTAGAAAGCGCTCTCTTGTCTCGCAAAATTCTCGGACAATGCTCAAAACTTAATCTCCGACCCAAGTACAGTAAATGCCATCTAAACTCTATTGTGCGACATCAATCGCTAACAAGAAAGTCAGGAATTTGTCGAAGCCGAAACCATGTCTCATCAACCATCCACCACCGATAACATCAAGAGCACCGCCAATTCGGCGTACAATTCCGTCGTAAACACAATTACACCTTCGAACAATCAAGAAGATTACGATCCAAATCAAGACCCAGCAAATTTCAAGAAGGATGCACACGGAAACACGGTCAAGAAAGGCGACTTGAAAGACAAATTGAACGAGGCTGCATTGGGTGGACCAAGAGAACCAGAACCAACATATGTTGAGAAAGGTGCGTTCTTGTGATGATTTGCAGTACTCAGTAAGGATACAGAGGGCTAACGGTTCAGCTCTTTCAAATATTCCAGGTGTCAGCAAATTACAACAAATGGCATTCGATCAGGGCGAACCAGCGAAGCAAGGTCAACCTCCAGGACCTCCAGAAAGACCGGATCACGATGTTCAAGTCGAACAGTTCTTGAGGAAACAGTATCACAGCCAGAGTGGGGACGGCATGCCGGATCCGGACGCGAAGGATTGATGTCTTGAGTTTATGGAAGGGGTCCTGGACATTAGGGGTCAATATTCAATACTTATAGAGTCCATGGACTCAGCGGGCAGCCTATGTCGGAATAAGAGAGATTCATGAGAGGAATATCGGTCCTGGCCGGAAAAGTTGTACACATGTTCACGGGACAATCCCCCTCAGCATACGTAATAGGCCTGTTTCATCTCGTCAAACCAAGCGTGTTCAGGAGACTGCACTTCAAGTTTTATCACAGAGACGAGACTAGAGAAGAGAACTGCTTTAGCAGCACCACTACAAATGAAACATCAGACCCTGCTGGAGATGGTGGGACTTGATCATCTGCACGTGTGATCTAGCTCGTGAACATTGCAATATCCCCGTTTACGCACAACATCGTGTTGTCCACAATATATCTGGCAGAGCATAGGAAATATACACAAGAGGTGTGGATTCTCAGAGAAATGCCATGTTATCATACGGCAAGCACCAAGTTGTACATACGCATGCTGACCGGTGTTCCTCAACCTCGAAATCTCCAGGAATTCATCAATTTGATTAGACCTTCTCCCCAGCAGCTCTTCTCAATGCCTGCGCAGTCCACTCTGGGTAACTAACCATCAAGCAATGCCCACCCTCCTCACACCTTTCCACAACATCAAAAGCACTCTCCACCTGACCCCTCGCCGCACCTAGCATACCCTCCACCGCCTCTAGAGTGAAAACACTCTTGTCCTTCATTCCTTGCACATACGTACTCGGAATATCTCTCCAAGCAGCATAAGTCAACGTACGTACACACCAAGACTTTGATGTGGTTCCAGTTCCTTCACCCACTTCTCACGAGTTGAAGAACATTCCGACGAAGGAAGATCATGATAAAAAATTGATGCTGCATCAGATGGAGTGACAGTCGTGATATCATCAGACGTATTGATTTTCATCCAAGCGGGAAACTGGGAGTATTCTCCTCGCAGTGTAGGTTGAAAGCCTATGGGCATGGCGAATGCGTTGATGCATACGAATCTGATCACGCCACCCTTTTCTCCTCTGGTTTGGCGCTCTTTCTTGCCGAGTCCTTTGCATGCTTCGGATCCGGGCATGCCGGTGTAGGAATGTACGGCTAAGACGATGTCTTTACCCTCGTTGATGAGAGAGGTGAGGCAGTCACGAATGGCTGTGACATCCTCGGCGAAGTCCTCGTGAGGAGGAACGGCTCCAGCGGAGGGAAGAGGAAGGAGGACGGTGGGGTATCCGTGCTTATGGAGATGGGAAGCAACATCTGAGTAGATAATTGGCTTGTGCCATGCTCCTGGGACCATCACGATTGTTGGTTTGGACATTGTGACTTGAATTGAGAGATTCCGGGGGCGATGTTCTCGGAACTTAGGGAGAAATGAAATCTGCAAAGTTGGATTCTGAGATCAGGAACATGTTGACATGAGAAGTGCTGATGTCTAAATTACAGTGCTTACAGGAACTGGCGGAAGTCCGCCGCTAGTCTGAATTCGCGGTAGCCGTTCCGAATCGGTTTTATGCTTGGGTACTCGTTCTTCGTGGCCAATTGGCAAATTGGTACTCATGATTGTCATGATGTACCTCGAATCCTGTCTCCTCTGGCTCGCTAGGCTAATCCATCCCCTTTATTGGTAAGCGAGTCTTGATCGCCATTTCGCATGAGCTTAAGAGATTAACAAGGCACTTTTGGAAGCCTGCTGAGAGGCATTCTATGATTGGGGATTCGTACGATGATAAGCTTCGCTTCCCTCGGCTCTGCCCCTGTTTATCATGAAGATCGTTATGACTCCATATCGCCGGGGAAAGAATCAAACCAGTTGGTAGAATACATAGATACCAAGAACGAGCATGGATGACGCAACCTACCCGTGATCAATTTTAAGACATAAATCATAGAAACATGGTTTTAGACGTATTGCAGGCAAAAGCCCTGTAGCAGAAAGGGACTTTCTCTGGGAGAGGCGACACGCCCGATAAGATGCCCAAGTTCAGAACTCGTTTATGAAAATGCTGCAAAAATGAAGGACAATACAAATGACACCCTTATACATTGCACCAGATCACTGAGCATGCCGTAAAAGCTCGAATGTTGGTGTGAGGGTATCGTAGCCTCGGGTTGGCACATGGTGTAGAACTTTGGTTGCGAAGGATTACTTTGATGTGCCTTGGCATCAGAATACTATTCTATTCTTGATACGTCTCGACTCCAGAATATGGACTTGAGTTTTACCCGACTTTTCAGGAGCAAAAGAGCCGTGCCAAGGACGGACAATTGGAAAGCTCAACTCTGATCTAATGATTCCATAGACATCTCATTCCGCAGGATTGCACTCATCAACATAATTTGGAGATACGCTCTTTGGAGGCGGCCTGGCGAGGTGCCCATCATTTGCTGGCATAATACAGTAATACTTTGTCAAGGTTCAAGAACAAAAGAAGATTGTCTCGACTGTTCCAAGCATCCGTATCTGAAGTCTGGTATTGAGTTTCCTCGAGATCTCCGTCTGCGCATGTCGACTTAAATATCAAACTGGGTAGAAGGAGAGACTGAACTAGAGGAAAGGTTGAAGCAACTAAACAGCGTGGGACGTCTTCGCTACCAAAAGTCACCAGGATACCAAAACTACCAATGGGGCTTCAGTTCGTCGCAAGGGAGGTTAATTTGGACAAGACTGAAGTGCCTTTCCTGTACATCTGCCATGTACTTTCCAGCTGCCAAGAAATTCACCACAGGTGACACGTAGCTGATTACAGGGAGAGGGGAAAGGGACTGGAAATGAATTTGGAACTGTTTTCTGGCTCTTGCTGAAATACTTGAATGTGTCTAATTCTTGGGCAATTTCACCGAGAAAGCAGAAAGCTAAGGTCTCTAGACTCGATCAAAACGTCTTTGCTTTGATGTCTGTTTTTTTCCACGCCGTGCAAAGCCCTACTACTTCGCTACCTAGGTATGCGTCTTGAACCGAACTTCCATCAAATACAGTGAAGGCTCAACCTAGAGCCTGACACCTCGAAGCCAACTCCAATATTCAACAGTGCATAAAACGAAGAGGTGCAGAGTCCAACAGAAACAACGATCTGATCCCAAAAAATTTCTCTTCGAAAACAAAATCTCAACATAGCATAGCACTTGCCATATCTGACCTTTCCAAGATGCCCTTTCCACCACTGAAATAAATGTCAAGAAATAGTAAGAGCTTCCGTAACATCTGCTTGAAAACCAAGCAACAATCAATCGTCCATTCATCTATCATTCATTCGTTCATTGGTTCGCTCCATTCTAAAAACCCAATCGCTGTGTCCCATTCCCAATCCCACTCATCCATTCATTATGCCAAAACAGAAAAACCTCCCACAAGCAACAAACTAGCATCCTAACGACCGGGAGGAGGCGGTCTCGGACCAACGATTTGTCGTCGTCCCGCACCGATGCCCTGAGCTCCGCGGTTCTGACCATCACCGCCTGTATACCCAGTCCATTGATTAACGTCCCATTTGCCTCCAATGCCACCACCGATACCATCAACGCCATTTCCTTGCGGTACCTTGCTTTTAAGTTCCTTTTGAGATTCTTCCCATTCTTGTTGCCGTTGGCGCTCCATCTCCATTTCTCTTTCTAGGAGGGATTTAGATGCCCAGCCACCGGCCTTGGTCTTCTGTTGTGAAGCCATACGTCTGCGATCTTCGGCATCGCGTTCTGCTGAGCTGTCGAAGCCACCAATCTCGTTCGAGTAGGTGGTGGTAGGTTGAGATTGTTGCGGTGCAGGGTTGGAAGCTAGGTAACGGTCTGTTCGGCTTGTGTTTGGGGAGATTTGTTTCGGGGCTGCGTATTTTGTTGGGTCGGGAAGCGGACGTGAGGAAGGACCTGTGTTATTCTTTACTAGACGAACCGGTTGAGTCGGCTCTGGAAGAGGACGAGGAGATTTCGCTGGTGGTGGAGCATCGTGTGAAGCATTCCATTGCTTTCGCAGATAATCTCGCTCATCTTCTCGCCATGCTTCATCGCTGTTCTTCCGTGATGGTGCCCGTGGCCGACTTCGTGATCGGGCCCGTGTCTTGTTGTTCTCCTCCTTCATTCGCACGGTCATATCATGGTCCTCCACAACCTGGCGACTCCGTTGGTTCAATTTGGCTTGTCGCTCTCGCTCATATTGACGTTCTCGTTCGCGAGCTTGTTCAAGCTCTCGCTCCAACTCCTTGATTCGGCTGCTTTCCGAATTGTTGCCATTCGAAGCGCCATTTTCTGCATGGTACTGGCTGAGGAACTGGCCCCGTAATCGCGCATCGCTGTTCCCACGCATACGCTTGCGTTCTTCTTGTAATCGGGCTTCGGCCTCTTGTTCCTCTTGCTGTCGCCTCTCTTCCTCCAATTTCCATCTTCTCTCCTCTTCCTCCCATTTGCGCTTCTCTTCTTCGGCTTTTTGTCGCTCTTGCTCTCTCAATTTCCTCGTCTCATCCGCCCATCTCTGCTCCTCTGCGATACGAGCACGCTCTTCCTCAGCTTCTAGCTCCTCACGCTGTCTCCGCTCATCCTCTTCAGCCTGTATGCGTTGTCGCTCCTCTTCGGCCTCTTTCTCCTTTCTTCGCTTCTCCTTCTCTGCCATATTCGGAACATGCGGACCAGCACTTGTGATCTGCCGTCTGCCACCAAACGACACTCCTAAGTTGCCTTGACTCGCACCTCCCATATATCCATACTGCGCAATATTCCAAGCCGGGGCTGTAGCTCCTTCATCTGCCTTCTTACTCCAGCTACTGACTGATGGTGACAGCGGAGTGCCTTTTGTAGGACTCCATCTTCCACTGTTCGAATCGCCCGTCCTCGTAGGTGTTAATGAACTAACAGGTCTGACACCTGATCCGTAAGCCGAAGACCCATTACTAGCATTCGAAACTCCACGTCCTCGATTTCCATAGCTGCCTCCACCAACAAGACCTGATCCAGTGCCTTGAGGACTCATGATGCCGCCGCTGCGTTTACCACCGATAGGGGTTGGGAATTGAGAAGGATTGATTCGGTTTGCTGCTCTGCTGAATGCGCCAAGACATTGTAGGACTTGCGCCGGATCTTTGGCTTCGTATAAATCGACCGTAAGGAACATATCGTGCTCCTGGAGACCGAAAGGAGGCTTCCGACAAGCTTCGAGGAATAGCGCAATGTTTTCCATCTGTACGAACGGCATTACGGCTCTAGCCTTGAACCGCAGAGTGTTCGGCACAGCGAGATTGACCAACCTAGAACATTGCGGTCAGTTTACTGTAGATCCGCAGAATAAGAATGGAGGCCATACTTGCAAAGCGCAACTCCATCTTTGAGACCTGGCAAAAGATCCGCACTCGGGAGGGGTTCTCCAAGGGAGGATTCGATGAATGTTTTGGCTTCATTCGCAGCAGATTCGGTATATCTATCCAAGCGTAATTTGCGCATATCGCTGTCGAGGGAAGTGACAGAAGCCATGATTGCGATTTATTGTAGTGTAACTTGGTCCGGAGTCACAGAAAAAGTGCAACCTCCTGCTCTTGTGTTTATTGCGTGGAAGGCGCAGCGGCATGAACTAAACGCGGATTGCCGTCATTAGGCGCTCATTTGCTTATTTTGAGGCATTCATGCAGATTTCACGTGAGGAAAAATGTAATGGCAAAGCCAAAGATTATCGCTGTTTCGACAAATATTAATGTTATATACATGATTAAAAGCCTCCTCAATACTTTGTCCACTAGATACACGTAAGTCAGATTTATTACCACGTGCTGGAAGTAGGCTGTATCACGTGAAAGACAACCTATGAAAACTGCTCAGATTGAGACGGAAATGCTCTTCAAAATGATCCATACTCTTGAGACTTCGAGGAGGTCTATCAAGACAACTTGCCACTTCTATTTCTTGTTTACAAGCAATGTCATCCACGTGAGACAGTCTGACTGAAGCCTCAGGCTCATACTTATTATGTCAGCACGGTAGCCGTGCACTTAGACAAGAGCTACTCTCTTTGTATCAATCAAGCCTCCTCACCATCGGTTAAATGCTGATCAGTCCGAGACAGCGGGGAACAAGGATCCTTGGCCATCAGCATTATGTTCCACATTTATGCAATCAGTCCAATGAAGATCCTGGCTCTGCTAATCAGGACCCGGAGTGCTGTCTAACTGTCTTTGCTCTAGTGTGGTTCTCGTCCAGCTTGAATCGCAACTCCAATGAGAGCTCGAAGCTGTCGCCGCCTCCCAGTTAACCAGGCAAAGCAGCCTTTCCGTTCTTACATCTGAACTTCCGCCCTCAGCTTGTCCTTTTCTTTCACCCACACACACTCCTAATAAGTATCGTCTTCCTCTCACACCGCACCTCTTCTTCCTTTCCTTTTCTCCTTCACACTTCCCTCTTCACTCTTCACTTTTCTTCCCCAATTGACACCTTCCACTACCTCACTTTCTTAATACTTCTCATTCCGAAATTGTCAATCATGAGATACTTCGACCAATCTTCCTCACCTATTCTTGTCTTACCGCCTCAACTTCCACCACAAGTAAGTCTTCTTATCAACGCCAAGATGTGTCAAAAGCAATCATCCTTCCCATCCGGATCAAGTTCTCGAGAACGATTCCACCCTGCTCCTTCACCACGTCTGCCTTTGGCCTACCCTTAAAGCATTAGATACTAACAGAACTCAGCCAACCTTCAATATGGGGTCAACACGACCAACCTTCACTTCTCCATTCTCGAACGGCGCCCAGCAATCACCCCTCAACTCGTCGTGGTCGCACCTGACGCCAACACAAGCTACCCCATCTTCAGCAGCTGGCCGCAAGCGTTCACGCGATGAAGCCGCATCAAATCTCGAAGAAGATTACTTCCCAGTTCAACCACCAGCCGCCAAACCAGAACCAGAGAATGAGGAAGAATGGGAATACGGAGAGGGAATGACCTTGATCAGGAAAGGTGGCTACATTATCGAAGCCAGCAGTCAGACTGGTACATGGGCTGAAGAGAAGGCCGAGCAAGAGAAGGCAAAGGCGGCTGCTATACACGCACTTTCGAACGCGGGTCCCGAGCGACCGGTTCTTCGCGCCGCCAAGAGTCAAAGGCTGGATCTGAGTGCGACGCCCGCGATAATTGAAGAGGTCTCACAGAATGGCACACTTGTGTCACCAGGATCACCTGAACGTCACATCGAGCCCACTGTCGACGATTTCACTCGTCATCTGGGCATCGGATGGTCGTCAATCAACCAAGCAGATCTGGATATTCAAGCCGCTGCACGAGGCTGGGCCAAGTTCATCGAGAACCACTTCCCAGTCACCGACGCAAAGATCCGACTCCAAAGCAAGGGACTTGCAAGCTATTTGGTTGAGGCGAATGAGGGATATTTCCTGTTCGGTGAGGACTTGAAGCAAGGGAGACTTGTGAGCACGAGTTTGGACAGGACTTGGGTCAACCTTCAAGGTCCTGTTCCTGCATTTGAGGGCGACTTGGTGATGGAAGCTGGCCAAACTCCCAAGGTCGACGTTGATGTCCAATCAAGTGTCAATGAGGCGCACGTGATGAACGGGTTTGCGAGCGGGAATGGTCATCTCATGAATAACGGCCACGGAATGATGGATATGCAACATATAAACGATGGGCAGGATACTACGGGAACTACCATGGAAATGGACATGGATATGAGCTAAACGGCCATAATATAATGACATATTTGGGAGGGATACTTAAAATGGGGGATTACTTTTCAGCAGGAGTCTGGCTGGTTGGAATTGCATTTCGGGCACGGTTGGGGTGTTGTTCGTGAACGAACTTTGTAACAATAGCATAGGAGGGATGGGAGGATAGCTCTGGGTATCGGCTTCGGCGTTGGCTATTCAAGTAGCAGCAGCATCATCAGCATACGGTATATGAAGAGATAGTTTCAAAACCTCAAACAACTGCCACGTACCACGAGACTCGGAGAGAGGTGAGGGCATCATGTGATACCATCCTCGAGTGATCACCTGCAGCCCTCACTTCCAGCCCCTCCAGCAAGGGCCAACGACCGTCGTTGAAAAATAGCGCAAAATAATGCAGGATTTATGAAGGGGTGCACAAGCCAATGCAAAGCCGCGATCCTGCCCTCACTCTGCGTTCCCCTCTTGATTCGACCGACGCTGGCCGCCAATGCAAGAATTCTGCAAGCTGCAGTCAGTCCACTCGAACTCCCCAGCAGCGCACCGCATTTTCAGGTCGTTCTTCTGCCGGCAAGAGACTGGCCAGCACGGTCAAGGACAAGACATGCGATGCTTGTACCCGAACTAGAATCCGATGAATTGATTTGTGCAGATGCCAGCTGTGGTTCCGCAGACCATGCAGAGTTATTGGGTAAGGCGTCTTCTAAGGTTACGGCGGGCCAAGAACTTGCTTGTGATTCTCCCATCGCCACACTTGCTCGACCAAGCCCCGATGTGCGGTGCGGTGCGGTGCTGCGCTGCGCTTGAGCGCGATTGAGTGCTGAGTCTTTCAAGGGGGGAGCTGTGAGTGTAGTGTTGTGTTGTGTTGTGTTGTGCTGTTTTGCCTGTCCCTTTGTTGTTGAGAACCTTCGACGCGTTTCGTGAGCTCGAAGGAGTCGCCGAGAGACATCTACTGATTTGGTCTTGCTCTCTTTGCCTGCTGCCCCCGTCTCGCGAAAGAAAGAACCTCGGGGACGTGTACTGTAAAAGGTGGGAGTGCAATAATAATAAGAGGCAGGAACGATCGCGTGCTACGAGAAAGTGAAGAACTTGCCAGTGTATACGATCCAGGCGACTCGGTACAAATTTTTATCCTTCAGCTCCGCGCAAAGATGCTTTATTGAATAAGTATATCTCACCCCACCCTTTTCGCGATGCGATATACTGATTCTGAGCTGAAGGCTGTACAAACAAACGATGGTCTCACAGGTAGAGCCTTCTCAATCGCTGACCCTTCGAGGTCCCTCGTCCGTCGTTCCGCGATCCTCGAGACATCGACGGCATGGCAGGTCGCATGCTGGAGGTACTTCGTTCGTTCCGCAGAATGAGTTCCCCGTCTTCAGCCACACTGGCGATGTCGAGATCCTTGTGAAGGCTGGCTCCCACACGAATCGATATCTCCTACATAAAATAATACTGTCACAATGCTCTGGGTTCTTTGAGGCGAGTACAAGTCAAGAATGGTCGCAGTCTGCGGGTGGTGGAGGGGAATTGGCAAGGCTGGGAGAGGACTCGGGAAGTGAGTCAGCGAGGAGGAGTGAGGTCAAGAAGAAATGGAGATATGAGCTGGATCCCGGAGCTGATCAGAATGATATACCCATGCTGGTTAAGAAGGAGGGCTCACATTCTCTATTTGGGTCCAACGATGGCCCACCACCAGTTCGAAATAAGCCGCCGTCGTCGAATCCTTCTTTCTTTCGCTCAGTCGCAAACCTCTCACTCTCAGCTCCAACTCATGCACCTGCTCCTCTATCTCACGAAGATCAAGACCTCCTTAATGACTACGACAATCTCTTTCGAATCTTCTACAATTACCCTCCGACCCTCGACCCAATCGACATAGCCATTGCCTACGTGCAATGCAAATCTCTCCTTACGTTGGCAGATCTCTACGACGCACTCGCTGTCGTAGGACCTAGAATCGACCATCACCTTCTTCAATTCCAATCTCGACTCTGGAAACAAATCGCCAAATACCCCTCTTCTTACCTGCGAATCGGCTATCTCTCACAATCCAAGACCATCTTCCAAGAAGCTCTCATTCATGTCGTAGGCGCATGGCCAGTAGGAGAACGTCACATCCGTCATCAACTCCCTGACACAGTTCTCGACATCATCGAAGACAAAGTCGAGGATCTCTCCGACTTGGTTGGTAAAATCGAAGGACGACTATTTCGTCTCACCCTCCTAACTCCTCGAGGCGAACGAGTAGGACCACAAAACTCGTACATAGATTGGTTAGCAGTCTCACTCTTTAGACAATGGCTAGCAGAAGCCACATCTCCACCACCGACACCACCGGCTCCTCGATCTCGGAGCGGAAACGGACACCATACACGCAACAACACAGTCCAAGTCCCCAACACCAACACGACCATCCAACAATACTCACCGCTTCCTGCTCCATCCGACATATCCACGAATGCACCAAACCCGAACCTCGGCCGCGTATTCCGCATCATCGGCTCTCTCCCCTCAACCTATCTCCCACACGAAGAATGCAAACGCTTCTTGAAACTAAGCCCAGACATCTATTCCCGCGAAAGCTTGAAGAAGTTCGAAAAGAGGCTCGATGAGCTTAAAGGCCTAGCGAGGGAAATTGTTAGACCATTGATGAGGTGCTCGTTGCTGGGTAGCGGAGAGGGTGTTAATTACTTAGTTTGCACGAAGGTTGGAGAGAGGGATTTCCCTTGGAGTGAGTAAGACAAAGAATGAACAACAGATACGGCGAAACGGCACATACAGCATTCACGAGCGTCATGATACCATAGCAGCAGATTATATAGCCAATTTTTTCATTTGTTTGTATGTAGGAGCATGGTGGATGGATTTCTTCAGATAAGGGGAAACGCGAGTACATGTTTGCTTGGATACCCTCTAGCAGGAGTAGGAGTTTGGGATCTCTCTTATTAGGTTGATAGGTAGCATAGTAATGAGATGATATAACTTTACTCTTGGGCTGAGGTGGCTGATCGTGAGGAGCCGGGACTTTAATGCCTCGACGAGCCGTATAAGAATACAAACAACCGCGGGAGAACTACTTAGCTCTTGACACTAACTATTTCACGCATGCACAGTTATCAGGATCAAAACTTGTTCTTCAATTATCATCCAATCTAGTCCAGCCAAATCTATAACTCCTAACTCCCCATCAACACTTACTCCAACTCCAGTCTCAACCCACATCCCCTCCCTCCCTTAATCCGCACTCAAATCCACAACCTCAACCTCGCTCAACCTCCACCTCCTCTCCCTCTCTTCTCCCTTCCCTACTTTCTCACCTCCAAAAACATCATCCTCATCCTCATCGGCATCAACCTCAATCTCTTTCCACGCCCCAGCTAAACTCTTCCTTGGCATGATGAATTTCTTTTTCTTCTTCATTTCTACTCTTCCTCGCAGCTCGAATGATTCAGCCGTCGTTGGTCTAGAACTCTGCATCGAGACCGAAGCAGAAGCAGAAGAGGAGGAGCGTAATTCGGCCAGGGATGGGAGCTCGGGACTTGAGGTTTGGGACCTGTGGTTCTCTGTCTCTGTATGCTGAGTATTCTTCGAGGCGGAGAAGTTGAGGAGTCTAGCCACGGGTTCAGGGGTGTGGGAATGGATCGAAACAGGGTGATCGGGCGAAACTCTCTTCCTAGGCGAAGGATGGTCCGGATCCCGGGTCTTGCTGGGTGTAGATGGGTCTTGAGTTCGGCGGGAGCGGGGTCTGGTGATTGTTACTGTGTTTGGGAGGTCGAGATTTGGCTCTGGAGATGGAGTAGGAGAGGGAATGGGGGAGTGTTGGTGTTTTGTCCCGTTTGATGGTATTAGAGAGAGGTTTGGTGAGCGTGGTGAGAGGGGTGTAGGAGCAGGTGGGCTGCTGGATGTGATGTAGCATGGCGAGGGGGGCCTGAAGATTGCTACGGGGGTGGATGATGGAGTGACAGTGTTCTTGGTGACTTTTGGGAGGTTCTGAGGGGATGAACTTGCTCGGGCTATGGTCCATGGATTGGTGTTGGGTTGTGGTTTTGTGGTAGCTGTGGGTTTGTTTCGAATCCTTGTGGTTGTCTTCGCTGGTTTTGTTGCAAGAGAGTCGGTGTTTGTTCGTGCGGATTCGTCAACTATTGCAGCTCTGCTGGCCTTAGTTGTTGGTAAAAATTGTGAGCGTTGTTGTGGTCTCAACCTAGGCGCAAGATATACTGGAGGCAGATCTGGCTCAGGAGATTCTGCTAGCTCTCTGGAAGCTTCTGACTTCTCGTTCTGTTTGGTGGGCTTGGTAACGGCTACAAACTTATCCATAGCACCCTTGGGCATGGCTGCCTTCTTGGCAGCAGCTTTCGCTTTGAGGAATTTCCTTGGATTTCGCAGAGATTCTTTATAGTCTTCTACTTTCAATGGCACACCAAGCTTCGCAATCGTTTCTGGCAGCCATAGCTTGTCCGGCTGAGTGGGATCATAGGTCGATGGCCCTCGTCTCCCTGGGCTCTTTGATGTATCTCTGTCTGACACATCTAAATCCCCATCATCAGCATTATTGGTGGCCAGACCACTTCTGCCAAAGTCTACCGCATCATCATGTTCGGCATCCAGGTCAATTCCAACAATATCGATTGGCGAATAGACCACTCTCAGTTCCTTGATGCAATCGACAGTGAAGTGGTTCCTGTTGCCGCAAATAGCGCGAACAAGCTCCATCTCGTTCATCGCTGTGAGTACTAGATCACCATAGCCAGAATCTCTTCGATCGCCTCTTAGACGAAGTTTGTGGACTAGAAGAGCAGGAGCAAGATTTCGAATGAACTTCCTCGCTCCTATCTTGTTGGTCCAATCAAAAGCTTCGCCCACAAACTGTCGAAGACCTTGAATGTCGATCTCTCCATCCCATACGATCTCATCTTTCATTTTCTGTACTTTGAGTGCCGAGGAGACAACTGGATTGGTATAATACCCCAGCACCTCTCGGTTTGGAAAGTTTTCCGGGATGGTCAATGTCTTGTGTTTAATCCGGAAATACTTGCTCTCGTTCGTTCGGATTTCGTGGGCTAAATTACCTCTCCAAGTTGCTATACCCGCGACATCGTTATTTGCCAACTTGCACAAGGAGTTTCCGAAACCTGCTCGAGCAGCTTCACATGCAACCTTGATACCACAATGCGGAATGCCCTCGGTTATATAATCACCACCACTCATAAGGGCGACTAGAACCATTCCTTCTCGGTCGAGTCCAGATTTGCCCTCTTTGGTTGCTTTGGCATCGTACACTGATACGTGGGTGGGAGATTTGTTCCCTCGTGTGCCTTCAGAGGACCAATTCCTAAAGGTCAAGCCACATCCAAACATGAGAGTATCGACATCTTCGCTAAGAACAGCGTCCACAATTCCATCTCTTTGCAGCAAAGCACATTCAGCTTCAGCTTCTCCAGGAGCCATATGGTAAGGATAGCCGAACAAAGCAAGCATTTGCTTCGTCATAAGATTTGGGACACAGGCGCCATGATGACCTGTCTTCTTGCCGCGCTTAAAAGGTGGCTTATGAGGCCCATCGAAGACAAAAAGAGGCTGTACGGAGAATGAAAGTAGTCGAAGAAGACGATAGTAGAAGGTACGAATTGCGGGGTTGCTTCCTCCTTGACCTGCTAGAGTCTGGAATTGCCAGATGGACACATCGATTGCCACTCTTAATGGTCGACCTTCCTTCTCCAACTTCTCAACAGCCAGTTTTGAAAGGGAAATTCTCTCCCCTGGACCAATTTCTCCATAAATTCTAACGAATGGTTAAAACTGCTAATGGACAAGAGTGGCAAACGAACCCTTTGATACCCATGACTTGGAGCGTGCTCCAGATGCCAGAATTTCTCTCCAAAAAATTATTATCTCATAATTACAGTATGCTATTACCAATACAAGCAAGGAGAGCAATTTGTCGTTGTCGAAAAGCAATACACCTCTAAAGAGTCGTGATAGCTTCGGGAGCAAAATCGTGTGACTTCTTATCGTTGGCTAGGGAACGGATTGCGATAGGAGCACGCTATAACGTGACTATTATTAGACAGCACATTGAGTACTTATTTAGAACTGAATAAAGGAAGACGCCCTTCAGTGACTGGTTCTTTGATAGGACCTAAATTAATAGAGAAACAGGTCTTGATCAATATAGTATATCTATGAGCAGCTCTACCTTTTGAGCTTCTTGTTCTCAACCTACCTCTCTGACGGTACCGAAAATCAGAGCATGAGCACAAACTGAATGCAGTATGGGAGAGAACTTGTAAATCGAGACGTAAATACAATGATAGTGTATGCTTTGGTCTCCCAATTATCCGGACTTTCATAAGAGGCCACTGATCGTGATCTCGCGTTGTTCGACGCGCGAAGTTCGCTAAACTGCATTTTGACTCTGAGTCCAACCTACCACAAACACAACAATCAAGCCTTTTCATTCCCTATGGACTGTGCCGACACATTCTCCTAATTCAAATGTAGCATTATGTCCAATCCATCCGCCCCCGCCGCTCACCGCAACGTGGCCAGCATCCGCTCTCCAGGGTCCAACAATACCGGCGCACCAGCAAGTCCCCATACTCCTCTCCGCAACATCTCTTCAGCATTCGGCTCTCCCTCTGCTCTACGCGCCGAAGAAGAGACTGTGATCTTTGAGCTAGGCACCCGGTATCTGCGAGCAGGATTTGCAGGAGATGCCGTGCCCAAAGCCGTGATTAATTTCGGACCTGAGGAGCAGAGACGGGCTGGTGACTATAGGAGATGGGGGACGAACTATGACAAGTCTGCGGCGAAGGGACTGCAAAGTAAAAGCTGGGGAGAGGCGTGGGAGCTTTGGAAACTGGATTTGAGAGATTTGGATATGGGATTGGTTGGGGACAAGCTGGATCGAGCTGTGAGGGATGCTTTTACAAAGTCAGTAGTTGTATAAATTGTGGTGAGCCTATTGCTAAATGAGGTTTACAGATTCCTCCTGATCGATTCCAGGCCAAGGCGGCTATCCTTAGCTATTCCATCAACCCTACCCCTCCCACTGCTCTCTACAATACTTGATACCCTCTTCAACAACTTCCAACCACCAACCATATCCTTGCTATCGGCTCCTGTTCTTACCACCGTAGCTGCCGGGCTACGGTCGGCTCTGGTTGTAGATATAGGATGGGCAGAGACGGTGGTCACAGCTGTCTACGAGTATAGGGAAGTGCAATGTCGACGTGCCGTAAGAGGTACTAAGTTGTTGGGTGAAGCCACGTACAAGGTACTAGCAGAAGCAGCCGATTTAGCTGAAGCTATGTCAAAAGACAAGCCGGCAGACGACAAGTCCGAGGATGACAATAAAGCACATCCCAGTTTCGAGGAATGCGAAGAGATTATGGCTCGAGTCCTGTGGTGCAAAGCTGCGAAGAAAGACGAGCCTAGAAGATTCGATAGAGGTCTCACGCCTGTCACCGAGGAAGACGAACTCCGATCCAGCATGAGGATGATGAGCATAAGTGGACAATCAGATGATGACTCCACGATCTCTATACCGTTAACTTCGACAGAGCCTCCCACAACTCTCAAGCTTCAATTCGCCGACCTAGCAGAGCCATGTGACACTGCCTTATTTGCTACTGACACGACCGAGACAGAGCTAGATGACGAGGAGTTACCTCTGCATTTACTCGTATATAGAAGTTTGCTTCAACTACCAGTCGACGTTCGCTCTATCTGTATGTCACGAATTGTTTTCGTTGGTGGTGGTTCCAACATACTTGGATTGAAGGGCCGAGTCCTCGACGAACTTGCTCAACTGATCGATGAGAGAAGTTGGGATCCTGTAAGGGGGAAAGCGGCAGAGCAGTACCGCAACAACCCGAAGCTACAGCGGACGAAACTTAGACAGAATGGACCAATAGAGGTTCTCCAACAGAAGGATTCAAACGGCATTCTCATAATTCCAGCACACATTCAAAAGCAAGAGGATGATCCGATCGACGAGCAGTTGAAACGCGAAGCCAGGAAGGGATTACCAGACGTTGAGTCTGGAAACTTACGTGCCGTCAACTCACTTGGAGCCTGGTCTGGCGCAAGTCTGTTATCGCAAATGAAAGTTCCAGCTATCTCGATTATTGATCGAGAGCAATGGCTTCAGCATGGTGCTGCTGGGGCATCTAAATCTACGGAGATTGACTTGACCAACAGAAGGCAAAGCATGGGTCCGGGTGCAGCATTCAAGTCTGGTGCAGGAGACAGGTCAAGTTGGACCTTGGGGTTGTGGGGATGAAGTTGGAGCTGATGTAAAAGTCGATTCAGTGCCTAAAAAGATACCCATTTGTACTTTACAAGAGCAATATGGCTCCAACCTAGAAATGCTTTCACATGAAAATACAAGCAAGTACGTGACGCCGTGAAATTCAAACACGAGCGAAAAGTATATGAAAATGTGATGTCAATTAACTCTACATGCCATTGGATACATCCTGGAGCTCCTTTGATTCACAGAATTCTGTTTTAAGGCCTCAAAGTCTGATTTCTGCAGTGGCCTGACAATTTCCTGATCCCAGCAGCTAAAAAGCTCCCATCGCGAAGCTCCCCCTCAAAAATTCCAGAGCTCATCTCGTCAGCACTATGCCACCACCACGGCGTCCCATCCCCTTCACCTGCCTCCAATGCCGTCTCCGACTCCTCCCACAGCTTCTGCGAAGCTCTTTTCATACCACACGGCCTCTGCAGGCTGAACCTCCACGCCCTTCCACCGCACCCAAAATCTCCGTCGATATAAAGCACATCCGCCAGAATGCTGCATTATACGAACAAAACTGCTTGGACCGGAACTATAAAACCCAATCGACATATCCTACGCGTATAAACTCTCTATATGAGCAATGGCACAATCACCAAGCGTCTGCGAGAGCGTTGCGGGAACGTAACAATAGGTTAAAGCTCCAGCTCGCAAACCCGACTACATTACGGGATGAAGATTCCGTGGAAGCGAAGGGGTTAAGGCAGATGAGCAAGCAGGAATTGATTGATGAAGCTAGGACGCTGAAAGAGAAGATCGGTGGGATAGAGGACCAGGAACATACGATCATGGCAGATATTGAGAGTCTCGCTGCATCGATACCGAATTTGACGTCTGACGAGACGCCCAGAGGGACTGAACCCAAGGTTGTGGGTTTTATAAATTCGCATCCGGAGCCTGATCCTTCGTCCTCTGATCGAGTGTGGAGGAGTCATGTTCATATTGGTTCTGAGCTGAATCTTTTGGATTTCGCAGGCGCTGCTACGACGAGTGGATGGGGATGGTATTCCCTGTTGAACGAAGCTGCGATGCTGGAACAAGCTCTAGTACAATACGCGCTGAGTGTGGCTCGGAAGAAGGGATGGGGAATGGTCACGCCGCCGAGTATGGTGTACAGTCACATAGCAGCAGCATGTGGCTTTCAACCTCGAGATCAAAATGGAGAGCAGCAGATCTACAACATCCAGCAAAATCCAGCCGATGTTGGGAGGAAACCGGAATTAAGTCTGGCAGGAACAGCAGAGATCCCCTTAGCTGGCATGAAAGCAAACACCACATTAGAAGAGGCAGATCTACCTCTGAAGCGTGTTGGTGTTTCGCGGTGCTATCGTGCGGAAGCTGGTGCAAGGGGTGTGGATACGAAAGGTCTATACCGAGTCCACGAATTCACAAAGGTGGAGATGTTTGCCTGGACCATGCCATCGAGCGAAGCTTCAACGGCAGTATTCGAAGAAATGGTATCCATCCAGACAGAGATCCTGACAGCACTAGGTCTCCATTGCAGAATCATCGAAATGCCTTCCACGGACTTAGGGGCTTCGGCAACGCGAAAACGGGACATTGAAGCTTTCTTCCCTTCACGAAGGGCAAAAGATGAGGGGTGGGGAGAAGTCACTTCTGTCAGTACTTGTACAGACTATCAATCACGGAGATTGGCTACGAAAGTAGATGTTAGGAGCATGGGAGGAAAGACCGCGTTTCCCTATACTGTGAACGGAACTGCACTTGCAGTGCCTAGAGTACTAGCTGCCATGCTTGAAAATGGTTGGAATGAGAGCAGGCTTGAGGTCAGGATACCAGAAGTTTTGTGGCCGTGGATGGATGGCCTGAAAGTTATCAAGCAGAAGGAAAGGCTACGGTAAAATATAGGTGTAGTAGAATGTACAACTTTATGTCCCAACATAATCTTAACTTATGTGCCAAAGTCATTCTTGGTTGTTTCGCCCGCAATTTATACCGCTCTTAAGGTTGTTTTGTTGCACATCGCAGACGGACCACGAGGCGTAATCGACAACGAGGAGTAGACGAATACGACTCCTCGACGGCTACGACTCCTAGACGACTATGACTATACATGGACTACAGACAAGCTATAGATAGGCCATAGACATAGATATAGGTGCGGCAATAGGCACATTGAAGTCTCTACCTAATAATTTACAATATGGCATTAAGTTTATCGTTGGAAGTGATAATGGATGTCTAAATCGTCAGCAATTCCATCGGCCATAACAGCTGGAACGCCTTTGTTAGGTTTTGAGTGATACCATGAAATTTGGGATACAATATATTATTCCAGAATTTGTTGGATAATCACATCACTTGCGGTGGATCGAAACCTGGAAAGTCTTGTGTAATAGGAGAAGAATCCATTATAATCGCTAAAACGCTATTCATCAATCAATCAGTCATGATAACTCCCCTCATCACAAGACCATATCATAATTTTTGCTCGCCATCCTCCACAAACAAGTCGCCCCTTTACCGAAAAATGTCCTCCGACGAAAATAAATACAAGAAGACAATAGACCGCCCATGCATAAGCATATACACTAAACAAGTTGTCCTCCTTCCTCGTAAAGGACCATAGTTGACTCTGGTTCTTCAACAGGCTCGTCTTCCGGGTCGGGGTCAAGGTCTTCACTCCCGGATATGCTACCTGTCCACTCCGTGCTCTCATCGATACTGTCGCTCACTCCAGTGCCTGTCAAGATCGTCGTGCCGCGACTACTTCTTCTCATCGTCCCACTGTCACTAATATCTCCCTCGCTTTCTTCAACCTCATCCTCTTCGCTCTCCTTCAATGCTAAATTCTCCTTATTCAGATCACCGTACTTCTGGCTCAGAGATCCTCCCCAACTTGATTTCCTCAAAGCACCGGCGCCGGTTGAGGTCTTCACACTATGACTGCGCTTGAAATTTCCAGTGGGCACGTTATGTGTGATCTGATTAAGCGACAAAATGCGTCTCGAGGCGGCAGGATTGACAGGCACATTCACCACAGCACGCTTGCCACTCATGGCCATGCTGACAGCACTCTGTGTTGATTGCGATGCTCTTGAGGTTGCGTTGGAGATGGTAGAACCTGTCGTTGAAGTAGCTTGACTCGGAACACGCTTACGACTCATTGCATCTCGACCTTTGTTGCTACCTCTGTTGACGAGTAGAGCACGCGAGTGATCGATGACACCTTCAAGGATGCGACGCTCAAGACCTTCGGCTTGTGCTTCCATAGCATGCAGTTCCTCTCGGCGGATGCGCAAGGCAGTTTCGAGACTTGAGACATCTGCTGAAAGACGCAGCTTTTGATGCGCGAGGTCTTCTTGCTCAGCTTTGAGAATCGCGACAGATTCCTTGAGGCGTTCCTCCTCCTCTCGAAGACCGACAACAGTACCTTCAACATGCTCCTTCTGGGCCAAACGCTTCTCAAGAGCAATAGTAGCGGCTTCAACAGCCTTTTCCTTGTCCTCATGATCATTGGCAATACGCTGAGTTTGGATGGAAACAAAGTCAGAGACCTCGGCGGCAGTTTTCATGACCTGTTGATGGATTTTATCAAGCATTTCGAGCTGAGCGAATGATTTCTCGGCCGTCTCGCTATGGTCAACGAGTTTGTCCAACTTCTCATGAACCGGTGCATAGTCGCAGTTATCGACAAGTTTGTCCAGTTTCTCGTGAACTTGAGTGAAATCCGATTTTTCAACAAGCCTATCCAATTTCTCATGGATTTGGGAGTCATCGTACTTTTCAACTGGAGCCTCTTTTAAGAGTGGCACGTCAGGTGGTGGAGGGCGTTCCGCAATCTTCTCCTGAAGTGTGACAGATGATTCCTTCGAATGCTCATAGTGTTGACCCACGATAGAAAGGACATCCTTGAGAGAGTCGAGGATCTTGGGATTATACTCTTGAACGTTCTCTTGTACACCTTCAATAGCGCTCAAGGTCTTGAATACTTGTTCTCTGGTCAACTGATGTTCGGACTTAGCATCGGCATGAGTCTCCTCAACTCGCGTGAAAGTTTCGTCGACCCTGTTGAAAACGGTTTTGCCAGCCTCATCCATCTTCTCAACAGAATCTGTGAGAGTAGTACCTAGTGTATCGATGAGAAGCTTCACTTCTTCTGCCACGGCTTTGGCAGCGAGAAGAGCAGCTTCGGACTCGGCACTTTTCTCTTCGCCAAGTCGAGTTTGGATCTCTGCCGCGGCTTGGGCGTCCTCATACTTGGTCATGAGCTCGTCGAACTTTTCGTCAAGCTTTGAGTCGAATTTGTCCCAGGTAAGTTGAAACTTCTCGTCCGATTCCAGCTTTGATCCCACAACACCTGCGTTTGATTTCTCGAATTCATCTTTCATGGCCTCGAACATCTCTTTAACAATATCGCTGACGTTGGCGTTCTTGTTGATAGTTTCACCGAGTCCTTCGAAGATCTTGGCTAGATCATCTACACTAGACGCACCTTCTTCCAGCTTTTCCTTCAGGGAATCCTTCAAATCTTGTAAGAACTCCTTGATTTCTGACACCCGTTCACCGACGCCAACAGTTTCTGCTTGACGTTCTTCAAAGGCTTTTGCATTCTTTTCTTCGTGGACTTCCACCCGACCCTTGAACTCTTTGACCATCTCTTCCATATTTTTGAAATCCTCTTTGGAGGCCAGATTCCCAATGTCAGCCAAGACTCGTTGCTCAATGGCGACCTTGATATCGTGACAAATAGACTCGACGGCTTCGACATCGGTCTTAGTGACTTTCTCGAGGTCATCCGACTCTTCTGCTGCTTTGTCTTTCATTTCCTGAAGACCTCCAAGGACGTCTCGAACCAGGGTTTCGATGTTGTTGATATCATCACGCTTTGACACGTCTTCCAATTGTGTTGCCAGCTCAGTCAGTGTCTCCCGAGTTTCGAGGATGAGAACTTCAACAACATCAAGATGCTCTTTCTTCACTGCTTGCTCGGGGTCCATCTCGTCGATCTTGGCCTTGGTGTTACGGAGAAGTGTCTCGATAGCTTCCATATCTTCGCGCTTGACATTCTCCTCGTCCACGGATTTGTTTTGACCTGAGATGTTACTGACAGACTCGTGGACATTACGCAGCATTTCGTGAACAGGTTCCAAATCCTCTCTAGACAATGATCCTGGAATGGGTTGAGGAGGTGGAGGAGGCATCGACTCCAGGGCTTCCACTTTGATTCGTAATTGAGTAATTAGCACTTCAAGATTCTCAATGTCGTTGCGCTTCAAGCCTTCTGCAGCAACGACGGCGCCGCTGTTGATCTCTGCTACTGTCCGGTCTTGGTCGCCATTCTCACGGAGACGATCAATATCAGCTCGAATGCCTTCTAAGCCCAGCTTGAGGGTATCCAAGATCTCGTAATTAACTGTCATGTCGACCGGCTTATTGCCCAGATTCTCGACCTCGGTCCGGACTGCATTGAGCCCGTCATGGAGAGCATCAAGAATTTCACCTGTACCGGAAAGAATGCTTTCGTTACTGTCCCGTGGTCTCTCAACCTCTTCACGAATACTATCAAGGCCTTGCTTCAAGACTTCAATAATTTCATCCTTGTCAGCACCTTCGCTGCCTCGAACAAGGGAAGTGGTCATCGTCTCTCGAAGTTGCTCAAGTTCTCCTCGAAAGATTTCTAAAGGAGCATTTGACCCCTGAGCAGAGAGCAATTCGACTTCTGTACGCATATTGTCGAAACTTTCACGCATTCTGTCCAGTAATTCATCTTTTCCGTTGATATCAACGGCTCGATCAACGTACTTTTCGATATCATTGCGTAGTCTTTCAAACCCGTCTTTCGTCGCATCCAGCAGCTGTTCCGTGTCACGGCCGTTGGCGGCAACATTTTGCTTGGCTTCTTCCGAGACAGCTTTGAATTCCGTTCGCATGGTCTCCATGATCTCCTGCAAGCGCTCCGAAATGACGCTCGAGAGGTTTCCACCCACCTGAGGAGAACCCTCAAGACTAGCCTTCACCGCGTCGTACACATCATCTTTGGTCAGGACTTCACCGCCTTCTCGAGTTAAGGAGTTGCTTGCGTTTGCAGGAAACTCAAATGACTCCAGACCTGACTTTACGGCATCGATAATATCGTCTTGGTTGATGTGGGCGCTGTGCACTTGCGGGGTGTCCTCGATCCCAGCTTTGACAGCATCGTAGACATCCTCCTTCGTTAAAGTCCCGCCAACTTCACGAGTTAAGGCAGTGCTCGTAGTTGCGGCAAAGTCGAAAGAGTGCAATGCGTCCTTGATGGCATCAATAATTTCATCGCGCTCCATACGACCACTGACTTCTCGGCTTAAAGCTGTGGTGTTAGCGGCGAAATCGAAAGAACGCAAGCTCTGGGTAACGGCATCGACGATTTCATCGTGTTCGAGGCGCCCACTGACTTCTCGGCTTAGGGCGGTGGTGTTGGCAGCAAAATCGAAAGATCTGAGACTTTGTGTAACTGCATCAACAATCGAATCATGATCAAGTGATCCTCCCATATCTCGACTCAGAGCTGTAGTGTTTGCCGCGAAGTCAAATGACTTCAAGCTGTGCATAACTGCATCGATAATGTCTTCTCGCTGCATACGATCGCCAGCGCTCACGCTGGTCGGAAAGTCAAAGGTGTGCAGACCTTCCTTTACAGCATCGAAAACATCATCTCTTGTTACAGCTTCCAAGGATCCTCTTGTCAAGGCAGTAGAGTTGCTTGACCCGAAGTCAAATGACTGAAGACCTTCCTTAACAGCCTCGAGCATCTCGTCCCGGGTTATGCTATCACCAACTTCTCGAGTGAGAGCATTGCTGTTGCCGGTGAAATCTGTTGAATCCAGAACTTCCTTCACGGCAGTCACAACTTCATCTCGTAAGACTACAATGGCCTCTCCGCTCATAGTCGTAGTTGACGTAGGGAACTCAAACTCGTGGAGACTCTCCTTCACAGCATCAAGGACGTCCTCCCTCGACAGTCCTCCAGGTGTAAAGTCGAAGGTGTGCAAGCCTTCCTTAACAGCATCAAACATGTCATCTCGGCTTACGCCTTCGGTGGGAAAGTCGAACGTATGCAAACCTTCCTTCACGGCTGCAACCATGTCGTCTCGAGAGAGTGTCTCTGGGACTTCCCGAGATAAGATGCTATTGATATTTGGAAATTCAAATCCATGCAGGCCTTCCTTTACGGCGTCGAGCATATCGTCTCTTGTCAAAGACTCGCCAACATCTCTTGTCACGGCAGTGGTGGTGGCTGGGAAGTCAAAAGTGTGTAAGCCTTCTTTCACAGCGTCCAGCATGTCGTCTCGCGTAATTCCAGTTTCTAGAGGTTCCGGTGCAGGTGCGGATGGAAACTCGAATTCTTCGAGGCATTCTCTGACAGCATCGAGGATCTCATCGCGTGTGAGACCTGGTGAGGGCTCTATACGAGGAGGTGAAAAGTGCTTCAGGCCTTCAATGACAGCCGCAAAGACCTCATCGCGAGTAGCTCCTGGTTCTCGGTCTGCCGGAGCATATTCTTGGATACCCTCTTTCAGACACGTCAACAATTCTTCTCTCTCCAATCCGAACTGTTGAACCTCAATATCAGGCTTGTAGTTCTCCCAGGCCTCCTTGACTGCTCGAATGATATCCTCTTTCTCTAGATCCGGACTACGTGACTCGTGGTCTTCATTAATGGCACTGCGTACTGCTTGATATATCTCTTGATAATCGACAGCATTGCGTGTGGCATCAGCTGCAGATTGGCGGCGATGTTCGCGGAGTATCTGGTCCATGTGCTCCTTCAACGTTCCCAGGCCATCTTGCACAATCCGTGCAATTCTCTCCTTGCCTGTTGCACCATCCTTTGCCGATTCAGCAGTTGCTTGGTCGATCTTTCGGCCCATTTCTCGTCCCATCCCAAGCACTTCTCCACGAAGCTCTCGCACTAGAGCTTTGACCTCAGCTGTGAGTCCTCCTCCTTGGGCGACACTGTCCTTGATGCTTCGGATAAGCTTCACAGTCTCTTCGTTAATGGCCGCAGCTGCAGGACTACCGACGTTCTCCTTGTTTGCAAGCAAAGCTCCAACTCTCTGTGTCATGGGTCCAGATCTTGCTTGATCGAAGTCCAGTTCCAATCTTGGAGCTTCACCAAAGCTAAAGTTACGAGCTCTGTTGTTGTTGTTGGCGCCGCCTCCACCTCCAACGTTCTGAGGCACAATAGCATGCGACGTGCTAGATTTAATGAGATCCAGTAAATCGTCCAGTTTCTGTGCAGTAGCACTTCCGTCTCTTGCAAGGAGATCAGCAACTGCTTGCAATCGTGAAACTAGAAGTTCTTGGCCTTCCTTTGTGCCCATCTCGCGGAGAATCTTTTCTAGAATAGCGATGCTAGCCATTCCTTCGGGATTGTAGACACAAGGACTTCCAATAGACTCCCTGCCTAGAGACTCCGCGAAGCTATTTGGACTCGGAATTCGTGGTAGAGTGAACGGCTTGACGGCATTTGAGGAGGAGCCTGGCGAATTGATTGCCCTAGAAGAGTTGGGTGAGCCGTGGGCTTTGTTGTCAAGATACAGAGAGCCATGTCCAAATAGGTGACTTGGAGGCCGAGAACCATGCTCGGAGAGATTTGTGACGAGCTCTCGAAGGCTCTTTCGGATGTCCTCATCGCGAGCATTGGTTGCTTCCTTCAAGCTGACCAGATCCGTAGCGTTATCCTTACTTCGTCTACTCAGTTGAGCCATCTCTCTCTGTAATGCTGTAGCAATGCTAGTCAAACTCAAAATCTGATTTGAAATTGCATCAAAGGTCTGAGGTGTGCGAACCAGCGCAGTTGATCCATTCGTGACATTAGAGAGAGGGGCCTCAACGTCCCTGCTGGCCATGTTTTGAAGAGCTAGCATCGTCGCAGACTGGGGTGGCGTGTTCTCTCCCAGGATGCTTTGTGGTGGTCTTCTTAGTGATGGTCTCAGTGCTGGCGTATCTCGACTCGGAGGTTCGTGAGGTGTGGGTGTTCCTGATCGACTTGAGCCCTTCTCCGGTGATCCCTCCAGCAGAAGTACTGAGCGCCGTGAATCTCTTTCAGGCGATTTCTCCGGAGACTGTCCGTCTAGGAAGAAGTCTTTATTTGTGTGTGGTGTAGAGGGTCGTACCGAAGCTTTCTCGGGGGACCTCGAGCCAAACGTTGAGCCTCCTTCTAAAAAGCTACTCAGGTCTCTGACGTTTCCTGTCTGGAGAGATTGCATGCGCTTGTGAGCAGCTCCCTTTATAAGAGACCGCTCTGGGGATTCGAGTCGCTTTGGAAGTGGGTTGGTGATGTAGCCGTTTTCTCGGGCCTTTTCGGTCAGGGCTAGATGGGCAGATTGAATAGCGCTCGATGTGTTTGGTCGAGAAGTACTGGTAAGGGGTGATGAAGGATTCATAGGTAGTGGAGGAGGTGCGCGTTCTGGGTCAGAGCTGTCCCACCTGTGACATTCATAGTTAGCATCGTGCCTGCTCTGGAACATTGGGAATACTTGCATAGGGACAATGGCTCTGCCAGTATCTGAAGAGGAGGAATGTTGATGTTTGAGATGTCTTTCTCCATCTCGGGAGGCGTCCCTCTCTATCGACGGCATAATGGCAGTATTATAGTCGTGGAATGTAGAATGGAATGCGGACGTTTAGAACGTCGATTGATCTTAGGGTGAGACCAATCTGCAGGAATGGTTTGGATCCCAAGCAATAATGATTGAGAGAGCCCCGATGGTGTATGTGAAAGTTATGGGAGCAAGGGTTTGCGATGTGAAGAATTGAATTGCAAGGTTGATTTGGATATATCAAAGGGTTCGATATGTTGACTTCGGGCGAAAGTAAACAAACACGATGCAGGGATGACACGGACGAAAAGGAGCTAACCGGATCCGCGCCTACAACCACGACAACGGATAGCAGCATGTAAAATGACGTGGCAGGAGTTGGTGAACACTTGTCGAGTCTACTCTCAACTGACAACCTGTTCATTACTTTCGCATTGTCTCACGAAGCGCATAACACGATGTAATGTGTTGAATATTTGCAGGTCACGTGGTTATTTTGCATGTAAATTGACCCAAGTTACCAAGTTGAATGGGTCAATGAAGCTTCTAGGAAGACGCATCGGAGATGTTACAGTTGCCAATTTGCCTTCTAGGTAGCTTGAAAATCTTGAACGACGGAGTCCGCAACATCACCGTTCGCCATAGGATGGGAACAAGACTTACGCCAAGTAATGAACTTGACTACCAACTTCAGAATACTGTATTATCGTTGTATTTGGAAGTAGCATTCAGCCATAGCGCATGCCTCAGAATGAAGTTATAATCATCTCATTATATCTAATATCTTATGACAGACAGCTAAATCGTCACTTCTACCTAACGATCCCAGGGTCGCGAGAATCCAATCAGCCTTAGGCTATGAATGATCTGCGAAGTTTAGCGGCGGGAGCAGCGGTTGCGTTTCCAGCGCCAGCCATCTGAACGGGCACGCATCCACCAAACGGTCCAGCGTCTGAAAGTTTGTTAGCGAGATATATTTTAACCTTGAAGAACGTTCTTACTGGCAGCGTTGTTGCATCTGACCATACAAATACCACTTTGTCCTCCCATCGATCCTGTACATGTTTGGTCGGCGGCAACTTTTGCCGTGAGAGGCTGAACGTGTATTAGTCCGGCTTATGAAATACAATCATTGGTTACTTACAAAGTCTGTAGCCTTCGCTTTGCTCCTAGAGTTGGTTCCTGGAACATTCGTGGTGACTTGCATGGCAGTCCATTGAGTACCAGTTCCTGTGCTGTCGATCATGCAGTCATATGGACCAGCTCCATCGCCATTCACCTGGTGCAGAGTCATCATGACCGAACCCCCAGCCGAAATTTGTGGCATTTGTCCTCCATTTGCAGCAAGCATCTATGTACCAAGATTAGTTCAGCCTTTCCAAAGAAGAGTTGACTAAGCGGAATGCAAGTCCCAGAGGTCCAGGTCCACTCTCGGCTAGTCATGCAATCACGTATTCTAGAGAGGATGGAACATTCTTTGAACACTTTAACTTACTTGAGGGACTTGAGTTGCGGGGTCGTTCGTTCCACCTCCAAGAGTTTCACCGCATTGATCAGCGGCCGCATTCTTGAAGCGAGTAGAGTCTTGTTGAAAAGGATTTCTTGTTGCTCCATCACGTGGAGTGCCAGCATCAACTTCGGAGGCTTAGTTCAGTAGTTCAATAATTGAAGGCATGACCTACTTCCAAGAGCAGTTCCATTGCCACCTTGATCACCAACTGCTTTAACGATAGCACCGTGACCAGCGACGAGCTGACTAGCGGCAAAACATATAAGAACTGATTTGAGAAGCATTGTGAATGTACAAGTGACTACTGGCCGGCAACAGTCGGAAATGATTGTCTGTGCAAGGAATGAAGGAAGGTGCAATTAGATTGAAGAGATTGAAGATGTTGATAAGGATAGAATCACGAATGCGCTTTTCATTGTGGTCTACTTATACATGTACCCAAGAACGAGCGTGTCTGACCACAGACAAAATATCGAAGCACAGTAAATGCCCAGCATCCGCAAAGACAATAAGAGAAACACCCAAGATTGTCGAGACCTACTGTTGACACAGTTTCTGGGGGTTGTTAAGCCTCGGCATAAACAATGCTATAATAAGTTCTTAGTGCAATGAAGTAGGACATATACCAAGAGTGGCTGTGAGGTATTCTCGAGCAGCTCCTTACATGGTGATATGCTGATAGTCAACGAATATCAAGCAGTGAGATATCTCACGGTTGCCATTCTGGGACATCGACGCGAGAACCAAGCTTTTTAGCATCTCAAAAAGTTCAGGAACAAGCAACAGATCATCCCAAGGAAGACAGAGATCACAAAGAAGCGAAACAATGACAAGACCAGTGAAACGAAAAGAATCAAGCTATTGCCAACGGCAATGATCTCCAAGATCTTAAGGCGGTTTCCGTGTACGGCACACTGAAACTCCGAATGCAGCCAAGCAAATGATGTGCGAGCCAGCTGGTGATCAAAGGTAGAAATTCACCTGTGCAATAGAGGACCGATGGTATCTTGAGCGGAACGATCATTAGTCGAAACTTTGATCTCCAGATATTTCATGGGACAGAAGTATGGAGTAAGTTACTAGTGCCCTTTCCGAAGGTGCCAGGTCATGTGATGCGGCCGCGTTAACTAAGCCTAAAAAGGATGGCCTAGTCGCGCACACAACCAATTTTCAAAAGAGAAATCGTCAATTCGACGACAACATCAATTCGACACCAACCACCGACGAAATGAAGTGTACGTATTGCGCATTCCTATCAAACTGCTCAGGTCTCAAAGATATACTGACTATGTTACCTTCTAGTCCTCAAGATTGGCCGTGTTGCCATTATCACCCGTGGCCGATATGCGGGAAAGAAGGTAAATTTCACCTTGGACTCCCAAACCGTCCTACACTCGAGCCCTGGGAAAGAATAGAAGGACTTATAGAACTTGGATACAAGACAATCGGGAGGAATTGGTTCGAAATGATGCTGACGGAATACTGTTCAGGTTGTGATCATTCAACCCCAAGATACCGGAAACAAGTCCCACCCATACCCTCACGCTCTCGTCGCCGGCATTGAACGCTACCCGTCGCAAATCACCCGCAGAATGTCGAAGGCCCGTCAAGCCAAGCGATCCAAGGTCAAGCCATTCATCAAGGTCATCAACTACAACCACCTGATGCCCACACGCTACACACTCGAGTTGGAGGGTCTCAAGGGAGTTGTTACTGCAGATACTTTCAAGGAGGTTTCTCAACGGGAGGAGGCCAAGAAGACCGTGAAGAAGGCATTGGAGGAGAGGTACACGTCGGGGAAGAACAGATGGTTCTTCACTCCTCTTAGTATGTTCAACTCAACCAGGAGGTTATGCTAGACATTGCTAATGAGATTTTCTAGGATTTTGAACGGTTCCTCTGTCATCGGGTCTGGACGGGTGTTATTTCATGGCATGGCATGGCATTAGTCGCATAACGAACCAAAGAATGCTGGTTTCTCCAAATCTGCGATCCTTAGGAGCACGTACACCAAGGATGATTTTGAACTTCGAGCCAAAATGGAGTAACGAATTCTGACTATCCGGAAATCCACAGTGATGGTTTGTGACTCTTGACCTCCAAGTAGATACACTCGAAGAGTGTCGATGCCAGTCTGCCGACCACCGCGACAACGGAACCTGATATTCCTGTGAATTTCACACATTCGAATTGATGCTCAACAAACCGCGATGCTCGCGTTTGATCCCTTACATGTATTCCCGCATTCGTGCATTCGTTCCTTAGTCGGGATAGAATAATGGCAACTTGTGGCTATTGGTGGACCATTGCCAGCTTTCAAGTGAACAGAAGTAGCCTCGACGAAGGTCTCATGCATTGCCCCAAACATACATTCAACTGCCGCTGAAATTAGGAGACAAGACATATTGGCTTGAAAGTTCACAGTCGTTCTCAACCGGAATTCTTCAGAAGATAAAACTCCTCCAAAATGTAAGAAGTCCAAGTCAGATCGTAACTATTTGACCTCCCAGACTTTGGTTTACACTTGGCACTTAACCTATTTATATTGTCCTACAAACTATGGAACAATTAGATCATATAGCCCCAATTTCTTACGGTCTCCACTCTAGAGGCATGATTCTTTTGAATCTTCACTACAAAACGCCCTCGTGGAAACGTATTGCGAGTCTAGAATATATTACCTCCTATTCTACAAGTGATGAGCAAGCTTAGCTACCATAGCTTCTTCAATTCAGAAATTCTCCACAGCAACCCTCTCAAACTCCTATTCAACAAAGCTCATACCCTCACCCAGTACTGCCTCTTCTTCTGACCACTCTCACGCCGTGTAGAGCAGATTGCTACTTATACGTTAAGTAAATAGGAGAGTCGATAAAAGATTGAAGAGGAGCGTAAGCGGAGAGTCAATTAGGAAAGAAATGCCGCTCAGTGTGCAAGCAGCGCGGACAGCGCCGTTCGCGCGTAAAGCGCAAACCGCGCATTTCACGCAGCACACGCTGAAGTTAAATAAGCATCTCAGCCTTCCTTAAAAAAGAACAGTCTATCAACACGAACACAAAGTTTGTGCGCAGGGAGCAGATCAGGTCGATAAAAGACAGGACGCTCATAAATACGGCATAGAAGACGAATGGAGATGTGAACACCGGTGTTTGAGTTTACGATGGCGTTGGAGAAGGGGTGGATTGTTGTTTGCGAAGGTGAAGAACTGTGCTCCATATCCTTGTCCCTATTCGATCAACCTCCCGAACCTCTGAGAGAAATAATGGAAGACGTATGTACCAGAAGACACAACACTATGATATGAAATGTGTTCCCCAAAAAGGATTTCAAAATATCAGCAAGGCTCAACAGCATACCTTGGAAGTAATACTTCCCTCCACTGTCATGTCCACACCAACGAGTAATCTATGCAAGATGAGTACACACATCATTGCATCTTTCAACCAAGTAGCTCCTCGTCAATTCATCAATCCTACACACAACGGACTTAACGTAACTAGAAACCCCACCATCGCCATATCCAAACATTCCCAGCTCACTCCCCGGATAGAAGCGGAGATACACATTGGAATAGGACTCGCAAAAGTCCCCTCAAATCCCCCTTAGCAGACAAAATCAAGTCGAATGTCCAGACCAAGCAGACGACTTTCGCAGATGAAAAGTCGGGTCAAAAGGAGCAAGGGACGTTGGATATCAGCCACCATTCAATCCGGGAGACACCTGGTCAGGCTACGAGACCTAATAGTGAATAGTAGTTGTCATATAGAAATCCTCCAGCTTAGGTGCGCAAACCTGGTATTCACCTTTAGATCTCGCTTAACCTCAGAGCCGGTATATAATTTTAAATAATAATTTTGTCCTTCACCGATTAAGATGCCCTTGTGGCTCACTTGGTGGTCTTGGGGGCTCGAAAGGAAATGCAAAGGCACCCCAGTAACCTCGCTTGCGAGGGTTCCCCTCTGGCGGTGTTGAGATCTCCACTTGTGGAATTTGCTACCTTTGCAATCACTAACCCATAGGTACTATCTCTATGTTGTAGGTTCGATTCCTACCTTGGCTTGCCAAGTACGAGTTTGCTCGACAGAGTTTAAAGTAAATAATTTTATTTTTATTTTAGCAAAGTGTTATCTTTCTTGAAGATACACATTTTCCTTTCCTTCTGTAGGTTCTTTTCGTCAAAAGAGTTTCAAGCGTCTGGTTAGCTTAAGCGAAGCCATTGTTGCTACCACGGCGAGGATTTCAGGAGGCTATGACTCGTTTGAAAGGTATTGCATTATGAGAAGTCCATTGCTAAGCTATTAAGATAGAGTTGTTAGGTTAGGTCTAAGTATTGAGGTCAAAGAAATCGGGGAATTGAATAGCAGAGTCTTCCCACCACCGAATCAATCTCGTGCCCCAGTGCCCCAGACCAGTATGAAAGAAAAGAAAATGACTGCTTTTAGTTGTAATATCGGATATGAAAGAAAAGATCTTCGCTGAAATAGGGTAGAAAAAGTCCCATGGTTGGAAGGGCAATCGCATCAAAAGTTGGAAATGGAGCGACGCCGAAATTATCCATCCTCGCCTGTAACTATCCACCACGAACATTCTTCTTCGGGTTGATGCTGATGCTCATAACCTCAAATCTCGGAGCCACCCAAAGCTTCCCCTCCTCTGTCATTCTCCACTCTCGGAACGTCTTCCCCAGTGCTGTGCCATGAGTTTCGGACTTCTCCCAGAACCCGTCCAAGAGTGCATCGACCTTCGCCCTGTATGGTACAGGTACCCAGTTTCCATTTCGTAGAGCAGCAGGCTTTTTTACTCCGACTTCTTTCGAGGCAGTCTTGCTACTGTCTGTTCGGGCAGTGGAGGGTCGGGCAGCAGGAGCTTGTGAACCAGCAGGTTGACCACCGACACTTAGCGGCTTTCGTGTCTGCTTCCTCCAGACCATGGTCGGAGCTTTCTTGAACGAAAACGTATGAGGCTTCTCTGTCTTCTCAAAGCTGCTCCCATCCATCACAATCTTGATGGTTTCTAAGCCAGGATTTTTGATGGCCATTCCGTACCACACGTCCACCTTGCTTTGTAACGTGCTCCATCTCATGGGCAGGTGCCTATGAAAAGCAATGTGCTTCACTACCTTCTGAGGCTTCTGGACCTTGCCGTTCTCATCCCCCTCCGCAAGTAGCTTTGCATTATTCTTTGGCTTTGGCTCTCTAGGAACACGTCTTATCCACGAGAGGAAGCTGTTGGTGTCTGGGAAATCAACGAAGTAGAGGGTATCGATGTCGAAGTTCATGTATATCGAGTTCTCATTGTCCTTGATACATCTCTTTTCTGCTTGTTCCAAGTGAGCCCCTCGGGACTTGATAGGAGTATAATGTTTGAGGGCTTCGGCTCGAGATTCACGGCAGATGTGCAGGATCTTTGGGACTGGGCCGCAGGAAAGTCGGTAGATGGCTTTGTAGTTATCATCTATGATGACAGTCTCCCATTTTGCTCGAATGATGCGAGGCTCCATGGAAAGTACCCAGATGCGGAGTTGAAGTTCTTTCGGGAGTTTCTCGAAGTGCCTGTTGAACTTCTTGGGAGCCATTGTTGCAAAGCTTTCTTGTTGATGACTGTGATTCCTGATATTGAAGAAAAGCTCTTGAGGAGGTTAGACGATGCACGAAGTCTCGAGAAGCAAGGTCTGGCGAGGAGGTGTATGTGGTGAAGCTGAATGCGAAATATGATGAGAGGACTTGCTTGTTCTGCTCAGGATATTGATGACTTGAGCTTGTCAGTAGGAAACTCAAGGAGGGAAAAGGTGAGCATCATACTTGTAGGCGTCACAATGTGGGAGGTGAGCATGACAAGTTGGTTGTTAAGTTGAACAAACTATGGACTGTGGCAAGCTGGTTTTGGTTGCCCACAGTGGCTGAAGCAAAATCGTTCACTTTGGTTGTGTGAAATGAGGTTGAAGAATGTTGAAGGTTATGGAGGAAGGAGAGTAAGATATCTGCGCGTATTCTCCTAAGCAGTAATGCAGAGTGAATTCTTCAATCCAAAACGGGCAAGAACTTTGAGGATGATGTGTAAAAAATAGTCAAGCTCTTCGAAGTGAACGGCAAAGATTCCAAGATGAAGTTTTGGCCCCGAGAGAGTGTAAAAATGAGTATTGACAATGAGCATTGGGATGCGGTAACGATAAGTCACTCTTTTGGAGCAATGTTCTCTTTCAAACTTTTCTAGAGATGTCAATTTTGAACTTCCTCGAACCATATGCACAACTTAATATTTGAGCACTGTCAGGACATTCACCTCTGATCTTGTGCAGAGAAAGTAGACAGCATTAAAACGGAAATTTGTTCGTCCCATTATCATTACACCAAAATGCTTGAACTCCAATACCATGCGTGCTTTTAATTTCAGAAAACGCTCCACCACTCCATTGCAGAATCAATGAAAGGGTCACACCAAACAGCCCATTCCTAGAACGGTCAACTCTTTCCCTCGACCTCACCTACTGAGTCAAGTTGTCGCTAGCAGCTGGCTTAGCACTTCCCTTCAAGCCCAACTTCTGCTTCTTGATCCTGGGAATAATTCCAATAAGTACCAGAACAGCAGTAACAAGTACAGCCCAGAGCTTGATATCCAGCGTCGTCTTGTTGAAATCCGTTTGTGTTGCAGCCGCAACAGTAGCCAGCATCAGTGTGAGCACCACGTATCCACTGACCCTATGGTACTTGTACAGGCTCTTAGCAGTATCCACGCTACCGTACAATCTCGGCGTGTAGTATTGTGTAAATCCGACGAAAGACTGGATAGCAAGCAAGATATATGTGATCAGACCGAGAATGGCATGTGGTGATTCGAAATGGGTGCCATTGTGGGCGAACTTGTTGACCTCGATAACAACCAGACCAGCAATAAGTGAATAAATCCCCAAGTTGTTGAAGATGAAGTGTGCAGCGGTGCCGTAACGTTTCTGGTCGACAGTATGGGTCGGCTGAAGGATGAGAATGCCTTGTGTAAGGATGAGGAGACCGGCGGAGTTGAGAAGTGGATGTGCGGAGAAGAGCATGAGGGGTGAGAGGAAGATGCTGGCCCAAACGGAGGCCGTGAGCAGGATTATACCAGCTTGGGCAATGACTGCTGTGCCTGGAAGAAGGTTAACGACGTACGTTCAAGTGTAGATGATGAATTACCTATGACGAGGTTGTACCAGAGGGATTTCCCTTCTTGCTGTGATGCACCGCCGGGTCTCCCAATGAGGGGTTCATCCTCTCCAGCATGAATGACCGCAGTGTCAGGAATGCCAGTAGCAGAAGCCATGTTTCGAAACTTGTATTGATCAGTAATGAAGCTATCAAGTATCGTAAGAGATTTGTAGGTGAAAGATGAGGATCGAAGAGAGCTTGAGATGAACAGTTTAGATTGTTAAGCTGAGGAGTACAAATATCCGGAGGATATATGTTGCCGTAGCATTCCACCACACACCTCTTTCTGCAGTGCCGCCTGCAGCTTCCCGGTCAAAATGACGCGACGACCCAGAGCTCTAGCCAATCATCCGCACACGAAGGTAATCTGATATGAAATGGAACATCAGATTATTGCGCAATGCAACGACAGGTGATGACATTCGTGATATATACGTCTGATGTGCTCATACATATATCTAAGCTATCAAAGCAGTAAGTGCTGCACGATTCAAGAAAAAGAAAGCTGCAGATGCGTATGGCTGAGATTGATTCACGCAAAGACCAACGAGCAGAGTCTTCAGCCTCGGCGCCCGCGGCCAGGCACAAGTCGTGTTACTGCCTGAGGTTGAGAAGCCAATGGTGGGGTTTATCGATATCGGAGGAAACCGATTCATTACTCGATGAGAACTGAAAACTTTCTTTTAAAAGATCTGTGAATCCCCTCTCTGTCTTTTCAAAATACATATTTTTCTTGTTTTTCATATTCTTTATCACTCATTTATCCCTTCTGAGTGTCTCAATATGGCTTTCGAATCGGAATACAAGCTTGAAGATGTAGCAGTTACACGCATCGCTTCAGATAAAATCGACGAGACCTTTCGGTCGTCAACCATTGGTGAGTGAAATGACGCTTTTGTTTGCCTTTTTGTGCCGAGCACGGGTAGAGATATCCGGAACGTGCCTCTTTTTCGAATAGCACATGGAAAGCTTTCTTGAGCTCCGAACCTTTTGCATGGCATCGACGACCCCTCCGCGGCACGTGATCATATACATCTTCTTCAAAGCTACTTCTAATATTCTTGGCAGATCTGATCTCTGCAACATTAGGAGCCAAAGTCCTCTCCTTCTCTGATGAATGGTTCGCCGAGACCTCTAACCTCCTCACTCCCACCCCACCCATCCGCCAACCTGGGAAGATGGTCTATTCCGGCGCCTGGTACGACGGCTGGGAAACTCGTCGACACAATCCGGAGCCCTTTGATTATGTTCTCATCCGTCTAGGCGTAGCATCAGGCACAGTCGAAGGCATCGAAGTCGATACTGCTTTCTTCTCCGGGAATCATGCCCCTGCTATTTCTGTTGAAGGTGTATTCAGTGATAATGATGAGGAAGTAATGGGTTGGAAAGGCGGAAAGGGGAAGTGGGAAACGATCCTCGGAATCCAGGAATGTGGACCTTCTCAGACATTTGGGTGGAAATTACATGTTCCAACTACGAAACCATATACACATGTGAGATTGAACATGTACCCTGACGGAGGAATTGCCAGGTTCCGTCTGTTTGGCCATGCTGTGCCAGTCTTCCCAGAAGACAAAGAAGCTATTTTCGATCTTGCAGCGGCTCAAAATGGAGGTGTAGCAATTTCATGCTCAGATCAACATTTCGGCGTGATTGCCAACCTCATCCTGCCAGGAAGAGGAAAAGATATGGGAGATGGATGGGAGACCTCCCGCTCTCGAGGAAAAGATCATGTTGATTGGGCAGTCATCAGACTTGGTGCTAAGGGCACGATTCAAAACCTGTTGGTAGACACAGCTTTCTTCCGAGGGAACTTTCCGCAGAAAGTCAAGGTTGAGGCGATCGACTGGAGTGGAGAAGGGGAACCAGGTGCATTGGCTGCAGATTGGGTTACTGTGGTTGAGCCGTTCAAGTGTGGTCCAGACAAGGAACATGAGGTTGAGAGTGCGGTGAAGGATAAGTCGTTCACGCATGTGAAGCTGGTTATGATACCCGATGGAGGCGTGAAGCGGATTCGCGTGTTTGGAAAGAGAAGTGTTTAGGATGTGACAGTCCTATTACAGAAGACTCAAGCAGAAATACTATAATAAATTGGAAGATAAGATAAAATTGTTCTAGAGTTTGTGAGACAATGTAACTAGGCTAAGTCCTAAATATAAATCAAAATCTAAAAGATGAAATAATATGAAAGCAACGTGAATCCCATTCAATCTCAGAGAATCTACTTTTCCCATCAATATTGCCCCAAACTCTGGACGGATACTATCTTGTATCCCCATTTTGATAGTATAGCCAGATGGTTCCATGAATGATAGCGTGGAAGTGAGGATATGTTCCAGATCAAGAGATTGATACGGTATGAAGTTCCAAGCATCGTACAAAAGTTTCATGATCCGACTAAGAACGAATGACCCGTCAAGTGCAAAGGTAAGGCTGGAGATTGCTCGGCGACTTTCAATGACAATATGAAGGGCTGCCAAGCGATCTGAATCACTATCACTTTCAGGGAGCTGCCCCGCCATAACACCGCTGGTCGCGTGTCTTCTGTCTGGAATAAACTACGATTCAAGACAACATCCCCAGAATATAGCCCTAGTCGACTGAGACCAATAGGAGATTACATCGCAGAGCCTCTTCGTGACTTCAACAAAAGAGAAATTTTCCATAGGTTCGGGTGCTTGCATCAGAAGAAAGGAAGGTGAAGTACTCCTGACACAATAGCTGAGGTGGGAGCCTCGTGCACGGACGGTCGGCTTTGTCTTGTACAACACCGTCATTTATCTTTGGAAACAAGACCACCGAATTACAACTCCAAATTCTAGGCTACCAGCGCATTCCCCAGAGCATTTTCTCTGCAGACTGACAATCTGACACCTTGGATGACAACCACCAGACAGGCACGGACTGCATGAAGTCCTCCCCATCCAGCAATGGACATCGGGGACAATGAGGGGGACCTCGCAGGCTTCCCAGAGGCACCCACAAAGAAACCCAGAGTGCTGCCCGACGACCTCCCCCGCTCCCTAGACGATCGAAAATCCGTCCCCCAATACACCGGCGAGACGGAATTCTACGATGGATGGGGAGGTAAGTTCTTCCAACCCCTCCTTCCCAAAATTATCTGAAACTCAGGCAACTAAGAAGGCGGCATGCAGGGCAATCACAGTTCCTCACCACTCCCGTCCTGGCGAAACCGCTCGAATTCAAGAGTCTGAGTCTGGATGATCATGGCTACGATGATGATTTGACGACGCAGAAGATTGGGGATAGTGAGACGAGACTTATGGAGATGCTTGCAGCGCAAGCCGCACACCGGGATGGTTCTGCCAATGCCTCCGAAGACGAAGACACTGTTGCGACGAACGAGAAGCTGTCTGATGACGAGAAGAAGGAGGTTCTTCAGAAAGCGCTGAACATGGCGGCTAGTAATGGGGACGTGGAACGGATCGAGAGGATATTGAAGGGGAAGGCGAAGGATTTTGTGGATATCGATGCTCCGGATGAGGAGGGCACTGCTCCTATCATCTATGCGAGCTGTTTTGTGAGGATCCTTGCTTGAAAAAGGAGGTGAGACGAGTGCTAATCTTGGTGTAGGGTCATGAAGCGGTGGTGACGGCTCTACTGGATGCCGGGGCGAAGGTCGACAATCAAGACAGGAACCAGTGGAGTGCTTTGATGTGGGCTATGACAAACAGGCATAAAGGCATCACAAAGGCATTGCTGGACCATGGAGCGTCTACCGATATCAAATCTTCTTCCGGGAGGACGGCGTTCGATTTTGTGGCTCCGGACAGCGAGATTTCAGAGTATCTACATGACAGTGGATATGGGAATCAGATAGGAAGCGTGGGAGTAGGTGGAGACTGGTACAACGAAGGGCTCGCCGAAGACCGGTTCGAAGAAGAGATGGCCGAGAATGAGCTGAGAAGACGAATGATGATGGATAGTGCTCGGGATCTGGAGGTTGATATAGGGAACATGGGCATGGATGACCAACCAGAGGTAGGATTTCCAGAAATGAAGTCAAGTGCACGCTAACATAGAAAAGGACCCAGAAGAGCTTGAGGAAGAAGAACAAGAATTCGACTGGAGCAGATGTTTGCATGACCAGATGTTCGTATTCCAAGAGAGCGAACTGAGCAGAATTCTCGACATTATCATCACCAACATGACACCTCAAAGATCACCATCACAAAAACCAGTTCCAGCCAACGTCCTATTCCTCAGTGCGAGATATGCGCATTACCACGCCCACCATGATCTTCTAGCTAAGCTTCTCATTACTGCTATCGACAAGATCAACGATGTTGTTGAGACTCATCAATGGGATATGACGATTTTGGCTTTCTGGATATCAAATGCAACTCTTTTATTGCACTACTTGAAGAAGGATGCCGGACTATCAGATTCTACTTCGAACTTCCAATTACAGCTGGCAGAGCTGATCAATGAGATCTTCATATTGATCATCAGAGATGCAGAGAGAAGAATCGATAAAGTCCTGGACTCAGCGATGCTTGATCACGAGACTATACCTGGGTTCGAAGATATTACATTTCAAAACGAATGGAAGATCTTCAAAAGGAAAAATCAGGTTAAGGAGGAGCCAGTAGAGAAGAGGTACCGACCACCATCACCGAAAGCGCGAGCAAAACCCTCGCCAAGGAACGTGACCTCCTTACTGTCATCAACGTTGTTTGTCCTGGACTTATATGACATCCATTCTGTCATTACTGCGCAAATTCTTGCCCAGTTGTTATATTGGATAGGGGCTGAGCTTTTCAATCGGATTATGTCGAATCGGAAATACTTGGCGCGAACGAAGGCCATGCAAATCCGAATGAACATCTCGAGTCTCGAGGACTGGGCTCGGGGAAACAATCGACAGCCTGAGCATTACGAGCATGGATCGATGACATCCAGTGGTGAGACTACCATCGACTCGGCTCGAACACATTTAGCACCTGTCATTCAGCTGTTACAGTGGCTTCAATGTTTTTCGTCACTAACACAAGACGACTTCGAAGCTCTTGTGAGCACCTTACAACAACTTACGCGACTTACACCGCAGCAATTGTTACACGCTGTGGATCATTACAGACCCGAGGTCGGGGAGAAGGGTCTTCCGAGGAGTGCAAAGAAGTACTTAATGGATCTGCAGAAGAGTCTAGCAGAAAGGAAGCAGCAGCAACGAATGTCGAGGCGACGATCTGGCGCACCTGTCACACCCACCAAGAAAAATGGCCAAAATCCCAACACTCCGGAATCCAATGGAAAGGGTGCGCCGCCGAACACCATGAAACCATTGCCGGCCGATCAAATCCCGGACGACGACGACGATGCACCAGAGCATATGTTACTTGACCCCGCCCTGATGCTACCTTTTTCCTTACCAACAAGTACAGATATGCTTGTGACCTATGGAGCTGGATTCGGAGGATTGAATAGAGAACGGGAGAGGAAGTACATACCTACCGTTCCTGCGGAATTCTTGACGAAGCTCGATCTGAGTGGAGGGAGAGCGCAGTCTACGTATGAGGAACGGGACTGGGAAAATGAAGATCTGTGAGTGTGAGTGTTAGAGTGTGTTACTCAAAATGAGACATGGTGGGACTACGGTTGGGCAGAACAAAGCATAGGGAAAGAGTGGCAGCATTGCGTGGCGTTTGTGGGGAGTGTCCAGATTTCACAGCTGGCAGATATGTTCTCAATTCGGATGCTCATATGATATCGAGTCCTTGCATGATAAGAAGAAGAATATATTTCTGCCAAGAGAAAGACTCTGAATCTGAATGTGACATTGACTTGTTCGATAAGGTAGGGTAGCATTAGATTGTGGGCTGCCATCTATGTCAGCCAAAGCGAGTATTGGTCAGGGGTAGGTCGGGGGGCCGCTACCGACGTCAATTGGAGACATCAGATGAACGAGAGCAGGGAAGAAACCGGGGGAGAGAGACATGCAGGTCCAGCAAGCAACGGCCACGTGATGGATGCCAACACACCCCAAACAGCTCATCAATCAGTTGCAGCTTGATGATTCACTTTCATTGTCAAGCGGACAAAGGTGACGGTCTTCGCTCGCTTTCCGATGTCGAACCACTGCGTTACCCGCTCGTTCTGATCTCGAACAACAACTGCGTTACCCGCCCGCTGCTGTCTCGCCGACCTTCAATTCATCGCATCACACCAGAATCCAAACTTGAAGAACAAGAACTGCCGTCAGCATCAGTTGTTCTAGAAAGTCTCTGGTCGGGCTCCTGTGCAGTTCTGTACCTGCGCTTTGACCACTGCCGAAGCCCGCTCTCCACTTAATTGCCCTGTCGGTGGCTTGATTGGCGTTCCGACCCTGGGCTGTCCCCATCTCGAAATTCCCCAATCTTGCTTCTCGCTCCCACCAGGAACAAGCTTCGATCTCAACACCACCGGGCGCGCATCTTCAAGACTTCTCTACCACTCTTCTCGCAAACACTTATTTGCTTCCTACACACTCCTTTGCTCTTTTCCGACGCGTTCGGTATCCAATCTTTGCTGCGCAGAGAGTTTGATACCGAGTCGATCCACAGAGACATTCCTTGGAGGCAAACACGCGCCTTACCACACACATAATTTAAGAGGGGCCGACGCGAATAGCATAGCGTACCACGTTCCACTACCTTAATTTGCAAGCATCTCCTTTCGTCGACGATGAGCCATGAATTCTCCTTCCATGACAACTATCTCTTCGAGAGATAAGGAGAGAGACTCACAAGGCGAACTGCAGCCCGATTCTCTGACAAGCAGCTTCAGTAGTCGGCGCATCAGAAAGGGTGGATTCGCATACGATGTTCCAACTTTGACATCGTCTGCTACCAGAAATGAGAACGGAATCGAAGCGCTGAGTTATGAAGATACAACTGCCGGCAAACCTCCCATTCCTGTCATCAAGGCCCCTCCACGACTTCCTCCTACCGAGACACATCCTGCGCTGAGGAGAACCAGTCTGTCTGCTGAAGAAGAGAAGAAGCGCGACAGTGGTCTTACGACTACCACCAGATCAGATCCTAGATCAAATAGTCTTGCTGGAAGCACACTGCAAGACAAGGAGCGGGAATTGGGCATCGTAATCGACTTCGACGCGAACAGTGCGCTTGCGAACACTGTGAGCCTTGCGCCCCCTATGTCTGCAGGCGACGAAGGTTTGAGAAAGAGCGAGACGAAATCTTCTGGTATAGGCTCGCGATGGAGAAAATCTAGCAACAAGAAGAGAAAGAGTGAGGCGGAGGACTTCACCCCGCTCAGCACGCAGATTCCCACGCATAGCTTGATAGATGACGAGACTTTGGAGAGTATACAGTTCTCAAAGCGAGGAAGTCTGATGTTGCTGGGAGATAGGGTCAGATTTGGGCATGCGCGACCATATGCGACTCGCAGGTATGAGTCGCAACCACACGTTAAGCGTGAACCCATGAACTTTTTTAGCTGACAACCACGTTAACAGACAACCAAGTTTCTCGATGCTCACCTCGCCCGCCATGAAGATCCTTCCGGAAGACGTAGAAAAGGAGTCGCAGAAGGTGCGCTCCATGTACGAGCAGGGCAATAATGTGGCGTGGGAGGACGGCCAATATTCCTCTCTCGCCCAAAATATGGCAGGTTTGACGACTGAACCCGGAAAGTGAGTACCTGCAACCATCGCGACGACAAACACGTTAGTTAACAGTAACTAGGTTTGGCTTTCTTGCTCCTCCTCCTGGTATCCCATTCAACAGACCTGGTAGCACCTTATCCGTTCGAAACGAACATGAGCTGGCAGGTGGTATTGAAGACTGGGAGGATATTGATGGCAACGAAGTTGATCGATACGGCTTCATTGACACGTCACAAAGAAGCTCCAGACCAGGAACACCCGAGCCAAGAATCCAACGTGTGTCCACGATGTTGCAACTTGCGTCGAACGCTCCAAGAGTGAAGAGAAAGTGGGGTCGGGCAACGACATCATCAGCCGCATCACAAGGAAGTTCGCAAAAGAAGACGCCAAGCCGCAAGGTTTCCGCCAGATCTGTTACATCCCAGGGCTCTGACTCTTCTCAAAGAAGCGCTGGTGGTCGCATCAAAGCTGCCTCCAAGCGCCTTCCTGGCAACAAAGACTGGAAGTTGATTCAAACTGCAGGTGACATGCTCACTCTTCCTCCGGGATTAGCAGACATCGCCGAAGATGAAGAAGGTGGTCGCGCAGCCAATGCCCAGAAACTCAAGGAGATTGAGCGAGGAGAGAAATGGAGAAAGATGGCCAAGGTCGTCAAGTATGGCGCAGCCGGTCAAGGCATGCAATTCGAGTTTGATCCCAAGAATCCCAAGGTCATCGAACGTACTTGGAAGGGCATCCCAGACAGATGGCGCTCTGCTGTATGGTATTCGTTCCTAGCTACTTCAGCCGCAAAACGACAGGATACGATACCAGATCAGCACCTTATTAATGCGTTCCATCGCTTCCAGGTTGAGAGCTCTAGAGAGGATGTTCAGATCGACGTCGATGTTCCAAGAACTATTAACGCTCACATCATGTTTAGAAAACGCTACACGGGTGGTCAACGACTTCTATTCCGCGTCTTGCATGCATTCTCACTCCAATTCCCCGAGCCGGGCTATGTTCAGGGTATGGCTGCGCTGGCTGCTACTCTGTTGTGCTACTATGACGAAGAAATGGCCTTCATCATGATGGTTAGAATCTGGACTCTCCGTGGTATGGACAAAGTCTACTCCGATGACTTCCGTGGATTGCGTGCAGCTCTCGACGAGTTCGAAAAGGACTGGCAAAGCAACAGCGGTAGTGGAATCGCCAAGAAGCTCGTAAGTTATTTCCTCCCACCTCTCGCTCTCTGATCTCCACTAACCCTCCTGACCAGGCCGATCTCGGCATCAACCCAACTGACTGGGGCGTCCGCTGGTACCTAACCATCTTCAACTACTCGATCCCCTTCGCAGCCCAACTCCGCATCTGGGACGTCTTCATGCTGCTCGGAGAAATCGATCCTACCCAACCGTACACCGAACACCGCCCCTTCCAAGGCAGTATCGATATCCTGCACGCTACGAGCGCTGCCCTGATGGACGCTGTGAGAGAGATCTTGATGGACGAGGAAAGCGACTTCGAGACCGCTATGAAGGTCATCATGAGCTGGATTCCCATCAAGGACGAAGAACTCTTGATGAAGGTCGTTAGAGCCGAGTATAAGCTGCACAAGAAGAGTGATTGGACTCCTGCTCCTCCTGCTCTTGCTGAGACGGCTACATTGCCTGCTATGCTTTGATTGATTGATTGCGCTACAACGACGATGGCTTGGGCGGTTTACTTTTTCTGCCTTTTTTTTGCGTGGAATATGTTGCTTTGTTTTGTCTGGTTTAGGAGAGCTTTATACCCCCGTGTTTGTGTTTATTTGGTTTACGAGGCGTTCTGGGAATTCAACAATACAATACGATACGATTGAGAGGAATGATGAAGGAAGAAGGAAAGAGAGAAATGACGATGATGATGATAGGTTATGTAGAGTAGGTTAGTTTGTAATTGTAATGGAAAATAGTGTAGAAAATTTTCGAGGGTGTGGAAGTGACGCTTCTCTTCTGTCGTTGTGCTGTAAGACCGGGTTCTTTTCTATTGATCTGGGGTGAGTGGGGTGGTTGTTCATGGCTTGGCTCAGCTGAGCGCTACTTAAAGTTATGTATACAGACTCTATTAGAAAGTCTACATATCTCCGTGGATTTTTGAGTCTGGAGTTGTCTCTTAAGTGGTATGTTCCGGGTCTTTGGTAATAAAGGCTTTGTCGCTTTGTGCGTGACAGAGTTCAAGTTAAGCTTTGAACTCAAGTATATAAGCATGCATTTTCCTGTCTTTCAAGGTTGGAAGTTGAGTTATCATTCTCTTGCGAGTCTCCGTTGCCCTCCAAAAGGGAAAATTCAGAACAACTAGATCGCTTTCTTTCCCCTCTTTCTTCCTCTCAAATCCCAAGAAAAGCACAGTCAATCCGAGACAGATCATTACTTTCACTCTCAATCGCTACTTTTACTCTCAAGATTTCCATCGCTACTGTAGACTATTTCATCCCACAACCATCCACGCCATCATATCCCCTTCCCAGGCTTCCTATGTACACAAGAAGTACCTACAGCAGAAGAATTAACCTTCGAGGTCCTCTGACTCAGAATACCCACAGTTGCCTATCAATCACCATTCATCTCGACACCTACCTACCAACTTACCAACTTATCTCCCGAGGTCAGGGAAACAGCACCAAGCCATTCTCTCCTCTCAATGGCTAAGGTGAGGGAATCTCCATCTTAGTTTGAAATAACGCTCGACGTCTACTGTACCTATTCGCCGGAAAGCCTACTACTTCCACCATGCCGTTGTCTTCCCTCCGTGATCTATCTACGTCTCCAGACTGAAAGAGAGAGCGCAGGATTTCGTGCTTGCACTCGTAATGCGTTGGACATTTTTGTTCCAGCAGCTAATGATGAGGAGGAGAAGGGAAGGTAGTTTTGCAATCAGAAGGGGATGAGGGTGGGGGTGCGGTTGGTTCTACAAAAGTTGAGGACAGTATTTGAGGGAGAAGGGAAAGTAGTCGATGCATTAGTTTCCCGTTGTTGAGGATAGGTTGGTGAGGGGTTTGGTTGCTTGGGAGGGGATTGAGAGTTCTGGTGTTTGTAGGATTGATGATTATGATTCCTTTTAGTGAAGTGTTGTCCGAGTGGGTCAAGAGCTAAATAGTAAGGATCTACTTGTTCAGAGCGCAGGTGTCTGTGATGGAGAGTGATGCGTTGCGATCTAGAAGTATAATCGTCCGAGAGATATAGAAAGTGATTCGTCCAGCAATAAATTCGGCTCGCACTTTTTCTTTCTTCCTCTCTCTCTATCAGGTGACATAGCCACTTGACCGCTGGCATGATTCTGGGGTTCGTGGGTGCGGATCTTGAGAGCTGGAGTGCTGATCGTTGCGAGAGTGAGATGTAAGGTACAATGAATTAGATGAAATGGGAGATGTGCTGCTAGAGTTCGTGGGAAAGGATTCTTGAGGATGTTTCGCACGGTTCGAAGATGACTGATCTAAGCTGTCTATCTTTCAAAAGTGAGATTTCACGGCTTTCGCAGGAGAAAACCTGACTTGAACCTCTGGGCTTGCTTGGGGGACTGTGTCAACTATCAACGGCCACCATCCTCTGCACTCTGGAAGAATGATGCGTGAGAATGCCTGTAGGAATTGCAGATTTGGTTACAAGGTCTGTTGGTGGACGGTCGAGCTCTGTTAGGGGGAAAATATATCCAAATCTTTGCAATACTTGAAATGAAGGAAGTCAAAGCTTGTTAGCTCGACCTACCGATCTAGTGCCAACTTGTACCTCCATCTCATTCTAACATCGAAAATTCTGCAGACCACTAATATGGAGAAATCTTCCTAACTTGAGCAATAGATCTTGTGCCCAACCGAAAGAATCGCTAACCTTAAGCTTCCGTCCGAAGTCGACGCTCTGGCAACCGTACCCAACACTCTCGGCACCTCAAAATATCACACTAAAAAGCCGACTTGTCCATAACTTTGAGTGAAGCTTCAGGTAAGAATAAGGTTACGATACAAAGATAACCTTTCCATCGGTCAAGCATATAGTTGCGATTGGATGGATGGAAAAGCCTCTTCAAAGGTTAAGACGTCCATCATCTGAGCTCAGTCCACCGCCTCTAAATGTACACGCAAGCCATACTGACAGCAGCGGGCAAGATTACGAATACATGCCCGTGATGAGAAGGAAGTATCATGTTGACTGTCCATATGAAGCGCTTGCATCAGGACTGACATCTCAATGGGGAACGGAAATAGCTCCAGGATAGGAGTCCCTGGTCATAATGTCGAAAGAGGACATCGGTGCTTGTCATGCTGACTTATGCTGATAAGTTGCTTGATATAGCATCGCCGCACAACATACTAAGATGTCAGAATGACTGTGTCCTTCCTAATCATGAAGGAAGAATTCGGCCGCAGATAGAGTGCCCAAAGTTCTGCTACCAGACTTCTCACATGCATCGGCTTCAAGTACATCGAAGATGCCGTACCGAGCCCGTGAAGGAGACAGAAAGTTCAAAAGGCGACCCTCGTGCTTCACGCTTTGTGAGTCCAAAGATATATTATTACAGGTGATCCATGCCCAAAGTACGCAGATAGAAAACGTTACATGACGAGGACGAATGAAACATGCAAAGGAAGCAGGGGCTGTGAAAGGATTCGCATCCTTCTTGCTTTCTGTGGACGTCGCACTGAGCCGCGTGCATGCAGCATGGCCTGCACAACATGCATTGGAAGAGCATAACCGTACGCGAGCCGCGAGCCAAAGTTATTCCGGTTGATTCAATGTGAAGGAAGAGCTATTGGGTGTCAAAGCCACATATGAACCGTTGTGGCTCGAACGGTCGACTTTCTTGGAAATCAAGAAGACAAAAGCAGATGGCCATCAACGGACATTCTGGCCGTAGTGATTTTGAACTTTCAGCTTACCTCTTGGTTACTCAAACTTCGAGGCCGTGGTCTGGATCTGATAGTGTGCTCCCTCAGGCTCGTTCCGCATCTGTAGTAGCACTTAGCGGGTTGTACGAGCTATACGAAATCATGCGTAGATATCGTGACATCGCTAATAGAGTTCTGCCATTGCCTGGCCCGCACACTATTGAGGAGGAACAATACTACTGCTTCCCGTGTTGGCAGCAACAAAGTTGGAGAGGGGATGGTTCTCTCGGTTCTGCCGTGACACTCAGATATGATGGGCCGCATTAGCCCAAGTTAACTCTATTATGCCAAAGCCTCGAACACCAATTCGTCCGCCAAGCATAATCCTTTTCGGATTTGGGCACGCAAGCTATAAGATTAGATGCAACAACAAGCCACTTTCACATGATAGTGCCAGACCTAGACAGGAAGTTTGTTGGTGGCTCAAAGAAACTCTTGTTAGCGTGGTGAGGCGTCTCGAGTTACCACATCTCGCTATGCCCTGTACCGAATTGGGCGATCATTGACTCGATTGGGACGAGACCAACAGAGTGGTGGGGCCGCAGGGACGATTGGCGACGGAAGATGGATGCCGCGGAAGCGTTCTAGAATTTAGGTTCACGAAGTTTGGCCTCGTGGCTGGTGATGATCAATGCTGAAGATCAATGCGAGGCGACAAATCAGCCACAGCAAACCGGCGTTGGATTTCCCTAGAGTTTTATCGATAAGACTATGATGGCATTATGGGGCATCTGATTGTACCATTTGCCATGTATCTGCAACGCCGTCTGAGAACGTCCAGAACGGCTCACTCGGCCGACCGCTCAAGGAACTTCAGTCGCGGGCTGTTCGGAAATGCAGCCGTTCCCCGTAATGCTTGAGGATGGATGAGTCGAACAACGATGAACCTGTTTTTGCAGGCATTCGCATCCCAGAATTATCTCCTGATGGGGTAGTTCGACCGTTCCGTAGCAGGAAGTATGAAGGTAGTGTGGGATGTCGGGTAGTTATTCCAAGTTCTTGGTCCCCATCATCCAGTCGTTCCGTCTCGACATCCCTGGGAACAAAGATCTGCAATCCCGCGTGCTCGACCCGTGCTCAAACCCTGCCGACTAGGGTTGCCCCACGGTAAGCCCGCTTCATTGGGCCAGGAAGATCCGTCGCATCAATTCACGGACCCTTGATTTGGAGTCATCAATTCTCCGAACCTGCGATTGAGATCTCTTTGGTACAGGATCGACCTGAATGGATTGGAAACCACGCGGTTTGAATAGCTCTCTCGCCACTGGGGTGGTCATACAGACGCAAAATGTGACGGAAAGACGGAGGCGATCGACATTCGAAGCGTCTTGACGGCTGCGACAAGCTGTCAGAATGCCTTTCCCTCCGCGAATCAACGAGCATCAGATATTAAAAGCTGTCGCCTCGACTTGCGAATTGTCGATCTTTCAGCTTTGTCGATTCGGTTTGTGTAGGCAGGACGTTAGGGATTGGTCTATATTGCTTTGTGCCACATGGTCCCGTCCAGCTCATCCAAAGTTCGAGTTTGGGTTCTCCCACTGACTCGGATCTCGAAGAGAGACATTGTAGCCCTTAAAGTTTCAGACCTGCAAAAGGTAGCACAAGAAAATCCCGGTTGGCTCACATGTAGAAAAAAAATCAAAGTCAAGTAGCTCGACACCATGTGCTGCCACACGACGCCAAAGGCTTCAGCGCTGCGGAATGGCAAAGAGTACCAGTGTCAATATCATAGATGATCTGCAATCGATTCCGCCACGTGACGGGATCTATGATGTTGTAAAGCTCGAAGTCGGTCTGACCGAGCCGTCTTTAGTAATCGTACTTAAAGTTGCATGCCTTGTGCCTTCCAGAACATCTCGTAGACAGTTCTGAAGAAGAAAGCTGCATGACAATCTGTGCTGATCTCTATAATCTTCCGGAACCATTGAGGATCTTGAGGACACAGTAGGATGTCCGACAAAAGCATTATCGATGTATGATTCGTGGCTCAAGATCTTTGGTTGGTGAAATGCGGCTTCCCGTGACATGACGTCCCCAGAAGATCTTTCAGCCGCTGCAGAAGCTTTGATCGAATTAATTGTCTATGCTGAACTGTATGAGTTGGGCTGATCAGCCTTGAAAAGCTTTAGTGTCACCAATTCTGAGACTTGACACTGAGACCATCCCAAGGAGAGTTGTGATGTCTTACTACTAACAATGTTAGCAAGTGATGGTGGAGACATGTGTTGAAAGTAAGACTGAGCAGGCCGACATTCTGCAAGCCAAAGCTCTTTTGGGAGGATTGATACACATTGGTTACCTGGATAGACTCGAATGTCACCCAGCTGCATGGGGCGTAAATAGCAAAATCTGAAATGAGAGTCGGTGACCTCGCACCAGCCACCCAGAACGCCTTGGAAATAAGTGTCCAGGACAATGCGCAACAGGATGGAGACAAGTTGCGGGTATGCGCCAGGTTCATCAAGTAAATTCGTCTCGGAGAGTTGACGCCACCACGCGCGCGACGTTATTTCGGGAGAATAAGGTAGTAACGAAGAAAACATTCCTCGGATTGCTGTAACAATGTATCATCATGATGTGCATACGCTCGACCGCGATCAATAGATTGAGCTCGCAGTTCTCGTGCGGTGAGCAATGGCAGCAAAAGCACTTTAAGCACGTACTATGGCTTAACAGTGGAGCACAGCACGATACCGGAATCAGCGTGACTTGAACGCTGGCGACGATGTGGTACTCGATAGTTCTGTTGGGTGCGTGCGTGCGTGCATCTCCCCGTGTCTGTTCCGGGTACATTATTGAACGAAGGAAGAGCAGAGGACGAAGGATGGGAGGCGAAGTGAAATTATGTCTATTTCTGGATCTTGTGAAGCTTTTACTGTGCTCTGTTGCGATGTGAGTGAGTGTTGTTTACCTAGGTATGGAGCTGGCAGGACACAGAAGTTGAAGCCTGAGGCCTCACATTTTGATGCCTCACAGCTTCGGGGAAATTGCATTCGACCGAAATCCCAAGTCACCTTGGACCGAGATATTTTCATAACCACCACCACGACAAACAATAACGACGCCGCAGACGCCACCGGTCCTTCTTTCACGGAGGTCACCTCTCCTGGCAAACGCCATGAAGGCATTCCCATGGTTGGACCCTCGTCAAGTCCCGACCGTCCTGATCCATTCGCCGGGCTCGGCCAGTCGGGGTCGAGGGGTAATTACGGCGCCGTGCGCCTCTTCTGCTGAGAATCTCGAATCGCGCATCGCGGGTGGATCGAGGCGTCATGATTTCCCAGCAAGATGAGCAGAGTCCTTCATCTCTTTATGACAGGCCGTTGGAAACGGCCAACCTTCTTTGAGTTCTCTCTAGCACCGCAGACCCCAGACTCTCGATGCTCACTATAGCATGCTAGCTGCCTAGTTCGGCTTGTTGCGAACGGCCCGGTCGAGATGATGGAGGGTTGTTGTTTGATTCTGGTCTTGCTGCTGTACGGGCAGGCGAGCTGCAGCGCTTGCAGAGCTTCGAATCGCGTCAAAATTCTGGTCAGGATTGCATACCGTATCTAGGAAGTCCAAGAAACGCCACAGCAAGCCTCACCAAGATGCACCAATCCACGTCAATCTGCATGTAGAGACGAGTAGCCATTCACGGCCGTCTATCCAGACGTGTAGAAAGGGAAGTCCGGCGGAAGAAGACATGGACCACCAGCAGCATGTCACCCAAGTACCCAGGGAGCAAGTACCGTACAACACCAAATGCCACCACAATTTCACCTCACACAGACTCACCAAAAGCACTCTCCACGCATCACGAATCACGGGATTCAAGGACGCCTACAGTGTGATGGCCCACAATGGTTAGTTAGCACGGTGAGCGGGTTGGCAGTTCTTCCTTGCTGCATAGGACCGTACAGACAGACCTCGGACGAGTAGCTATTCCAGGCAATACGCTTTCCGAAGGGTGCGTATTCGAATTTCGCGAAGCACACTTGAGCCACTGATTCTTCTTTTGGGCCTCTGCGGTGGCCACTCACAAAAGGGCATGAGATGAGTTAATCATTTAGGATTTCAACGACTGGAGATGGATTGGTCCTTTCATACCGGAGCAGGGCTTGCTTACGTTTCTTCTTATATCGTCAAGGATGATTGGATTAGTCTGGTTGGAGGGATCCAGGACTGCAGATCGCCTGTGTTTCAAGGCGTAGGAAGAATTGGCGAGCGATCAGGATTTAAGATCGTGCTAGGACGGAACCAGCTCTAAGCTTGAGGATCCCAGCCGCCTCGGTAACCGTATCCTGGAGTGCACAAAGGAGCGTGAGGACCCATGCAAGTGTCAGAATCCCTGGTCCCTTCCCAAACATCCCGGCAATCGGTGTCGCTGTCCCACCCGGAAAACTTGCACTCTTAGACCAGGAGCTTGGGGTTCTTGAATCTTGATCGTTGTCATAGGCGTTTCCCAGTCGCCAGCGCTTCATGAGAGACATCCACGGCCTCCAGCTTTGGTGAACAGTCAAGGTCACGTCGGGTGTGGTGTTGACAAGAGTAAAGAAAAAAAAACACTGTAGCAATATCACCGTATGCATATAGCTTGCCTGGATATGGCCATATTACCCCTCCAGCCACATGCAGCTTTGGAGCTGCTGACTTCAGAAACAAAAAATCCACTTTGCTGTAGGGTACTTGAGCACCCAAGACCTGCAGAAGCGCCCACTCACATCAGCCCAACGCTGTCAGCATCGAAGCTTTTTTGGATTTCTGCGCCACGACGGTACAAAGCTACTTATCCTTCAGCCCCAGTTCGGGCGGGCTGTCTAGCTGCGTATCAACAAATTCGCTACTCTGCCCGCTTCCTCTGCCAGGTCCGGCATCTTCTCTCACCCACTATCCAGGCCCGTCTTTAACATTGCGCAGGAGCCAGGAATCGACCAGCCTCCACCTCTATTCGCCCTAAGAAGACCCCCAGCGCCTCTAAGAAACAGGGAGAACTCAAGCTGGGCCAAAACATTCTGATATTATTGAAACTGTCCGTCTTCCCAAAAACCTTTCGCCACAACTAGGGTCTCATCGGAAGAATTACAAGTTATGGCTACTTCCTCTCATGCCTGTTCTCTGTAATTTTTGACCCTGCTCAGCTCCTCGCCGCCGAGAATACAGTGCTTTTCCGTCCACAATAATATCGACAGGAAATTCGAATACCCGCTGCCATCTCTCTTGCCGTCTCCTCTGATTTTGCGGATGATGAGTGGAGCGTTGTACTGCCTTTTACTTTCTTCCAGATTGCAGATCTCGACCTCAATTGGCAACTCGAAGAAAGGGCTTTCTTACTCACACCCTCTCCCAGGAGATCGTCCCAGCAGTCAGTCACGCAACCGCCTAGACCTAGAATTCCACCTGTAGTATTCTATGATTCGCGGCACCAATTAAGATCTAGAAGAGCTCGCGACGCATTGCCTCTAGGCCCTTGGTCTCGTCTGGTCTCTTCTATATACATCATCCCAGGTACTAAGACTCCTACTGCGGTGCACGGTACCTGCTTGGAGATGAATATATCCAGAGTGGGGGTGCTCTTCGATCTACATAAAAGTGTCGAGTCCCCACTCGTCAACACTTACACCTCACCACTCTTTTTTTCAAAGGTCAACACTGCCTCCACCACTACATGTTTTTTCTCATTTAGTTTCAGTATATTCTGTCGAGATGTTGCTCACTCTTAAACAGCCAGCAAATCACGGCTACAAGGTCTATTCTCCTCCTACACCACCCTCGAGCTCTCGTTTCTTGGTAGCATCGCCCTCGACTGGACACTCACTTGCTACCGTCCCTACCAACAACAAGTCTCTCCCGCCTTTGCCCTCAAAATCAATGTCGGGCCCGCATAGAGGTCTGCCTCCTCTAAATTTACCTTCAGCTCAAACTCAACAACAACATCCACCGGCACCGCCAGCACCTATAGGTCAACCACCTTTAGGACAACTGCCGGCTCCACCACAACAATGGCAAGGTGCCGAAGAGTCGATGAGGAATTGGCTGCACGCAAAAGCCGAAGAAGACAAGAGGAAGCAAGAGGAAGAAAAGACAAGACAAGAATCGCTTCGTTTGGAGCAGAGGAAGATCGAGCAAGATATGTTGAGACAGTCTTTGAATGGAGGCATCCCGCCCTACATGATTCCAATGGTTTTTGCTGGAATGGGAGGTGGAAATCTTCCAAATGCTAGCTTGGAATGGGCCCAGCACTACATGGCACAGGCGCACCATCTTCAGCAGCAACAACAGCTCCAGCAGCAGCAGTTACTTCCATCACAAGGTCAAACTTCTCCCGAGCAGGTCCAGCGCAGAGATTCGAGAGCAGTAGGCCCTCCATACGGTACTCAGCAGCATCCAGTCCCTATCACCCTTCCATCAACACCAATAGGTCCAGGAGGCTCTCAGCAGGGTTCCAACTTTCCACCCAGCTATCTGATGTCCCCAGCATCTCGATCCCGTCAGGGTCCTCAAGCGCAAAGTTCAATTGCCAGGCCGCCTCAGACGTCTCACTTACCTAGGCTGAATACGGGAGAAATCCACATCCAGCCACCTCCGGCAGGTCCAAGCATGCAAATTCTCCCAGGTCAACCAGCAAGTCACCCATTACAGCAGTCACAATCAGTTCAACAGCAGGAGTCACAATCTTCTCCATCAATCTATTTTCACCACTGGCAGCCGCCCACAACGCAAGCAGGCACATCGAGTAGTGCAAATCAGCCTACGACTCCTTCAGGCAAGAAATGACCGTTCCCTTGTTCAACAGGATTGCGTTTTAATGTCTCCCCAGATCATACCTCGTCCCCAAAGAAACGCAAGGCTACTGGACCTCAACAACCTGCACCGCCACCAACTTCACAACCACAGTACACCTCTCCTCCCTTCTCACGGACAGGATCGTCAGTCTCGAACACACCTTCGAGCCGACGAAGAGGGCACTCGAGGCAGAGAAGCGATATGTCCTCTCGAGGGCTGGATTCGTACGGACGACCCTCCAGTCGCCAAGGTGGCTTCACTTCGCGTGGTCTCGCGTCCCCAAGCCAAGCTCAGAGTGGAGAGCCAACGCAAGTTTCTACTATGTCTGCAGAAGCTCCGCGACGACGATCCGGGGGTTCACACCCCGTCTCCTCGCTTTTGGAGCAGAGCGAGTCGCGGCCACAGTCGCAAGCACATCCGCAATCTCAAGCATCACAACAACAAACGCAAGGCGATCCTCAGTACTCGGCTGGACCGGAGATGAGGCACGAAGCACGTCGTTCGTCGGTGGAGGGAGAGAGCTCTCGAGGAGGAAACGTTATCAAGCGAGATGAGGGGCGAGATTGAAAATGTTTCAGACAGAGTTTCTCTCCGGGGCCCACTTTCCTCCACAAAATTTCCTTACAGCAAGATGATCTAAGCCAAAACACGCCAGGTTTACCATGGATTCCGCCTTCAAGGGCGACGAAACGAGACGAACACGACCGAAATGAGATGGAGTAAGATTTACTTTCACCTTATGCAGAGACTGCATTCCGATTTCAGGTTCAGCTCGCCGCGATCCTGATGCCCTGAACCCTGCGTTGCATTGCTTTGCTTTGTTGGTTTGATGGCATGCACATTTTTACACTTCACATTCTGCGTCACCTTGATCCGCTTCATTCTGACGATTTAGAAGATACCCATTTATTGTTTGCCAGGTACAGCATTTGTGCATTTTCAACTGGAGTTTCGATTCGCCTTCTGACACGACGACCGACCGGAAATTGTACGCTTATTGTACATTATACTCAACTTTTTACTTCGATTCTGATTTGTGTCTTTTTATTCGAGGACAGGGCATTGGGCAAGGACCCGTTGTATCATATGATTATTTGGCATGGGAGGGTGCGCTAGACGCTTGGATTGTCTACTCTTCGTTTTGTTCTCTTCCCGCTCCCGCGCTGCGAGGCATGGACGGAAGCTGGAAAGAAATTTTGTATATATTTTTGTGGGCTTCAAAAGGAGGACGGATTTGGGAGTGCTACCAGAAAAAGGTGGAATCTGATTCTGATTCGGATGGTGACGAGAAGAAAAGCATGGATTACAGGACATGGGAAGATGCAGCCGCAATGAGCGTGAATCCGGCTCCTTGCTGGATAGCTGAAGGGCACGCAGGTGAATTTTTTTCTTGCTGAGGAACAGACATGGTCAATCAAAGAAGCTTTCCTCGCACCCGACCAGGACTTCCTTCCTAGTGTTTCCAGCATCTCTTTCCAAGCTCCTTTCTGGCTCATTTCCTCTCCCTCCAAAATAAATCAAAACAAACCTCCTCATCATCACAGGTCCCCACTGCGGAAATGGGGAGTACAGTAGATTAGCCACAGCTGGCTGGCCCAGGATGGTGAATGGGAGCGCCAAGTGCAGCAATTATACCCTTCCAGCGATCAAACATACGCGTTTCTTCTTTTCCTTGACCCTGCCTTACCTTACCTTGCCTTGTGTGCCGGTATGCTGCTTGCAAGGCTCAGGCTCAGGACGCAGCGCGAGCCATGACCACTGACCCCGATCCTGGGAAATAAGAGCCGCCCGATAAGTAAATTGCGGGGATAAAGGATGGGATGTTCCAAGGCAACGCAAACGCACGCATGCAGCACGCACAGACGTTTCAGTTTCACCTTTTTCTCGATGTGTGATATGAGATGAGATAGAAGACCCCTGGATTTGCGATTTCCGATGCTGGTGGTGGGTGGGTGGGTGCAGTGTGAGGAGTTCGGGACGGGGACGGATGAGCTTGGACGTTGCCCGCCAGTCGGGGCGATATGGTGCGTGGGTGAGCCTGGTTATGGATGGGATGGATGGGATGGATGGGATGGATGGGGACTGAGTGAGACAACTGGGGCAGCAGGGAGGGGGAGAGAGAGGTCTAGAACGAATGGATGCATGGTGGAGCTGCTGTGTACAGTACGGTACTGTAGATTGCTGATTGTCTGGATTGGTGGCCTTCTATTGTTGATGAGTGAGCCAGAATGCAAGAGAGCGAGCGAGCGAGTGAGCGGACCGGATGCGAGGAGATAGGATGGATGATTGATTGATGTCTACAGTACAGTACTGTACTGTATTGTATCCGAACTCTGGGACCTTGCATCCGGCTGCTGCTGCAGATGGGATGAAAGGCTTGTTCCGAGGACAGACAGACAGACCTACATGATACTTTCAGCCCTGGAGTTTCAAACCGCTTTCTTCGGACCGAAGAATTGGGACGAACCTTGGATCATCATCATCATCATCATCATCATCATCATCAATCAATCATCAATCATCATCAATCATCATCAATCATCATGTGGGAAACAACCGTGGTGGCCACGTTCCCACCTTTTCTTGGCATTAATTTATCATAGCACAGCCAGCAAACGCATTCCATCTTGCGCCGTTACATACCTACAATACCGTACGCAACAGACGTGCGTAACCTTGCCGTCGCTCACTTTCCACCGAACGTAGCTCTGCCGTTCGAGAAGCGGCACGGATCACTCTTCCTTCCCTTGGACCTTGCTACATACTGTACATGAACATAATTACTTGCGGGTGGACCAGACCAGAACCAGAACCAGACCTCGGTCAGGCGGCGAGCCGTTTGACGACAGGCAGGACGGCACATGGCCACATGCTGCTACTGTACGGGAGAATACAGTCCATGTACATGGTACATGGACAGCTTTTCATCACTTTTTGTGCGTACCTGCATCTCGTTTCGGCCGGAAACAGCGTCAGCAACAAAGTAGCCGTCATCAACCGCGCGCGAGTGAGCCGACGTACATTACATTACAGCGGCACAATAGAGTACCGTACCTGAATGAATGACTGAATGTCACAGGGAGAATTGATTAACAAGGAATACGACGTCCGAAAGAGGGAATCATAACGAGGCAGGAGTGAGGATGATGAGGATGAGAGAGAGAGAGAGAGAGAGAGAGAGAGAGAGAGAGAGAGAGATACAAACGACGCCACAACCTTGTTCCTTGTCATCCCTCCCTCATTTCAGCCACAAAACAGAAAACGGGTCTCCGCAATCAAACCAAGCGTTAGTTTCGAGCTCTCATCACCGTCAACAATCTTAACGTACATACGATTACGGACATCTTCAGATGAGTACCTCAGTGAAGGTAATTACGTGAAAATCCGCAAAACACTCAAGATGAAACGACGGACACGTCCTCATCGGGAAACCATGGCCAGCCACCAGCCTTGCGAAATCACCACCTCACGCACTCACTTACGCCTTCTGGAGAGAGAGATTGGGGCAACGCCCTATAACGACATGCATGCTAATTTCCCGCACCAGAGGCACGAACAGGAACAGGAACCAGACCCCCAACAGACCCCAACAACAACAACAACAACAACAACAACAACAACCAGCAAGCAGGGACCGGGAACCACATGTGGAAAACACCCCTTTCGGACGGCGGACGCACGGCCAAGAATTTCGAGAGAGGGCAGGCAATATAAATTCAGGTACGCTGCTCCCGTCGGCTGATTTTCCCATCCATCCATCCATCTGCATATTTACATTACCCGCACGAACGCAGCCCTTTTATGCTGCTGGTGCAAGGAAGTGCTAGCCCAGCCCTCTGCTTAATATGTCTGCCGTGCTGACTGAGGGCGGAGGGGATGTGATGTGATGCCAATTTGTGCAGATTGCACGCTGGAGCTGCTTTGGGAAGTTCGTCCTGGGGGCTGTTCATATATGAATACCCCTCGAGAGGTGCGAGGAGTCGGCGATGTTGCACCTCTCGTCCAGTGACGTGGGGGAGCGTCGTGAAGTTTATAGTAATAGCTCACGTTGGTATGATTGCGATGATGGGAGTCTCTTTTCTTGTTTGTTGCGCGAGCGAACGGCCGACGGGATAGATGCGCGCAGGTAGTTCTGCCATATGGAACGAAGGGACAGTGGTTGAGAGCCGCCGGGGAGGGGGAAGTGACTCAACGTTTCCCTTCGTTCGTCCGTTTTGGGACATCTGGAGTTGATATCGTCATTTGGATGAATGGCGACTCTCGTGGCTTTCATGGAGAGGATGTCGTGATCCGTATCTGTACGGCCTCTGGAGACGCAGAGCATAGATTGTTTTGTCACGATTCTGGTTCTGGGACGTGGTTCGTATGGCCAGATCAGGTACTTGATGGTGATACTGTTGAGCTCTTGCATACCGAGTAGATGCGCAAGCGAGGATTGGTTGCTGAACGTGTTGGTACGTGCAGTACCGTTATCGACTTCCTTCAGACGATGTCTGTCCCATTGATAGTTTCCCTTTGGTAAGTACCTTAGGCATGTGGAGTTGTCCTATATCTCAAGTCATGATAGGTGCCAGTTTGCAGACGAATCTGGCACTCGTACTCGTCTCATGCTGGTGAGTGACTCGGATCACTCGAGATGCAGCGTCTTTGGAAGTACTGCCTTGCTCTCCACAGGATATCGAATCTTGGTAAGTAAAACATGTTTTTGAGCATCGACTGAGGGTGTAGATGATCACTTCGATCTGGTTCGCTACCTATCCCGAGGCTGTCTACTGTTTGTTCCTCTCGCGCGACTTCAACATGGGGTATTTCGATAGTAGGTGGCCGTTGAGTTCAACCAAGCCACTCCTCGCCGACTCTTAGAAATACAGAACGGCGATCTAGGCCGAAGAGCTTGGAGTAGAACCTAGTGATTCGAGCGTTGCTAGCAGTAGTTTTGCTCAGTAGACGGTTTAGTACGAAGAAGAGTAGCAGGGTCATCTCAGTCTCGAAAGCTCTAACAGCCGCCATCGAAGCTCTTACTACCGGTACTAGTTTCTGAGCTTTCTGATATCGATCAGGGTGTATTTAGATCTGACTGCGATACTGCGACAGTGTAAGTATTTTGTTCAGGCGACATTCCTATTTCACAGAGCAACCCGTGTTGATTGAACATTGAATGCTCTTGTTTCAACCTTGCTTTTGTTCAAATTCTAGTTTCGATCCAAAGGATCTATGGAGAGAGAAATAGTTGGAGAGGAAAGGAGCTCGAAGTGGAAAATTAATAGTCAAGCTAGTGTTCGACGCTTCTTCTCAATATGCATCGGGAACCAGACTCTTTCCTCTTTGCATGTGCTCGAAGTGATGCACACAAGTAACAGTTGATATAAACGTCACAATCAAATATGCACAATGGATTCTGTTCAGATGGGAGAGGGGCATTTGTACTGTGAACGCCGAAGCCATACCAACACTTCTCTCTGCCTTCATTGACCCAACATGAATCACGACTTTGACAAAGCAAGTCACGAATTCATCACCCAGTTTCCTCCCATCTGAAATTCTAGAATCTCAAAAATACCATTAGAATCATTGCCCACGACAGTAGAAGACGAACCCGGCCTTCGACCGGCATTGAGTCGGCACCGGTATTCGGCACCGGCGTCCAGACATCTCAAATCCATATATCCTCCCGTGTAACTCCACCAGAGCCTCTCCTCCTCACTTACCACTCACATCTCTATCTCCACCTCCTCAAGAATGCGCATCCTCCTCCTCGGCGGGACAGGAAACCTCGGCCGACGCCTCATCCCCGCCCTCCTATCCCACAACCACACACTAACCCTCCTCCTGCGCAACCCCAGTAAACTCACCTCCCTCATCACTCCCAACCTCCACGCCCTAATCTCCGCCATCGAAACCGGAGACGCCACCGACGCCGCCGCTATCAAGCGAACGCTCGTGGCACACGACATCGAAGCCATCATCAACGTAGCCGGCGACCAGGTGCGCTCGGGCGAAGAATGGGTCCTACCCAAGATCGCGAAGGCTGTTACGGAGGCCGCGATCCAGGTTAGCGAGGAGAGAGGAAAGGGCAGGGAGTTGAGGGTCTGGATTACGTGTGGGTTGGGAATTGCTGCTTATCCTGGGACGGGGAGATTGATTCAGGATTTGTGAGTCCCTCCTTCACACAGGATTGATGTCAATGTTGATGTTGATTTTTATGTAACAGTCTCCCCAAATTCGCAACACAACAACACAACGCGACCCTTGAAATCGTAGAACGCATCCCCGTCTCCTCACTCCGCTGGTCCTTACTAGCCATCGCAATGATGTACCCGCTTAACGCCGACCAAGGCCCCTATTCCCCCATCACAGAGCCGAAACCTCACGGTTTGCAAGTCGGCGCAGGTTCGCCGCCGCGGTGGAAAGACCATTGGTTAGGAAAACTGTGGTGGGTTGGCCTGTATTTGAATGTGTGGCGAGCGGTGTTGGGGGATTATTGTACGCATTATGAGAATGTTGCGGATTTCCTGGCGGAGGATGTGCAGAGGGATGGGGAGGAGTGGGTTGGGAAGAGGGTTGTGTTGTGGGAGGATTGGGGTGTTTGAGGTTGGTTGTTGTGTGGTGTTTCTGTTGGGGTGCGAGGAAGACATAAATCTTTGTCTCACTTATAACATATATATTTAATGAGACACCTTCAAAGACTCGGAGCGATAACGATCTAGATGAATAACCAGAAACTTCACCGCAAAGAATCTCGCTTGCAGAAGCTCGCTTAAAAAGGAGTTCCATCCTAGAAACTGACAGAACAACCTCATCTTCTGTACATCAATGACAGACCCTAACAAACCTTGAATCTTTGAAATAAACGTACATTAGCGACCAAGCTTCTAAAACACCGCCTACATCAATAAACATACCCCCTCTCACATACGCAATAATCCCAACATCCTCGAGCGAGCTTTGTCTTCTCCTAGAATCAGATAGCTCTAAAACAGCCAAACATCCTCACCACCCATCATCACAAACCTAATTCCAGACATCGAAAACCAAACAATTCATCAAGCCAGTCTAAGAACCTAAACCAAAACCCCTCAAAAGCTAACCACCCATACCCACAACCTCCCTTCCATTCTCAAACCACCCGGGACCCAGCCATCACAAAAACCGCCCTGTCGCCTTTAGACTTCCACACCATCAATCAAACTCGTACACCCCAACAACGAGTGACAACATATCTCAATCTTCCACCAACCGTCAAAGCAGCAGCCCTGAAGCTCAAAAGTAAGATTTAATCTCCAATCTCAAGCACCGCTTGCTTACATCTCCGTCCCTCCTCAACACCTCTAAACATAAATCTAGAAGAGCAGGAGTTAACCTCACGCTTTAATTTTTTTAGTTTAAACTTTTTTTGTCTCATAAAAAATAAAAATCACAATGTCAACTTTCCAAACCTCAAGCTTGCTGCTGCCCAAAAAATCCAATTCTAATTCCAATTCCAACCCAAAAAGACAAACACTCATCTCCCGCCCGTACCCTCGAACAAGCCCTCCTGTACCTACTCCTCCCTCCCTCCCTCCCTCCCTCCCTTCCCTTCCCTCTTCTCCCCTATCCACAAAACTAACCTCCTCCTCCCTACAGCAACACAACCCTCGAAACCGCCTGGACTCAACGCATCCCCCTCCTCTCCCTCTCCACCACAGCCGCCGAACGGCGACGCATCCGCGAGAACAAGGCGCTCGATCGTTTATCTAGCCGGGTTGCGAGTTAGGTATGCTGCTTCGAGAGAGGTGTATAGGGGACGGATGGTGCTTTTGGGGTATGAGGCGTGGTTGAGAGGAGGGGGGGGAAGGACGGGTATTTAGGTAGATGCATGGATGGGAGAGAGGATTGGTGCTCCTTTGTCTATTTCCCGTGGATAGTTGTAATGTTTTGGACTTGACCACCTCGATGAACTCGAGTAGCACTAATAAGTTCGAATGACAAGGCCTGATAATGGTTTATGAACCTCTATTCCTATCCACTCACTATACAAGACCATCCATCCATCCATCCGTTAATCGTTACAAAACATCATGCTATACCGCATCAGTATATGCCGTCTGCATCTAAGGTATCAAAGCCCAACCCAAGATGCAATATGCAAAGTATCTGATTCTTTCTCTCGCTCGATCGCTCTTTCGAAGAAATCCCCATCCATGAACCCCCTCCCTTCCAAACGCCCACGCTTATAAGAAATAAACACGCACACTCCAGCCCATCCTGTCCATCCGATGAAAATTCCATGCGTTTATACAATCCCTTTCCTTCCCGCCTTTCATCCCTAGCTATGTTCAACGAAGTGAAAGCACCGTTCAAGTACCCTTCTTCCCGTCCACGCCATCAACAACACCATCAATTCTCACCACACTGCTTATTCTCTTTCCCTTGCCAGATTCTGCATAATTTTCGTCCTTGGCACTCTTGTATTTGTCTCGAATATTACCATCAATACTACCCTTATTGCTCTTCGACGATAAGCTCTTTGGGCTTAATTCATCTTCATGTAGATTCTGCTTGCTAACACTAGTATCAACAACGCTCTTCCTGTGTATAGGAAACTTCGAGCCAGGACTAGATCGAGAATCAGAAGATCCATCGATATCGAATCCACGTTCACGACGCTGAGAGTGTATCGGTGGAAGCTCTGGTGTAGTAGTGCCAGGAGTGAGGAAAGGAGGAGATGCAGGATTAGCAGTCGGAGTTGACGTCCCTGAAACGCCAGAACTAGTTGGTCCATTCATTTCTCGGAGGACTTGATGAGCGACTTTTCTGGCTTCTCCCTGGAGATCTTGAATTTGAATCGGTGGCTGCTTCACGTTAACGAGAATACTGGGACACGGAGAAATGATCTTACCTGTTGAATATATTGGTCCAACTTCTTCTTCAGCACATTCGATCGTACAGGTTTAGCCAGATAGTCGTTCATTCCCGCCTCCAAACATTTCTCCCTGTCACCTTGGATCGCAGAGGCAGTCATGGCAATTACCAGAATGTCTCGCACGGCTTCGATAGGATCCTTGCGCAATAGTCTCGTAGCACCATAACCATCAAGAACAGGCATTTGGACGTCCATGAGAATGATATGACAAGGATGTCCTGCCTTTGCATGCTCCCGCAATCCCTCTACTGCTTGGAGTCCGTCGTCATAGGCGAAGATGTCCTTGAAACCAAGCTTCTGCATAAACTGTACTGCGATTCTCTTGTTGACTGGATTGTCTTCAGCAATACAGATACGCAATTGGTCTCGAGGAACGTTTTGAAAGTTCTTGAATGGCGTGACAGGCCGTTGACGATCAGCGTCGACGAACTTGGCCATAGGATCATGATTGTCATTTCCATTCTGGCAGTCACCAACAGCTGCTTCCTTGGCTTTTTGGAAAGTGACTGTGAACCATGCAAGTGTACCTTGACCCTCAACACTTTCAAGCTCGATTTGGCCGCCCATCATAGATTCGATAAGGGATCGACAAATGCTAAGGCCGAGGCCACTACCACCATATTTTCGAGCAGTACTAGCATCAGCCTGGCTAAAGGGTTTGAACAACTTCTTCAATTGCTGAGGAGGAATGCCGATTCCAGTGTCTCTAACCCAGAAGGTAAGTTTGACCTCGTCATCAGTCTCCAGATCAGTCTTTGCCCCAATGGTGATTGATCCATTTTCTGTGAATTTCAGACTGTTAGATACCAGATTACCAAGAACTTGGTGCAATCGAACTGGGTCGCCAAATATGAGACATTGGGGCAATTTGATGTCCTGGAGGATCTCAACATTTCTCAAGTTCTTCTTGTCCCGATTGCTGTACGAGACTGAACGGAAAACTTCCTTCATCATCTCATCAGCCTTGAACGCAACGATGTAGAGTTCCATTTTGTCAGCTTCCATCTTTGAGAAATCGAGGATGTCGTTGATGACTGTGAGCAGCAGGTCGGCTGAGACACGAATCGAATCTGCCATCTCAACTTGGTCTTTGGTGAGCTCGCTATCCCTAAGCAATTCTGAGTTGCCAATAACACCATTTAGTGGTGTCCTCAACTCATGTGATACATTGGCCAAGAAGATGGACTTGGCCTTAGCTGCCTCCTTAGCAAGCTTGACATTGCGAAGAGCCTCGGCCTTTGCTGCATTGGCTGCTTTCTCGGCATTTATCGCCTTCTCGAGAGCTCTCTTTTGCACATCAACCATGGAATTGTTAAATGCGGAAACTTTTTCGACTTCTTTTAGAGTGAGAGCATTGGAGTAACTGATGCCGATCTGGTTGACAAGGAGCTGCAAGACAGTGAGGTTGCGATCCGTGAACACATTCGGTTCTCCTTCCAGGTAGAGAACACCAAGCAGAGGCTTCGATCCGTGACAAATGGGTAACGCAATGACGGACTTGCTGAAAGGATTACGTGCTGCCCAGGCTTCGGTGACATTGCTGAATCGTTCGTCATGTGTGACATCAGGGAGGAAGACAGTCTCTCTGAAGCGTGTGCAGTATAGAATGACCCCTTCAGCCACGAGATCGGTCTCGCTGACTGGAAGTCCAGGTATGTGGGCCATGGCTCCCTTCTCTGGATCACCGCTCGCAGCGATGCTCCAGCCTATTGGATCATCGTCCTCAACAACGATAGCTGCCAGGGTTGCTAAACCACCACAATTCTGTAGAATGATTTCGCACATGGTCTTCAGTAGCTGGTCGACCTGGAGCACACTTGAGATGACCTGAGAACTCTCGAGAATCGATGTAAGGTCAAGCATGTCTAAAGCGGGGAGACCAGAGCCAGCAGCATCGCGCGCCGAGCCACCTTGCCAAGCACCGATACGATCGCCCTTGCTCTCGATGATTATCGCACGGGTTTGTTGTCGTACATCATCTTCATCACCTTCCAACGTGGTATATTGAACGGGAGCGGAGTCTCCAGCGAAGTCGGTTTGTACACCTGCATCGGCACTGCGCTGAGTCCTAGTCGGACCTTGTAGGAGAAGACTATGCTCGTCTTCGATGTATTTGGCGACACCAACAGCACCAAGGCTGCGATAAAGTGCAGTAGCTTCGCGTAGCGATGCCTTTGCAGCTCTCCGAGATCCTGTTCGCAAGAAGAAGCCAGCCTGTAAGTAGTTTCCGAGCGCCTCCTCGAAAAGGAAGTCATGAGCTTCGGCATGGTCAAGTGATTTCTCATAGTGGCGCATAGCTAGACCGTGATTGCCTTCCAGTTCGGCAATCTGAGCACTCAGCAGGGTCGACCATGCGAGATAATTGACGTTGTTGACCACCTGCCAGTCTTCGATCTGCTTCCTCAAGTCCTTGATCTGCTTCACAACAACACCGATTTCTGCCTGTAGCTGAGCTTCGCTTGACTGATTGTCAATGTGGTCTGCGTCCTGGTTGACTGCTCTGAGGGGGCTCTGTAGCTTGTACCACGCCAAACCCGCAAGAGACAGACCTTGCATGAACATAATGAATCTCGTATTTCGTGAGGACCAGACCGTACTGATGTTGTTGAGACAAGCATTCCCAAGCTCGATTGCTCGAGAGTAGTGTCCGTACAGGAACAGAGGTGCCATCTCAATCCCTTCATAGAATATAAGGGGGCGACTACTATCGGTAGAGGATCCCTTCAACCAAGACTTATACCATAAAGCGTTGTGCGATTCGTCACTCATGATCTCGAGGGGGTCGTTGGTATTGGTCCTACCTTGCAAAGCACGACAAGCTTGACGAATGGCAATTGCCATAGTGCCACCACGAGTATCATGCTGCCAATTGGGGACTTCCTCGCAGCCGTACTGTAGAAATGCTTCAAGCTCGGTGACATTTTCCGAACCAAAGAATTTGAGAGTTCCTACCAGCCCGAAGTTCAAGATTGTGGAGATCCGATCGCCTGCTTGGATAGCATATTCCAGTGCGCCTTCCAGTTGTGCAATGGATTCTTGGAGGTTGACTTGAATGTGGCCGACGAAGAGAGAATAAATTGTCCCACCACGACCCATGGTATAAGGATCCCGCCATCTCTCCATGAGCCTCAGGGCAATCTTTCCCATGTCGCTAGCAAATTCCATCATGTTGAATCTGGTAATGGCAATCATAGCAAAATGAACATAGGCCATTCCAGCTTGAGGAAAACTGCCCAGCTCAATCTGGGTATCAACCATGACAAGAGCCATCTGGTAGAAGGTAAGAGTGTCTGTCCAGAATGCCGCACTGATGGTCTCGACGAGCACAGCACCAACAGCAGCAAAATTGGAGTCCTTCGCCATAACTCGACCTACAAGCTCTTCCGGCTCCATGGATTGGATCTTCAGTGATAGGCGTTCAAATTCCTTGTCAAGCTTCTCAAAGGTCGGGTCGTCATCAACATGAATATCGAGGGCGCCTAGACAGTACTTTAAAGCGCGAAAAGCCGCTGGCGAGTCGCTTTCTTGAGCATAAAGTCGTGATTGCAATACCCAAGCAGGAGCCTTGTCGACAGGTGTTTTCGCTCGAGCGAAGACTGTCTCTAAGAGCTGCTTAGCTTCGGAATACTGCCCCATATACAAATATGTCTCAGCAGCTCTCGTGTGCAGGTGGAGTGTTTCGTCATAATAAGCGTCTGGCGTCCCGTCCGTCCAAGCCTTGTCTTGCAAAAGTGCAAAACAAGCTTTATAGAACTTGGCTGCTGTTGGTCGCGCACCACTTTCAGCGGCAGATTGTGCACAGTCGGCTAAAAGCTTTCTGAAAGATTGTCTGTGAAGGATGCGCTTCTTGATGATATCAATTGATTCGCAGATATGCTCAGCAGTGGTTGAGCGAGATCTTTCATCAGCAGAATAGTACTTCATCATAGTTTGAGCAATGATGAAATGCATCTTCGAAGCGTTGCACTCTCCTAGAGAAGTAGCTGCTTGCATATAGCGATCATGTGCGAATCGGAATCGATCATCATCTTGTGTAGCAATGACGATATAGTTTTGGATGGCCGCTTGCAGTCCTTCTACAGCGCCTTGTTGGGAGTGCGTTAACGAGTAGGGTTGGGAAATCTCCATGTTCGGTGCTGTATCGTCGTAGTCAAACTCCCCACTAAGAAGCCTCTGGACGAGGTCGAAAGAGAAGGAATTGCCAATCAATGACGCCCAGGCAAGGATCGATCTCGAAGCAGATGGTAACTCGTTGAGACGACTAGTAACAAACGAAGTGTTCAAGGTATCGTGGTAATTCTTCGTTTCGAACTGCGTAAATATCTTGTCCAAGTCGTAGCACCAACCACTCTCTTTGTAATCGTAGTATATGCAGTGGTTTCGATGACAGCTATTAAGCATCTCTCGCATGTAGAAGGGATTACCCGCTGTCTTCGATTGAATGACCGCAGCTAGAGGTATGACATCAACCTCTGATCGACACAAAGTCGCAGCAACGTATTGCTTGATATCTTCCTCACTCAAAGGTTTTAGTGTCACCCGAGTCACGCCAACGCCGCCTGTCTTGATGTATTCTATCAAAAAGTTAGCATGGCCAAGTTTATAAGAAGGGGTGTGCAAACTGATACCCTGTGAATTAGGAGGCTCAATGATGCCTTTAATTCTCTCAGGTAAGATTTCATCTGGCCGATAGGTCACAATGATAACCATCTTCATCCGAGCAGCAATGATCTGGGTGATCAGATCCAACGATTCGTCGTCTGCGAATTGTAGATCATCTAAACAGAAACAGATGAATTTATGTTGCGCAAATACTCGTAAAACATCGAGAGTGGTGTTCATAAGTCGTAAAGATTTTGTGGAAGATCCAGCACGGAGGAAGTCTTGTGAGCTTTGAGAACCAAGAGCCATGCTGTATAGACTGCCACGTGAACTTGAAGAAGGAGAAGACTCGCGTCTCGGATTCATTTCTGCTTGTAAACTCCGATTGTAACCTTGCTGCGATAGTTGACTTGAGTGACCACGCTGGGGAGAGGGCATGGGACCCAAAAGGAATTCCGGGAGACCTAATGCTTTGTGCAACATTGGCCATGCAGGCTTGACGTACTGCTTGAGAAGTTGATGGAAAGGAGTGTCGGTATTGCTCTCAGAAAAGACTTGTTTGAACAGACTTGAAAGAAGCTTGAGAACTGGTCCAAAGGGTGTTTTCTTGGCTTGGTCGAATTTTGAGCTTGCAAAATAGCCTCTCCGGCGTGCTTCAACTTGAACGGAGTGCACAAGACAGCTCTTCCCTAATCCTGCAGCACCTGAGATAGCGACCACTTCGCAACGACCTTTTCGTCTGAATTTTTGACTATTTGACTTGCTGGCCAAGCTACCAACCCCGTCCGAACTCGATCGACCAGTAGCGTTATCCGAATTCATCGTCTCCGCGACACTCTTGTTGTCCAAAGACGTAGAGTTGTTCTTCTCCCAAGGCCGCATAAGTCGAGTACCGCCCGACCGAGACGAGGCATCCTGGCTGTCGAGAGAATTATGCTGAGATTCTGCAGCAGATCGCATTTGACTCGACGAACCGCTTCTCATAGTCTTGATCTCTCCAGACATCCCTCCAGACAACCCTCCCGTAGTTAGCGAACTCGATCGACCTTCAGCAGAACTAGTATTGTCTCCTTCGCTTGAACCGTCACCCGCAACTGCTATCATTTCAAGACGTCCATCTGACATGCTCGAACTAGAGGACAAACTATGAAGGTCTTGCCTCTGACTGACCATATGGCGCCTCGAAACCTTGTCAATGACTTTGACAACTTCATCATGTTCTGATGCTCGGCCGATCATGACTGTTGGTAAGATGAAGAATGACGAGATGTCCTTGGTGGCTATCTTCCAGTTCCTGAGAGCTGCAGAATCTCCCGCACCAAGCAACTTCCTCACTTCCATGAGATCGTGTCTCAAGCCACTGACTGAATGATACCTCTCTCCAATGATCTTAGCTGTCATCTTCTGAATGATTCTTCCGATAACGTCTGGTATGTCGAGTCTGATACTAGAAACCAGTGGTAGTCGTCGACTGAGAACACCTTGAATAATGTCCATGGGGGTTGCACCGTCAAAAGCAGGTTGTTGTGTCAACATAGTCCAGAACAATATTCCTAGAGAGTAAATATCTGTCCTAGAATCAGGCTCCGCAGGCATACGGCCAGTTTGCTCAGGGCTCATATAGGAGAGTTTAGTTTTGGCGCCTACTTCCTTAGAAAGTGTGGACCATCCGGTACTGGTGAGGCCATGCTCGAATGTCCGAAGGCCAGATCCAAAGTTGATGAGTCTAACCTTACCATCCATCATATTCATATGAAATGCGTCTCCTCTAATTTCTCCGTGCACTATTCTCTGTCCATGGTGTAGAATTTCCAAGCATTCGGTAGCACCAACCGCAAAATCAAGGAATGTTTGTAGGGGAACCACCTCTTTTGCCACAAACTCATCTCGGAATGCCTCGAGTCTATCTTCGACCTTTCGTCCTCGGTACCAGGCTAGGCCATAGTCGATCACTCTTGGTAAGTAATTCGGGCCAGGATCTTCGAATATACAGACAACCACGGGCCCCTTGTCTCCTTGTTGACTCGGTAGCCGGACAATATTGAGGGGTCTGATAATATGATTTCCGTCTGGGTCGACCTTCTTGATCAAGTTCTTGCAGATGTGATATGCCCGTTCTTCCCGCAGAGCATGTAGCGAGACTCGAGCAACGACCTCGACTCGAGAGGGCTCGGCACCATCTTCATGCGAGATTTTCGACTCACTCCCACTCTCACTCTGCGTCGTCCTCGAACCATTTACACTCTGCGAGTCCTGGTGTGATGAATTCTGCGCTGAGCCCGGTCTCGACGACTCAACCGCAGCTGTAGCGCTGGCCTTCTGCCCTTCTTTCGTATTCCTGTAGCCAAAGACCTGCCTACTCGGCCGTCAATACATTCCTCACTTCCCCACCCCTTGGATTCGCGAGAACTTACCAGTTATCATAGCTTGAATGAAAGGGCTCCTTCTCCTCATCCCAAATGTACCCTGTGATCTGGCGCAGTCTCTCGTACAAGCGCAACGGAGGATCCAACTCGTTGCCCTCCCCCGACGCGACCGTACCATCCATCGTTTCGAGTTCAGAGGTTCAGATCATCCCTCTCTCATCGCACATCGTCGTCGTCGTTCTCTCTCTCTCGAATAGGGGACTCTTAGTAAGTGTCAGAAGCACTGAAATGCTTGTACACGGTTTCTGGTCGATTGAGTCTTGACCCATTCCGTTCTAGATGTTTTCCGCGCTTGTGCAGGGAGTTATGCCAGCGTTGATAGGTTTAGGAGCGGGCCTGAGAACGATCGGCGATTCGCCTATTCAGGGAAGGCGTTGTATGACTATATGACGTATGAGGACGCTAATTCTCTAGCGCCACCTTGCCGGAGCGAATCTCCTTGGTGTAAAAAGATGGGATTTGCTTTTTAAAAGGGGTGGCTCACGTCCAGAAAACGTTTTTTTGGGATGCACAGCATTGTCTTAAACTTCAACCAGATGTTCTCGAGATTTCTAGAAGACTTCCTAAATCGACGAAGATGGGAAACTGTGAAGGTGTTCAAATTTTTTGGATTTCGAGGCGCAAGATATGACGAAAGGCTGACTAATGTCGAGGGTTGGATATGGGTATTGCCACTTAGCGGTGTGTACTCATCTGATATAGACATCAGCTGATTCTGAACATCCAACCTGGAAGCATTGGACAACGAGATTGCTTCGGACATTGCATATTTCTGGCTTTTAGAATAGGAGAAGTTCGCTCGCGAACCAAGTGAGAAATTGAGAATTTCGCTTGAAAGAGAAGGAGTGACAGCGTAGCATTGTGGAAAGTATTGGTCAGTAAGCTTTTGACACCGAACCCTCAAACCGACTTCTTGTGCTTCTGCTTCAGCTTCATACAGTGGGGTGGCAATTGACTGTGGCAGAAGCGCGAAGGAAGGCGCAATTTTTTTTGACATACATATAAACAAATTCACTGAACACGATTGCAGAAACAAGTCCGCTTCAGGAGGAAAGGAGTTTTTACTAAAGGGCAAATGGGCAGTGGAAGTTCGCGTATTAAAAGGGGAAGCGTAAACCCAAAAAGATCATAGAACAAAAGCACAACCATAAGTGTTATTGTCTAAAGACGCTTTCTATGCTCTATGTAGTCGCGAGACTGAATGCCTCACAATGAGAAGGTAACCAGATTACATCCTGGTATTTTTGTGCGCAGCCATATCCGGCACTAGACAGCTTGCTATGTGTATTATCCCACAAAAACACCTCCAGACTGCCAGAACCCATGCATGCAGATTCCACCACGATGCAGAGCGTGAAAATAACCTGTCAAGCCCGCTCGAAAACAGCAATACCTCTAGACTTTCGCGCTCAGGAGATTTCCTTGGAATAAGGGTAATCTACTTGACGCTCTTGGATGGCTTTCGGCCATGGGTGCTGGAGCTGGTCTTGGATGCTGCTCGCTCTCGGGCAGGCAGCTCCTTGGCGTTGGCTAAGCCGTTAACACCAGCCTTGTTGGCCTCAATGTCGATGACCTTAGCAGCACCTGCAGCATCAGCCTTATCGGTGGCCTTGTTCCGGAAAGCTTGAGCACCCTCAAGAAGTCTTCGCTCGTTGTTTTGACGGCCATTAACGAAATCAGGATAGTTCAAGGTCAGCTCAACAGCACCATTGACAATGTGATCAGCAGCCTCAACACCAAGCATGAAAGAGTGGTCCTGGTTTCCAACCTCGTAGCGCCAGCTGCCGAAGCGACCTCTGGAGTAGATGTCCTTAGCCTGAAGCTTGGGAAGGAGCTCCTTCAGAACACCCTCGCGCTCAAGTGAAGGAGTGGGGTACCCGTGGTCGAAGCGGCGGTGGTAGGTGGAGACAATCTCATCTTCGGGCTTGATCATCTCAGTGTTGATAAGACCTTGGATGGAGTCCTTCAAGATATTGGCATGATCAACTGGCTTCATGGATGACTCGGAAATTTCCAGCATGATCGACCAGTATGGACCTTCTTGTGGCTCGCTGGACTTTGGCTTGCTGCCATTTGCCAGGTATTGGGTTGCGAGCTTGACAGATTTTTCTGGTTGATTGTATGGGGAGTAGTTGGAGAAAATGGTGGCACGGTAAAATGGGCAGTCATCCTCAGGGAAGTAAAGCTGCTACTGTCAGAATTTTTGCGGTGCAGACCAGAACAAAAAGGACTCACCCAGCACTTGTCACCAATGTTCTCTGGTCGTGCTCCTCGGATTCCGACACCAACAACATGTGTGGAGGAGTAGAACAATCCTTTGCTCAGATTGACGAGCTCCTTGTCTCCCATCTGCTCAACAAGTTGGTCAACGGCCATGGTGGTAATCAACTTCTTGTATCCAATCGTCTTGCCATCCTTCAATGTGACAGTGTGTGCATCAGCATTGACTTTGGAGACCTCCCCTTGTTTACCGAACAATGTCTTCTCCTTTGGCAGAGTCTTGGCGACCGCAATCCAGATACCGCCAGTGCCGTCGCGAGCTGGGAAACGGAAGGTCGCATTGGGGCCCCAGTTTCCTGCAGTCTTGTTAAGGAGCACGTTTTTCATGACGGTCTTGACATCGGGAGCTGCGACACGCTCTCCGAGCCATTGGCATTGCATCTGCAAACCTATTAGCACGAGATTTGTAGAGAATCCGAATGAATACAAACCTTGGTAGTAGGAACAGCCCAGACCTTGAAGTTGTAGGGTCTCATGAACAAATCTGCGATCCCAACACCCATTTGTCGGACAATCCACTCGTCGAAGTTTGTGGGCTTAGTGGTCGCAGTGCGAGCAACTAAAGCAGCATCAATCATGCCCTCCATACATCTGACCTTCTCCTCGACAGGCAGCATAGAGATGTTGTTTTGAAGTGGATACGGAACCCAGAGATTCTTGCATCGCACGTACGAGATACGTTGGTGGGTGTACCAGTCGTCCTCCTTGGGCAATGCCTCATCGATACAATCGTCGAAGTACTTGTAGTGGGAGAAGATGACATGTCCACCGACATCGTACAGCTGCAGACGCGAAATCAGTCCCTTTCTCCTGGATTATTAGGTTCGCAGACTTACGAAACCTTCGGGGGTGACATCCGTGGAGGCAAGGCCACCGGGAGTCGCGTTGGAGTCAATGATCATCCATGATGGGCCATCCTGAGATTATCAGTACATTGAATATGGGCGGTGTAAAGGCGAAAAGTACAATTTGGTTCAGACGCTTTGCAGCACCGAGTCCAGTTGGACCAGCGCCGATGACAAGGACATCGACGTTGCTGTGAAGATACAATTAGCTGCCTGTCATTGTCTTGCCAGTATTGAAGCTTGAAGCTTGAGGCAGGGGCGAGCATACATATCAGCCATCTTGTCCAGTATTGCTTGGGTTGGGTACGCGCAATCTCGTGGAAATTGAGTCTTGGTGACGGGACGAAATGTCTTGCAGATGCACTGCTCTATGCTCTAATGCAGATGAAGGGGGATATGTACAAAACGAAGGGCACGAGAGGGCACGACGACGAGATTCCTTTGCGGGAATTCGAATTCAAAAATGAGATCGAGTGGTTCAAAAGTCGAGTTCGAGGGGCCAATTATTCTAGTGACAGGGGCTACTAAACTTTTGTGGGACGCGGGCGCGAATCTGGGACTACGAAGGCGGTCAGCCACATGTGTTATCCATTGGTGCATGGCGTCTCATTATGGGTCCCCTTAAAATTGTTTTGGTTATCTACCTAGTAACATTAGACATTTTGGGATGAGCTGCAAGAAGTGTGTTTGCTGTCGGTCCTGAAAAGGGGGAGGCTGTGAAAGTTTCATGACCACTCATATCAGAGCATAGTACAGTATGTACCAGCATCTTGAAGCATCACCACCTACCATATGTACGAGGACGATGGAGCATGCAAGGCAAAATTCGTGGAGTTCGTAACGCTGACGTTCGTTTGACCCCTCTGTTTAGCCAGAACTTTGCTTGCAATCGAAAAGACGGCAGGGCAGGGCTGAGCAGGCATCCTTGGACGACTCGTATCAAATTCAAGCCTTCAACGGTTGTGCATCCAGCACGGAGATGGTGGGCCGTTCGATATATCTATACGATGCAATTTCTGATGCCATCTCCCGTTGCATCTTGAGAAAACTTGTCCTAATTTACAGACATAATGCTTTGGATCCTCAAGAGCCTCATCTACTCGTGATTTGTAGCTCGAACCTGTTTGTATCTCCATGCAACCTACCATGTTTCAACGGGATACTGCACATGCCGTGTATCTCCAACACCAAGTTTGTTTGTCCTTCCTCCTCAGATGCTTCGGCCTTTGGCATGAGTAGATTATTACCTCGCGAGTTCGAATTTGTTCGTGGTAATGATTGTCAGCAAGGATTGCCTCCTAATCCGGGATCATCATTTCCTGCTATCAAGACCCGTCATTATCACAGGTGCTTGGACTGTGTCCACTTCGCTTGTACGAGCTTCTGCTTCTGTGATCAATTCTAATTGTTGAAAAGCATGCTGCATATAACTTGAGGTGAGCATGTGCTTTTTGCCCTTCCTTCTTGACTGAAAATAAAGAAAAGTTGGTTCATACAAGACTAGAGCTTAGTGTAATACGAATCTTTGGGACCCGGCAGCTGGTGGCAGTGAAGTGGGCCGCTGCGTAAGAAGTCAGATCGTCACCGACTCCATCTGCCAAACTTCAAGTCTCCATAAGCTAAACTCAACTTAATTATAGAGTGAACCTGAAACGGATCTGCACCGTCCCAAATCACCAATGGGTCGAAAAGAAGCATTTCCAAGGACACCGCTGCCGGGAGTTGCACGGGTCGGCTTGACGAATGATAAAATCTGCTTGAGTTATCAAGACTCGTAGGCGGTCCCTCTGTGGCCGTCCGAACCACCGTTGTTGTAGCACTTTCTAGGAGGAAATGAAGATCCGATCTGCAATCGTGAAGGAAAGGGGGAGTTGTTGAATGTCAAGCGAATCGAAGGAAAGAACACTGTACACAAATTGAGAACAAAAGAGATAAGGATTGAAGAGACTCAAAGTATAGTTTTATGGAAGCACTAAAACACACTGCTTCTGAACTAAATTTGGTCGTAAGAGATGTTCGTCCTAGTGAGGGTCCGGCTCTCCTTTTCTTTCTCCTTTGCGCTAACCGCTTATCGTTAGGTCTAAAATTGTAGTTATCGCCGCTCATCCCTTAAGGGATCTTTCTTTCAACAACCACACACAGGTACTCGTCGTTTGTCTCTTCAAGAGGTTGTCGATATTCAACACCTGCACCCAGCCCAGCCCTCAGTGCAAACCTGTCGCTCGTTACCTGACTACCCAATTCAACACGCGTTCCTTCATTGCGACCGCGACTCGACGTCACTAAGAATAGTAACACCTTTGCACCACTATCCGCGACAATGAGTGAAGAGAAGGTCCGCCTCTCGGGCGAGAATGCCAGAGCCGCAGACTCCCCAATCCTACCAACTGTCAATCCCAACCTCGAGAAGAAGCAGGAGCCCAAGGGAAATGGCATCAATCCTGCTGTCTATGTAATGTCAGTACTTTTGACTGCGCCGCCGGTATACGGCCACCTACTGACGTGTGGGACAGTGTCTGGATTTCGCTCTCTTCAAGCGTCATTCTCTTCAACAAATGGATTCTGTCCACCTTGAACTTCCGTACGAATATCAAACTCTGCCCACAATTCAGAATTTTGCTGACATCTTGAAGACTACCCCATCCTTCTCACATCATGGCATTTGGTTTTCGCAACCATCATGACACAAATCATGGCCCGAACCACCACCCTCCTCGATGGCAGAAAGACAGTGAAGATGACGGGTCGAGTATATTTGCGAGCTATCGTACCAATTGGGTTGTTCTTCTCCTTGAGCTTGATCTGCGGTAATCTTACATACCTCTACTTGAGTGTCTCGTTCATCCAAATGATCAAGGTAAATTCACATAGTCTTTGCAACCAATTCATCAACTGACGTATGTAGGCTTTCACTCCAGTCGCAGTCCTTATCGCAGGTTGGATCCTTCAAATCGAGCCCGTCGATCTTAAGAAGCTTGGCAACGTCTCCATGATCGTTGTTGGTGTTGCCTTGGCATCATATGGTGAACTCGACTTCGTCCTTACTGGATTCTTATACCAAGTTGGAGGAATCATCTTTGAGGCCATCAGAATCTGCTTGGTCCAAACACTTCTCCATGGCTCGGAGTTCAAGATGGACCCATTGGTCTCTCTATACTACTTTGCTCCGGTCTGTGCTGTCATGAACTTGACTGTTGCGGTATTGTGGGAGGTGCCAAAGGTTACCATGACTGAGGTCTATGCCGTCGGTCTCTGGACTTTCTTCGCCAACGCATGCTGCGCGTTCCTCTTGAATGTTTCCGTTGTTTTCCTCGTAAGCTTCCTCAAATTGCTGTCCCCATGAAGTCGCTAATCAAATCAGATTGGAAAAACCTCCGGTCTCGTCCTTACGCTCTGCGGTGTCCTGAAGGATGTTCTCCTCGTCGCAGCTTCTATGCTCATCTGGGGAACCAAGATCTCTGGTCTCCAAGCATTCGGGTACAGCATTGCTCTTATGGGCATGATCTACTACAAGCTTGGACAGAAGGAGTTGAAGCCATTCATTGCAGAAATGAGTCGCAGATGGGCCGAGTTCGGAGCCAACAAGCCAGTCCTTCGCAAGCTCCTTATCTTCACCTTCTTCATTGGCTCAATCATGTTCCTCTTCAACCAACTTGCGCCAACATACGCTCCCGACTACGATACAAAGAGTCTGATCGATGCTAGCAAGACCTATTTAGGCACCTCCTGAACGACATTCTTGTACCACAATTTCACATCTGCGATAGACAACGAGGGGATTGGAGAAATAATACAAGCTTTGTAATCCAGGCCAGGCGGCTGATAGGGATTGGATGGGAACATAAATTACTGGGCGTAGCATGGTACGGAGGGAGGCATTTGCATGGCTTTCGGTACAGCACACCTCGTCTTGCTCACTCATCGTCCTACAGCGCATGATGTTTTTCAAGTACATAATTTGACCTTTCTCTTGCTGTTTACTACGAAAAGAAACTTCTCTTCCATTCTCCTTTGTGTTTGCTTGCTCGAGAGAAAATGGAAATCTGTGTTAATAGAGAGGCATGGAATGGGACCTTTCTACAGCATGTGTATAGAATACGGGCGTCTTGAGCGAAATCGGGTGGCATGGCTCCTACACGGGCTGGAATGTTAGAATAGAAAGAAACAAAAAACATTACTTCAAGTCCTGGTCTTTCAGATTCGATTTGAGAATCACTGCTTTCTTCGCTGTGGCCAAATCGACGCTCATACATGCAAGATTTGTGGGAAACTGGAAAAAGTGCTAACATTGTGGACAGATATCATTCAAGAAAGATCCTGTGCCAGCCTTAAAGGAAGTCTCCACTTCCCTTTCTTCAATTCTGGTACCGACTTCAAGCTACGACTAGTGTATCCGATTCGCCCTTACCACTTTTACCTAAGACTTGGGTTCGCTGAAACTTGAACTCGGACCTGGACTTTCTACCGGACTGCAGTAGTGCAGATAGGACATCTCGAGAGCAACAAGAACTGGTCCTTTGCTAGGGCTGAGAGTGCTGGCCTCGAGTGACGTTCCTCATCTCTATCGCATTCAGACTGAGAAGTTATGAAGATGTCTGTCGAATGGAGGCTCCTGTGTATGAAGGGAGAGCAGAGAAAAGCGAATTGAAAAGGATTCTTCCACGATACTCCTGTGTTCAGACCATGGGCATCCAATCTCTGCTTTATCTTCCCATCAATGCTAGTACCCGGTAGGACACTTCCACCCTTCCCATCCTGCTCTTGCTTAGCTTCTCGTGTCGAATATTTAAGGCATACTGAGTGGACGAAGTGAGGGCCTATCTATGAGCGCCGTTGTTGCCCGCGCCTTTTTTTCCTTGATAGACTTGGGTTCTCTTATGTTCAACAAATAATGTGGTCAAGGGCAAGTCGACTGGCCTTTCTATTCTATAGAAACAGACATCGAAATCCCAAGACCTGCTGAGCGTCCGTAGATTGCTGCAAAGAGATGAGGAGGGTCCATCTGGTGGAGCCTGCCATTTGTGGATGCAAGATTCCTCTCTTAGGAAGTAATATGACAAGATTGCGCACAAGTACTTTAACATGCAGAATTGATACGTAAAATTGTACATAACCACAGCCCCGTCATAGTCACGGAGTTCACTTGTGATTTTACCCCCTCTTTCTTCCAATATATCATTTAGCAGCCACCCCTTAACGTTCAACGCAGAGAACTCCACCAACAAAGATACAAAGAGGCAAGACAAACGCGGGAATCGATTATTGGCATGCCAATAAATCTTCTGCTCAAATGCACTCTGGTTCTGATTATTAGTTGCTGTACAATAAGTGGTTTTATGATTGAGGCTGCTGCTTCACCCAACCGTATGGTGTGCAACAAAATGTTTGAGAGTTCACATGAACGAGAGGGTCGATGTCCTGAATCGAGGATTGGGATGTCTTGAATGAGGAGAGGAGGATATAAATATGTTTTGTTCTTGTAGCTATCAAGCGTCTTCTTCAAGTCTCTTGCTTTCGTCGATGGGCGGGGTCTTGCACTCTGCCACAGTGAATGCCTCACTTTCTCGAGTCCAGTTGTCCTTCGGAGCTAGTTTGATGGGAGATTGAGAGCTCTAAGTAAATGTGTGATAAATGAATTCAAAGCTTTTTGGATGTCCCTCGCTTCATGGCATATGAATATGGCTAAGAACTTGTAGAATTTGCAGCACTCGCTACTTCAGGAAGTCTCAGCAAAGGGAAAGGATGGATATTTCTACAGGTTTCCTTGTTTTTGATATGTACTATCTACAACATGGTGCCGTACAACTTGCTATACAATCAATCTGCCATACAATCAACCCTCAAATAGGGCTGAGCGAACTCATACAAATGCTATCAACAACATGCCGCCAAACAATCAACGCTCAAACAGTGGAGCAAATTCAATACGAACGCCATCTACATCAACGTGCCAAACAATCAATCATACAAACGCCTTCAACCAGGCGGGGACAACAATATCCTCGTTCTTCATCAACTCGGGAAGGCGCAACTCTGGTACCTTCTCGTTTCGGTTGTGGACCAGTTGCAAGATCCTCTCTCCAGCATCGACGGTTGTGTCCTCCAACTTCTCTACAACCTCGTTCTCACTGTCAACCGGCGAGCTATAAGCCCGCTCGGCATTTCTTAGACCACTGGGGGTCTTTGGTGCGTACTTTGTAGCCTTGGCCATAGCTGCAGCAGGAGCGGACTGAGCAGGTAGCTCTGCATTAGCCGGTCTCGGTGCTGGGGGCGGGGCTGCAGCTTTCTTCGCCTCCTCCGCCTCCTCCGCCTGTCGTCCGAGTTCGTTATCTCTGATCATCTGGTTATACTTATCGATGTCAACCTGCGTGACTTCGTCGTTCCTAATGCCCCAGTATATTCTCTCCCATGCATCATGTTCCGCGATCCACTGTTGGATATGCGCAGGTACTTGGTCCAGAGCAAGCTTAGGATGTTGGGGCAGGTTCCTCAATCTGAACATGCCGGGGATTCGATTGGGGATATTATCAAGTCGGCTGTAGCGTTTGCCATCACGTTGATAGGTGAAACCCCATTTGTCGTCATTCTTCCAGTCTCTCTCAGGTTCCTCGGGACATTGAAATTTTGGCTTGGCTTCCCTGGCCTTCTTGGCCTCAGCAGCTTTCCAAACCTCGTATGAATTATCCGGATCAAATTCTTGTGAATCGGAACCTTCTGACTCGTCTTTCTTCGCTCCGTCTTCTTCATCAGACGAAGTTTCAGATGGGCATTTATAGGTGACAACCCGTTGCCATTCCTCCAATTCTACTCTTGTTTCCTCAGCTTCTCGTTGTTGACGCTTCTTCTCAGCCTGAATAGCCTGTAGCTCTGCCCTACGCTTTGGTGAGATGACACCTCTCTGTTCAATTGGAAGCTTCTTCGCCTTCTTCTTCCTGTACTCTGTGTTTGGAACGAATCTCTCTGGGGGGATCAATGCCTTGTTGATGCGTCGAGGGCGTTCGGTCTGAGGCGTCTTGCGCTGAGCACGACCGCCATGAATGGATGGTGTTGGTGTTTGCGGAATCTTTTGTTGCGAAGTAAACGTAAATTTGGAGGTGGCAGTAGTGGCAGTGCTGGAACCGGCTTGGGAATCATTTTGAGAACCACGACCAAAGAATTTGAAAGTGGTATTGAGGATTGCTTTCTTTGCGGAACCCAACCATCCTTGAGGTTCCTCTGCCTTTGGAAGTAGTGTGGGCGTAGGGGTCGTAGGGGTCGTAGGGATTTGGGGGGATGTAATATGGGGGCTACTTGCATGATCCGACTCTGCATCTGCGGCAGTTTCATTGTGATTACTCATGATATCGTCTTCTGAGTCACTCTCATCCGGCACCTGGAAGGTCTTTCCGGGGATTTCTGCATAAGATCGAGATTGGTCGCCATTGACGTCTTGTGGTATAGATTCGGCAGCCTCACTTGTTTGTGCGGCCTGGCCAGCATTACTCTGCTTTGGGAGTGTTGCAATATTGGCTGAGTTGCGAGTCTTCGTCTGCTCGAGAAAGCTCACCATTTCGCCGGCAGTTGGGAGCTTGTTGCTCGCGTCACTTGTTGCCCACTCAGCAACAGTGCGGAGAGTTTCTATAAGTTGAGTATCTGTTAATCTCAATGATCTTGAGTTCACAGTGGAAGGGAATGTAATAGCATAATCTGATGAAGTGGAATGCGTACTCTTGCGCTGAACCGAAGTACTGTTACTTGGCATGCGCTGTTTCTGTGAACCTGTTAGAACGTATTTCATGCGGACTTCGGACGAAAACTTACAGTTTCTGGCTCCACCTCCTGGACTTTGTTCTTTAGAGCCTTATCGACTACGCCATCATTGACAAACCTCGTAAAGCTCTTAATTCTTTGCTTCTTATCCCACCAAGCTGGATCACCGGGTTTATGGGCGGGGGCCGAGTCATCATCTGATAGAGATTCGTAGCCATTCGGGATTTGGTTGTGCTTAAGGGGAGAAAGAGATCGCTTGTATGGGTGAAATCGATTTGGTCTGAGTGACTGCACATCTGATGGCGGAGATAGAATAGAAGTGAGACCTTTGGGCTCTGCGGGATATTCGAAGGTTTCTTGAGCTTGTGCGGGGCTAGCTTTTTGGATTGCTGGAACAATAGAAGTAAGATCATTTGTTTCTGCCGGAGACTCGAAGGTTTGCTGCGCAGCTCGTGCCGGGCTAGCTTCTTGGATTGCTGGAAGCTTTACGTGCTTCCGAGCTCCTCGACCACGGCCACCACCGCGACCACCCCGACCGGCGCGTGTAGGTTGTTGACTGGGTTGGCTCGACATATCGGCTTCATAATTATTACCACGAGATTTCTTATTGTTTGACTGAGAAAGTCCGTCTTCTTCATCATCGTCATCATGAGTATCTTCACGGCCACGCTTGACACCACGCTTTCCCTTATTGCTACCATTTGCCTTCTGGGATGGCGACTGCGATCGCGTAGATGCACGTCTATTGTATGTTGTTCTAGTAGTGGGGACGACGGAGGTAGATCGAGATCGTGACCGGAGTCGGGAAGTAATAGGTTCATCGGCGGCAACTTGAGCTTGCGCGAATGAGGAGGTAGCAACTTCTTCGTCTTCGACAGAAGGCAGAGGATCATCGAAAGTCGAAGCTTTCTTTGTAGGATCTTGGCGGGTGCGTCGTCGAGGTCCATCGTCGTTCATATTAGAGGTGCTCTCCGCAGGTGCAGAAGCATCCTGGAGGGCTTGATGCGCTTGATTGCGCGTGCGAGGTGCCATCGTAGATATTCCGCTCAGAGAGCAAGTGCGATGGTTGGACGGCAATTCAAGAAACAATGAGGTACTGCGAACAGTAAAAGCAAGATCTTGAGTTGTGCGAAGAGGTTGCGCAGATTCGAAAGAAAACTTTGAAGTTGCTTGTTGAATCGAGTGTTCGCGCAGACCGAAAATCTTCGAGAAGCGGTTGTTGACTTTGGCGACAAAAGGCTTCAGCCTCGCTGCTACCCGAAATAGACTAGCTGGCACGTGACACAATTCTGTTTTCCCACATGTAGCTCTTCATCGAGTCAATCTCGACTACTGTTTGTTGAGACAACATTGTTTCAGAGTAATGGGACAATATAAGTGGCCTAATCCCCAAGTGTGAATCATAGCATCAAGATTTAAAGGAGAAGAACGACCTAGGCCTCGTTAGCAGATATTATCTCAGATAATCTAGGCCATTTCAGATACCACAGATTACTGCTAAGATTGGGATGCAAAACTATATTGCTCCAGAGTTTATGGGACAATATAAGAACCAAAGTCCCAAGTTTGGACTACGGTGCGAAGATTTCAAGGAGAGAAACCACCCAAAATTCCCTTCTGTCTCAAAGCATCTTCTTTACAGTGCAATGAATTTCAAAACAATAATATATCTATATCCCAATGCTCATGGTACCGTTATAGAGCAGAGGACTCGAAGATAATATCCATAGCTCGTAATGAGGCCAAAAGATACAAGTATAATGCATTCAATGTCTCTAAGGGAAAAGCCAGGTCTTCATGATCCGTGCATTGTGTCTCGCCCATAGTCTCGAGCTCCGGACCAGCAAAGAATGATTCTAGCAAACTGCATAGATCAAATTCGGTCCCTGTGTTCTATCGCTACAAAAAGCTTTGCTCGATATGATAGATATGCTGAGGAGTTTGTTCAGCACGGTATTGTTTGCCAGCTAGAGAAACTGCTTAATAATACCTCAAGACGTCCATCATCAACCCAATCAATTGTTCTGGCATAGGTCCCCAATTGACTGAAATTTGCTCATGGATACATTCCCTGGCATCTCTTCTCAAGGCTTCTCTCCACCATACTGTTCCTTGTACTTTTCCAGAATCTGGAGGGTTATGTTCGAGCCACCACAGACAATCAGCACCACTGTCTTTCCTGCAAATTCCTCTTTCGAGAGTTCCGGGAACAGAACCGAATGTAAGGTGCCAATATAAGCTGTGGCTACAGCAGCACCGCAAGCAGTTTCGACGATAATCCTCTCATCATCCGCGAACTGAACGCAGGCCATTGCTGCTTCTGCATCCGTAAGAGTATGAGAAACCACCTCCGGTCTCTGAGACCACCGAAAGGCTTGCTCTGCGACTTGTGTAGCTCCGAGTGAGGTGGCTATCGACGTGATGGCTGGTAGTCTCGTAAGCTCCCCTTGTTTGACGCTTACATTCAGAGAGTCCGCGCCGATGGTTTCCATAGCTAATACTCTGACTCCTCCCGTGGATTTTCGACTTGATTCGTTCTGTCCAAGGTGTCCATTTCGTTCGAGACCTTGCATGATCCCACAGAACAAACCACCACCTCCAACACTGCAGACAACGGCATCATATCCACCTTGATACCGCATTTGCACTTCAATCTCGTCAATCATACTCGAATGTCCTTCCCAGATGTCTTTATGGTCAAATGGGTGTACATAAATGCCATCTGCATCCTTCGCCAATAACTCGTCTCGCAAATAAGTGTCAGCTTCCGACCAATGCTTTCCAATCTGAACCACATCTGCTCCCAAAAGTTTAAGCTTTTGTATCATAAGAGCAGAAGTCGACAGGGGGACGACGACTGTTGCAGGTCGTTTCAGTACATTGGCAGCTGTGATGCATGCTAGACCAGCATTCCCTCCTGAAGAGGTGTAGAAGTGGATTGGTTTTGAGGGCCCATGATGAAGGATAGCTGTGGACATCACTATAGAGAGTTAGTAACATTCTTTCTGGTCAATGATGCTATGGAAAGTCCTGATTCAGAGGGCAAGGTCGGAAATGTCCCATGACTTGAGGGATAATTGGATGTTCAATTTAATGTGCTGCACTATCAAATGAATGGGATTTGTATAGAAGCTTCTTACAAAGCCGCTCTAAAGAGGAGCAATGAATAAAAAAAGAATCAACATACTGTGACCTACTCCTCGCGACTTGAAGGATCCAGAAGGTTGGAGAGTTTCAAGTTTCAAGTAGATGTTGCTGAGATTTATTAGCTAAAAGTGAATCTGGGACACAACAAGAAAATTACCAGCCTGCAGCTCTCGAAAGGGCTGCCGATCGGATGCAGGGTGTCTCAACCCACGTTTGAGTGAGAGGAGAAGTATTGGATCCCATTTTTGGAAGAGAAAAGAGTGTCTATGGGACTTGATTTTGAGTGAGAAAAGAAAGAGAGTTTTAGCGGCAGCTGTGACCTTTTAAGAACCTGAAAGGACAGACAGAAGTGAACCAAAGAATCTGTTGGTCGAACCTTCTTCGCAGTAGATCAACTTGACAGAAGCTAAAGGCGAAATTGGCAGGAGAAGGGCGCCTTGGTGGGGTCCATACGATAAGCGATAAGCACGTGATGAAGGGGTATAAGAAAGGTTTCTGGAGGTGGAGGAGTCAAACCTGTCACTGCATATTATTGTTCTCAGTGCTGTGAACCTTTCTGTGAGGAGAGTGAGTGTAAATGTCCCCGTACATGGAAGTTTATCGAAACTGCAAAGAATATTGTTCAAGGTCCTTTTCCCGTACAGGCCTTCTAAAGCTTTTGCCCAAAGTGATGACTGCTCTCTAAATTCTGGGACGTGAACTCCAAGAATGACATGCGTCAAAATTGGTCTATATTATTGTAAAGCTTCACTCCTGCTTTAAGGTCTGAGTCGCTGAGAAGCATGGGAAGTGCACACTGGGGACTATAGCTGAAGAGCATTCTGAGAAATAATGAAGCTTCACTAGACTCGCACGACTAGAACTCTCTTGATTGAGCAGAAGAGGGTTTCTCCATACTCCTGTATAACACTGGGCTAATATACTTAGAACGGAACTCCATTTCCCTTGAACCACCACCTATCACCAGGCGCCTTCACAAAACATTCAAGTGAAGCATTGGCCATCGGTCTCCCTTTTGGGCTACGATCCATGATCCGCCTCCATGCAACCACAGCATTTGCATCATGAAGAAAGATACCAAATCGCACCAACTTCGGATTGCGTCCAAGATCCCATTTTCGGTGTGAACCATACTCCATTCGAGCCACCATAATGATCTCTTTCACCCCTCGTAGTTCTTCAAGATTCGGTCCTTCGTAAAAGGGAGATGATGTCGAGCCCAAGCCGATTCTGCGGATATTTTCAAAGTCTGAGAATCCCTCCTCATCCCACCACTCTTTGCTCCGTGAAATGATAGGCTTGTAGCTTTGGAAGATGGCTTTCGCTCCGAAGTATATGATGTCCCTCTCGAAGTCGACAAATGTCATTGCAGGGGACGAAGATGTACGGAATGCCAGGTGATACGTTTGCAGACCAATAGCACGAGATTCTTGGCAGGTGTGTAGGATTGCTGGGATCTGACAGATGGACCTGAATGACACTTTGTTTCCCTTTGATTGCTTCAAGCGCATTTCAACAACCCGTGCCTCCGGAGTAGCATAGTTCCACTACAGCAAATTAGTACACGCTTTTCTGTTGGTAACAAGGATCAAAGAAATTAGATCATTTCCCAGGGACGGACTGCGCGAACATTGTAGCGAGAATGCGGGAAAAGGTGGTTGCAACTCACGATCAGACATCTGATCTCCGCAGGTAGCTCTTGAAATCGTGGAAATTGCGGCATAACACGACTAAACTTCTCGAGAGACTCTCTCATAGATTCGTAGTTATCGCAAAGCAAGTCGTAATGTTTCCCAAAAGCGCGATGGCACTTTTGGCGAATCCGACGAGGGATTTCGCGAAAGTAGCCGAGCGTACAGAAAGCGATCAGTTCGTACCACGTCATACCCCTGAAGAGGTCTATCATCTTGGAATAGAACTGCTGAAGTTGGTTGTAAGTACACTGGAGAAAGTTCTTCAGATATACCATGAGATTGAATTTAAAACGCTGCCTAAAATCACGTGTCACAAATGCCACGAAACAACTTTCAATGTATGGTAGGGCGAGAATGCGCTCTGTAAAAAGAGCATGTCAAGAGCACCACAAGCTCATTCATCAATCTAGGGCTGCCTTGAGCAGTGAAGGCTGTTGTACGTCTGCATTCGCCAGGAGGCCAGTTTGAGAACACTGACTTACCCATCCTTGTGGAACCTGCAGATTCTGAGATATGTTGTAGAATCCAGGCTGTCCTATCTATGTCAGATGAAAATTAGGCAGGTAGAATTGCAAATATGGCTATCCTTCAAAGCTGCCTTGCAAGAGAGAGATCTGAGTGAGCGGTAGTAATCGGGATACTTACGTGTATTGTCTGAGTGTTGCCTCGGAGAATCTGTCATCCGTACCACAAAGAAATGGCCACCACAACATCTCAGACTATGGATGCCTGATATTCCATTTCCTTGTAATCCTGGATATTGTACCGCTCCATCAAGTTTCTTGTCCTTTCCTCGCTAAGAAAGCCCTCTAAAGTCAACTCGAATTCTCCGAAGTAGTTAGGACTTGCTTCAACCTTAATGAAGCCGATGCCTTCGAACAGTTTGATGCTTTTCTCGTTCTTGCTGCCAATTTTGACTTTTAGCTGCAGCAGCTTCATCTTCTCAATCCCCAACTTCGTCTTATACTCGTTCATGATTTCGTCAAGATGGAGTTGAATGAATTGGAGGAATGTGAGAATTGTACCACGACCATATCCTTGTCTCCGAGCATCCTTTGGCGCGATCATGAGCTCGAGCTCTCCAATACATCCTTCCTCGTCCTCATCTGCTGGAGAAAGAAACAAGTTGACATCGCCAATCATACGGTCGGGAGTGTCGCACCCGCCGGCCTTGATAGATGCTGCTGATGAAGGAATGCAGGCAATGAAAGTCAATTTGTCGTGATCAGAACGCCAACTTGCTTGCATGGCATATTCTTCTTCGAGGGATAATGGCTCAGAAGCAGTAGTTTCTTGTATTTCCTGTATTGTCAGGGTCTGAACAGAAGTCCTTGAGTATACACACACCTCATCCTTCAGCCATTCGTGGTAAGCTGGGACATGAGATGCTTCGTACGGTACGAGGAGGACCGAGGACGTCGAAACGGCTATCAAATTGTCAATTTGATGTAATTACCAGCGTAGGGATTGAAGGAGACGATAGGCTAAATCTGGAGCAACGGACTTGTATACATGATGTTCCATCGTCTCACAGAGAAGCAACTTGAGCGGGTAGCAAAATCAGAAAAATGGAATTCAACAAAAGATGCATTAAGATATTCAGCGCGACGAGAAGATCAGGCGGTGAAGACGCTCAGATCCAGTTTATGATGTGCTTACCTATGTATTTATTAACGAGCATTGTTGCGTTCGAGTAGATGGAGAAGTTTGCTTCGACATGAAAGACCCGAATCAAGAGGAAGTGGGCCTTTCACGTGATCGTCTAATTTCAACGTCAACCTCGATTCCTCGATGCTCGAAACAACTTCAGTCATTGTGTCAGAACCAGTCCTGTATCATCTCACTGTAAGACTGAATGTCGATTTCACTGAAGCGGAAGTTTATGCTAACATGTTGCTGTCTCAAGTTGATGGTGATAACGCGGGACTCTCACATCTCAGAAGAACCGTCCCAAAAATTGCTACAGAATGAGGCTCAAGTCTCTAATTCTGAAGAAGTATCTTTGCTCTGAAACAGACGTCCTAATGACTGATGTCTTGCTCTATCACATTCACTCCTTTATGCAGAGATTGGACTTCGCACTACTGCGAGTCTGATATCTTGCTCCAATCTACGCGTCTCTTGCTCAGGAATCTCATTTCAGAGTATTACAGAAAGATTGTAGTCACAACTCTCCAAGACTATTCAAATGTAGCGTTGAGAAGACTTTGAGAGACTTCGCGATCTATCACTCCTTCTTGTTCGCTGGTCTCACCTCTGACTAAGGAAAGAAGCGTAGCTTGGTCGACAATGGAAACAGTGTATCAAATTGAATATGAGATACGACGATAATGATCTTCAAAAGAATACCCCAGATGGGCCAACGCATCAGTCGGTGTCAATTGTGTTTTCCCTTCGTGAGCTATCGCTGAGCTTTCAATTAAGCTAGTTGAGGAAACGCAATATAAAAAAAAATGAAACAAAATAGTTTGACGAGCAAGCTGAAGAACGAAAAAAATTCTTAGATTAAGCAAAAACTTCAGGAGCAAGCGCAGTCGTGTAGCGGTTGCTCCCTATCAAACCCAAGCCTGGGTTATTCTCGACGCCCTTTCCCGCTGCCAAACTAGGTTTGTCCTGAACCACCGAGCCTGGTGGCCGCCTTCATCTAGATGTTGGTATGACAAAAAAATGATTATTTAAATCTATACGACGCTTAGCGAGTTGATGGTCAAGATGGTACTAGCTCAGCCTTGCGCCATATCAACACCAGGAACCTGTTCTCTCTTCCAACCCACCTCACCACCCTTTCATACAGCATATACTATCAGCTTTGGGCATACGAATTGTTACCTGCGCCTCCTGAAACCTTCGTCACATTGATACCACATGAATACATGCTTACAAGCACGCTATCCATACAGCAACTCTATCACTTCTTCAAATATTGAATCATTCAGCATTATCAACATACGTCAACCAATCTACTTCACATTCCTCATCTCATTCATACACTTGCTAGCTCCACCTTCACCCACACTTGCTGTAAGCTCGTCCAGAACATCACTATCAAAGCAAGTCGATATTAGTCGTCTCTTTTTCATTACGACAAATCCATTCAGCTAACACTATCAGCATTGATTCTCTTCTACGAAGAACATCAATATTAAAACATGCCTCCGAAGAAAGCAAAAGCTGCGGCGACACCCCGCAAGTCAAAAGCAGCACCAAAAACACCAAAGGCACCAAAGGCACCACCCAAGGCCGCCTCGAAGAAGAAAGTAGCCCCACCATCCAAATCAACCAAACGAAAACGAGTACCAGCACCGTCCCCAGAGCCCGTTCCAATATGGGACCAAAACATCACCTCCCAAGGCCAAAGAGAGAAGAAGAGATTCAAGCTGACAATGTCCTCAAACCATGAAGATATCAATGAGGAGCACATCGCCAACCTGGCCAAGAGTCTGATCGGAGAGAGCAGAAACACATGGGGCATTTCCGAGCCAGTGGTTTTCAAAGCTGTTGTCGGCAAGAAGTCTAGAATGCGGGCTGCCCCGAGTGCTTTCCAGGCCACCGAAGACAGATGGATGAGCATGATGGCAGACATGCAGAATATGCAACCCGTCCGCATGGCAAATATACCCAACAGCCCCGAACGTTCTCCCATTCTCCGCATCGCCTTAGAACCCCGGGAAGTCATCTATAGCTACCTCCTCATCTATCCAAAGCCAATCATAGTAAAGCACGACTGGGAGATCGTTGAGCGAAATCCTTTCGTCGATCACAGCATCATACTAGTCTGCAAGCAATTCGCCACTGAAGCATCGGCTTTCTTATACAGAAACAACACCTTCCAAGCCCTCCTGCGAGTAACCACTGGTCAATTCCGCCGCTTCGAAGTTCCTACCACCATCGCTCCTAGCCATCACGCCAACTTCCGCAATCTCATCATAAATTGCTCTCCAGATTGTTGGAACATGGATTGGCACGAGAAGACCGCCAAAGGTCTCATGACCCTCGTCTCAGCCAAAGCTGTCATCAAATCCCTGACTCTGGTCGTGAGCCCTAAGCGCGTTGGCATGTCGACTACAGCTCTAGGTGATGAGAATACTCCGATCACCTTCGCGGACTTCCTCTGGTATCACGGTCCTTTGATGACTGCTATTCGTAGGCTTGCTCCTCAAGTCTTGAAGATCATTGTCACAAAAAGCGGTACGAACAGATTTGGTATGGAGGTCAACACTTCCTATGTCCAAGCGGGTCTGTTGGAGGAAGGTCCTTTGGCGAATGAAGAGACTGTCAGGATGAGGAAGTTAAATGTCCAATCGGTCGAGGGTGAGTTGATGACTCTGAAGATGAGGTTGGAACAAATTTATGAGGATGATCAGTTGGCTGCTCTGGAGGGGGTGTGTACGCCGTTGATCGATGAAAAAGTTGCGAACCGGGCTACACCTCCTACAACGGTGCCCAGCCACGGGCGTCGGAAGTAAAAGGTGGAGAGAAGGAACCTATTTCGATCGACGATTGAATTTCTCGAAACTGTGGTGGATATCCTCGGATTAGCAGACGCATTCGAATGTCTGAGGTGAAAGGGGTTTGTCATTTTGAACAGCCGAACAAGGCAGCATTATTTTCTTTTCCCAAGTCGTTCGCGCAGATTTTACTTTGCATTTCAACTTCAATGTTTTCAGATCTCCTTTCATCATTGTCCAGAGAAGCCATAGAGCTCTCATTCAAGCTTTGAAATGCAATTCTGACAATACTGATCTCTATCTTGGTGAGCCAGCTCGTTGCTTATGTGATCGATGGTTGGTCCAGATGATATTGCTCTGTGAATCTGTTCTTGTGCATCTCTGTTATTGAACTCTTCGCCAGGCGACGACATTCTCGTCTGCCAATTCCGTGGAGTCTGCAGATGAGATGACTGAAATAATAATCAGAGAGATTTCGGATACTGTGTGTCAGTAAGACTTATTGTAACCCAAGTATGTTTCCATCTACCTGTCAAAGTCTCCCGAAGAAAGTTGTTATCGAAGGACGACTTCTTTTCATTCTCGCTTACCATAAGGGGGTGCATCATGTGATCTGCCGCTTCGAAATTTGGGAGCTGGACAGTCCAAATAGGAAGACTTAGTTCGGTCGATATCAAAAACGGCCCGCTATGATCTATCATAAGAACATATAAATTTCAGTTTGTCTCCCTGCTCACGCACAATATTCTCCCACGCAAAAAGAAAAAACATCTTTGTCAAAGTAAAATCCGTTTCATTTAAACAGTCAAGAACAGCATTTATGGGCAAACCATAGCTCCAATATGGAGAATTCTTCCGAGGATATAACATTGCGATGCAATACAAGGAAGGGAATAATCGAACATGAGAGGCTCAGCAGTCAAATTCGGCGTCGAAACGAAGCATAAATCAAGTCCCTCAACAAAGGGCCCTACAAAAACAGTCCAACACTACAATCCGTCTCAAAGATTCTCCGAACGATCATCACTGAGAAAGAGACATAATTTCTACGTTGCGGACAGGTTGCCGTTGGAACAGTCGATGTCAAGGAACTCGACGTGGACTTGAGAGACTGTGTCATCTGTAAGGAACCACTCGTGAACTACGAGAAAAACATTGGCTGGACGACAAGTCATTGTGTTGTGGTCTCGTCCTGTGGCCATTTCTTCGGGGGAGCATGTCTCTACCAATGGCTTACTCGGTTGAGGAAAAGAGACAGGTTGTGTCTTTGTGTCGAAAGAAGTTTTGCGGTCCGCAAAAACAATATCCTCAATGCGCGACAACGTCTGGGAACTTCATTGTAAGAACATGCATATGATCGAGAGGACTCTTGGAAGATATGTCTACGACCGGCGGCTTCTGGATGGTAGATACAGGTGGCATAGCTTTGAAGTACCTGGCATACGAACTTGGTCTTCCCCACCAAGATATATGGCGATCTGGTCTAACGATGGAAATACGGATGCCAGTATGGACTTTATACGTCATCTTGGCCGCCAATATACTTCTGAGAGGTACAAAGGAAGTGGATCTCCTTACAAGGTATATTTCGAACATACAATGCATTGTGATGGACATGTGCACGTGGTTCCTCACAGAAGACCGTGGTTTAACTCCACCTAAAGACTTGGATTTCGTTTTGGGCTGTCCGCCTGAACCCGAGAGATATTGTGTGTATCTTAACGTACTTCATGATTTAGTGTCTCAAATTGAGGCAAAGATCTTTAAGGTTGACAAGAAAGATCGCGTCAAGCTCAGTCTCGAAAGCTTTAATGGCGCCTGTATTGAAGCGGGAAAACTGTGCGTCAAGAATCAATATCCCGTCAACTACTACCTTGACTACGAAAGAGAGTTTCCTGGATTTCGGAAGAACTTCAAGCAGGTCGCCAACATGAAAGAATTGCCAGGAATCAGGGACACTAAATCTTCAAACCCAGAATCAGACAATGCAGACGAGGAACTTTTCGACGTAGACGAAGAAGGCGAGACCGAGTTAGAAAACATGAGATACAGTACTGCCGGTGCAGTATAGAGAAGGGTCTACGGAGTAGGAACTTCCGAGTTGGGTTTCCGATCTCAGACAAGTCTCGCCAAATACTCGTAGATGCATGACGAAGTGCACTACCTGGTCTGCCAGTGAAAATCTTCAAGTACGCGCACATATTTTGGACGAGGACGGACTTTAATCGTGTTTGGCATTCGCCGTGGCGTTCTTGAAAGCCAGAAAGCAAAGGATCATAAAATGCAGATCAGTTATATTTAGCGCAAGTCGGATCAGTCAACAGCAACAGAGTAGCTGGCTCTAGTTTTTGAGTCATCTATCAGGAGCAGAATCCGCATTTTGTTCAGTCAAAGCGATCCAATAAATGCTTGAATGAGTTGTGGCAGGTTTTCGTTTTTAGGAAATTGAATACACCTACAATTGGATATTTGACCACGACTGTCCACATCAAGTGCTTTCCCGTCCGTGACATGTCTCATCGCTTCATTTTTCGTATACGTTTGCTTGCTCAATCATGGCATATGGGATGAGCCTACACGTCTACACTCGGTAAAACAGCACAAGTACTCACTTTAAAATCCATGACTGCCAGTGACTTTATTCAACGCCAACAAGAACTGGGATATCTACTCTTGACCAACATCAAATGTTTGTACTCCGATCGTCAATTCATGCTACTGATATCCGAACCAACGAGGTCTCTAATGTCTCGGAATCCACAATAACAATTTCACCCGTCTCTGAGAATTGAGGCACCGCAATCAATCGTATCGTCTGGCCTGCAGGACCTTCAATTTCTGCTGTGTCGAATTTCGGCTGTGATCCAACGAAGAATAGATGTGGGCAGGTATTGAGTACGAAGGGATCGTCGTCTTGGAATGGATAGCTCCCTATTTATGGTTAGAGACTCTCAGTCGCTACAGTCATGTGCAACTTACATAAAGTATCTGGAGCTGTTGGCGCACAACATCTCCATCTGCACATAGCCTCCATCATTCCCAACCTATCCTCGCTTTCGACATACTTGAAGACATCATCCACGTTCTGACCACCTGTACCAAGGACTTTCCAGCCCTCAATTTCACTATCCCACGGATTTGTGACAGTATCAAACCAGCCTGGCTGAGTTTCCTCGCCATCCTTTGGTGGGCCGCGACTGAAAGCTCGAGCTTGTGGAAACATAGCTGGATGGATCGGTTGTTGTGGAAGACTGACATTTGCAGGATCAGTGTAACCTGGAATGAGTGTGACAGGCATCGTCGGCAGCAAAGTTGCTAGGAAGTCGTCGAAATGTTTTGTTGGGGCCGGATTATAAGCACTGCTGTCATAGCCGTACTTCTTGTGAGCTTTCCGTGTATTTCCAATCGTGTCTGTGGCGACTGCATCATGATCTAGGGCGATTGAATTGCCAGCAATAATCAATCTGCTGATCTGGGAAGCACTTTCTTGATTGGCCGGATCCAGGGCCTCCCCTAGGAGATACTCTGTGAGAAGATTGATTTCCAACGAATGTCCCGAGTCTGTACCAGAAAAGCCGAGCCCAGAGACAATAGCGATTTTCTTGCTATTTGAGACTGGCTTGTCCATATCTTCATCTTCGTCTTCATCCAGCTTCAACTTCTTTCTTGATATACCATCACCTACTGGCTCCGAAGTGTGCCAGCGCTCAGCTTGAGGTGGTAGATCAGGGACCTTGATATCTACAACCTCAAAGTCTCCATTGGCGTTTTCCGTTCCCATCACAGCAATAATACAACCAGTGACAAGCATCTCACTTGCCAGAGGTGCACCAACTAATCTTAGACGTCCCGACTCATCCTCTAACATAACTAGATCTTCTCCAGTAGCGGATAGGTATTTCTGTCGAGCTGGAGGGGCTGAAATCCAGTGCTTTTCTCAATTAGCATCTCCTATCTTGCGGGTATGGCCCTTGACCTACATCTTTTGAGATGTCGTCCAGAATATTGGGCTTCAAAGGCATTTCCATATAGATAGTGCCTGCAACCCAGCATAGCTTCCCTTGTCTAACATCCAGCACCCGTTCAACCTTCTCCACCATCTCGTTGCCAATTCGAAAATCTTCCCAAGCTTCTTCAGCAATTCGTTCAACGGCAGGCTTCAATTTTGTGAGTCGCAAGAAGTACATATCACCAAATTGCTGCTGATAATGCTTTTCCTTCTCTAACGCGTAGGTGTCGAGAGGTTTGTACGAAGATGTTTGGCGTTCGATCGATGCATATTTTTGGTCGCTGCTTAACGTTAATTTGATTCATGAACTCTCGTAGGGATACTTACGACGGCCCTCGAAGGAGGCTGCCTTCCAACTTCGGAACAGCCATGATCTGTGTCGGAGTGTTTCTTTCCAATATTTTCGGGATTATGTTGGACGTGAAAACAGTAGTGGAAGTTGACGCGAAGTCGCGTTTGTCAATTTACACGAAAACCCCTCTTTCGTCCGATGATTTGTCGAAATTGCAGCCACACCTTGCTGGTATTATCCCTGTCAACTTCACGTGCTTGCTCACTTCAGCCTCACTTCAGCCTCACTTCCTGACGTACTCCTCTCCACCGCCACCTTCCCAAGAATAGAAACTCGCGATTCCTCAACCTCCATTGAGGTTGCCTTGCGGCTTACATTCCAGATGTTTCACTATGGAGACGTAATTGTTCAGCCACATAAAATCTTTTCCATCGCCTCGTTGCTGTCGTCAACTGTTTCTAGTTCTCACATTCCTGCAGCAGGCCCCGCCACACTGTTTTCATATATGTACACAGTTTTTCCTATGCTTTTTTGATATCTAAGACAACTTCCAACCTCTCATCTGCATTGTAGCTTGTGTATCTCCTATATATTCTCATACGGTCGCTACATTCATCTTTTCTCATCCTCAATTAAATTACTGAATCTTTTTGAATCTTCCGTCTCACATACCAGTTGTTCAATCCCTGCTCGCTATCTCCATCACACTTCCCAACACTAAAAATCAGGAGCAATGGCACGATCAGCGGCTTCAAGCTTCACCCTCGCTGTCCTCCCCTTCTTGTTCCTTGCCATGTTCGTCACATCCGCTGTAGCAACAACAGCATCTGTAGGACTCACAACTGCCTCCGCTGTACCCTCACCTACAGCCAACGGTACATAGTATGTTCTTCCCTTTCTCATAATTCCTGCCCTTCATATATTTCCATCTCATCTCGACTCGACCTCTCGAATCTTCCAGGCCAAGCTAAACAGCCAAAACTAACAACAGCCACAGTACCAAGCCCGCCCCAACAAACTCCGGTTCTGTAGCTGCAACATCCAGTATTGTCGGCGCCGCGGCCATCCCCGACGCCCAATACTCGGCTTTCTTCGCCTTGACCGTCGCTATCTTCGGAAGCTTCGCTTTGGGTCTCGGACTATAGACGGTTCAAGATTAGATGAGAAACGGTGGTTGAAAAGACGGAGACAATGTAATTAGATAATGTCTGTGATGGAGATGATGATTCAGGAGCCGTGTAAGCGATTGGGCATTTTCAAGAGCAGGCGGGAAGTGGCGTTGAGGCGTTTAGATCTTCAATGCTTGATGATCCGTATGCATGGCTGGTGTGATTAGAATTAGAGGATAGATGGAATCTTGGCTGCCATGTGTGGCATAATATTATCCGAATGCCATCGAGTCTTTAGAGACAGGATAAACAAAACAACAGTAATTGGTTTCATTAACAACCTGTCACCAAGTACTTCTTACAACCACTCTGCACATATTGCTCTTGAAAGAAAATGATCCGTCGAGGTGCCCTGAAATTTTGTTTCTGTTGTTGTTCCGTACAGGTATGCCATGCACACCCTACCCTCAACCGTCCACCGGAGTTTAACGGTCCAACAACGGTCCAACAACCGAAAACCATCCAAAACCCAAAACCGTCCAAATCGCAAAACCATCCAAAAACTCATTTCCTTGCGACGTGCAACAAAACTTCCATGATTATGAAATCTCACGTGCAATTGTCACTCCTCATTCTCGATCAAGATTTTTACTTCACATCAAGGAGACGCATTCAATTCCAGGTGACCCAAGAATTACAATTGAGTTGATCCATACATATCATACTATATCGCAATCCTCCATCCATCCATCTCAAGCTCTCGTCTAACCATTCTCGAGCTTTCTGCCTCCTCTGCCACTGCTAATGCCCGATCGCAAGCCATGCAACATACAAGAAATATTCATCTAGATAAACGTACAGACTCACTTTGCAAAGAAAAACACAAACGTAATGAAACGGTCATCGCAACGCTATGCAGTGTCTAACAAAAAAAGGAGATATGTGCACTGTTTCCTTTCCACACCGAACATTTGATCATTGATTGGATGTCTCACCGCTTGTGGGACATTCATCTCACCCTCCGCCCTGTCGTTCCACCAGTCAGAGCTGGGACATTCGAGATTGACTTCCACCCCCTTCTCCAGCCCGACATTTAAACCATTATCCTAGAAACTTGATGTAGTGTTGGCTGCATGACGATAGGCCTCGTTCCTCCGACTACACCCCTTTGCCTCTCTTGTCGCAATAACTCAAGGCTGGCTTTCCAGTATTGGTGCCCCAACTCGCGATCGTCTGTCCAGTGGTATAAATCATGACAACAAGACCGAATACACAAAGCAGGACATCACAAGCCTTGCGGAAGCGGCTTTTGGCAACGCCTTGGAAATGAAGCATTGGCTATTATGTGTTAGCAGGCGGTTTGAGCATGTAGTAAGGAAGACTTACTGGATAGATGTAGACCAGAGGAATACAGGCAAAGCTACCAATCAATGCAACAAATTTATCGAGATCATTTGCACCAAACCAAGCAATTGCAGTACAAATGATGACGACGAAGAAACGGAAGATGTTCTTCTGCCATTTAATGTATGGGTTGTACTTGCCACTGCGTGTGAAAAGTTCGTTCTCAGTGATCCTGATTGCCGGAAAGAATTGTAACGGTGTTGAAAGCAGAATTGCAAGGGAGTACAAAAACTGGATGCCGTTGACAAGCTTATCGTCTTGTGGCAGGTTCAGAATGACAACAGTCTCGGTTGCGGAGCCATATGCTGCGTATGACAATGCTCCCATAGAGATGAAGACGACAGTAATGATTACCATAACACCCGCCATTACAGTAGGGAACTTCTTAGGCTCTTTCATGGACTCTTGTATTGGAATGATCAATCCGATACCCTCGAATGTAAAGATGGCGGTCCCAATGAACAGAGTCCAATCGTCCGAGTTAAAATTGATGATGTCCGAAACGCCCCCCTGTCGGACAAGAGTGAGGATGTCGTAATAGTATAGATAGAGCAGTCCGATAAGAATGAAGGCATCTGCTACCAAAGCGGTGAAGCCAAGCTTGCTGATATCTCTCATCAGTGAGAATGGCAAGAAGATTAACATCTGCATGAGAATCAAGTACGGGACATCGATATGAGTCTTGCAATCAGTCACCGCAAGTATGAAGGCTTGCAAGTTCTCCGAGGTGAAGACAATGTATGCGGCAACAAATCCAATCTGACTGATAACGATTGAGAACAAGATGATATTTCGCATCCAGTTACCATAGAGGATACCTCCAAGATCTCCAAAGGACCCATCATACTTTATTCGGGTGTTTACCAGCAGTACGAAACAGTAATAACTCAAAGCCGCGACGAAGAGCAGAACGAGATTACTGAACATCATACCACCGTTGAGATATGCCTTTGGTAAGAACAAGACTCCAGTACCGACGAATGACTTCAGTAACAACAACGCAGCTCCTGTAGTTCCATTGGTGCCTTTGACATGGCGATCCTTGCGCTTTCGTTTCCGGCGACCAGGCGTGAGTAGTGCACTATCTTCCATGGGTTCTCTGTCTTCGTCGCTAGCTTCTTCTCCGCCATCATACGCATCGGATGAGAAATATTCATCTGGTTCTAAGACTTCATCGTCTTCTTCCAACTCTTCACCAGCAAAATGTCCGTATATGGTTAAAAACTCAATAAAGTTGTTTGTGAGCAATTTTGGCTGGGTTCGGCCGTAGCCTTCCTCCACTACGCCATCGTTTGGTGTTGGACTTCCTGCAGCGCGCCGAAGGAAGTTACGGCGAAATCCACCCGGAACCTTTATTGAGCCTATGTCGAGGATATCGTTCTCGGGTTGTGGCCGTGACAAGTGGAAACTTTGGCTTCTCTGTGCTCGCCCTCGGCCTTGAGCCCTGGCTTCTGCTTCCTCGGTCCATTTGTATATAGGTCGTGTGATGTCTCCACCTTGTAGTCTTAAGCTGGAAAACTCATCGTCGTCAAGGCCTGGAGCAACGTCTTCAATAGCTTGTCTACCCTTGCCTGCTGGTGATCTACCCGCCGGTGAACCACCACGCATGGACATTCCAAATATCCCATCGGTCGGTCCATCACCTGCCTGAGACATAGTCTCTGGACCTTGTACCAAATGCCTCTTTACAATCTCGGGATCTTCGAAGGTGCTTGGCCCGGCCCAACCAGGAGCGCCCTGTATTGACCTCGCTCTATCAAATGACCCATAATTGCTTTGGGGGTTGGAAGATTGTATTTGATGACCAGCAGCCACTGGAGACAACGGCCGCAGAGGAGGTGTGCCAAAGGTTGGTGGTGAATGACCGAATGAGTGGGACAGAGCAGCAGCAAGAGCAGAAACTCCAGGTCCCGGTATCAAAGAGTGGGGTGCTGTACCAGCAAGAGGGGTTAAACTTCCAGATGGTAAAGCCGTAGATCCTGTTTGGTTGGGTGTGGGTATCTGCGGGACTCGAGGCGTGCCTACAGGACTATGTGAAGGTACTGGAGAGGCTAATCGAGCTGTCGAGGTTGCTCTTGGAACCGGACTACTCGACAATCGTCCTCTAAATGAGCCGGGCGACGAGGACATTGGTACTGCTAGAGGTGCCGCAGATGGCTCGCCATCTTTCGAGGTCGACATATTTGGACGTCGAAGTCGGATCGGAGGATCGTGGTGTCGTGGGACAGAGATAGGGAAGTCTTATCTCAGATCATCTTTCAAAAAAGCAAGGTGCAGGTGACTGCAGATATAGTCAGCCTCATTCGTATACAGGGCTGGCTACCAAGGCAACAAGGTTGAATTACGAACAATGAGTGGTGGTGACACAAGTCAGAAGAACGAGAGCACGAGTGAATAATTCTTTTCTTCCTTTGTTGTCGACGGATAGAGCTCAGCTGTCCAGTCAAGTCCGTCAGAAAGCGCTTTCACTCGTGATTGGGACCCTGAAACCCCTCGACCAATCACAGAAAATGCCTCGGTCCCCCCTGGTCAAGCCTTAGATATGAATTCTGATAGTCTCAGCCTTCCTAAAACGACTGATATCTCTCTAGCATAATTCTCTCACGTATGTTGCGCTTCCTTTTTCTTTATATCTTCTCTTTGTATTCTTATTTTTTGCTTTCCCACGCAGAAGTCTCTTGTGGACTTCTGCGCGCGAGACAACTCAAATTTTCACGAGGCACGTTGCCGAAAGGTCTGGTGACGTTTTTCGCAGGGATACCGTGCTCAAGTACGATTCGTGTGCGATGCTTGTAACCCGGGAACTGTCCTGCTATTGTGCTCGAGTAGAGCTACATCAGACGATGCGATGTTTTTGCAATTGAGTCCGGGGTTATTGTGAAGAACGGACATTTGCTAATTATACCTCTGTATTGAAGATGCCCAGCAATCGTCCGTCGAATTTGGGCTCCATCCGTTCACACTCGAACTTCCAGACTCGAAGCGCGAATGACGATGCTGGCGAGCTAAACAGACGCTCTTCTATGCAACAGCTGGACGAGGAGCAAGACACGGCCCAACCGCACCAGCCAGACGACAATCCCTACGAGCCACTCACCAACGACTCGACTCCTCCACCCCGCGAACATGACCTTACCAAGCGACTCTTGCATCTGCAACCCCACGACCAACCCCACAATGGACGAAGTCAGTCTGCAAGCAGGCCTAGGAGGTCCATTTCCGGTCGGCGGAAAGCCTCAACTTCTAGACATTCTGGGGCTCTGGCAGAAGCTTCCTTGACTGCCCAAATGATGGACATATCTGGGGACAAAAAGACAAATGGAGATTCTGTCGCGAAGCCTGGTCTTGGTCCAAGACCAGTCGGTGGCGATGAAAAGTTGGGGATGTTCTCTGGAGTATATGTGCCAACATGTCTCAACGTATTAAGCGTTCTTATGTTCCTGAGGTTTTCTTTCATACTAGGTCAGCTATGATACTACTAGCTCCCTCTGTACTTTGAGCTGATCACACTGTAGGCCAAGGAGGAGTTCTTGGAATGATGGGCATGCTGATCGCTGCCTATGTGATCAATCTCGTCACTACCCTCTCTCTTTCTGCTATTGCGTCAAATGGAACAGTTCGTGGCGGAGGAGCATATTACCTGATCTCAAGATCTTTGGGGCCCGAATTCGGAGGATCGATTGGGCTGGTGTTCTACATGGGATTTGTTTTCAATACTGGGTTGAATGCAGTCGGTCTCATTGACTGTATCAATCTAAACTTTGGGGCAGTTTCAGGGAACTGGGCTCAGGTCCTGCCGGAATCGAGGTGGTATTCGTATTTATGGAGTACCATTGTTCTGGTAGTCTGTACTGGAATATGTCTCGCTGGATCGTCCATCTTTGCCCGTGCTAGCAATGGACTATTGGTCGTTCTCCTCATTGCTACCCTCTCTATCCCCTTCTCAGCATTAGTCGTCTCGCCTTTCGAAAGCCGAAGTTTAGGAATCGAATACACAGGTATTAGTGGGACAACATTTGTTGGAAATCTCATGCCAAGATTAACGAAGGGGGCTGCTGGCAGTCAGCTTCGCGGCAAAGAAACCTTTCAAGATCTATTTGGCATCTTATTTCCAGCCACTGGCGGTATCTTCGCAGGTGCGAGCATGTCGGGAGATCTTAAAAATCCCAGCAAATCTATACCTAAAGGAACCTTGTATGGTCTCGGCACTACATTTGTGCTATATACTCTTGTCATACTGGCAATGGCAGCAACAATAACTAGAGCCTCGTTTGCCAGAAACGCAAATATCATTCAGGATACGAATGTTTCAGGAATTGTTGTTCTTGCTGGCGAGTTTGCTAGTTCGTTCTTCTCAACACTGATGGGCGTCATTGGCTCCGCAAAGCTTTTGCAGGCTCTGGCACGAGATAATTTGCTGCCCGGATTCTCCATCTTTGGACAAGGCACGACACACGGGGACGAGCCTACATACGCGATCATCATCACATATATTGTAGCACAGATCACAATGCTCTGCAATCTGAATCAAATTGCGTCTTTCACGACTATGACCTATCTTGTAAGTACAGATGCGAAAATCTGCGTTGGCGATACTTCATGGGTACCAAACTGACTTTGTAGATGACCTTTCTTGTTATGAACCTGGCTTGCTTCTTATTGAAGATTGGTTCAGCTCCGAACTTCAGACCTTCATTTCATTTCTTCAATTGGCAGACTGCTTTTTTCGGCACAGTTATATCTGCCGTTGCTATGTTCTTCGTCGATGGGTAAGTTTCCCCTGCTTTCTCTCAATGTGCTAGACAACTGCTTGATTCATTTTGGCTCCTTTTTATTTCAGCACCATTTCAACACTAACCTTGCTCCAGCCTTTACGCAACAGGTTGTGTAGGAATCCTCATTGCGATTTTCCTTGTGATTCATTATACTAGTCCGCCAAAGAGTTGGGGAGATGTCTCTCAGAACTTGATTTATCATCAAGTACGGAAGTACCTCCTCAGACTGAAACAGGAGCATGTAAAATTCTGGCGCCCCCAGATTTTGCTCTTCGTCAACGACCCCCGCCGTCAATATAAGTTAATTCAGTTCTGCAATTCCATGAAGAAAGGCGCTCTATACATTTTGGGTCATGTCATAGTTACAGACGACTTCGGAGGGTCTGTTCCAGAAGCAAGACGACAGCAAGCAGCCTGGACAAAGTATATCGACTTCTCAAAGATCAAGGCTTTTGTGAACATTGCAATATCTCCAGGGGTCGAATGGGGTGCTCGAAATATTGTCCTCAGTGCTGGGCTAGGGGGTATGCGACCTAATATTGCGGTCATGGGATTCTACAATCTGGACGACCTGAGAAGAAATCTGCCCTTAATCGATATTCCCGAGCTTGCTCAATCGCCTGAGCTTAGACCCAAGTCTTCCGAGGCTGGAGAGCGGACTCACAAGGATAGCAAAGATGCCAAGTTGCAAGGAATACTACCGACAGGTAAGTCCCCCTTTCCATATATCTGTGGAACTGTGGGTCGTTGGAAAGTTTGCGAGATATTTCTCCATCCCATAGTGTTTGATAAGCATATACTGACTCCAAGGTTGTGGGACAGACACTTGCAGAACGGAAGGCATGATGAGTGTGACGAGCTATGTCACAATTCTCGAGGATCTCCTTTTGAGACTTCAGATCAACGTTGCTATCGCAAAAGGCTTCCAAGACCTCGAATTCCCTGAGCCTCATGCCGAGAATGGCAAGAGATACATAGATTTATGGCCGATTCAGATGTCTGCCGAAATCGCTTCAGAAGGCGACAACAAGCAGAACGTGCTAACAACCAACTTTGACACTTACACGTTGATCTTGCAGCTTGGTGTCATCTTGAACACGGTACCTGCCTGGAAGAAGGCCTATAAACTTCGAGTTATTGTGTTCGTGGAGTATGAATCAGATATCGAGGAAGAACGAGGCCGAGTTCAGTCACTTCTAGAAAATCTTCGAATCGAAGCAGAAGTCGTTGTCCTCTGGCTAGCCTCGGGAAAGCTATCAACTTATGAGATCATTGTGAATGGTGCAGATCCGGGCAAAGAAGCCATTGAAGAGGTTGAAGATTGCTTGGGAGGTCAAGAATGGTGGGACGAAATTCAAAAGATCCGAGGAAAACGTGGGCCAACTTCTGGATCCGAAGATCTTGCTGAGATTGCGAGCATCTTTACAACTGGTTCAAATTGGCCGGAAGCATCTTTCCAGCAAGGTCCAAGAGACGAAAGGGTCGAGCGATTTCTCGGTTTACGAAGGCTTTTGAGAAAGTCGAAGAAAAAGCATACTATGAGCGGTATCACGAAATATGGTGTCAGTCTGAATATGAGGACTCATCGACTGTCTGATAACATTGTCAATCACCACGCAGCGACAGCCAGTGCGAGTGAAGACTCGAGTAGCGACTCAGAAGATTCCAGCGATTCGGAAGCCATTGAGACTGGCTCCGAGGATGGGAGTCAAGGCGCTGCAAGCGCTGCCAGCGAAGGAGATATTGATGACTTCGAGTCTTCTAGCGATTCTCCCATATCACCCACAAAGACGACTATCCGTAGACGTCGGAGTCACGGTGACACGATGAGAGGACCACCACCATCTAAAAGATCAACGGGCGAAAAGGAAGTGAAAGTTCCGGAACGGACACCGAGAAGACCTCCCCTGCCCGAGTTTCCCGCCACGACTTCAGCCGTGGAAGGCTCGTCGATAATTTCGGGACCGGACCTCTCATTCAGAAGATCCGAAAGTCCGAACAGAAAGCCACCCTCTCTTTCCAACCTATCAACATCACTAAAAGCAACATCAGAAGGGTCAGGAAGCAAGCCCGCCTCCTTGAAAGAACTCGACAAAGCCCTAAAGGAGCCCGACAAGTCTGCAAGACCCGAATCGTCCGCAAATGCCCGTCCAGCTTCTGTCCGTTCCGAGCGTCCTTCTATCTCCCGACACGCATCTCAGCCAAAATTCACTAGCAAGCCTGTGCCAATGACCAGAGTCGCCACAGAGGATGGCCCGGGACCGAGCATCATGTTCACCGAGACTCCGTCTCCGCCCGTACATGCGCGCGCGAATCGATTACCGTCCGCCTATCGTCCCAATTTATCGGACAACATCTCCGAGGTCTCGGAGCCGCAGGACATTTCTACCTCTCGCCGAGGCTCAACTTATTCAACTCAGGCATTGCCGTTATCTTTCAATGACCTTCCATGCAGAGCCCAGCATCTGATTTTGAATGAGTTGATGCGGAGTAAGAGTCGGTATACGGCTGTTATGTTCACTACGCTTCCGAGTCCGATCGAAGGCACATGTCAGAGTGTTGAAGCGAGTGCGGGGTATTTGAGTGACCTAGAGGTACTGTGCAAAGGGTGTCCGCCGGTGTTGATGGTGCATAGCAATAGTATGACTGTTACTATGAGTTTGTGATTATATATGGGAAGGAAAGGCGAGTTAAAGAAAATTGCATAGAGAGGATTAGATACCCTGCATGGTTGGTTAGAGGTTTGGTAGATGTATAAAAGCGTGCATTTGAACATAATATGACAAAATTTGAGCAAGACTTGGGTAAAAATGTTGTTGGCTGTGTCCTTAAGGAATGCTAGATTAGTGAATTAAACAGAAAGTGAATTAGAAAATCTGAAGGGAAAGCGTTGCGGAACTAATATAAAACTAGGATCGTCTCGATCTCGAAACCTCCATCATTGTCGAAGTATCAAAGAAGCTCGACGGTGCCGGGCAAGAGGAGGGGGAAATTATCCACATGGCGTCAGCTAACTCAGCAATATGGACTATTGTTGTGTAATAAGATCCCACATCTTGTTTAGAAGACGCAGATCACGAAAGTCGATGACAGTATGATGGAAGTTGACAGCGCGATGAAAGTTGGCAACATGATGGAAGTTGACAGTACGATGGGACTTGACAGTACCATAGAAGTTGGTAGCACGATGAAAGTTGGAAGCAACGAAAGGACGAGAAGTAAGATGATATTCAAGTTGAGACGAAAGGGTAGAGAACGAGAAAAGTTTGCATTTGGAATGCTGAATCCAAGATATTTTAGATGTGCCACATTCTAAACCGAGCCTGAATCTGATAATTGTAATTTCAAAGCAAACGTTAACTCATGGCTTAGAACATGTTACCCACAGTCTTAAGTCGTTCTTTCGCATCTCGCATCACCTCCTTGACAATCTCCCCAGCTGGTTGAGTATTCCGGACCAATCCCACTCCAGTTCCGGCATAAGTCGTCATCCTACCTTGATCACTCCATCCAGCGTCACCCTTCTTCATCTCCTCTTCATACAACCTCTTGTTCTCTTCTTCACTCATACCTTTTCCATGGTCCCAAAAACTCTGATTCAATACTCCCCTAGCATTGTAGGTAGCAGGCCAGCCAATCGTGCCTCGTATCTTGTCATAGACGGTTGTCCTCGCTGTCGTCACACCTCCATCACTTGCTTTTACAACGGCGTTCTTATACCCGTTGCTAATAGGTGTCTCTGGAGCTGCCAAGAATCTCGTTCCCATACACACTGCACTGGCGCCCAATGTTAGAGCAGCAGAGACACCTCTTCCATCTATGATTCCACCTGCAGCTATCAGGGGTATGTGTCCGAATCCTTCCTTAGCAAGTGCATCTCCACATTCTGGTAGCAAGGAAATGATTGAGCTTGACTGAGCGAGACCATGACCTCCAGCATCTGCTCCTTGGATGACAAGAACATCAGGATTGCAGCTCTTCACTACATCGAGAGCCATTGTGACGGTTCCAACTTGGATCCATATCTTAGTTCTGCTGTTGGTGGCCTTTCGAATGCCTTCCGTCCACGATATCAGATCTTTCGGCTCTCGAGGAGCAAACAACCATGCAGCAGCTGGTTTCAACGGTGCTGATTCAAAGACCGAAATGGCAACTGAGAGATCAACACCCCAGCAAATGAAGCCAACTCCAATGGGGAGGACACCCTCTGAGGTCGGGAGGGATGACTCGAGGATTGATGACGCTTCTTTGAGCATGGGAGAGAATGTACTAACGTCGGTACCGACACCAAGAAATCCAAAGCCTCCGGCTCGCGACACTTCAGTGGCTAGCGGTGGTGTTGAGATCATCCGCATGGGAGCTAAAACGACTGTAGGGTTCGCTGTCCAAGGATAGTGCTCATTGAGAGTTTTGTAATGGTTTGAAGCCATCTTTACGATTTTCAATAAGAAAAAGACAATAGAAAATGTGATGAGTGAAGCAAACAAAGAGTCATGCCAAGTAGCAGATGTAGAACGAACGACCGAGATCGGAATTGGTGATCATCCTCAAGGCCACAACAGAAGGGCGTGCCTCACAATGGAGGATACCATCAACGTAATGTGTTCATCTGACTCGAAGCTTGACTCCGCAAAGTTCCTCTGACACCCGAGTTACCGAGAAGTTTGAACATCTCCGGACAGTCAACGCCCGTGCACCGCTCTTGAAAGCACGCTATTTTAGCTCCCGCAGAGCCTCTTCCATAACGTCGAGGCAAAATGTTCACTTCCTCCAGCTATTCTGCTCCACCACATCGCCGACCTCCACGCTTGAGTGTCGTTTGCTTTGCAGAGTCAGTTTGGTGAGTATGCACCATCTATACGGAGATTTGCAGATGAAATGCTAATAAATTCCGTAGGATAAAGTTTTGGAAAGTGGGAAATCATGAACGCGCCCGATAGGTATGACACTGTCTTGTCGCTCCATCCCCGCTCTTTGTCGTGGCTCGCAACCTCGAATCAGCCGATCATGGAGTCGAATTGTATTTCCTTCTCGGTGCATCTGGCACTAGCCGACCGAATACTTCGGCTACACAGTATTTAAGCTCTTGCTGGGAGCCTTTCTGCGACAATCAACGCAAATTCATTATCAAGATCTGCAAGAACACTCTCAACAAGATGACTATCACTGGAAAGCACAAAGTTGACGTCGCGCCCGATAGATTCGAGCTCTTCCTTCTCGGGGACGGAGAGAGGAAGGTCACAGAAGAATCAGACACTCGTACGTCCCGCATCCCATGTTGACTTCCTCCGGCTAATCATAGACAGGTACCTCCAACAGTTCGATCTTCACCTTCAATAAGGAGGACCACACTCTCGCCAACATGGTTCGCGCTGCTCTCCTGAAGGACCCTCATGTTATCTTCGCCGGATACAAGAGTAAGCATTTTGCGCGCAACCTACAACTCAACACTGACTTGCGATTTAGTTCCCCACCCTCTCTTCGCCAAGTTCGAGCTTCGTATCCAAACAAACGGCGAGATCACCCCTAAGGAGGCTCTGGTCAACTGCTGCAAGTCTCTGGTCGGAGACCTCGAAGTTCTCAGCCGAGAGTTCACCAAGGAGTACGAGCTGCGCAAGATGGTCAGTGGTGATGGAGCTGCGGAGAATGGCGGTCGATAAATCATGGGAATATTGGTCATGGCGGCGTCCATGGGTGGAGTCTGGGAAGGTTGTGCATTTGCATGGCGTCTTTGGGCCAGGGAGGAAAATTTGTTGACTTTACCCCGCGGTAGAGCACACGCGTTGATCATTTTACACGAACCATAAATGCATTCATTGCACTAAGTCTCTTTCTTTTGGAGGTGACGTTGCTTGCGAGATGTCTGCTTCATCCTGATCTGAAGATCCCTAATATTTGTGCCCCATTTGGCGGCAGCCCAAGCGGGGCGCAAGAAGTCCTGCCCTGCCCTCTTGCCTGGCTCCGAAGCAACATGAATGGGACATGAGTAGTATATTTATGCGACGTGTAGAGTTATGGATGACAACTCAATGGTATTCTCGCGCCAATAATGCCCACAACCTTCGAGTACAGGGAGCAAATCACAAGTCGTGATAATCAGAGCTCTCGTCTAGTATCAACAACAGTGAAAAATACAACACTACACCCACTCGTGCTTTTTCACATTGTCACAACACAAGCAATCGTGTGATGATCGAGTCTATTTCAACCCGAAGGGTGATTGGCCGAAAGACATATCATTCATGTGATTCTACCTTTTGTCACGACAACTTTCCCTCTGGTATTTGTCTCTCGCACCAAGGAAAGACTCCTAATCAAGAAGCCATATTGCAAGCATCTCATCTTAGTTGTTGTGGACCGAACAATGTTCCTGGAGGTTACCTGCAAATCAACAACATCGAGGCGTTGCCACAGAGAATTCAGAAATTTTTTGGCACAGCCCTATGACCTTGCATGAGACTTCTGTTATGGTTTCACAAACGGAAGAAGATAGGCTGTTGAAAAGTCAGAATAAACTATCGGACAATAAGATGAAGCCTCCTGGGATATGTGATATCGTCCTCTGTCGTGCACTTGAGAAGGAGGGCGAAGAAAAGAAACAGAACGAAGAAACGAGGTTGAGGTGAGAAGATCCACCAGAGCTGGTGCTGGCAGGTGTATTGGAGGCAATGACAGTTGACAAAGGAGAGGCGAGGAGAAATATATGGAGCTTAGGCTAAGAGCAGAGAGAAACCAGTAATATTAACCTTTAAGTCCTACACTAAGGAGTTGAATTACGTGACATACGTACAGTGTGACCACTTGATCATATACTAGTTAATGAGAGAGAAAACAAGCAGAATGGGTAGAAAGTTTCAAAGTCCGCAGCAACTGGAGACTATAGAGCGGCAGAAGTTCTCTCCTTTTCAGTTTACTGTGAGATGACCGAGTGACAAGAAATTAAAATATGATAGGAGGCACACTGAGTCTCGAATCTCCACTTCATTCGTGACAAGGAATAGAGTCTCCCATGAGAGCGAGCTTGATCAAGATGCACTGGTTGAATTTGCTTGTATTGCAGGTACGTGCGAAATAGACACGAAGCCGATGTTTTGAGGAAGCCAGCGCAATCATGACTGCTTGCTTTAGACGATGTCGGCTCCCAGAGTCCTCCCCAGCTCTCCTAACCTATGCCTATCCCAGCATCATCATGATCCAGCAGCAACCGGTCCTTCTCCACCAGGTATCAGCTGATTGCGGTCAGTAATGATGATACTTATGGCATCGATGTTGCGAATTAATCACCATGCAAATATTGTTTCCGTTCAGCAAGATCTTTGAAAGCTTCGTGTGATTGCCGGAATAGTCACTAACGAAATCAATATCTCTCCTCATGCTGGACTTTGAATTACTTACAATTCTGTGACATCTTCGAGCACCATGTCTATGACTGAGTCAGTGCCATAACTTGTACTTCAATGCCAGGCTATACTTACTGACATAATCATCAAATCCAACAAGAGTGCCGCTGAACTCTGAGAAAGTGTCAGCTGAGTCTCAAAGTTCTAGTGGGAATGTTCAGTACCCTTGTCACCTTTCATGACTACCCAGATCTTGGACCCAACGCATTTATCAATCAGTTCTGTGATTGCTGTCAGTGAGATTCACTCAAGAAGGTTTTGGATTGACCAACCGAGGGGCAGTAATTGAGTTGCCATTTTGTGCGACCAAGAGGAATGTTATGTCGAGGTAGAGCTGTCCTTTAAACATTAGCCGTCGAAAGTTACTCGCTGAGTTTCAGGAGTAGACTGCACAAGCGATTCAATGGTAATTTCCTTGACAGCCCAATCTGCGGCCAAAGATATCCAGGTTCAGAAATCTCACAACACGTGAGAGCGCATGCAGGGGTTTGGAAGCGCAGAAGCAAGGAAGCCAACGACTCACTGTGGCACAAAGAGTATGCTTAAGAAAAGGGAAGTCGTTGATGATCGTTCATCAAGTTTCGTCTTCAATCATAAAGTTCGTGGACCCTGATATATCGTTACATGCGATTCACATTCTCGTGATCAAGAGTTTGCTTGGTTTACACTAGTCTCGATTTAGCGATTCGAGTGATTGGACGTCACGAACGCGTCTGCCTTCAGACCTGTGAATCTAGTGACAGTGAGAGCGATTGTTTATTTATTCGCCCGCGGTCATGCTCCCTTGCAGCAATGGAGCATCAACGTTGGGAAAGACACTTCGACGACCGATAATGAACACCATGAACTCTCTCGAGAGTTCCGTGGCCAGCACAGAATCCATGAGATCAACGGTCTCGAGGACAGGAGGGCGAGCATTGTTAGTATTTCCTTGGAAGACTGCACGCCGTAGCTGATAAATTGAGCAGATCCAGTACTACCCGATCGAGTACTCATCATCCTCAACTCAGAACCTGGCATCCAAACCATGGCATTGTCTTTCGAACACTATCCACCACTTCTCGAACACCGAGTGTTGCTGCTACGGCAGAACTGCGTGAGGACCATCTATTACATTCCAATGCCGAAGACAATTATGTTCTGGCATCTGCAGATTTACCGGCGCTGGACAAGGAAGTTAATCCCACCCCAGCCGTTGCGGAGGACGAGTCGAAGCCAGCAGCCCGCTTGACTGCGGACGAGCTCCATGAGCAGGCCCTAAACGATCCTGAGCAAGATGAGCTCCCCGAGACCTCGACGTCCTACAAAATGCCGGAAGAGATATTTAGAGCTGCAAAGGACGCCTCAGCAGGCTCACCAGAGTCGTTCTGGTCGCATTCATTGTACAGAAGTCCGCCTGATGCCGAGGGGAAAAGAAAGAAGCCTGTAGTCCATTATTGCAGGACTATTCATACCACCGAGAAAGTCATCAAGGATTACTTCAAGGGCAAGACGGTGATTGGCTTCGACATCGAGTGGCAGCCAGAAGCTTTCAAGCTTAGCAAGGCTAGAAAGAATGTCTCCTTGATTCAACTAGCTTGCGAGGATAGAATAGCTCTTTTCCATCTTGCTCTTTATCCGAGGATCGCAGAAACAAGTGACAACAATTTGGCCGCCCTCGTTGCGCCATCACTGAAGAAGGTTATGGAAGATCCCAAGATCACGAAAGTTGGGGTAGCCATTAAAGCAGATTGTACCCGTCTACGAAAATATCTCGACATACACGCTCAAAACATTTTTGAACTCAGCCATCTTCACAAGTTAGTCAAATTTTCCAAGAACAAGGACTTCGGGTTGATCAACCGATCACTTGTTTCGCTCGCAAAACAAATCCAAGAGCATCTTCATTTACCTCTATTCAAAGGCGATGAGGTTCGAAGTACAGACTGGAGTCAAAAGCTACATATGGCTCAAATCATGTATGCAGCGTCAGACTCATATGCCGGTTTCCAACTCTTCCATACCCTGGAATTGAAACGCAAAGCTCTGGATCCAATACCTCCTTGCCCGTACCCCGCCGAATTTAACAAAGCAATTCGACTTGCAGAAGGCGTTGAGATACCTCCTGAAGAAGACGACCCAAAAGTAACATCCACCGATGTCAAAGTGATTCGTCGGACGAGGAGATATGGCAAAAGAGTCCTAGCAGCAGCAGCAGAAGTTGTCAAGGACGAAGATTTCTCTCCGGCATCCGAACTTCCGCATTCATTTTTTACTTCAAAATCAGAAAATCCTCTTTCCGTGGCTTTACAAAAGACCAATTTAGGTGATGTGTCCCCTGAGCCTCCAAATGATTCCCTACAGCTTCAAAAAGCTGAGAAAGCATCCATGCGACATATCAGAGCCAAGCAGGGAAAGCTAGGAGATGTCTCTCACCTACCATTGTCACCAACCCAGCTCTCGAAAAGAAGCATCAAGACATACTACCTCTGGCTCGACAACCCAACTCTGAAACTAGAAGACATTGGCGCAATGCTTCGCTCCCCTCCAATGACAGCTCGCGCTGTATCGACGATGATTCTCGAAGCTATAACCGCTGATAAATTACCATATCAGAAGAGCCGATTGAGAGAAGTCCTGAAAATACAAGCGATATATACAGATGGGAATTATATCCCAGAGCATCGATACTTTGAACTGGCGAGAGACAGCGGGTACAATGAACTCAGAGAGCAGGAGTTGGCAACGCAGTAAGAGTGAGGTATAAAGGTTTACGACGGCGTTTTGGATCATGGGGTTTGAAGATTTTGGGGACAGCATCACTCACTCATCGTCTCTATATCAACCTGTTGAGGCGCGGTTTAGAAATACGTTGCATTGGGATACATAGCCCGCATGAGCACATAAAAGTATTCTTGTGTATATAGACAGCAAACTCAACTACGCTGCCATCAAATAATCCTTTGAAGTGTATCACATCAAATCACAATATTCTCGTGAAATCGCCTCCAAGAACACAAGTCGATGAATGTCCGTTCCCACTTTGACTTTTGTTGGTTGGAAAGTTCTACACAGAGCCGCTAACCCTCTACTGAGAAAAATTCTTCAAATATATGCGGACATGAAAATTTGCCCCCATTTTCGGAGTCGTTGGAGTTGCCCAAGATGCTTTCCAAAGTAGGTGAATATTACGACATTCCGAGTCCAAAGTTCTCCAGATGAGGACGGATATTGCAGAGAGTAAAATCATTCAACCATTCCTCGTCAACGACACTATCACGACAATCGTCTCTCTCTGGCGCGATAGTGATTATAATGCTCAAAGTATGTTTTTCGCCCACCAAAGTTCACTATTTGCAGATTTGTTTATTAACAAATTACTTACACTTTTTAGCTTGATCGCAATATCGATCTAGCTTTGCAAAACGTTGGCATAGACCAAGTGATTGGTACTCTCGATCTGCTCCGATGCCATAGGCAAGTCAAATGCCTTGGAAACGGTCTTTTGAATCAATCTTCGACGTTGCTGGGTCTTCTCATTCCACCCATTAAATAGCTTCAGAGTCTCCTCGAGAAGCTTCTCTCTTTCAGCAATCTTTGCAGCCCTGTCTGCCAACTCCTTCTGCGGGTCCTCATCAACGGAGAGATCTCCTCCCTAGGAGCATAATTCTTCCAAGCTGTTCCTGCTACGTCGACCTCCGTCAACAGCCAAGTCAAATCTTCGATTGAACTTGTGAAAGCCCAGACCAGCAGCAACTACTTTCAACTCTCTTTCTCTCACTCCTTCACACCTTTCATCCAACCTCTCACTTGTCCTCTTCTCGTGTTGACCAGACGATTCCCCTGGCACTGGGAGAGTCATTTCCTTGCAACCTTCACTTCACCCGCTATACCCGCTGGAGCTGCCTCCACGGTCAGATCCTCAGCAAAGCCTTCCCGGCCACAGTCAATCTTTCTCTCTCGAGTTGATTTGAACTGCCCCAGTTACAACGACTTGGCGGAGTAGACAATGAAACCGTGAGATCACAAATGAACGAGTCGCTAAATTGCTTGGCGTTAACTCGTTCAAGCCTTTGCTGCTGAAGGCGGACAAGCTTTGTGTTTGGTCCTACTTGCGATTGTTCAACAAATCCGAGTTGAACAAGATCGTTCCACAAGTCATGGGCCCAGATATTGAGGACACCTCGGATGAATGGCATGCTATGAGGAGTTGGTGCTTGTCAAACTTTCGGCACTATCAATACAACACACTTGAAGTTGCCTACACTTCCAGAGCGAAGGTGGAGGCGGGTCGTAGTTCACATCACATATCAAGAGCAGTGAAAGGACTCGCTTCTATGTACTTCATTGCTACCAAACGAATGTATGCGCGTATATCAGTCTGAAGACCTCTACAATTGTGGCGCGAAATCTAATTCTCACATGCACGTCTTCCCCATTTTCATCTTCCGTGTGCAGACCTCAATGCAGAATAGAAATCTAAACTGAAAATCAAATGAAAAGCAGAAAAAACTTGTATTCTTATCTCTCAGCATCGATACTGTAAGTCTCGAACCCCATTTTTAGTCGCCTTCTCCTACAGACCCAACAAAGCTCTAGCCCCAGGCTCGGATGCAACATAAATAACGTCATGTGCGTCACTGAAACCGTTAAATCTCGTAGCAGAGCACTTGGTGTAAGCGCCCATGTCCTGGAAATAGAGCCAGTCGCCAACATCAAGATTGTGATCAAAGCGAATGCTCTCAGCAATGCGGTCAATGCCATCGCAGGTTGGCCCCCAGATTGAGTACTCGATGCCATCGGTAGAAGCATGGCTATCAATAGTGTCGTAGTAGGTGTGGTCACCTGTGCGAAGAACTTGAGTGACGGGGTGTTGGTGGTCAAACATGATGCTAGAGAAATTGCCGTAGAGCCCGTCGTTAAGGTACAGCATGTAGCTCTTCTCGCCGCGAGATGGATCCTCGATTGTACGGCGTGCAATGACGTGGCAAGCAAGAGTGAAGGCTGAGGAGACGTAATAGCGGCCTGGCTCGCTGATGATATTGATGTGAGATGGCATGTACTCGTCCAATGCATCTCGAAGGACAGCAGCCATTGCCTCGAAAGTCTCGCCAGTGAAGCCACCGCCTACATCGAGTGTGTGTAGGTTGAATCCATAGGCTTCGGCTTGGTTAAAGACGGTGCGTGCATCTTGAACTGCTTTGAGGAAAGCAAGAGGGTCGGATGCTCCAGAGCCAACATGGAAACTGACACCAACAACATTCAGCTCAAGGTCCTTGGCAAGAGCGAGGAGCTCATCGGTGACATCCATGGCAGCTCCAAACTTAAGACTGAGGCGGCACAAGCTAGAGGAATCATCGGTAGAAATGCGAAGGAAAAGCTCAGCTCCCGGGAACAGCTTCTTGATCTTATAAAGCTCATCGGTGTTGTCGAATGTCATTTGCTTGACTCCGTGGTCTTTCGCGTAGCGCACGTAAGAATTTGTCTTGCAAGGTTGTGCATATATAATACGACTTGGATCAACGTCCATCTTGAGGACTTGTTCGATTTCGGCCTTGGAGGCGCAATCAAAGCCCGTGCCCAGCTCTGCAAGGAGGCGGATGACCTGGGGGTCGGGGTTGCATTTGACAGCTACGAACAGTTAGCTTGCGCCACATTCTGCAGAAGAAGTGTCTCACCATAGAAAGGCTTAACGCGGGGTAGATTCAACTTCCACCTCATGTGTTGCCGGTAGACCTCGCCGAGATCAGCTACGAAGAAGGTATCTTCTTCGCCTGCCTCGCAGACATTATGATCGATACTTTCAATTCTCCCCTTCAAAGCATCTCCTATCAACTTCTTTGGTGTATTCACGCCATAATTGTTGTGCTCGACATAGTTATTCTTCGAATTCTCAAAGAATGAATGAACACTCGTAAGACTTGGTATGGTTTCAAGGGATTGGATGGCGGAAGGTGACATATCCTCGAGAATATCGAGGGTTGTAAATTGAGATTTTTGATCTTTGGTTCTAGTTAGCTTGGTGGGAAAATTCTTCAGTGGCAAGGACGACTCACTTTTGCTTTGAAGTTGTGTTAGGGAGGTCTGTATCGATCAGATCCTGTAGTGATCTGACGAGGTCGGCTCGACTCTTCCTCGACGAGAGGAAGAACCTCTAAACCCGTCCTATGCGGCAGCTGAAAACTTGGGGAAGGAATGAGGTTGTTATAGGGCGAATCAAACAAAAGTCGCTCAAGTTGTTTAGACTGCAACAGCAGGAGGAGGTAGGTCGTTGATGATGTGTCGGTTAGGTCGAAGGGAGTAATCTTGATCAGATACTAAGCTTGCGGCTGCTGGAGCCGTGGTGTAGTGTTTTGCCTTTGCAAGGACCAAAGGCAGGTCCGAGGTATTATTTCCAGGTTGAATCGATGTGATCTGCCGTTCGAAGAGTTAGCTTTGGTATTGAAATCCCTCACGTCTTCGCTTTCGGGTATCAAATAGCTGTTGGGCACAATGGGGCAAAGCGCAGTTGAATCACCGCTTCTTGCGCGGGACCAGAATAAGCACTTACCGATTTGGTTGGAGAGAGATAAGTTCCACAGTGCTGATTCCAATGGGTAGAATGGTCAATGGGACCAGGTAGCAGATCGTATCTAGAGATTTTGGGGGATTTCTTCGAGTTGTCGAAGATGTGGTGTTTTGATTAGGGAGGTTCGAGGGGAAGGAAATTTTGGTGGGCAGTGTTCGCGCTAGAAACTTAGCCGCGGAATCCTTGCTCCGCTGCATCAAAATCACTCACACATGCACAGTCATTCGGTGAGCCATTTTGTTCCGAGACCTTTCACAATCCAGAAGCTGTGGAGAAATAATGCAGTTACAGAACGTATCTTGAATTTGGAAAATACCACAAAATACTCGGGAAATTAGAATTTTCTCCGTGCCACTATGACGTCTTCAATTCAGGGGTAAAATTCCTTAGCGAGCACACGACAGAACACAACGGTGCGGTGGCGGCTACTTTGTCTAGCGCAGTCAATGTCCCAAGATTTAGAGGAAATGGGATGTTCTCGAAAGTATGTCTCTGAGATCTGCCTGGTGCTACACAAGGCAGGAACTTCAACAAATGCTAGGAATACAATCTTACCATAAAGAAGAATCGTCAAGCATATTCGCCTTTGCTGAGAGGAAACAAACCATAAATCCACCTCGTCACTGCCGGGACTACTACAGAAGTCGCAAAATCATTTCCCTCATATCAAAGCGTCAAAAGAAACGGTTTGTCCTCTCATCTTTAGTCCGCCGTCCCACAACTCCAGGACAACAGGTCTGAAATAGACGGAGATCACAATCCCGAAACGCACGACCTCGAGGGTCAGGTTAGGAGACCGATATCTTGCTCTTGCGCTAGCCCGAAGGCTTAACTAGTGATCTGCCAGTCATTGAAGGGACTGGAGACGTATTATCTGCTCGCAGCGCGTTGAAAAGAAATGGCTCACGACCTCGGCTTACCTTTTGTTGATCCTTGAAAGGGACCCGGAGAATAGGATGGATGCTTGCATGACGGGAATAATGTCGAGTCCATGCAGTATGACTCGAGAATATGTCGTGTAACAAGATAGTGGGAGGAAATATATCTCAACTCGTGACCCGATAGTCTGAGAACGCGCTTGCGGTAGAAAGTACAAAAATAAAATCATGATATTATATCGTAATAGTATGTCTTCTGATTCCTGGACTCATTCATCCCAGCTTTTGTACAAACGCCGCTAAATGCAGGAGTGGAATACAGTAGTGTACAGTCAAAGTACATGTACAGATTTGTACAGATCGCTCATGAACCCAAAGCAGCTTGCTTCACATCTTCTTCATCCAAGATCTCGGGTTCTTGTGAAGAGATTCCCATGTCTCTTGTTTCCCATGTACCGTCGACCCAAGGCTTCTTCTCACCAAGGAAGACAAGTCTACCTTCGTCCTTTGCTAGAGCATCAACAATATATTTTTGCGCAACCTCTCGGACTTGATGTTTCGTCACATCTAACAATTGCTCTCGTCTTCTTTGCAACATTTCATCGGTGATTCCAGATGCAAAACGATGCATGCCCTCGGAACTTACAGCTTGAGGGGCGTCGACACCTTGGAAGACAGATAACTTTGCTTCTTCAAGGTCACGATCCGTCCATTGTTTCTCGACAGCCCATTGGCCTGCATTACGCATGATGGACATTGTATTCTGGGGATTGGGATCTCGGTAAGAGTAGAGGCCAAAGACACCATCAAGCCCAACAGAGTACGCACCGCCTCCATAAGCACCACCTTTTTCTCGAATCTCATGATGCAGGTGCTTATGCGTCAACAGTTGAGAGAGGATCTGCAGGGGTGCACCAGCTGGTGATGTATATGAAACTGTAGGAAGGGCTAGAGCACCATAATATACTTGGTAAGGTAACGGAAAGAAGGTCTTGGTGTTCCTGGAGAAGTCGGGCGTCGGCATCTTGAGAGACACAGAGTCATTCCTGGGTAGGGATGAGATGAAGTTTTGCAGCGCTGCTTCATTGGTCGAGACGCTTTCGGATCCACAGGTGACAGCTGTCCGGAATGTATTCGTTCCAGCAAAAGCCATCTTCTGAATCGTCTTGAGCTTTTCAATAACATCTGCGAGTCCGTCCTCTTCTGGCCTAGACGCAAGAGATGTCACTAACTTGACCTGTGAAAGACCTCCAACTTGCTCCTTCGCTCTGAAGTAACTTGTCAGACCTGCGTGAGCATAGCTTCTTGCATAGGAATGGCCAGATGATGCGATGTTGTTCACAGCACCATCTGCAGCTCCTTGCAACAGCTGTCGAATTTGGGATTGCGCTTCTGGACTGTCGAAATTTGTTTCTAGAACAAGTTTGCGGAGCAGACTGAACATTTCGGGAACATTTCGGTCCAGTACTGTTCCCGCAAAGCTCAGCCCTTCAGTTGATGATCTAAAGTCTGTTGGTGATGAAGAGCCATAATACGAAACAGATATTCCTCCAGTCTTGAGCTTTATAAGGTCTTCAAGTTGTTCCATCGTCATATCTTTCGTCCCAAGTCGCATTATGGCGTCGGTAAAGAGTGGGGTCAGAGCTCTCAATTCCTCTGGCAGATCCTTGAACAAATTGATGGCTCGGAAGTATGTCAGACCATTGGTCGGAGCTTCACGCCACTGCACGTCAACGTTATCGACTTTGCCCTCACGAACGTCAATGATTTCTTTTTGTCGTGGGATATCTTTGACATAAACGCTTGGTAGACAGCTCAGATCCTCGGTCATGGTCTTGCCTTGTTCTTGGAGAAGTACCAACTCCTGCTTCTCTAATAGAGCTCGAGCTTCTGGTTGTCCACCTGCAGTCTCTACCACTTCTTCGATTTTGTTCGCCAAACGAGTCGCCTCTTCTTTGACAAGCTCATCTCCATAAATAGCAGACGGTGTCATTGTAAATGTAAGGGTACGGTCATTCAGCAGATATTTTCCCAACAGGCCTTCGAGGTAGCCTCCCTTTGCAAACTCCGCCTCAAATGCCGAAACAGTATCATTCCAGGCAAGAGAGTCAAAAGGATCAACTCCTTGAAACCATGAAGGCTTCAATCTTTGCAAAAGGCCCATCCCGAACTTGGCTGTCTTGTGTTTTAACGAAATCTCCAGCTGATGAAGGTATCCATCAACCTTAGACTTCTCAAAACCAGTAGAGCGGACTTCCTCGAAGGTCTTATGGATGGCGCTCTTAACCTTTTCTACATCGGCTTCTTTTACACCAGTCAGACCAATGGAGAATATCCCCACTCTTCCTGAACCATCAAAGCCACTATTAGGACTCCAGTCCGTACCAAGACCCGCCTCGATCAGGTTTTTGTACAGTGGCGATCCGTATCCGTCCATGAGCAGAGCTGACATAATCCCAAGAGAAAATGTCTCTAGAATGTTCGTAGCGTCTCCCATCAACCAGGACGTAGATGTCTTATATTGCATATCCTTGTCCACCAAAGGATCAATAGGGCCAGGCACAGTAACACTCAGTGGTCCATTACTCAAATCGATAGGTTTTCGAATTTCCATATCTCCTTGGATGCGCTCGAACGCACTCAACTGGGCGTTGACTTCGTGTAGGTGGTCTGCAAGAGGCATATCTCCATAAGTGAAGACCTTCGCGTTGCTTGGGTGGTAGTGTTCGGCATGGAACTTCTTCAATTGGTCGTAGGTCAAGTCTGTCATCTTCTGAGGATCTCCACCCGAGTTGTTGATGGCTGGGAAAATGGCATCTTGAAATCTGATGTAGAAGAGATAGCCAGCATCAGACATTTGCCCTTTCATCTCATTGTAGACCACGCCCTTGAATACCAAATTATTGTCCTCTGGCTTCGCAGACCCGCTGGAAATAGCTTGTGGGTTCTCGGGGCCTATCCTCCACCCCTCTTGAGTGAAATCGCTCTGCTTCAACAGCGGATGTAATGTCGCATCGAGGTACACTGACATAAGGTTCTTGAAGTCTTGCTCGTTGGTCGTGGCGAAGGGATAGAAAGTATGGTCGGAAGCAGTAAACGCATTCATGAAATTCGAGAGTGTTCGCGGTAACATCTTGAAGAATGGATCACGTATGGGATATCTACAAGTTCTCAGCACAGCTCATATTTCAGACCAGGTTCTAACTACTTTTCACTCCCACATAGTGTTGTATGCTCGAGGATATGGGGGATTCCTGTATCGTCCGGAGGATTCGTCTTGAAGCCGATGGAGAACACATTATTCTTGTCGTCCCGTGCAACGTGTAGGTAGTCTGCTCCAGTCTTGTCGTGCTGCAGATGTAGAGCTGTTAATTCCAGTTCGGGGACATGCTTCGAACGGAGAAGGGTAAAGCCATGGAGCTTCTCCCCAGGCTTGGGATATTGGGCAAGCTCGGTCACTGCTTTTCGCACAGCGCCTTTGGAAGCGTTTCGTAACATCCTGTTGTATTGTCGGTGGCAGGAGTTGTGCTTGTGTCGGCACAGGTCGTGCAGGAGCGGGAAGTGAAGGATGAGCGATACAGTCCAATATTTTGATAGCTCGCCTAAAAGCTCTGAAAATTGTTACCAAAAGGCTTACATAAATCATTGATGTCACAGACTCCAATCAACAGCAAGGATAGCACTTCTAGCAGCATTTCTCGAAAATTATAGTTCCCTTAGAGAGACTCCAGAGGTCATACGGACCCAATAATAGACATATTTTTTCCGTTCTCCATTGTTGTATTGGTCATTCTGCTGTCTCTCGCGTGCACAACTCAGATTGACCGGATCTTCCTTTTTCGCCTCTCCTCTCTTTGAAACGGCAAGCTGGGCCGGACTAGTCTCGATTGGAAATAAGCTCTTCTGCAACACATCTCCTCCAGACAAAAGCCGATAGGAGTGCAAGTTGATGGGTGTACAGAAGTACCAGGACACGAGCTTTACCTTGCGCCGCATCTATCCTTTGGTCATCAGAAGCTGAGCACACGCTGCCCAGCTCTGAGTCTCAAGCCACGACTGATCCTCTCGAATGCACCATGTCGACCTCTGTTAATTCGACCCTACCCGCGAGCTCGAGGACCCCATCGATACCTGCAACCCATACTCCAGAGTCTGCATACACAAATGGACATCAACATGTTCACCACCATGATATGGGTGCGCATTCCGGATCGGGAAACATGGGGAAGAAGGGGAAACAGAAGAAAGCTACGGACCCGACAGAGGCTTCGAACTTGATCGCGGCCAAGATATCGCAACTGGAGTCCGATGCTGCGGGTGACAAGGAGCAAGAGGCTGAAATTGGTTGGTTACGCCATCTCATCTATTGTGTTTGCGCGGTTTTGATCGATGTATGGGCATGCGAGAGGATCCGTCAGAAGTCACTCTGCGTGGCAAGCGCTGTTACTTGGCTCCCGCCCCTCGTGAACCATGAACATGTTCCGGGCGACTACTTCTGAATGAGCTGCGCCTTGACTATGCCTATGCAAATCTCATCCGGAGTTCTCGTTGAAAGACTTTGCACACCATGTGATAAACTTTTACTGACTTTGCATCTTGAAGAACGAGAAAGACGAAAGTATGCTCGAGAGCTGAACAACCTCACTGGGAAAATGGACGACTTGCAAAGGATCGATACGTTGCAGACCCGCGTCTCCGAGCTCTTCACAAATATGAAGCGTCTGGAGCGAGAGAACCAGAAGAACAAGAAACGGGGCGATCAACTTCAAAAGGAGAGAGACCATGCTAGAACAGACTTCACCAAACAAACCAGCCTGAGGGAAAAGCTCGAGAAACTCTGCAGAGAACTTCAAAAAGAGAACAATCGACTCAAGGTTCGACTGGCCTGGACATGGACGCTTCGTGGAGATATGCTGATATGGGATAGAACGAGAATAAGACTCTACAGGATACCGAGAAAGAGAATCATGCAGGTTGGGATGAGAAGTTCAAGCAAGTTTTATGGCAATTGCAAGATTATCAAGAAGCCAAAGATCATCCGCAAGCTCAGGTTGTCAATATCGAAATGGACGAGCTGTAAGCTACCTTGGAAGATATCGAAGGATGGTCTAACACTATGTTAGGTTCAAACAGCGCTTCAAATCCTTGATCGATCAATATGAGCTTCGCGAGCTTCACTTCCACGCTTTACTCCGATCAAAAGAATTAGAAGTTCAGTACAATATCGGCCGTTTTGATCGGGAGAAGAAGTTAGCAGAGACAGAGAATTCAAGGTCGCGCGCGTTAAATGCACAGGTCTTGACTTTCTCCAAGACAGAAACCGAATTGCGAAATCAGCTCAATATCTACGTCGAGAAGTTCAAGCAGGTACGTACGATTCTCTGAGAATCCACACTATGGTTGTCATTGCTATCTATATTCTTCATATATATCAATATTTCGTGTAACTAATATCCGCTAGGTGGAAGATACTCTGAACAACAGCAATGACTTGTTCTTAACTTTTCGGAAGGAGATGGAGGAAATGTCCAAGAAGACAAAGCGACTGGAGAAGGAGAACATGAATTTAACGAGGAAACAAGACCTTACTAACCAGAATATCTTGAAGATGGCAGAAGAACGTACCAAGACCAACGAGGAACTCAAGGAGATGCGGAAGAAGAATGATAAACTGACTAGTATCATCAACCAGATGCAGAAGCAGGGAAGAGGGGTAGCTGGTGGAATGGCAGGTATGGTGGCAGGAAGTCAAGAGGGGGAATACGTTGAGGGGGAAACGGAAAGTGATTACGAATACGAAGACGAGGAAGGCGAAGATGGTGATGGCGAGGAGGATGATGAAGATCATGGTAGTGAAGTCGATTATAATGAGGACACTGAGGAGGAGGTCCAACTTCAAGGTCCGAAGCCATTTGGCCCAGTTCCCCCACCGACATTGGCTACAAATGGGGTTGCTGCGAATGGTGTCAAGCATTAATAGGTTCCTTGGGCGGTACGCTCTGTATTACATATCTGTCTGATTGGGCTTGCTTGGACTTTGCTCCTGGTACTTATTTGCTCGACTTCAACAGCGTCACTCAATCGATTAGCCTGGACATGAGTCAAAGACATTCATGTCTGAAGTCTACATAAAATGCTTGAACCACCCGTTCGACTTTGATAGCACATCTTCTTCCAAATCAATATCTACCTAGGTAAGAATAAAACATTCACTGCACCTCCTTGGTAATCAGCCTTGCTACAAGGCTGCCCCGCTTAGATCCCGGGCGAGCCAATGACATAAGTGTACATCATTTACGTCGCTGGGCCTCATGCGACATCTTCCACATTAAATTCCACCGACGATAGGACATTGTGTTATAACATCGGATATGTCTCGCGACATCTCTAGACAGGTCTCCTACATTCCAACTCGATAGATGATCCAACCTTCAATGACCTAATCTCCATCATCCAAAGCCTTAACAATGGCACCTCTCCTCGAAGATCCCCGAATCCGACAGACCTGGAACCAGATCTCGCAGAACGCCGAATCTGCAACTGAGAATGCTGCTGCGGGGATTTGGACGTTTCAACATACATACATCAACCCATGCTTATCCTCAATCGCGTCCAACTTCGAACAGTGTACCGGACATTGTTGTGGGGATAGAGAGGAACGCGCCCGACGGTTGCGAGATAGAGGACGGACAAGAGGCAGAGCTGAATTAAGCTTCGACTTCTACGACGATTGGGACGAAGATGAAAGTCATGGTAATAGAGGAGTGTTAGGAGGCTGGGGAAATGATGAATTGGATCGTTTGCTTGCTGGAAGTGGTTCGCATAGCGGCCCAAGTGATCAAGCACCACGGCGAAAACGCGGGATGAGTTATGGTACAAGACCGAGAAGGAAAAGTCTGGATCCAGATCCGACTGTCATACCGAGTACAAGTGCTTTGGGATTTCTAGGTCGACTACCATTCAAGCTAGGTGGCACGTTGAGATATAAGCCCAGCGCGGCAGATTTACAAGATCACCCAGGAGCACGAGGCACCGAGATTAGGGAGGAGGAGGGCGAGCCCTTGATGTCGGATCACAGTGATGACGAGAGACCAGGAACGAAAGGTCACACCAGAAACCGCAGCTCTACAGCGAGCTCTGGTGAAACATCAGATTCATTCAGATCTCGAGGCGACCTATTTCCAAGCGACGGAGAAGACGATGCAGTTCCTCTGGATGACGAGTTTGCGATGGTGCTTGAGAGAAGAATGACCAATACAGTTCCCGATGATAGGAGCAGTGGAAAGACAAAGAGTAGCAAGGGCAAGAGGCCCTCTGCGCCCAGGACTCTTTCGAGGACATTGTCTAGGACAACACAATCATCACAAACGAGACCTGGACTCGGTCAACGGGCGAGCTCTTCATCATTACCACATACTCCTGACATTACGAGCCCTAGCGTAGTTGAGGTGCCATCATTGACGGATTTGCAGCAAGAAGAAGAGAGAGTGCGACTTGAGGAAGAGCAAGAAGTAGAGAGGAAACGGCAAGCTGCTGTTAAACTAGCAATGGAACGTGGCCTTCATGCTGGAGAGGGCTCTGAAACAACCATCACAGAGTCGAAGGTAGATCCTCCAACAGTTGCAAGCATCGAGGCAGAAGCTCCAGGTCCAGATGAAAGTACCGACATCGTGGTGGATACTCCGCAATCTGTTGACGTTCCTGTCACACACTCTTCAGCTCCTGTTACGACTAACTCGGACAAGGAAAGTCGACCTCCAATGGAAACCGAGTTTGTGCCTGCTAGGTTACCACATTTTAGTTGAGCAGGTCTTGCATTATAGCAATTCCTCAAATAACACAAGTCTACACTTCCGAGAGGTCTTTGGGTGGTTGTAGATGAATGGCGTTATATATAGCATGCGAAGTGCTCGCTGCTGGCGGATTTGGTGTTTTTATGGAGCTAGGTCAATGAACAGATCCGCACAGCTTCTAGTCTTACGAAACTTGTGTAATATATATTCTTATTATCCTCACAACTTGCTTCGTCCTCCTAAGAATGTCTGTCCTTGTTTCAACATCTCAACTGCTTCTGAGACCATTTCATCCACAATCTGCTTTGCTGGTTGAATGTCCTTGATGACTCCAGCTACAACACCCATCAGAAAAGGAATTTCAACATCATTTCCAGCTTCCATATCGAATTCAATGGGAACAACCCCTTTCTCTGTCAATTCTTTGATCTTCTCAGGCTCTGCTTCCCATTTGTCGACCCATTCATTTCTCCTTACTCTCAAAGGTCTGCCACTCACCACCAACGTTCTCAAAGTATCTTCAAAGTTAGCAGTAACCACACTCTCCTTATGAGCCTGACTGCAGCCTGCCTCTGTACTAGCCACAAACCTAGTACCAACCCAAACTCCAGTTGCCCCTTGCATCAAACTACTAGCCAAACTCCTTCCATTATAAATTCCTCCAGCAGCAACAACCAATGCCGTCTGTCCACCAAGCAGTTTTGGCTTATACTGCTTCGCCACATCCACTACAGCCGGAATCAGAATCGAGTTCGGAACATCACCAGTATGTCCACCACCCTCTCCTCCCTGCGCACAAACAATATCCACCCCAGCATCCAAAGCCTTCTTCGCATGTTTCGGCGCCCCAACCATATTCATAACCAAGATCCCCGCATCATGCAACCTCTTAACAACATGCGGCGGCGGGATCCCCACGGCGCTAATAAACAGCTTTGCGCCCTCTTCAATCGTCACCGTGATCAAATCATCCAATTGCCCATGCGTGTAATCATGATTCGTTTTCCTGGCTCCTTCTCCGACTTTCGGTAACGCGAGGTCGACGCCGAAGGATAGGGAGGGCGAGGAAAGGTTGGCTTTTAGCTCGTGGATGATTTCGCGGAGTTGGGTGGGTGTGTAGCCTAGGCCGCCGATACAACCAAGTCCTCCCGCGTTGGAGACTGCTGCTGCGAGGGGACCGCCGCTTGTGCGTGCCATGCCGGCGAGGAGGATTGGGTGCTTTATGTTGAGCAGCTTGGTGAGGGGTGTGGTTATGGGGCATTGGGCTGCCATTGTTTCAGGTGTTGTTTGTTGATACAGGCTTTCAGGGAGGATAAGGTTGATAGGAATGTCTGGATTCAGAGCCTACAAGAAGAGACATTGAACTATTATCTGGGGTGCATAAGCTGGATGTGGAGGAGGAGTTGAGTTGGAAGCTCGCTTGCGGTCGGATGTTTGAGTGTGGGGAAGTTACCGAGGCACGAACTTTGTTTTGCATGATGTTATTCAGGGTTCTTTTTGCTCTGGTATCAACGAACAAGCGTTCTCTGAATCCAGGGACCATAACTTCCTGTTGTATCAAACAATGGTTTTGCCTCCTGGATTATAAACAGATGCTGTTCTAATGGCTTTCTGTAGTCCTGGCTTGGGCTTTCACTAGTTTGGTCTGCTTGTGTCCAGCACTGCTTGAGCTTGATGTCGGGAAACTTTCTGTATTCTTAGGGGACGCGTGCAAGTTTCCCGTGTCCAGAAACAAGCTGTTGTACCAAATCGAAAACCCATTTGAATAGAGCAGAAAGCAGGCGCGCAGGCTCGAAGTGGTAGTCAAGCTACTTCTCTCGTTATATCTTCAGATTCTATCATTTTACATATGCGTCATCTTTTCTTTTCAACTTATACTCTTTTAAAGAGAAACCTAATCAGACCGACTTCACCAAACTGCCTTTCGAATTGCCTGAAGCGATGCAGATCACAGGCTCCTCACTAAACAAAAGTGGGGTCATGATGAACGTTACATTTCAATTTTGTCCCTAAGATGTTAATTCAAAGGTGGAGAGTTTTCCTTATATCATTAAGCAAAGTTGCATCGATATGGTGGGGCGTCGATAGTACCATGCACAACAATATCGAAGGCGATAGCTCAAGATGGCGAGACACACAAAATGGAGATAAAGTCCTGTTGCTGGCGCTCTTTCCCAAAAATATCAGGGACACAAGCTACTTCCATTCCTTCAAAATGAAGTTAAAGACGCTCTTCCTTGCTGGTTTGTCGTGTTCACCAGGTGCTAGTATATTGCCACCGTGCGAGTACTGGCAAGTTGAACCTCCTCTCAACTATTCTGATGTCCTGTACGCCGGTTGGAACCAGATTCCTGTAGAAAAAGAAGTCCTGATCTATAATGGTAGCCTCATTGGCAGGACAGTAAGTCATGTCACAAGGCCATGGACTCCAATCTGACGTTGGCCAGTATGCCCATCATCCTCAGCTCTTGGCTGTCGGAGAGACTGTATATCTGGTCCATTCAAGCGCTGTAATTGATGAAGATTCTATGGGAATGGAACTGTGGGGAGCAATGTCTCACGACGGTGGCTATACCTGGACACCCAGTCACTCTCTCCTCCCTCCTGCATTGCTTCCAAACCAAACCAATGTAGCCAACTTCAGCTACTGGTGTAATGAAGCTATTTGGCAACGAGCAATCGGAGGCCTCGCAGTCCTGGAAGTCGATTCCGAGATCTGGGGAGTTGGTGAAACGACAGACTTTTTTTGCTGGGGTGATATTGGTTCTGGAACTCGTGGTGCCGGAAGGATCGCTCGTCAGCTCTCTTCTGTGGATGGAATGCCAATCGGTGATCCGTGCTGGCTGAATCAGAACAACTGGACTTACATTGAATTGTACAATGAGACGGTCTATGGTACCAAGTACGGCATGAAGTTCTGTGACAAAGCTGCAGATATGAATGCCCAGCTTGTAGAGCCAACAAAGGTTCCAGCTTGGAGTGCTTGGCTTTACAATGACGAGTTTTATGCCGCCAACAATTGGAGCAGTCTTCAAGAAGTCACGCATGCTGTGTGGATCGAACAAAGTGATGGGCCTGGATATTGGCAAAGATTCTGGAGAGATATAAGTCCTACCAATAACTCAATGCGTGTGTGGTGGGAGATTACCTTTGACAAGGAAGGAAAGAGTTGGTACCCAGTCATCGAGGAAGAATATGGCAACAAAGTAGGACAGTTCTTCAATGTGCCGGACGAAACTAACATCTGAGCAGGTATACGAAACAAATATACCAGATGCCAAGACTAACGAACATGGGGACAAAAGTCCGTGCGTTCAGGGCATCAGAATCATGAATTTTATTAATTAATTAGCTGTAGACCAGCCACATCGCTTAATTAAGTCGTGTACCCAGAAGTCCTGCTGCTCAATAAGCCCATTGATCCATTCCTGAGGAATTTTGTCCCATTCTTCTAATACTGCTACAACCATTTGAACCTCAGTTGTTGGCTGCCTTAGGCGCCTATGGAGAGCTTGTTTTATTCTCCTCCAGCACTTCTCAATAGGATTCATATCAGGGCTAACTGCAGGATGGGGGAATAGAGTAATACCCATAGAAGTACGCCAAGTAGCAC